TATTATTTAGTAAAGTTACCATTTACCACATATGAGGGTCTGAAGCAAAGTATTTTGAGTGCATGGCCAAATATCAAGCAATTGTCATATAATACTAATGTCAAACCATATCAACCTGAATTTATAAAAATACTTTGTAAGAACAAGAAAGGATCTAGAAATATTTATGATTATTTAATGTCCAAAACACAGCACAAACCAATTTGTGAAAACAAATGGGCCACTGATCTAAAGTTAGAGTCAAATTTCAACTGGAAACATGTTTATGCAAACTTTAAATTGATAACAAAAGACTCAGGACTTATGTGGTTTAATTATAGAATTATTCATAGAATATTAGGTACTAATAAGTACTTATATTTGTCTAAAATTAAAAATTCACCACTTTGTTCAATATGTAAATTAGAACCAGAATCAATTAAGCATATATTTTTCTACTATCCACAGGTTTCTATGATTTGGCTAGAATTGTCAGATTGGATTTTTCAAAAGTCTGGTAAAAGAATTGAATTTGATGTGAAAACTGTTATTTTTGGTTATCTGGAAAAAGATCACATGGTAATAAATTTGATAATCCTGTTGGTGAAGAAATACTTATTTCAACAATCAAGAAAAAACAATAATATTGTCTTTAATGAAATTTCAAAATATTTAAACAATTACTATACTTTAGAAGAAAAAATGTCAGAAAATACATTTTATGAAAATAGATGGTCCAAGTGGAAATGTCTTTTTAATGTGTCTAATAGTAACTCTTAATACTATGAATGATTATGTATTGTATATCGGGTATTTATGTTTATTTGTGTATGTATATATATATACATATATATATGTATGTGTATGTATCTCTCCAGCAGGTATGAGAGTGGGAGAGAGAGGTGTATATGTTTTGCAATTACATAAACAAATTAAAAAAAAAAAAAAAGGAATAGATTGTTTCTAGTTTGCCTCATGTGCTACGAGGTTTCTTCCATGAAGTAAAATGTCCTATAACAGTATTCCAGCTAGGATGGTGCAAGAGAAGGACACTTTTTCGCAACGTACCGTTTGTCGTGAGCTTTTGATACATTCATGTAGGAGTATCTAATGCCATTACTTAACCATTATAAAACTGAAAACCTTCAGATTTATTAACTCATTATACAGTGGCGCCTCGTTAATCCGGACGCCTCCGTCCCCAACGAAATCGTCCGGATAAATGAATCGTCCGGATAAGTGAATCACTTCTTAAAAGACGTACCCTCTTAAAGCATGTACATATGAACATAGTGGTATCAAATGTGAAGGCAAAGAAAACACCTTTATTTTACCTTGACTTATTGATTTCATTTTTATAGTTTTAAAAGAAATAATAAATATTTAAAAAAGAAAAAAATTAAAATGTAATTTACACGATGAAAAATGGATGGGCAGTTTTATGTTGAGACTTCCTTTTCTAACACAGGAAACTTTACTCGCCTTCTATTTGACGTGTAGTTACATGGGCTGACCAAATTTTGACCTGCTACTGTTTTATTTCGGCACTTTTTTTATATTAATTTATTCAAGCTCATATTAAGTAGAACTGTTCATTATCACCACTGAGATTGTTCAAATGACTAACCGCGTATATTCACTAAATAGGGAAGTGAGTAACTAAATACTGTAATCAGTGTACGTGTTGCAAACATTCAACGTAAACACAAGCCATATTCAGGATTATCAATACTTTTTCTATAAACTCTAAGTTATATATCTTGAAAAGACGTGATCGGCATTTATAACTAACGCCAGTTACGTATTTCTTAGTGCATTAATAGAAAAAAAATTTTCTTGAATTATGTATCATAATAAATTGTCTTATGAAAAGAATAAAAAATGTTTCAAATAATGTACGATCGTATTTTGATAAACTTACGTAACTCGATACCACAACGAAATCTCGTGATTTATTATTCAGTAAAAATTTTATTTACAACTCTCCAAAAATTCTCATAAATTTATACACCGTTAGTAATTTAATTAATGCACAGTATAAGCTAAATTCTTCGGGCTTTATAATATAAAAGACGTGTGTTTTAGCTGAGGTAAACACACGCTAATTATAGACGCTATTGTTTAGAGGTCACAGGTAACCGCCTTCAAGCTGACTCCATGCACAATGTTTTTACAATAATTATCACTACTGCAAGAAAGGTGTGAAAAGTCGTTCCTCGAAAAATTACCGTCCGGATAAACGAGTCATTTTTGAATGAAAGATTGCGTTTTGTAGTAGAAATTGACCGTCCGGATCCGGAACGCGAATTTCTGGATTAATGAGACAGAATAACGTGGAAAAAATCGGTTCCCAAAAAATATCGTCCGGAAGGTGAAGCGTCCGGATTATTGGCGTCCGGATTACCGCGGCGCCACTGTATCTAATTAAGTTGAAGGATTAAGACAAGCATTAATCTAGTATATAAACTTATAAAAAGAATTTAAGAAAAAAAAAATCAATAGACAAATTTCACTTTCTTCAAAAGTCATTTTCTATTCCTACGTAATTTTCAATGAAAACTTCAAAATTCATGAACTGAAGTACATGTACTTAGAAGTTAAGAATTTAAATATATATAGTTGTAGTTCATAGGTGACATATGCTTTTAAGTATTTAACTTACAAATGAAAGCCAATGTTTTTTTTTTTTCCTTTTTAAAATTTGTGGCAGATATATTGTAAATAATAAATTCCAAAAACGTTTTAAACTTCTGTAAATATGACTGTTTTTATCTAAATGGAACCCAGTATATCTTTACTTATAAATGAATAATTTTTGCAAATAAACACCGAAACGAATGCACAAGAGAACGTACTTACTCCTCGAATATTATAGTAGAAATGAGATGATGTCCAAAAACTATATTTACGAGGGTTGTCCGGTAAAATCGTGGACAAAGCGTTTTTCTTGAAAAATAATGGGCGCACTAAGCTGAAATTTTCAGCAAATGTTTACACATCATATTTAAGTGCATCTTAATTTTTTTTTTTTATAAAATATAGACAAAAATAAAGATTTTATTATGCTTGAATGTGCACAAGGTACGGTCCTACGGCGCATGATCAAAAAGCCAGGGTTTCATTAGCGAATACACGAGTGTTATTTCGAAATAAAAGTATTAAATAGATAAGATTGAGGTGAAAATTATCCTATTTTTAATCCACTATCTATTATGTCGTCTTTTGTAAAATATCAAGGCATTCGCTTAATTTTTGGCAGTTTCCCGAGCATTTGAAATGGGAAAGTGGTAAACGCAACACACGAAAAATGGCGACGTTTGGTGACGTTACGGCGCACCGGAGAGCAGTTCAGTTTGATTTAGATGTAGTAATGACGCCTTAAGAAACTTTAAATGACTACAGAAGAAAAAAAATATAAAAATATCACTAGGTCTTTAGTATACAAGTGAAATGGGAGTTTTTTAAGCGGAAGCTTTTTGATCGGGTCCCCGAATAGAACAAAACATACGGACAAACAGCTACTAGCAATAGCAAATGACGCTGTCACTGTAGACCTGTTTAGTTGAATGATAGTGATAGTACTGTCCATAACTTACTAATAAATCTTCAGAAGGTCCCAGCTGGTGTGTGCGAGATTGGTTCCTCGACTGTTTATGGAGGAATAAAGGGAAAATCAAGTATGTGCATCAATGAAATCCCCGAATTTACGTGGGGCTTATCCAACTTTTACTTAGCAAAGAGGAAACGTGACGCTGCGTTAGAGACTTTGACGTTATCATCCGTGCGCCATAAGGCGATACCATACATAACATAAAGTCTCATATTTTGTTTATTTGAGCAGATATCTATTTGAAATTTGCTAGGTATATTGATGAAAAATGTACTAAAAGTAGTGAAAGTTTTAGAACGCAGTGATGATTATTTTTCAATCTAGACAACTTGTCCACGATTTTACCTGACAACCCTCGTAGATTTCACTTGCATAGTAATAATCGTAAATTTGATTAAAAGTCTACCTTTTGTTTTCGATAAACAGCCGTGAAATAGCAAAACAAGAGTAGGTGGTGTTTATGATTGGCGGATATAAGTTGGCAATTTTTAATGAAATTAACAACAAGCAATCGTTTGAATATATTATAAAACGTCATTAGTGATTTAATCAATCAAAACTTTATTTCAGTGATAGTGAGGAAATAAGTTTTGATAACTGATTAAAAAACAAAGTGTGTAAATCGTTTATCAGTGTCCATTCTATATAGAAAGATCTTAAGACTGTTTTTGCATGTATGGATGAAGTGTCTTCTCATTTACTCTCCACTTATTCATTCTAATTTTCTTTTTTTTTTTAAATTACTTTCGGTGTTGATTTTTGGTTAGCTTATGTTATGTTTTTAAATTTCATTTCGGTTTTACCCTCAACGACTTTAGATAAAATCACAGAACCTTCAGCTATACATGTAGTTCGTTTAATTGTTATCATCTCAAAGGAGCGATACACACGGTAAATGAAAAGTTTTGGTATCCAAAGTAAGAGAAAACATGTTAACTTTAACACGCTAGTTTCCATTTCTTATGTTTAAGATTTTATGAAAGCCAAAGTTATTGTGACGCTAATAAGTATGCTTTCTGGAAAATCGGGTAAATGCAGTTGGGGGACTTCGACAAATCTACAATGAGGCATGGACAGAAAGCCGCTTTAAAAAATTGAGAAATGGCAAGATTTTAAATCTTTTTTAAATCTGGTTTAATGCGGCTCAGAAGATTGGTATGTGGTGTCATGAAAGGTTCAGTTTTTAATATTTCATGAAGTCTTTCTTTACCAAAAAGCTTCTTTATGATATCCCGATGCAAGTGTCAAAATGAATGAAAAGTCTTTTATATAACATTTTCAAACCCCAATATAAGCAATAAATGAATCTGCAAAAATTACGGACCATATGACTTTTACGTTCCTTTTTTAAAATCAAACTTGTGAGTATATAAAATATTTTGATATCATCAAAATCTATAAACCACATTACCTTAATGAAAGTAAGTACTCTGAAATTTCCAAGAACCAAGGATTCAGCTTTGTAGGTATAACGATATTCGTATCCTATATCATAATTATATCCAACAGTTTTTCCAAAAAGACAAATCATTAAAAGACTACCTAAAGTGACCAAGTCTTTGTTAATGAGAACCATCATAGTTTGATCACAAGTGATTAATTCATTTTAAGGAGTTGGCAAAACTAAGGAGGAAGTTTTTTAGTATGCTTAAAATATAAGCAAGATGACGGTTGCGCAAACCACTGTATGCAACCTAAAACTATTTGTTTAATGTTTTGTGTTATAATATTACAAATATTTGGTTAAAAGATTATGGATGTTTAATGCAGCTATGCATGCACATCATGAGCTTAAAAAATATTCCTGTTTGTTTGAAATTTTAATCATAACTTTGTATTCGTTTCTATATTCACGGCAAAGAAAGCTACTACATGTAAAAACTTACTAAAAATCTGGATTTAAAGAAAAAGACTATTGTCAAAATGCCAGAACTCACTGATTTTTTTTTTTTTTTTTTTTAGAATTTCTTAAAGTATTACAAATATAATCTTTTTGCTATGTTATTTATTTAATAGGTAGACATTTTCTGAATTGTTGCTTTACACTGCATTGTTATATATTACTGTAATTATTTTCTTGGTTTACTACCTCGAGCATTCTTTCTCAGTCTCTTATGAAATATATGGAAATAACGAACAGTATTCATGCTCGAAAGTCCATTAAAAAATACAAATTTTGGAGCAGGGCAAACATGAACCTCTAAAACATAAGAGGTGGGATCAGGTGCCATGGAAGAGCGAGCACCCCCTGCCGACCGGTCATTCCCGCCGTGTGCTCCTTGTCATGAAATAACGGAAAAATCCGTCGACAATTTAGTGTGTAAATAATGCCTAACAATTAGTATGAAAAAGTCAGTCAGCATTTGACTTAATGATGAATTGTATTTGCTGATAAGGTCATTGTATAGACCATAGCACTTACATGTACGAAATGACGACTTTAAACGAGACTGCTTATATTCTTGTCTCAACAACTTGTTTGTCAACAACTTACCTCGTTTAAGAAATTACTCATACGTAAAGCATGCTCTTGCATATCGAATCAACTGAGAGATATAAAACCCGTATGCAGGTGATGAAGGTATATTGATGAAGAAATAGACTTGTAACGTCATTGTTCTGTTTTAGCGCTCCATTATTTTTGAAAATGGAGAGCTGTAAATAACACGGAGAACAAATATTTACATTATGTTCGCGTTCTCCCTCCCATGCTTCTCGATGCTAAGATTATAATAAAATAATAGAATGGGAATGGTGGGTATGGAACCCGCCACACATAGCTACTGAGACAGCGATTAAGTATTCTGATTTGTATGTTTGTATAAGTAAAACAAACGGTATGTTTAGCCGCATAAAATGTAATGCTTTCAATAAATGCTGGACAACTCGCCCCCAAGACAGGTCGCCCTCCATTTAGGACAACTCGCCCCCAAATCAGGACAGCTCGCCCCCATTTAAGACAACTCGCCCCCAGTTTAAGAAACCAACAAATTAATATTAAATATATTATATAGATATTTGAATTTAAAAATGTTCCTAGAAATTTAAAACAAACAACTGAAAATAAAATTTCTCAATTTTATTAAAAATAAAACACAGCACAAATAATTTAACACTCATATCTATTATAATAATATTGTCGGTACTGGCACTTTTTTGATATATCTTCACTAAATTCACACATTTGTTTACATTTTCATCACAAATAAAACTAAATATATGTAATTTGCAGAGCTTGCATGCTTTAATTCTTCATCACGTTGAAGCTGCTTCGGAGCTTGGATACGGCATGCTATTTTTTTAAACAACTAAATATACGTATAATTTTCGGAGCTTGCATGTTCTAATTAGTCGTCACTTTGAAGTATCCAAATTAATTGTTAGCTTGGGGTGTCATTAAATTTTTGTCTGATGTTTTCATTTAATTAGTAATAATCATTATCAAAAGTTTCTTAAAGCCGTCAGTTAAACTTTAATATCGTCTTTAATTTATTAAGATGTTTTAATACTTAGGACAATGTGCTCTTTTAAAATAGACATATTTTATAAATATGAATTTAAAAAATGATTAAATCAAAATGCATTTATTCACTCTATTTCATAAGAATCAAATTTAAGAAAGCATGGATATTGTGATAAATCTTTTATGCATACATTGTGTTTTTACACAAAAACATGATGTAAATGCATAAAAAAAAACCCAGCTATATTACAATCGTAAATATTGATTATAATTTAAATTTGCATGTAGAGTATACATAATTGAATAACAGTTATTTTTTCCCTTGCAATTCACATGAAAAAATAATGGGGACGAGTTGTCTCTATAATGGGGGCGAGCTGTCTTGACTGGGGGCGAGCTGTCATTAATAGTGTTGGGGGCGACTTGTCTTGGGGGCGAGTTGTCCTGATTTCCTTTCATTGCATTAAGCAGAGAAGAATCATTTATTTGCGTGTTCTTATGTTTCAATTTATTTCATCTCATAGTTTTTATCTGTTCATTGAAAACATTTTCTCAAAAAGTAAACTGTTACAGTATTTTGTGCATTTTTAGGTGTATTTAATTACAATTATATTTGTATGCATATGTGATTTCTTAGATGTTTATAACATGCAATTTTAGCAAAAAAAGAGAAGATATTTCAGGGTTCATCCATGAACAGGCAACTGAAGAAAATTTTCTTTAATATCCGCTATGATATTTTTTCCAAGAGCACGGATGCAACTGATAGCTCCGAAGCATTATTAATATTTCTTGATCAGAAATCAAGATTTTTCTTCCTCTTCAGTTTCTGAATTAAATTTTCTTTATCTATAAATGATTTTTTATTCGTTTGAAAAAAAAGTAGGATTACTTTTATTGCTCTAGCAGATACATTGTCAAAATACTATGCAGCTTGGACGAAAACTTCTCGAGTACGTTCTACATAATTTATACTTGGCAGAAGTTTTTCTTGGCTCAAGTGACACGTATGCAGGTTGTTTTAATCTTTTTTTTTTTATATATATGCATGCAAATTGGTAAAAGCTTATGAAAAGGAAAATACTTCTGATATAAATTTTCTATGTATTCACCATCTGATAAATCAGGCAGATAGTTCATCTTTGTTTTGATTACCGCGTTATGATACACGTTAATTAGGCTTCAATCATTTTAAAGAAGAATACTATAGTTTTTCTGTCTTTTTCTTCCACTGGACAAAGTTTGTTATTTTAAGGTTTTTTTTTTTGTTTTTTTTTTTTTGTTTTTTTTTTATACATCTAAAGACCAATAAATATTGTGATTTAATAAAGAAAAGCTGTTTGAGTTAATAAACCCAATAAAATAAAAAAATTTGCAGAACTAGTGCATATTTTTGCACAAACTAGATCCTAGATTTGCATTCGAATTCTGTATACAGGGTTATTTCCGCCCCGTGTTATTTTCGCCCTTTCGCACTTGCGACAGATTTTTCCCCGTTTTAAATTCGCCCAGTCACAGTTCTGTTTAAAGCGACACTGTGACGCACACACGGGGAAATTTACAACCATAGAATTTTTACATGACCCTTGCAACTTTTGTTCAATTCCTGAAAGTATTAGGTTTCAGAAAATTACAGTTTTCGGAACCTAAAAAATCAATTTTTATGGAAAACAAAATAATTTCTGTATGGCCCAACACGAAAATATTGCCTTACTATTTCCTCCTTATTGTTCGCGTGCGCAGAAAAGTTGAAGAAGTTACCATAGTTTCAAGTACCAACAAGAGGCCCGTGGGCCACATCGCTCACCTGAGCACATTAGCTAGACACAAATCAGTTCAGTATTGAAAAGATTACTGGGGGTTGGGGGGGGGGGGGGTTGAATTTTAAACTACCTGATGATGCTTCCATGTCAATATAACAAATGGCTTTGTTGTACTTGAGAAGATTTTAAAAAAAATTTCCCATACATTCCTTTGTAAAATTTTGATCCCCCATTGTGGCTCCTCCCTATCCCAGAGGTCATCATTTGAACAAACTTGAATCTACACTACCGGAGGATGCTTCCATATCAAAATGACTAAACATAATTTTCATTCTTGAGAAGAAGATATTTTCCAATATGTTCCTATGTAAAAAAAATTTTGATCCCCCATTGTGGCCCATCCCTAACCCCGGGGGTCATCATTTTAACAAACTTGAATCTACACTACCTGAGGATGCTTCTATATTAAAATGACTAATCATGGCTTTGCATTTCTTCATCAGAAGATACCTTCCTATATATTTCTATTTCAGACATTGATCCTCCATTGTGGCCCCGCCCTACCCCAGAGGGTCATGATTTGAACAACTTGAATCTACACTACCTGAGGATGCTTCCATATAAATATGACTTATCATGGCTTTGCTGTTCTTGAAAAGAAGATTTTTGAAGGTTTTTCCTATATATTTCTATGTTAAACTTTGATCCTCCATTGTGGCCCCGCCCTACCCCCGGGGGTCATGATTTGGACAAATTTGAATCTCCACTACCTGAGGATGCTTCCATATAAATATGACCAATTAGGGCTTTGCTGTTCTTGAGAAGAAGATTTTTAAAGGTTTTTCCTATATATTTCTATGTAAAACTTTGATCCTCCATTGTGGCCCCGCCCTACCCCCGTTGGTCATGATTTAAACAAATTTGAATCCACACTACCTGAGGATGCTTCCACATAAGTTTCAATTTCCCTGGCTTTGTGGTTCTTGAGAAGAAGATTTTTAAAAGATGCTATTAATTTTTCACTAATTCTTTATTATCTCCCCTTGAAAGTGGGCGTGGCCCTTCATTTGAATAAACTTGAATCCCCTTCACCCAAGGATACTCTGTGCCAAGTTTGGTTGAAATTGGCCCAGTAGTTCTGGAGAAGAAGTTGAAATTGTGAAAAGTTTACGCCAATGACAACGACGACGACAACGACAACGGCGACAGACAACGGACAAATTTTGATCAGAAAAGCTCACTTGAGCCATTGGTTCAGTTGAGCTAAAAAATGAATGTTGGTAGAATTTTGATACAATCTTTAAAAAAGATTATTAGAACATAGTTCTCACCTTTGCATGCTCCGATTGAATGTTGTTTACAAGTTTACGCTAAAAATAAAAGTGGCGTGACCTTGACATGCATGATAACAAAGAAACGGTAGATACAACCTTAAGTTTGTTTTTCCGGCACTTTTATTATGCAGTCTTTTCCTGCTTTGCAGTGCAGTTTAGTTGTCATATCCTCGCTATACTCCAAATTTTCATTAATCTTTCGCTTTATGATACTGATATCTTAAAAGAAACATGATTTTGACTCATTGTGTAACTTTAAGAAATTAAACTGTGTTCTTTGAATTCGCCCCGTTTTCAATTCGCCCACCTGTGATAAAGGCAAAAGGGGCGAAAATAAAACGGGGACGAAAATTTCCCTGTATGCAGTAATTTTAAAATTAAGTACTTTCTTTACAAAATGTCAATTTACTGCATTTAACTTTATTTTCATATCACAGCTTTGTAATTGTTTACTGTGTTTTATTGAAAAGAAAGGTACAGAAATAGCCAGAATGGCCAAAAATCATTTGACATCTATACCTGTGTTAACAACCCCTCCTCCTGATACTGTTAGATTACTGAGAAACCTAATACTTGCCTTGTTAACCATTTTCACCCCTCCTCCAGGTCCTATTCTGACATTCGTCACCGACTTGGTATCTTCAATGGACATGTTACACCTCTCACAAGGCAACAAATCACCTGACAAAACGGAAAAACAGAACGTTCAACAGAAATGTTTCAAAATATTATAGTTCATTACTTGAAAAATCCATCGGTAAAATGAAAGAAATTTCGCTTTCTTAGTGGCATATGAATACACCATCGAAGAATGTTGCCTCTTGTCTTTTACATTGTTGCGGGGTAAGTTCCAAAAACTTTACTAGATGTATGACAAACTACTGCATTTGTTCAATTAATAAATAGAATATGACATCAGCATTACCTGTCTCTTCTGTAAATGAAGTTCCTATAGTGCACCATACTTTAAATCAAATGAATTCACTCAACCGCAAGTGTTTATACCAGGGTTCTCCATAACTTCAAATTTTACTGTGACAAGATTCGCGAAGTGTTTATATTTGCGGTCTTTTCGCGACAGAATTCGTTAACCACTACATTTTATAAATTGAAATCAGAGGCAACAGTTTAATAAACAAAAGGTTATAAATTACAGTCCCTGAAACGTTCTACTTTCCCACTTGAACGGTGAGCGAACGCAGAGCGAACGGTGAGTGAACGATGTGTAAACGATGTGTGAACGCTGAACGTAATTTGGTGAACGGTGAGCGAACGCAGAACGCGAACAGAGCGCAAACGCGAGCGCAAAGTGAACGGTGAGCTCAAGATGAACGATTTATTCGGAATGTCTCCAATCTTTTCCTTACATTGTATGCATTCTATTTTATTCTATTGTTAGGTGCAAAAACATCAATACATCTCCTAAATAAATTAATTTTGGAGTGCCGACATTAGCATACCATGTAAAAAAAATGTTCTGAACACTTCCAGAACAAATGAATAAACACAGGATGAACTTATGCCATTCAGTCAACTGAATGGTCACTGAAAGATCTGGAAAGGTCATTGAATGGTAGAGCTCTGTCATTCAGTCACCTTTCAGTGGACTTTCAGTCACCTTTCAGTCAACTGAATGGCAGAGTTGCATCCTGTGAAAATAAATAAATAATTAAAAATAAATAAATAAACGTTCCCACATTATCGTGAGAAAATGATATGCACATTAAGTACGCCTATTAATTGTGTTGTTACAATTTTTTCTGCACATATATATTATGTTTAAAATAAGCTGTTCAGTCACAAACGATTTATCGCTGTTAAACATTGTTACTAATACATAACTCTGTAACCAAAGTAGAGAAAATTACAAGGATACATGTGTTTCCATACTGAGGCGATTCCGTGTAAAGTAATAAAAAAAAGATTAAAAATGTTTTACAAAGGTATGTGGATGGGTTATATAAATACACACGTATTCTAAAATTTTCTTGCAATTATATATTTATGTGACATTTTTAATTTTAACGATGCTTTTTTTTTTAGCAGACTTCTACTTTAGACACCTCACCCCCGCCCCCTTTCCTGCCCATCATGACATGTGGACAAGAGGATACAGAGGCATTCATATTAATTGTTATAGATTTGAATTTCAGTAATTGATATTTTAGTAATGTGCTGCCATACTTATATATAAACATACAAATTATACAGAGAGAGAGAGAGATTTTCCGTCTTATCCCCCCTCCCCAAATGCATGTACCTGTACAGTGTACCAAGCAAAAATTCCGAAGTTTTATTTTTTTAAATATATCAGGCAGTGAAAAAAGCAATTCTTTATCAACAAATGAATTTGTTTGGCAGTCATACTCGGTTTTTTTTTTCCTTCTTCAAGTTCACACGAAGTCCACGTGCTTGTCCTGTCAATCAAAATCATTTGACACAGTGCTGCCGTAAAAAGTCTCGTCACGCAGAAGGCGAAGTTCTAGTGAACATTTCCAAGGAGTTTAAAACATTTTTTTGATCATTTCTAGATCTGATTCCAACAATAAATAAATAAATAAATAAATAAATAAATAAAATACATTGGAGATAAACACTTGGAATAATTAAGCTGCATGAATTTGATCCTTGCCAATTACCGTCGGCACGTGTATTTTTAACACCATAATGTTGCTTAATGACTATCTTAGATGCATGAACATTTATAAAATGAAATTATAACGTCACAAAACGCATTGACTTCCTTTTTAATGTGAAATAAATTATACAGAAAATACTGACGAAGTGGCAGATTCAGGAAAGGGGGGGTCTCTTAACTATATCGAATGGTAAGTATATATATATAGTTCCAGTGGTGATTGATTTTCCCCCTCTCTTACAATTAATAGACTCTTCTACTATATTTGTAAAGAAGAAAACCTTATACCCTTCTTGCTCCACCAAAAACTTGCTTTTTTTATTTATTTATTTTTTAAGTGTATTACAATTTAAGAAATAAATTTTTAACCACACTATCAATGTACATCGCTCCTTAAATATTTAATCCATAAAACAGAAATAGTTGTAACATGTACATGTATTTCTATAGTAACAAGACGAGAAAAACATGTTAGATATGAATATTTTGGTAATTATTCAGCTGTTGGTTAATGAAGCGACCTGGATTATCATCTCCATATCAATGATTTGTGGTCTTTGACATAAAATCAAAAATTTTACCTGTGTAACAGTCTACGTGAGCGTTGCATGCAGTCTTTGTTTATATAGAAGTAACCGGTCGCTTCTATAAAAAGTAGAAGTGACGTGCCGGCGCTTTGTTTCTTCTGTGGGCGCTTCGGGAAGTCACTCCAGTGTTAGAAGCCCCATTGATTACGAGGCAGATTACTAAATTATTTTGTTTATTTGCGTGCTAGGGAAGCACCCAATATATGTATATATTGTTAATGTAAATAAGTTCCTATCAAATAATCAATTACCTCAGCACAAGACCCAGAGGAAAATTATATACGTGTGAGGCAAACACGATACAAATCTATTCATAAAATGTGTGTTCTACGCAACAAAGCATAAAATTGTATAAATTCACTTTACTCAGTGTTTGGCGCGTCAGTTGAAACTCTTTTGAAAAGTATTTTAAACGCATTTTACATGTATATTCAATTCTGCAGCATAAATATTGGATTATTTCAGATTTTGAAGCTTTTCAGTTTTTATTGGTTTTTCTTTCGATTTCATTTTAAGCATTTCGATCCCGATATTAAATTACCAAATTGGCCAATATGATTTGTAAAGGCATTCAATGGATAGATCGGGAGAGACACAGCTAGCTTTTCCTGCTACATTCTATTTAGCTCACCTGAGCTGAAAACTCAAGTGAGCTTTTCTGATCACCCGTTGTCCGTCGTCCGTCTAGCTCTTTGTCCGTCCGTCCCTCTGTAAACTTTAAACATTTCCAACTTCTTCTCAGGAACCACTGGGCCAACTTTAACCAAGTTGATGCAAAGCATCCTTGGCTAATAGGGAGTTAAAATTTTTAAAATATAGGGCCAAGCCTCTTTAAGGGGATATAAGAGATAAGAGGGGAGATAATCAAGAAAAGACAAAAATAGGGTTTGGTAATTAAAAAAATCTTCTCAAGAACCACCGAACCAGAAAAACTGATACCTATGTGGAAGCATCCTGGGTAATTGTAGAATCTAAATTGCTCAAATTATGACCCCACCCCCACCCCACCCCCACCCCCGAAGGTAGGTTTGGGCCACAATAGGGAATCCAAGTTTTTACATTGAAATATATAGAAAAAAGTCTTTAAAAATCTTTTCAAGAACCACTGGGCCAGAAAAGCTTAAACTTACGTAGAAGCATTCTGAGGTAGTGTAGATTCTACATTGTTTTAATCATGACCCCCGGGGTCGGGTGAGGCCATTATAGGGAATCAAATTTTACATTGAAATTTATAGAAAAAAAATCTTTAAAAATCTTCTCAGGAACCACTGGGCCAGAAAAGCTGAAACTTATGTGGACGCATTTTGGGGAAGTGTAGAATCAAAATTGTTCAAATCATGACCCCCGGGGATCGGATGGGGCCACAATAGGGAATCCAAGTCTTACATTGAGATATATAGAAAAAAATCTTTAATATTTTCTTCTCAAGAACCAGGTTCTCTGGGTCAGGAAAGCTGAAACTTATGTGGAAGCATCCTGGGGTAGTGTAGAATCTTAACTCTTCAAATCATGACCCCGTGTGGTAGCTAGGATGGGACCACAATATGTATTACAAGGAGGAAAATTTGGTGAACAACAGCAGGGCTAAAGTTACTCAGGTGAGCGTTGTGGCCATGGGCCTCTTGTTTTATATTTGAATCCTTATTTGTTCGCCTGTCCATTATTAATTTAGAGTATTATGCTGTGGAAATTCAGGTTGGCTTGTAATTATATAGTTATAAGCATGATAAGATTTTTAATAAATCTGTACAAGTGTTTTATTTTATTTTCAAATTCTACATTATTTCAAATGTCAAGTAAAGCATTCAATTTAGTTAGGTAAAATTAAAAAAAGTCGATAGACTAACATATAAAATAAAACGCAAAGTACAGGCTCTAACGAAGCTTATATGTTACATGCATGATGCCTGTGTTGTTCAGTAAATATTTATTTTTGTATTCTAAAAGTTACAAGATTTAAAATTTTGCAATTGTCATTTATTTATTATCTTAGTTAGGGGGTTCAGTATGACTGTTAAGGATAAAGGTGTCTCCTCCTTTGTCTGGGTGCAGTTGACCGAGACAATCTCTACCAGAGAGCACTTTGCAAGTTTCACGAACAACAGTTAAAGAACTTTGCAAAGCTTCTTCTGGAAGAAAATGCCGACGTGAACATCAACGCTCTTTTTCCCTAAATACATGTAATAATGAAATGATAGTTTGAGTAAACGTCTTTTACAAGATCAGAGGGCGGATCCAGATGGGTGGTGGCCCAGGGAATTCAGACTTATGAAAGTCTTAAAATCAACGAAAGTTGTCCCAAAAAAATTAAATAGAAAATTAATTGTAAAACTGGCCTACAGAATGTTACGTATTAAAGCAAAAGTAGTGTAAATGGGGTGCGAGGTTAGTGTAGGGGGTTTTAAAAGCTGCTGTCTTTCTGACATACTTTCTATTTATCAATAAAAATATGCATTATGACAAAGACAAAGAATTCACAGTAGTACATCCAGTAAATTTAGCTTTACTGCAAGAATTTTTTGAAGAAACAAAACTTTCACATATTTTTGGTGACAGTGTTTTTCCTACACCTGTAAATTTTTCAGTGCCAAACTTCCAGTTTTACAATCATTCTTTCAATCAATTTTTAGTCGCAGATGAGAAGGCTCATTTGAATTTAAAGAAAATGGCAAAAGCTGCTAAAAAGGATGAGAAAGTTTTTAAATCACTAACAGAACCACTTCTTGATGGGAAAATTAATATTGAACAGACATGGCCAGATGTTAATGCAATTTTAATTTTTAGTGGTATAGGATTAGCTATCATTTCATTTGGATTCAGTATATTTTTGTTGTGTAAATACAGAAAATTAGCCTTAGCTTTAACAATTATTCAACAAGTTCAGCAAGTCAAATCACAAACAGTCCCAACTTTTATTTATCAAGCACCAGCTCCTACAGTGTCTACCAAAAGTCATTTTGATTTGTGGTTGGGATCAGAATTAACATGGGTTCATGCTTCAGCCACTCTTTCGGCCATTTTGTTACTCATTTTGGGACTCATTTAAATTTGGGTATGGAAATCTAAATCCTGTGGTACTTATATTTCAGTTGAATTAACCTCAGGAGGACAATGTGTTTTAGTTCCCTTGATGCATTTGTCATTGTGCCCATCAAATTACTTGGTCCAGATTCCTAAAATTCAAGATGTTACAATTTCTGGTTATTTTTCATGCAAATTATCTCTTCTTTGGACATCTTCTTCAGTAATTGATAAAAGAACTGATGTTTCAATGATTATTCCTCGGGTGGTAACTGTAAATCCTTTCACTTTGTATAAACTAAAGAAAATTTTGGCCCAACCTTTCAGTGCCCTCATTGTTCTGGTTCATCAAAATTATGCTTATGTTTTACCCAGACCAGTTGATAATCAAGTTAAGCCCTTACTTCCAGTGCCATGATCACATTTTTTTTTCTTTTTTAAGCAAGATTGGCTTATTTAACATAGTTTCATTTCAAAATTTTTTAATTAGATCTTCATGTGCTCTACTATGGTATTAAGAGTTGCTATACTCAGCATATCATGTACATTTTTTATGATTCTGATATCAACTATTGTTTTTTTTTTCTTTATGATTATTGTCTTAATTTTTCTGCATTAATGATCATATGTGATTACATTTTGATATACTCAGGGACTTTCTTGCTCATATACTTATGACTATGGAACCCAGGATCCGAAAAATTCATTTACGACAATTCGCGCATGAACAATTCATGTCAACCTCGTCGATACTATATGGATGTGAAATCATGGACATTTAATGTGACTTTTAGAGAGTGAAACACTTCTGAGTGATTAGGGACTTTCTATACAAACACTTTGAGTAATTGAATATGCAGTTGTACATAAATGAGTTTTGTTCATTTTCCATTTGTATCAATGATGATTTGTGTTGTGTAAGAATATTAGTTTTTTTTTACAGGTTTAAGTAGTGATGTTAGAATTTTTTTCTTTTTCATATTGTAGCGAATAGGTTTTTGGTAGTCAATAGTTTTTATTTTGTATATTTTTACATTTTTCCTTCTAAATTTGAGCTTCCGGGGTCGAAAGCAATTACAGCAGGGGGGAAAGTAGTCATAATGCATATTTTTATTGATAAATAGAAAGTATGTCAGAAAGACAGGTCATGTTGTATAATGTTAAAAATGAATTTTTAAATGAATTTTTTATATTAATGATTTGAAATTTTATTTTATTTCATATAATTTACAAAAGATAGATTTATTTTACAATAAAAAAAAATGAATAAAAATGCAAAGAATTTTGAAGACAAACTTGTCAGCTTAATCAAGTACAAAAGAAATTGTTAAATGTTTTTACATGTCAACAGATGTACTAAGTTTTGCTTGATTGCAGTGTCCAGTCTTTTGTTGTCAAAAACCTTTTTGCTAATTGACTCTGGTCAACAAGTAAATAATTTAATCTCACATAAAAGAAGGGAAATTGACTTTCTGGCATAGGTGTTATTTCGGTACTTTTTGAGCTTTAGTGGTCAGCCTAAATTGTTTACATAAGTATTTAGCAATTTACCCTCTTGGCTATCTTTTTGTTTAATTGGTTCTCGGGTAAGGACAAAGAAACCGAGTGCGCATTCACTTTTGCGCATTACCTACCTTTTTGGAAGTTTTTACTTATATGGTTAATTTTCACACTTTTCGGACAATTTAGTTTTTAATTCTAAATTCTGATTAGCTAATATCTACAACCCGCAGTGTGGGTCTCCGTATGGAAAGTGGCCCGACTCTCGGTCATTCCATGCAGAGACGCCACTGAATAAAGACTTAAACTTATATTTGAATCATTTTCATTTGGGTTGTAGGCAGTTACACTTTTGAGTGGTCCTCCGACACTCGTACAGGACTTGTGTGTCTTATAAGGAAAAAAGACGCACCTGTCACTGCCTAAACGACTTAGTGGGGAAAACGCCCCCCCCCCCCCCTCGCCTTTTCATTAAATCCTAGATCATCCTGATGTGAGCGGCTACTGACTTTTGATGGAATTATGGTATATAAATTTGAACATAAATAATTAAACTTTTCGTTTTTTTTTTTATTTCAGTCACAAAATAATGCGAGAACCTGCATTCATGGGGTCGTTTTATCCCCAAACTCTCCACTCCCATGTTGAAAAACTATCAAAACGTATGGATCAACTGGCCAAATCGGTTAAAGATAATGCTGAAATCCTTTTCTTATACAATATTTCGGTTTCCCTAATGCTTTAAAATGTTGCAGCCGCTAAAATTTTTACCACTCCGAGTACTTGCGCCTACTATCCTTCGCGTTGCATCACCAAGGAATGCCCAGTTGCACAGATGTCTATTAATTGAATATATATATATATATATATATATATATATCTACACCTATCGAATCTCATATAGACTATTTTTATCCTGATTGAAAATAATTTTCAAAAACATTAGCAGTAAGATTCTTCACCACTTGGTTTTAATCGAAAGTTAAAAACAAACCCTGTTGAATGCAACTCGCTTGATTGTTATATGCTTTTTATCATATGAAATTAATTTCTCTCTTCACAATTGTCGAAGTCTATTAAAGATCAAAGTAAGATTTAATTCGGTAGAACAAAAAGAAAAAAAAACAGTGAAACAAAGTAAAACTGTTTTGATACAAACACACTTCGACAATTGTGAAGAGAGAATTAATTTCATATGATAAAAGAATATAACAATCAAGCGATTAGCATTCAACAGCGCGTTGTCTTTAACTTTCGATTAAAAAGTGGTGAAGATTACTGCTTCAAATGTTACTAAAATAAATTTTTTCACACCCTCTCAGTGATCAAAACATGTCGTCTATGGAGATTCCGATAGGTGTAGATGTCATATATCTATCTATTTCTTCATCACTATCAGACATCTGTGCAACTGGGCATTCCTCTGGTGATGCAACGCGAAGGATAGTAGGCGCAATAGTACTCGGAGTGGTAAAATTTTTAGCGGCTGCCAAACCTTTTGTAAATCGTGGGAAAACTTCTGTAGGCTTCGAGCTGCCTATATCATCATATGATTCGCGCCTTTCCGTTTCTTGTCCATTGTTAATCGAAGCATTTTCAGCAGTTTCCAGAATGCGTGATTCGCCTGATTTGGTCACTAGGGGGCTTTCGTCAATTTCAGTTTTATGCAGACATGTTTCTATGGTAGGACTTCTATTCTTACCGTAACCGACAGCTCCCTGGAAATGCGTATTTCTTTGGATTTCTACTTTTGGAGTCGAAGGATCAGAATAAGCTAAGTTCTGAAAGCAAAAGGTTTCCTTTGGGCTCGGTTTGGACTGCAATTTCTCAGAATCTTTTATCTTTTCCAGACCGCATGTTTTATCTGATTTTGGCACTGTGGGACTTTCGTCAATTTCAGTTTTATGCAGACATGTTTCAAAGGTAGGACTTCTATTCTTAGCATAACCGACAGCTCCCGGGAAATTCATGTTTCTTTGGATTTCTACCTTTGGAGTCGAAGGTTCAAAATATGCTAAATTTTGAAAGCAAAAAGTCTCCTTTGAGCCAGATTTGAACTGCGATTTTTCAGAGTTTAATACCTTTGCCAGATTATTTTGCGCTGAATGAAATGGGCCAAATTGTTCGTCATCCGAGGAATCATTTTCAGAGATGTCTGGCGAGTAAGCAGCATTGTCGTGCTCAGATGGATACAAAAATGGAACCCTTTTCATTGGTTTCTTCTTTTCTGAATTTTGCAATATCTTTGCATAGAAAGGTTTTTCTTGGTATAACAGCTTCTTATTAGTGTACAAATTATCTGTATGACCGGTGCTTCTAAAATCATTTCCTTCAATGTTTTTCTTGTAATCTTGACCATTGTTATCCCCAATGAATGTGAATGATCCTTTTCTTGAAGTTTCCTGTGATGTTATGAAAGAACTATACGGTGGCATTTTATTCTCGGTGTTTTGAAATTTGCAGTCAGTGGCAATTGGCGCTGAATTCTTGTATTCAATTCTGCAACAACAGAGATTGAGAAAATATACTTAGGTGTACAAATATGTAACCAAGAAGAAAAATCGTCTGAATAATTGTTTTTGAAAGCTCGTCGGTATAAATTATACGTTAATAGTCAAAAATATAAAGGACTTCAAATGCATATATCATCGGGAAAAAATGATAACTAGTATTTTTTCTTAAATTGAGCCTCATATTGTCAAGATAACGATGTTTATATTGATAAGTTTTCTATTTTGAATTTTGACAATATCTTAACATTCTTATATACATGTACACGTGTATTTCAACGTCCGATTTCACATGGAGATGTGTAAAAAAAAAAAAACGAGAAGACATCAAAGCTTAAGTTTATTAAAAAATCATTCTGATCAAGCAAAAAAAAAGTAATAATAATCATGTGCTTTGAATACAGTCGGGCTTCGTGAATACGGACAGTCGAGTTCAAAAGCAAATTATCTAGATTAATGAAACCTCTGGATTAATGAAACGAACGATTATGCATTTATGGGTATGAATATAAATTATGTTCCACAATGTTCATTCGGATTAATGAAGTTCCACTATATATGAATAATATCAAAAGGTATAAATTTCAAAGTCGGCATTGTGGCACAAAAAGTTAATATTGTTTTGGCTACAGAATAATAACTACTCACAATTTAGCAGTGTTGGTGTCACTGAAAAAGAAAAGGAAATTTTAAATGGTACAATGCATAATTAAAAATAACTGAAATATTCAGTGAAAATGTCTAAAAAAAATTACATGTATAATTATGTACTTACAAGTCATCAAATGATTCATCTTCATCCGGTGACAAAGGAGTTGTTACCCTGAAAAACGCATACATACATGCCGTAGATAAAACAATATAACATGACAAGAAATTTATTTTAAAAAATTATATAAAGGCAGCATGTAAAATTTAAACTCATTTACCTGTATGGCTTTGTTTTGCACCTGAAGAATCGATACAAGATGACAACCAGAATTATGAACAATATTGCAGCAACAATCAAAGAGACCAGAGCTTCTGGTTTGATGACACATTCATAACTGTTGATTTTGTCTTCACAGTTGAAGAGATCCCCGCACGGTTGTTGCTGACACTCATTAATTTCATTTTCACACCACATACCCGAGTAACCGGGATCACATAGGCATTTATAAAAATCAAAAGAATCAGCTCTGGAAATGTCTTGGCAAGATGGAGAGGTGTTGAATTTAGGGGAACAAACGCCATAGACACAGGGAGACCAAAGGATGAAAATATGTGTCTCCAAACGCTCGGTATAATAGCTGTGACTATCAAAACCAAGAATGTAGTAATAGAAGTCACCGTGGAAGTTTTTATTGATAGCCATTTCTGCTGCATATCCTTGTTTTGTCTTCATCTCTTTATGACCAAATGTGTCATTTAGGAACCATGCATTATCGGTGCTCGTTGTGGTTATATTGACATCTTTGGTGTTAGTTAGGCTTGATATGAAAGAAAGAGTTTCATTCTCATCAACATCTGCAAAGCCAAAGTCAAACAGGTAATTGGATGTCGAATTGCCTTCGAAAATTAGGGTTAAACTTTTATTTTCCTTTACGTCATATGAAGTGTAATTATGATGAAAACCAAACATCGGCATGTCATTTACTTCATTGACTTTAATCCAAATGATTTTCTCGGTCGTTGCTGGATATTTTGCATTGTCTGTTAGTGTAATCCTAATGCTATCCTTGCCAAAGAAATCTGGTTTAGGGTAATAGGTCAAGCTACCATTCAAAGTCAGATTTGCAAATCCAATATCAGAATTTTGAAGAAGATAAAATTGAACAGAATCCATTTCATCATCATGGTAAGGTATTTGGAAATCAATGATCGGTGTATCTTCCGTTGTCAAAATAGTATCGATATCGACTTCAGGTGGTGAATTATAAAAGGACACATTCATGACCACTAGTGTAAATTGGTAAGGGTTTGTGACTGTTACTGCAGGAGATCTTTTACGTCTTGTTAACATCTGGAATGTCTCTTGGCATATCTTCAACAAAGCAAAAATATGAAGTAAGGAGTAAGATGCAGACCACTCAGACTATTGCTTGTGTAATGAATATACACTTTAAATTGATTTTATATGGTTTGATATTTTCTGGAGAAAACGTTACCTTTGCTTTATAAATATTTCCTTCTATTGTTGGATCTGTTATATCTCCTCCACAGTTTTCCCCTACGTGTCGCCATATACCGTGCCCTGTTGGAAATTATTATTAAAAAGTGCATTTATCGTAAATATATATGATAGTACAAGATTCGTTTTGAACGTTTATAAAGAGGAAGTAATAAAAATATTAAAAATCTTAGTGGTTTGGTTTTTGATGTCTACTACTCATTGATTACTATCAACTAAAACAAACAATATTTTTACTATTAGAATGTATCAATCAGTGCCTCATAAAACTATCTCCCTTGATTCAAGTGCATATCTTCGATAAAATTTGAACTACGTTTTCCATACTTTTTGTATCTGAGTTGAAGGTGTACGCATCCCAAATTAAAAGAGCAGGAACTGTAGAATTATCAAAATCATTCAATTGTATTCTGATGTCAACATCAATAAATTCCATATCTATGGTAGGGGTTGGTGCAATGAAAAAGTTGACTTCAAGAGGTTTCACAATCCTACAACATAATTAAAACTTTTATATAAAGAATAGTTTCAGGATAATACTGGTACTTCTAATTTAGAAACATAGAGTCTTTTTCAAGGCTTTTTTAAAAACTTTCTTTCTTATGTTTTCCTTGAGACATTTTCCCCCAAATACCCATTACCTATTTCGAATTTCACGTCTTGATGGCCAGTTTGTGGTATTTGGATTGGTAAGGTAAGATCTGAATTCAAAGGACGAAGCTGTTCCATACTCTGCTTGCAGGTCGGACTCGGATAAAGAACCAACGGAAACGCCAGTTATTTGACCTGAATGATCATTAAACTAATTAAGCAAAACAAATCAGTAAATAAATGGATAAAAATGAATCAAATAAAGCAATTTCTCAATGCAAAATTCATATCAGTTTTAAGAGGGATAAATACCTGTAATACTTATAACAATTGCTTCATTTCCATTTATCTGTGGTATTTCCTCAAATCTGTCATTAGATAGCCATGCAACTGTTGTTATATTATTATGTTGATTATTCAAAAACAAGTCATTGTTCTTCCCTACAAATTAAAAAAGTTTTATTTCAATATGAAAAAGCTGTAATTTTACTAGTAAAAATTCAAAACATTTAAAATTAAAATTATGTTACCCCTTTATCAAAGTTAATCATTTTTTTTTCAGATATTTTCCGAATATAAAATGTAATATTATGACAAAAGGGTCTTGTTTTTCCAGAGGAGTTCCAGATAATATGTAGCTGTATAGTAAGAAACTTTCTAGCAATTATATTTTTCTAAACAGGTGATTAATGTCGAAGTAATTACGCTTAAAACACATTCTTTGGGATGAAATATTTGCCTCCAAACTGGAATATCCAACAGCAATTAGAGACAGAAACACGCATCGTCCAGGTTCCATCCGGAAGCGGAAGTCGCTTTCTGTTTTGTTTATTTCTGATTCAGTTAAGTTTCCCCAAGTTCCTGGGTCGAGAGCTGCTAAAGATTTACCAGTTTTATTGCCGTTCAACCACAGTTCACCGCTAATAACTTCTGCAGTCCCTTCTCTTGTAAGACCTATTATAGTTGGTGGTATAATGTCTCCCCCTCCTTCATATGTCCCCATTTGCCACTCTACAAGACAGAGAAATACCGTGTCAAGATATTATCTAAATGGAATATAGATTGATTTTAGCTCGTCAAAAGGAATACTTACTGTAGTAATCGGTATCATTTCCTCTGTTGTTCCAGCTAATTCCAAACCGATCTAAAGAGTCTGCAAAAACTGTCCCTGTCGTTTGATCTCTCTCAGATGAAAGCAAAATGTTCGAATCTACATCGGAAACGTCTGGTGGAGTAAGAATTGTCGATACATTGCAACTATAAACTGTGGAAAGGCCGGCACCATTAAATATAACGAGGTTGACAAAATACGTTTTCCTGTCTTCAAAGTAAACATTATCATCCAGAGATATTTTGATTTTGGAAACAGCTCCTATATCTTTTTCCGATGCCATATTTTCGTCTTCTCTGTGTCCACTATCAGTCGTTTCCGTTCCCACCTTAACATAGGCTTTTTTAATTCCACTTATATTATCTTCACACAACCAGTACGCTCCAATGGTCTTATTAGATCCCAGTTTGTCTGTCGGTGCATCCATCCCTGTTACGTCAGGGTCCAAACAACGAATATATTCACAAACAGGTGGTGTTTTGTCGACGATAACTGGATTTGTAATAGTTGAAACTGCCTGTCCAGCAAAGTTAACCATCTTCACGTTAACATAATATTCGGTCATGTTAACGATTTCCGTCTTAACACTTGCGTTTAAACCATCGTTGGAGACAATTGTTGTCTTCAGATCTAGATTGTCTAACGTGAGAGGAATTATCTCAAATTCCGAGAGACTTTTGTCAGAGAGTGAACAGTTTACATCACAACTGAAATTGCAATTGAATAAGCAAGGTGTACACATCTTTTTATGCAATTCCATTTTCCTGACATTTCCGTAACTCTCTATGTTATCAGAAATCCCAGTCCATATTTCGGAAATCCCACTTTCACCATCATAAAAACCTTTTCCAATTAAGCAGTCCATTGTTGCATTAGTAGGTATTTTCAATTTTGATAGTACAGCCTGAGACCGATACGGATGAATTGGGTCAGTTATTGGTTCCTCATAGTCTTCAAAATTCCATGTTTGGACGAAAATGCTTAAGTCGATGGCATCAAATGAAAGCCCATAAATATTTGCCTTAATATCTCCATTAATGGAGAATTCCAAGTCCCACACTATTTTGTTTTCAGAATTCCTTCTCTTCGTGCGAATACTGTATTTTTGCTGATTTTCAGATGGGTCATTGTCTATTTGGGTCCACCTATGAAATTCTTCATTATTACCTTTTGCCCAGAACAAAACATCCCATCCCTTACTTCCATTTTGTTGATCACCTAATACTTGAAAACCGAAGCCATTGGACGCATCTGTATTGAGAGTTTCATAGGAAGGTCCGGTAACAGAAACCATGACATCAAGAGTAGAGCTAGCCAATGGCCTTGCTGATGTCGGATTTTCGGTAGAGCTGGAAGAATATGAATAATTCGACATTTCATGTTCTGTTCCAGAAAAATTGAAGCTGACTCTGTCAAAGTTGCTTGGTTGTGGTCGTGTAAATTTTAAAGGAAAATATGGATTATCTTTTGAACTTGATATGATCAGTGCAGTAGAGATGTTCTTTCCTTTTGCTGCCGATAATGTACTTGAATATACTCCTTCTTGTAATGCTCCCATCCAGCGTGAAATTCCACTTTTCAGGACTTTTGTCAAGGGGGTGTTATATCCTACATTGAAAATCCATCTATATTTTTCTCTTATCACATTTTGTGTCGAGAAATCTCCTGATAAAGGGATCCATGCTAGGTTCTCTTCCGAAGGGAAGAATGTTTTCGTATTATCACATACGTATACATCTTCTGTTCTTGCAATTGCTGTCAAAGCTGTGATTCTTGATGTCGAAGATTGATACGATGTCTTCTCTCCCCAGTTATTTCCAATAATGGCTGATCCTTCATGTGGTGATCCAGTATCGAATAGCATTACTGGACTTACCAAGTGCGATTCCAGACCAGCATTGTTGTTTGCTGTTACGTCAATGTAATAATATCTCTTAGATTCTAAACTTAAACTTATCATGTTCACCTTTGTGTCGTTTTTAGCGACCGTTTCTTTCACCACATGAGAGGATGATGACTGAGTTCCAGAAGATGGACAATCCAAATATTGATTTAGACGAAAAATAACTGTATCAATTCCACTCTCAGGGTCCTCTAAATCAAGAAGTTTTATTTCTATTCTATTTGGATTTGTCACGAAGAACTTTTTTCGTCCAGTTACATTCCAACCATTCACGAGGAAGGTCACATTACTTCGAATAGGTGCAGTAGTATCAACAAGGATAGGCAAACTCTCCGACGAGGAACACATTCCGATTTCATCTCTAGCAATGACAGTCACATAATAGGACATTCCATGATTTAGAGACAGGTTTTTAAAAGTTTGAATAGTGTCCAGTCCTACTTCCTTTGGTGAGACTATGTCAAACCGAGGAGAAAATGTTTGAATATCGGAACATGGATACGTTTTATTACTTTTAAAGACTGGTATGGTAGATATCGCTGTGTAATATTCCTTGATACCTATATCGGAATCGAATCCACTCCATGAAACTGTCATTTCACTGGTACTTGATTGTACGTCATTTGTTTCAATAAGCCCTGGTATTATGTCTAGTCGGTATCCAACTCTAACTCCATTGGAATAGCCTTCTTCGAAGGCCCCAGTTATACTATAACCTCTTACCGTGATGTAATACCGCACAGTTTTCGATGTAAGGTTTAAACCCGAAAATGTGTAGCTTGTATTTAACCCGACATTTGTAAAGTAATGTATATTAGTTCTTGTTATATGGTCTCTTGTATCATCTCCAATAGAAACCTCGTAATGATCTATTTTCTGTGTAGGATCTCCAGAAGCCTCATTACCAAAAGCGTCCCAGTTTGCTGAAAGTTCCGCCAGAGATTCCTGGTATTTGATGTCCTCTGAACCAAGTCCATCTCTTACGATTCCAGAAACAGGTGGCTGGATTCTAACGGTAATACCATCGGATTTTCCCTCTTTTGTCCGATTAAGAGCGTCCGTAATTTTTACTTTAACAAAGTACAAATAATTATTTTGCAAAATCAATTGGTCGTTGAAGAAAAAAAGTCCATTCCCAGGTACAGCTGTGTTATTTTGGATGACTTTTCCAGTCAGGTCCTCTACCGACCATTCAGCCTTTATTATCGGACAATTGTCAGAGTAGCGGTATGACCCTGTAATCAATAAAATCCAATTTACACGATATTCAAAAGTAAACTACTTTATTTGAAAAAAAAATCTTGTGGTTTGTATTTTAGTTTTATAAATAATAACTATCCTACCTTGAATTACATTTAAACTTGCTTGGAAATCAGCATCTATGTCGCCTTTTCCGTCAAGAACATCAATTCTAGGATCTGGGCTGACTATAATGGGTTCCGACGTCAAGACACTGTGGAGTCCAACTCTGTTGTACGCCCTTACAGTGGCGTATATCTTGGTTCCAGCCGAGGCGTAGATATTATCAATGGTCATATAATTGTTTTCCATGTCTTGATATGCCTTGATATTGTCGGTTGCCGGCTCGCTTCCTAAACAGATCTCAGCCCTACAATAAGGATAAAGAAATAATTTTAATTGAAATTAGCTCCATCTCGAGGGATTGTAGATGCCCGCATTAATTTACTTTTATCTATATACAAAGGCAAACTAATAGTTTACCTATCTATTTCGGATTCTTTGTCCTCTATAGCAGACACATTAACATCTACATAAGTCCAGGGTAGCTGACAAATCTGCTTAACATGTTCCTTAAGAGGGTTTGTCCAGGTGACGAATTCTACTTTTTCTATATTTGGTGCTGTATAGTCGATTGCAATTCTAAACGTTTTTGTTGAAGAGAGATCCATCACGTTTGATGCAGTCAGAGAGACATAAATATATGAGAGATTGTTCAAATTTGAAAAGCTCTTCACATCAGTAGTCCACTTGCTTTGATATGTAGGAAGTGTTATGTTCTGAATCACGTCTTCCAGAATTTCTTGGGATCCAACACAGATAGATATTTGTTTTAACTTACTTTCTTTCTCCATAATTTGCCATGAGCAATCAATGGAAGACTGTTTGGTAGATATTATATTTGTGCACGTTAGATTATTTATTGTCGGTGGTGAGATGTCTGCAACAATTGGCAGTGAAGTTGAGGAAGTTAAAAATCCAACGTTATCCTTTGCAAAGACATTCACAAAGTATGCAACACCAGTTTGCGTTGAAAGAACACCTGGTGGAATTTTCGACTCTGTAGATAAAGATGAAGGCAGTACATCATTTGTCAGTGGTTTCAATCCAACCGAATAATTTTCAAATTGCAATTCAGACTGATCAGTAACATTCCATTTGTATTCGAAAGAATCGACGTACGATTGAAAGAGACACTGAGACTCTGAGTCGTAAAAGTGGCCCTCATTGTTTTCTGGCACTATACTTGTAATTTCAGGAGGGCTAAAGTCAGTGGTTATTCCATCTGATGTTGATACAATGAATTCTTCGTGACAGTTATGGCCCGTCTTTGCTCTGACTGTAACATGATATGCTTGATTTTCGTTCAGTTGTACATGGGTTTGTGCTTTGCGATGGGTTTTGTTGTGAACAATGCCATATTCTGTATATTCATTTATATCAGAATAATAAGGTTTTGATCCGATCGCCCATTCATATTTAACAATGTTACACGCTTCACTTGAAAATCCTTGGAAATGCATGGCAATACTGAATCTGTCGTTTGTATTATCTTCATCATGGAAAGGTTCTCGACCATCAAAAATAACCCCTGGTACATTTTCTTTCAAGATCTTTATTGGTTTTGAATATAGTGGAGAGGATAGAATACCGGCACCATTTTCAGCCTTGACAGCAACATAGTATATTTCACCAGATTCAGAAAAGGTTGAAAGAGAGGCTTCAATATCTGCAGACGTTTTTGTTTCCATGTCAATATACCCATGCGTTACACTTACGTCACCCTGACTTGTTCCTATGGCAACATAAAATTTTTGTATATGACTTTCGGGATCATCGCCAATCCAACTTACTCTGATAGATTGTGAATTAGCATGCTGCACATATCCATCCTCAACTTCCTCATCCTCATCTAACAAACCTATGTGAACCTTAAAGAAAAAAGATACTTTTAGATTATCTTGCAAAATTGATAAAACTAAAACATTCCAAAACCAATGCTTATCCTTCAGTAAATATATTAAAGTATTGGTAGCTAGATTAAAATAAATGAAATATCAGTATGTGTGTTATAAATTTCACCTTAACCATGATTGGAGGAGTTGGGTCTATGGTTACGCCTTCTGATTCGTGTGCTGTGGAAAGGTGTGCTACATTTATTGCTATCACATGAACTGAATAAGTAGCACCTATTAAAAGATGCTTATTTAAATCTATAGCAGTAGTACCCATGCTGGAATTGGGAAAAGCAGTTAGGAACGTCTCTGTCTTTGGCCAAATACGTTTCTTCATTCCATGCAAGGATTCCAAAACTGCATAGCGATATTCTTTAATCCCTGATTCCTCGTCCTCAAATTGCCATCTTAGATTCAGAAGGTTTTCATTTGTCTGATACCTTCTTTTGTGAATATTGTCTTGAATGAATATCAAATTTGGGGGCGTATGGTCGATGATGTATCCATCTGTGATAATATTCTCGGATAGGCCAGCTTTGTTGAAACTGTCAACTTGGAAATGAACTTTATCTTTGTGATCCATGCTGATAGAATGATCTACAAAAGTTGTCTCTTTTGTAGATTCGAATGTCTTAATCTTGGCATCGTTTATATAGACCGTCACGGCGTACTTTTCTATGCCAGACTCTGGATCAGAAAAATTATCCCAGGTTACAAATTTAGTAGCTGTCTCTGAGGAGAATGATATATCTTCAGACAAATCAGGACCATCAACTGCATAACCCGAAAGTGGGGGTGTTGTGTCAATTAACACTGAAAATTAAAAGAAAATGAATTATATAAAAACTTACTGTTACACTAACTTTTATACTCAAAGATATAACTCTCAGGAAAATGTATGCAAACCCGAGGTTTGACATTAGAACTTTAATAATTTCATCTTTCTTTTATTTGAGTATAAAGACAATGGGAGCAGATGCTTTTATAGCGTGTTTTATTTCAAATAATAACATAAGATACCTCCATTAGAAGTACTGTTAGAATCTTTGGAATTTAAGGCTCCATTGAAGACTATGACAGTAGAAAAGTAGCGTGTATTGTGCCGGAGGGCGATGTCAATACAGGAATGTCTTGTGTTGTGGGAAAAATTACGGAAATTCATGATGTTGTCTTTTCCAGGAATGGTTCCTATACCCCAACGGAAACTAAAAATAGTAACAATAAGTGTTCAAAATGTATCTGATGAACTCAATTCTTTATAGCAAGGAAGCTATATCATCTTTTATCTCCTAAATTCAATGATTGTAATATTGACTACTGATTTAACAATTTATAGAATTAAGGGCTAATTAAAATTTTAAGCATAAAATATAAAACACAAACTGGTCAATGCCAGACTCGGGGTCATAAAAGGCTGTCCATTGGGCACAGAGCTGTTCGTCGTTTGATTGGTAGGTCAAATCATGATGTACGATATAACCATCCAGTACTATTCCAGCCACAGGAGATGTTCTATCAATCAAAATGGGCTCAGGACCACTGCCAGCTTTAAATAAGCCCACTGGAAAAAAAATTGTTCCCCTTGTAAATCAAACTTTAAAGCATATTTATTTGTATAAAACGAACTGTTATTGTTCAATCAAAAAGAGTATACCCGTTTGTTTAAACGTTATTTTCTCTTCTATAAAAATAGATATCAAAAGGAATAAAACGCGATAAAAATTGACAGGGTAAAAATATTAATCTGGATGTTGTGGGTTCCGAAAGCTTGCCGACTAGGAGATAAATTTCTAATGCTTTTCTTTGAATCTAATTGTTAAAAATGTGCCTAATCCAAAAATGTTATCTAATTTTGCCAATTTCTATGGAGCAAGTGTCCAGATTAAACAAGTTTTATTGTTTTAATTTCTATATTTAACACATTACCGCCATTATCAACTCGCACTCGAGGCCAAGCCGGAACTCCCTCCTCTAAATCCAGCTCTTCAATGACAATGAACGGAGCATCTTTCCCGTTCATTGGCTCGTGATATGAATATTTTCTGACAAGAACATCATATTTTGTTTTCCCAAGTCCAAAGTCGACGCTTCTAAGTAAAGACTCATTATCACCAGCTTTATAATATATCGCAAGCATATCGAAGTGTTCATCGAAATAGATTTGTTCAACTCCATCAAAGAAAGGTGGTGTTGTGTCCACGGTGAGGGGATTGCTGTGACAAACAGTTGTAACCAGTGAACCACCAAACACCACGTTGTTAAGGCACTGGACTGTCATGAAGTATTGTCCATCCTTAAATCAGATGTAACAATTGCAATTATATTAATTTACACACAAAAAAAAAGAATGCACAAAATTAAAATCATTTTAGGGAAACCATACCTGTAAAAACATATTTTTCTCATAACCACTGTGTGTCCAGTGTTTAGAGCTGTGAAGAAATTCGTGTGGATCAGAAAAATTAACTACATCTTGATTACAAACTGATTTTCCAACAGCCCACGTGTACTGATAAATCCCAGTTTCATCATCATGAAAGCCGTCAAAATTGACTGAAAAGTATATTCAAGGCGCAGGTTATACCATGACTTCCAATATTTAATTTTGAATTGATCATCCATCAACCACCGATAGCTTAAAATTGTCTACGGCTTTTCCTACTTTAATTTGTTAAAAATAGGATTACCAAAAATTGAAAATTTTATTATTTTGAATTTTTAACATCACATATACAGACAACTTAAGTAGTTTATTTTCAGAAACCAGTGAAATTTGCAAATCGAAGGTATTATGAATAATTCATTTAAGAATAAAATACCCTTTTAAATTTTTAATCCAATTTGAAGTTTGATTTAACCAAAAAAGTGAATGAAGATCTATCAAATGCAACATAAAAACCCTTTCCTGTGCATGCTTTAATTGTGCACTGTTCAATATAGATATGAAAAAACTACCTGATATATAGTGATTTGATCTTGTATACATTTTATCCTTCAAGGGCGTGTGTCCATTGAATACAACTGATGCCCCTTTCCCATCAATTATATATCTAGAAAAATAATAGGTGATATGATTAACAGTCTCATATAATCTTAAAATAATTTAAATTGGCATAATATTTTTCATACCTGTGGTTATCCTTCCAGGTTACTTCGACACAGCGTTGTGCAACAGATGCTTTGCATCTATCTGCCAAGAACGTTTCATTAAATTCTGTGCCTAAATTTCCAGTACTTGGTGGAGAAAAATCGACCATTGTTCCAATAGAATGAAGGTATGCAACATAATCAAGAACGTTAACTATCCTGGCATTGATAAAATACGTAATGCCGTGTTCCAAGGGAAGATTCTCAAATCTTTCATAGGAATTATGTCCAACCCCAAGTCTTTCATAATTCATGTATGTACCACTTTTTCTTAACTTAGCACTCGGACCCTCGACAACAGTTTGCAGTTCACAAGATTCTGTGAAGTAAGCATAATCAAACGAAACGCATTTCTTCCCTGAATTAATGCACTTTGTTGCACAGTCCTCTGGTGTATGCGTAATATGAACAGTAAAGGGTGTACTTGTAAGTTTGCCAGTTTTTGGAACACTGAAGTGTTTCAGATCATTTGAAATTCCTGTTCTGTGTGTGGACAACTCCAGAGAAAGATTCTTCCAAGGTACAATTTCGCTTCCATACATACCGGAGCTATATCCTACAGCCTGGCTTTGAACTTTTTTCAGTTCAGAATCCTCAAATACATTTATGATAGCAGTCAAGACGTTTGGATGGGAGCTATATATATAAGAGGGGTCTACTCGCCCATCTGGCAATGTGTTATCATACGTAGGTAGCATGCAATACACACGGGCATCAGTGCCTTGGCTGTTGACTGCTTTTACAGTCCAATATAAAGGTATTGCATTTGGCAAATCATTTGTTGCAATTAGCATAGAAAATCCACCCATTTCTGTGAAATCTACAACATTTGTACCTCCCTGATGTGTCCCGATAGCATAATATAATTTCAGATTACTTTTATCATCGTCTGCAGCGAACTGTAGTTCATATGCCGGGTCTTTATGGTTTCGCCCTGGAATTTGTCTGAGGAGACATTTATCTGTTGTTTCTCTTTTTCGTCGATTTCCTTGATTAGAAACACCAGGAGCAGAAAATTCTGGAGGCGAGGTGTCTTTCTCATCTTTTATATTTGTGAAGACATTCCCATTAATTGGTCTTGTGGAGTATGTCCAAAGCGTTCCTCGGAAAATTGTGATAGTTTTTTTAAAGCATTTCCAGAAGCAGATTTTGATTTCTAGAACGCAGTATGCCTCCAGTTTCAGACGCACTGGATAAAGAATAAGATCCAAGCTTCCTCTATAAATTGACAAATTGTGCTTTTATTTTCAAACATTGATACTTGTTTCCAATTTTAAATATGAAACTCTGTTGTAAAATGAACTTCTAAATGCAAAGGATTTTTTTGGGGAGAACAGTTTTAAAGATGTGTTTTACAGATATGTAATACAGAAAAATAAAAAAAAATCTTTGTCATTAGTTCAGTTTAATCGACATTAAAATTGCAAATATAGCCAAGCCAAATTTTGCAAGAAGAAACTAAGCCTCTGCCAATAAATTCTATGCTGTAAACTCATTGCAGCTAGGTTGTAATTTTCAATGAAATTGAAATGATTTATATCCAAACGTACTTTTAAAAAAGAAAAAAAGTGTTATAAATGTGCCTAATTTAATATATCGTATTTATAAATTTTGTTACTTATTGAAAATATCTCTTAAACCTTCAATCTTTACATTTCGTATGGTAAATTATTAAATAAAAAAATTATTGAATGTGATCAAATTGATATAAATTCAATAAATATATGTGTTTTGTTTGAATCTCTTCACTCGATTTATTTTCCTTCATCAGTCATAGTTTCAGAAATGTTGCCCTGACGGTCATTATATAAATTACAATGAATTTCGATATTCCTTCTGAAACGGCAAACATTACAACTTTTAAGAATAGCTTAATAAATCATTTATCCTACCCATTTCTCAGGAATTGTTTAATTTTTAGTTCAGCTCATCTTTAGAGATGGCCTAAGAAGATATATCATCATTATCTGCAAACTTGTCTGAATTTAAATGCATGTTTAGCTTTTAAAGAAATGAATTGCCTTCCAAGTGGACATTGATTATATACTCACTTTACATCTAGAGGGAACTTGTTATATGTTATTTCTGCTGTTATCGGAAACCGTGTCTCAAGTAGGTACCCTATTAGCCTTATTCCAGCTCTGAATATGAAGAATTTTACAGCCACTCCACCCCAGGCTATTGCCCCTGACCAGGGAATAAGTGCTCCCTGTTATTAAAAAAGAAGTTATAATAAGTGTAGAATTAGTTTACCAAACCTTACATCAAAAATAAAATACGAGCATATTTTTGGTTTATTGATTAAAGAAAGTGTTTATTTGTTAATTATAATATACAGTAGATTCGGGTTCCTTAAAATTTGCAAGAAACTGCTTTTAATCATGAAGAATTGCGACAAAATTTTTGAGATCAGTTTTATTATTTTTTTGGATACATTTTTTAACATATCGAATACAAAGTCAACATACAAAAAGTATTGCATAAATATCATTATTCTCTGTATTTTACTCATCTTATTCCTCCTTTTGAAACAAGAGGCCCAAGGGCCTTAACGATCACCTGAGTACAACAATTTAGAGGATCCATAAACTCATAAACGAAGCTTTGTTGCCCAATAGCAAGGAAAATAGTACGATTAAGATCACTAAGCAATTAGTTGAAGATTTTCAAAGAATTCACACATTTTCACTATATAATCAAAAAGAGCCCCCCCCCCCCCCCCCGAGAAACAACAGAACCCCTGGGACCACAAGTTTTAAAAAAAATTGTAAAAGCATCCTTGCTCATCATAACTATACACTTGTTTCTTTGCTTTATAACCAGGAGTAGAAAAAAATATTTTGAAAGAAATTATGAATTTTCACTATATAATCAATAGAGCCCCCCCCCCCCTTCACCAGAACCCCTGACCCAGGGGCCATGAAATTCACAATTTTGGAAGAGGCGGCCATGCTCATCATAACTATGTACTCAGTTAGTATATTTCATACCCAGGAGCAGAGAAGAAGATTTTCAAAGACTTAATGCATTTTCACTATATAATCAATAGAGCCCCCCCCTCCAATACCAGAACCCCAGACCCAGGGGCCATGAAATTCAAAATTTTGGAATAGGCAGCTATGCTCATCATAACTATGTACTTAGTTAGTTTATTTAATACCCAGGGGCAGAGAAGAAGATTTTCAAAGAAATAATGCATTTTCACTATATAATCAATAGAGCCCCGCCCTAACACCCAAACCCCTGACCCAGGGGCCATAAAAATCACAATTTTGGAAGAGGCAGCCATGCTCATCATAACTATGTACTCAGTTAGTATATTTCATACCCAGGAGCAGAGAAGAAGATTTTCAAAGATTTAATGCATTTTCACTATATAATCAATAGAGCCCCGCCCTAACACCCAAACCCCTGACCCAGGGGCCATGAAATTCACAATTTTGGAAGAGGCAGCCATTCTCATCATAACTATGTTCTCAGTTAGTATATTTCATACCCAGGAGCAGAGAAGAAGATTTTCAAAGACTTAATGCATTTTCACTATATAATCAATAGAGCCCCCCCCCCCCAACACCAGAACCCCAGACCCAGGGGCCATGAAATTCACAATTTTGGAAGAGGCAGTCTTGCTCAACATAACTATGTACTTAGTTAGTTTATTTAATACCCAGGAGCAGAGAAGATTTTCAAAGAAATAATGCACTTTCACTATATGATGTATATAGCCCCACCCTAGCACCACAACCCCTGACCCTGGGGCCATGAATTTCACAATTTTGGTAGAGGGCTCATTGCTTATTACAATCATGCCAACAGTTTGACTGCTTGATGTCCAGGAGTAAAGAAGAAGATTTTTAAAGATTGCATGAATTTTGGTGGTTTTAGCCCCACCCCTCAGGCCCCAGGGGGGCAGGGACCATGAAATTCACAATTTTTGTTCCCCTTTACCCATAGGTGCTATATGCCAAAATTGGTTGAAATTGGTTGAGTGGTTTCAGAGAAGAAGCTAAAAATGTTCAAATGTTAACGCACGACGCACGACGAACGACGAACGACGAACGCCGACGGACAAAAACGGATAGCAATAGGTCACCTGAGTGACTCAGGTGACCTAAAAAACAAATGATACCAAAATTTTGTTTTATAACATTTATGTTTTTCTGCCGATTTTTTTTAACAAACCACATTTATATGATAAATATAACAACAGTATATCAACATTCTCGTTTGAAGTCATCTTTTCACAAGTTTTATGGTCGATACAATGACCTTGTCAGCACATACAAGCTATCATTGAGTCAAATGCTTACTGACGTTTTTCATACTAATTGTTAGGCCATAATTTATTCACTGAATTGTCTACAGATTTTTCCGGGGTTTTTTTTCGATCATGACAAGGAGCACACGGCGGGTGTGACCGGTCGCCATGGGATGCTCATTCCTCCATGGCACCTGACCTCTAAATTTTGAGGCCCGTGTTTGCTCTGCTCCAAATTTTTATCGTTTCATTGCATTTTTGAGTTTAAATACTGTTCGTTATCTTCATATTTTATTTACTGATTTCACAGATTAAGTCAAACAAAAAATATAGTATCTATGACAAGCAACTCTTCACTTGTAAGCCAATTTTATAAAATCTAATAAATTTTCTTTATTCTGTATATTACTTTTGGAAATATGACTGCTTATCAATGTAATGGAAGATGAACAAGAACTAGCCTTCCCAATACGAAGGATATTCAATAAAAGTTATCAAACATAAAACAAAGGTCCAGGATAATGTCCCAGAAAGGTCAATAATGTTACCAACAATGAAAAACAAAATCAATTGGTATAATTTAGAAATTAGTTTCAAAATAAAGGATTATCTCCTTTATGCATAGCTTTGATCCTTGGACATATTTGACTCCATTCTTTGGCACTCCCTTTTCCAGCTCTTCATGTTTTTTTTTTTGATATTTCGGATTTCCAACGTTTTGGCATGAGCATCACTAAAGAGACATAATTTTCGAAATGCGCTTCTGGTGCATTAAAATTGGTACTGTATGATTTAAGTGCGGGATACTTTTCAGTGCATTGCATGATGATGCACAATTTTATTCAAAAAATCTTTCTCTAGATCTTAAGTAAGAACTATCAATTTAAATTAAAAATAATAAAGAAAATTAAATTCTGTCTACTTACTCTTGCTTTGAAACTTAGAATGCAGAGACCGACTTGTATTCTCAGGCCAACAGATGCCCCAGCCCCTAACTCTACAATAAGTTGATATATATTATGCAATGATATATAAAGTAAATCATGCTCATTGCAAAGTGCCGGGAATGAACAATTCTGGATTGTTTTAATAGTAATTTGTTATAAATTAATAATTCGTTTTTAAACTACAGCGAATGAAAAATCACTTCACTGTAAGATTGAATTCATTATAGCCGCTTCGCGGCTTTACTATATAACTTCACTAAACTAGCACATAAACATATACATGTAGTACATTTATTGATTGCGAGGGAGATAAAAAGATGTTTTAGCCAACATTGATGCAACAAAATGTATACTAAATGATGCCAAATTTTTTAAAAGCAACACAGTCTTTCACATTCGGTTCTATTTTGAGCCTGGTTAAAAATGACCCGAAGGGTCATATTTCAAAGTTTAAAATTGAGTTCAACGGTGTTGATTTCAGACCGTAGTCCGTTGAAAATTGAGCTGCATCGAGGAATTTCGATCAGCAAATCTGGTTTATCTTTTTTCCTCCGTCACAATCATGTAAATGATTCATATTTGACAAGTGCATTACCTGTGGCAAAATGTTTCGGAGTGTGCTATAAAATTGAACCCCGTGACCTTGACCCTATTTTCAAACATTTTATCAGTGTTGGAAACTTTTGAAGGAGCGAAGAAAGGGTACTCTTATTGACACTTGCATTACCTGTGACAAGCATTTCCAAATGTTCTATGTTTTTTAACCACATGACCTTGACGTTAACATTATTTTCTAAAATTTAAATTGCTGATAAATTTTGATTGAGAGTAGATATGACAGTTACATTTAATATATGCATACCTATTTCGAGGCCTTTACGATTATATAATCTGGTTTTTGACCTCGTGACCCTTACTTTCAGTTTAAGCTACAGTCTTTTTTTCAAATAAATTTTACATTTGAAGGAACTTTTGAATGAGAGAAGATAGGGCTGTCAGATTTCTACATTTACATTACCTATGTCAACACTTTCCAGGAAAGTTTATCATTTTTGACTTCATGGCCTCTACCTGGAAGTTTGACCTACTTGTAAAATAATTTAATTGATTACATTTTCAACAGTGAAATACTGTAATTTATTTACTGAATAAAAGTGATATTCTGACAGCGTGAAAGGATATCAAAATGGTATTCTCACAGTGTGAGAATATCAGTAGTGCGGCAAAACTTAAGATTTTCCTTCCCTTCATGAAGAATTTTTTTTTAAATCCCCGGCCTTCTATAAGATAGAGTTTATGTGTCATCCTGACAGAGACTAATAGTAATACTGCCAAAGTTTTTCCAAATATGTCGTTAAAAAATCCATGTTTACAACGTTTTTCAATCTCGCAATCGCTTAGCTATGACGTCTCAACCGCTCAACTATGACGTCACAGCCTATGACACTGTGTTACGAAAAGACAGAGAAAAGGGAAAATCTAAGAAAATGTAATAAACAGAATATTGACGATTGTATAATCTGGTTTTTGACCTCGTGACCCTTACTTTCAGTTTAAGCTACAGTCTTTTTTTCAAATAATTTTTTTCATTTGAAGGAACTTTTGAATGAGAGAAGATAGGGCTGTCAGATTTCTACATTTACATTACCTATGTCAACACTTTTCAGAAAAGTTTATCATTTTTGACTTCATGGCCCCTACCTGGAAGTTTGACCTACTTATAAAATAATTTAATTTATTACATTTTCAACAGTGAAATACTGTAATTTATTTACTGAATAAAAGTGGTATTCTGACAGTGTGAAAGGATATCAAAATGGTATTCTCACAGTGTGAGAATATCAGTAGTGCGGCAAAACTTATTATTTTCTTTTTTACAAATAAATTTTACATTTGAAGGAACTTTTTAATAAGAGAAGATAGGGCTGTCAGATTTCTACATTTACATTACATGTACCTATGTCAACACTTTCCAGAAAAGTTTATCATTTTTGACTTCATGGCCCCTACCTGGAAGTTTGACCTACTTATAAAATAATTTAATTTATTACATTTTCAACATTGAAATACTGTAATTTATTTACTGAATAAAAGTGGTATTCTGACAGTGTGAAAGGATATCAAAATGGTATTCTCACAGTGTGAGAATATCAGTAGTGCGGCAAAACTTATTATTTTCTTTTTTACAAATAAATTTTACATTTGAAGGAACTTTTTAATGAGAGAAGATAGGGCTGTCAGATTTCTACATTTACATTACATGTACCTATGTCAACACTTTCAAGAAAAGTTTATCATTTTTGACTTCATGACCCCTACCTGGAAGTTTGACCTACTTATAAAATAATTTAATTTATTACATTTTCAACAGTGAAATACCGTAATTTATTTACTGAGTAAAAGTGATATTCTGACAGCGTGAAAGGATATCAAAATGGTATTCTCACATTGTGAGAACATCAGTAGTGCGGCAAAACTTAAGATTTTCCTTCCCTTCATGAAGAATTTTTTTTTAAATCCCCGGCCTGTTGTAAGATAGAATTTATGTGTCATCCTGACAGAGACTAATAGTAATACTGCCAAAGTTTTTCCAAATATGTCGTTAAAAAATCCATGTTTACAACGTTTTTCAATCTCGCAATCGCTTAGCTATGACGTCTCAACCGCTCAACTATGACGTCACAGCCTATGACACTGTGTTACGAAAAGACAGAGACAAAGGAAAAATCTAAGACAAGAGGCCCAAGGGCCTTAACGGTCACCTGAGTATAATACAACAATTTAGAGGATCCATAGAGTATAAAATGAACTGAAAGGTGAAGCTTTGTTGCCCAAAAGCAAGAAAAATAGAGTGATCAGGATCAAAAAAATAATTAGTCTAGCATTCATTCACAGTTCATAAATTAGGTTCTAATCTGTTCCTCATTTAACACTTTCACCATACAGTAAATTAACAAAATATCACTGCTTCTGTACCATCTTAATTCCTTGTTGAAATCTCTTACACTGGCCTCTCTTGATCTTTGATGAACATTTAATAAGACAAGTTATTTTTGTCTCATTTTTATTTATCTATTGCTTACAAGTCTACCTGATCATTAAAACTATGAAAGTACTTTTTGTATTATACAATAAAAATTCTTGCATAATTCTCTTATTCTATTAACCTTTCAAGTACATTATTTACAGTGATTAATTATCAAAAGTAAATGGCAAAGGGGAATAACTCCTCTTAGTAGATTACAAATTAATAGTGCCCTAGCTAGGACCAGAACACTTGACTAAATGGTCCAGCTGTTCAAATATCTGGTAAAAATAACCTTCCTTATTAAAACTTTTACTCTTTTTGCCTCTGATATGCCCAGGTGCAGAGAAGATTTTTAAAGAAATAATGCATTTTTACTACAGATTCACTATATTATCAATAGAACCCCCCCCCCTCCATCGAGAAACATCAGAGCCTCTCACCCTGGGACCAGAAGTTTGCACATCATAAGTAATCACTTTGTTTATCTGCTTAACACTGAGGAGCAGACAGGATTATTTAATAGAAATAATGCATTTTCACTATATTATCAAGAGCCCCACCCTTGCACCAGCACATCTGACCCTGGGGTCATGCAATTCACTACTCTGGAAGAAGCACTCTTGCTCATCATAACTATACACTAGCTTCTTTGCTTTTTAACCAGAAGCAGAAAAGAATGTTTTCAGAAAAAAATTGCTTTTTCACTATATAATCAATAGAACCCCCCCCCCTTTTCACCAGAACCCTTGACCCTGGGGCCATGAAATTCACAACTTTGGAAGAGGCATCCTTGCATATCATAACAATGTACTTAGTTTGTTTAAATAATACCCAGGGGCAGAGAAGAAGAGTTTTAAAGAAATAATTCACCTTCACTATAGGATCTATATGGCCCCACCCTAGCACCAGAACCCCTGTCCCTGGGGCCATGAATTTCACAATTTTGGAAGAGGCATCCTTGCTTATCATAACAATGTACTTAATTTGTTTAAATAATACCAAGGAGCAGAGAAGAAGATTTTTAAAGCATTAATGCATTTTCACTATATAATAAATAAAGCCCCACCCTAACACCAGAACCCCTGATCCAGGGGCCATGAAATTCACAATTTTGGAAGAGGCATCCTTGCTTATCATAACTATGTATTTAATTTGTTTCAATAATACCCAGGAGTAGAGAAGAAGATTTTCAAAGAAATAATGCACTTTCACTATATGATCTATATAGCCCCGCCCTAGCACAAGAACCCCTGACCCTGGGGCCATGAATTTCACAATTTTGGTAGAGTCACTCTTGCTTATCATAACTATGTATTCAATTTGTTTCAATAATACCCAGGAGCTGAGAAGAAGATTTTCAAAGAAATAATGCACTTTCACTATATGATCTATATAGCCCCGCCCTAGCACCAGAACCCCTGACCCTGGGGCCATGAATTTCACAATTTTGGTAGAGTCACTCTTGCTTATCATAACTATGTATTCAATTTGTTTCAATAATACCCAGGAGCTGAGAAGAAGATTTTCAAAGAAATAATGCACTTTCACTATATGATCTATATAGCCCCGCCCTAGCACCAGAACCCCTGACCCTGGGGCCATGAATTTCACAATTTTGGTAGAGTCACTCTTGCTTATCATAACTATGTATTCAATTTGTTTCAATAATACCCAGGAGTAGAGAAGAAGATTTTCAAAGAAATAATGCACTTTCACTATATGATCTATATAGCCCCGCCCTAGCACCAGAACCCCTGACCCCGGGGCCATGAATTTCACAATTTAGGTAGAGAACTCAATGCTTATTACAATCATGTCAACAGTTTGACTGCTTGATGTCCAGGAGTAAAGAAGAAGATTTTTAAAGATTGCATTAATTTTGGTGGTTTTAGCCCCACCCCTCAGGCCCCAGGGGGGCAGGGACCATGAAATTCACAATTTTTGTCCCCCTTCACCCACAGATGTTATGTGCCAAAATTGGTTGAAATTGGTTGAGCGTTTTCAGAGAAGAAGCTGAAAATGTTTAAATGTTAACGCACGACGCACGACGGACGACGGACGACGCACGACGACGGACAAAAACGGATAGCAATAGGTCACCTGAGTGACTCAGGTGACCTAAAAATGTAATAAACAGAATATTGACGATTGTATAATCTGGTTTTTGACCTTGTGACCCTTACTTTCAGTTTAAGCTTCAGTCTTTTTTTTCAAATAATAAATTTTACATTTGAAGGAACTTTTGAATGAGAGAAGATAGGGCTGTCAGATTTTCACATTTGCAGTACTTTTACACACTTTTCAGAAAAGTTTATCATTTTTGACTTCATGACCCCTACCTAGAAGTTTGACCTACTTATAAAATAATTTAATCTTGACCATTACCTTTATGTTCCATAAGAGACAGGGCTTTCATGTTTTTTTTTTCACATGTGCATTACTTGTCAAAAGACATTTCGGATGTATTATGATATTTGACTTCATGACTTTGATCTTGAAGTTTGAAATAGTTTTGAGAAGCTACGATCTTTGCCATAGCTGTCATAAATTCAATAATTTATGTCTTTTTTGTACGAAAAAAAGACACAGAAACTAGACAGTAACAATATGCCATGGTATTCCATCCTCTAAGACACCGAAAGTGGGGGACCACAATTTTTTTCATTATCATTGTTATTTGTAAAAGAAAAATATGCCATTGATCTTTGTAAGTTTTTTTTAATGATTAAATTAAGAAAATTTATCATAGTAGAACTCACCAAAATATAATGGAACAGGACCAACCATGAAGGGGCCCACATCCTCATCGACGAACACGAAATCTTTCGTAGGAAATGGGATCTCTGCCTCTGCGCAGAAGTCTACCTTCTCTTGAAACTCTTTTCCCATTATTTTTAGGAGTGTCCTCGGATCGTTGATTAACTGTGTAAATTACAAAAGGAAATCAGTAATAATAAATAGTTACGCTGATTATCAACGCTTAGGGTTCTAATCCCCTCTGTTTACTTATGTAAAATACTGCTACCGTTATGATTTTCCAGTCGAAATATTTCTTATAAGTAAAATGGAAACAATTTTACCATAGCTTGAGGCAAAATTGAAAAAAAGACATTTCAGCTTAACAAATTTATAGAGGAATAAGAGGCATTTATGCCATTAAGAGTTACCTTTCTTTATCAGAGGGTCAATGAACCATAATTCATTAGAGAAAAGGTTAAGAAAACCGGATGTGAGATCACGTACATTCTTTTAACTGAATCAGAAAATACAACCATGTTCTCTCCTGATAAAGTAATTAAAAAAATCAAGAGACGACATTTGAGTAATCGTTTAAAAAAAACTTCTTCTGCAGTAGCACAGGGCTTGTTCATAGCATCTGTGTTGGATACACAAGTGTCAATATTACCCTTTTAAAATACTTCAAAATAATTTTCATTATCTCAGGGTCACCTGCGTTGCGCAGTGGTTATAATTACAGAGTAAGGAGTTGCTCCTTACATAACGGGTTCGAATCCACATCAGAACCTGGAGACCGGTTCTTCGGATGAGACCATATAAACCGAGGTCAGGTTTCCCAGTAGGTGTTTGCATGAAATAGATCTATCAATGCTCAAAGACCGTAAGTGCCAAGTACAGGTCTAAATTTGAGCAAAATATTCATGAAGGTACGTAAAGCAAAGAAAATTTTATCGGGTCATACCTCGTCCATCATTGCTTCCCTAATGGTGTCAAGGATTTTGAGAATTTCTTTATCAAGTAGATGGTTTTCAGAGAGTTCTGCTATGAAATCTTGAACGGTTATGCTATCCATAGTAGGCAAAACAGGGATATTTCCATCGTCTGTCGTATGTCATGAATAAAAAAAATTCAATGAGTATAAGTCCAATTTTTCAAACCTTGTCATAAACTCACAAGGTTATCTTTTATTTTAGAATATTTAGTCGATACTATTATCTTATTTTTTTAATTTAAAAATCCTTTAATTTGGCATTAGTTGTAATAAGACTATGTGCTTATACTCCTCATTTCTATCTTTCATTAAATTCTCAGGATACTGTTAAAGAAACTGGCAAGGAAATTTCAAGTTATAAAACATAAATGACCTGATGAGCATGTCGAATCAACTTCGTAGTTCAACAACACTGGTACCGTATGCAAGCAAGAAATGAAATCAGATACACAGAGTTCTGCAGAAAGGGAGATAACTGCTGTTGACCAGTCAAATGTTATAGAAACAACTAAGTTGGCAGACATTAACCTAGACACGCTTACTACAGGAACCCTTTCTTCTATTTCAACACCTGAAAAGAAAATACATATGACCCTTTGTATTTAAAATACATGTATTTCAAACACCAGTATGCGAAAAAAAAGGAATATGCCAAAATGTGTTTCTTTATTGTGAATGAATTTTCAACCTCGATTACACTCAAATATCTCAAACTTCTATTTGAGAACTCGAATTGTATTGAGTTTTGACTATACTTGATAATTAATGGGTTTTTTTTTAATCTTTTTACAGATATGCTTCATCTAGGATGATTGAACGCTGGATTGAACCAATATGCTTTTACCAGTAGTGGTAATGTACGTGTGTCATTTAATTTTTTGAATGGACAATTATTTTATTATGTAAAAAAAATAACTTATTTTTCCTTTTATTTTCTTGTCCGATAGATAATTATGTATCTATATACGTTATAAGAAACTGTCCTGTAATTCTAAATATCATATTAATCTCAAACCTATTAAACATCAGTTGCAAGACCTTCATATTAATAATAAAAACTGTAATTGTTTCATTTTTTTTTAAATTTAATCTTGTTGTTGAATAGTACATTATCCAACTGTTTTCTTTTAATCTTTCAATTGATAAAAGATAGGAAAATCAGGACATGTTAACACTATGTTGTTTTAAGTTTTTGTTGTTTTATTATTTTTCCAAAGAAACAACCATGTGTTCTTGTATATCGATAGTAAATAATTTGATATTTTATCGTATCATATTTACATTTCAACTTTTTTTCTCTGTGATAACTCTTTGATAATTTTAAAGTGTGTTGATTTCATGATTATTTCAACTGAATGTTATTTTCAGGAAGTGAAAGATTAAGTGCCTGATACAGATGTCAATTTCCCGCAACTGTCAGTGCATGTTCCTAACGTCAGTGTGCGGGGACTACGGAAATTAACATGGAATTCCTCGTGTTTTTTCATATCCATTACACAGAATCTTTTAATTATATTTATATTTTTATTTCAAATATGAATGAAAGTATACGTTTCTTGGGTATAAAAGGGGCCTTAAGACCAATTGGAAACGTGGGATAATTTATGCATAACTGGCTTTGTCCGTTTTACAAATTATCCCACGTTTACAACTGTCGTTAATGCCTTGGTATATCCAACAAACTAGTTATTGATTCCTTAAATATTTTTCTTTATATACATTATTGGTATTTTTCTTGCAGAATGATAGACAAGATTCTATTTTCTAGCATTTTTACATGATTTAATGTAGATACGTATAGAAACTAAAATTAAATACTCACCTTCTTGAAAATTTATTACCACTGAAGTTGACTGTGCTGTGACGTTTACTTGTTTCAAACATCCATCCATTTTGATATCGGCAGTTACCATTATTCTGTGATTGGCATGGGAAAGTAAAACAGCACAGGAAATTTCATTGCAGGTACGATGCACAAAACAAACATTTCCAGGGCCTTTTGGAAGTCTGTTGAGAAACATCGGGCAATCTAAAGAAAAGGATATACGTGTATTTATTCATACTCGTATAATAAAAAGTAAGCAACTGAATGATATGACTTTGCAAAATTATTTATAAAGCTTTACTACTTTTCTGTTGTTTATGTTTAATCTTAAAAAAGTATTGCTATGAACAAACCTTTTTCAGTCCTAGTGAGAATTCTTGATACCATGTTTGATTTTGATCCAGATGCTGTACTGAACGATGCTGATAGTAAACCCCGGAGGTTTGATATTGACATCCCCTCAAGATTTTGAGCAGAAATGGACGATCGCAGCTGCGTTAGTTTCTCATATAGAATTTTCATTTCAGTTGCAACTTTATCCCCTAGTAATTCTTTAATTCTTCCAAGTGTATATGAATTAACATTCACCAGATCAAGAAGATTAGGCCCAGTCCTGAAATAAGGTCAGAATACAAATCAAAAATTATAGAAAATCGAATACGTTAGATATTTTGAAAATATTTCATTCCTTATATCGAAATTAGCAAAGTTAATTTGTTTTCCTGCCAGCACATCTTCCTTATATCTTTTTACATAGTTTACAGAGTCTGGATTTCACGATAAAACAAAATATATGACCTGTTATTTGAAAAATCGAAAAGCTGTTTCGCAATGTCCTTGAAGTTTGAAACGAGACCCTTGAATCCTTCCTTGAACTTGTTCCACGCACCAACAGCAACTGGATCATCCGGAGAAGCCACTTCGAACTCTGGAGGGCGATAATTAGGTTCTTCAGGAGGAAATTCGTTCCCAAGATCTTCAGCTCCTTCGAAGCGTGCTCTAGAAATTTTATCTTTCAATTTCTCGAGTGTTTCTCCAACGGCATCAGCAGAAACAACACTTAGATAATTAATGTAAGTGTAATCTTTGCATTCCCAGATCCATTCTGGATTGGGAAGCAGATGATCCAGAAACGGAGACGGGTCTATGTATTCGTACTCAGAATCTGACATTCTTATCAGATTCTTTTTCCGCACAGATACATGAATGGAATTATAATCGCAAGGTGATTGGTCGGCTTTTCCAATAATGTCTTTACCCGCTGAGAGAAATTGACCGTTTAATGGGATTGATGGATTGGGAATAATATTTTCTATTATTATTTCAAATTCGATGAAATCTTCATCTGTAGGCAAGATCAGTACTCTGTTATTTTCTCTAAAAACTTCGCCATTCACTGGACATCGAATCTGAACAAATTAAAAAAGTTTACTTTGTTCTTAAAGAGCCGAAAGGTAGACGATCTGTATGATTCTGTATATCTTTATTTGAAAACGAATATTTCATAATCAGAACGCACATACGTTTTTCTTTTTAAATGTTTGTGTTTTATTATGAAAACGCATGAGATATTAATTTAATATCCTACTGTCAAATCATTTTCAAAGTTACAGAAACCGTTCATAAACATAAGTCAAATAATCTTACGTCAGCGTTGTATCCAATTCGGACATCAACGCCTAGTGTTTGATATCTCCCATTCGTATTTGTGGGCCAAACACCTACTCCACAAGTAGAGTCCTCAACTCTTCGCCGCTTCGGAAATGTTATGTGGAATTTGGAGCCAAAAATCTTTTGTATAATATTCTTTGTTTTAATGAATCTACAATAATTTGTGCAATTATTCATCTTTCTTCGTGAGAAAAGTTACATCAATAAATAATTCGTACGTTGCTCTTTTCCAAATAAAAGAGTAAAGTAACAAATACAATGTCTTACATATCTCTAACCGAAGTATATCCAGACTTGATTTCTTTGACTGCATTCAAAACAGAGTGGAACGCATTGAAAAACGGAGAAACTAAGTCACCCAATGTGTTTTTAAACTGAGTTGTTATGTTCCCAAATGACTCCTTTATAGCTTCTATAAAAATATTGGTTTGCTCTCTCTGCAAAACAGTTAATAATTTTTAATGATTTTATAATTTGACTTCAGATAACAGAATACGATGAATAATTAACATCGTAATTAGAGAAATCTTTCCATTTATTATAACAAGATTTAGACAAATGAGAAATGTATTGAGTAAATATCCAATACTAAAGGGGCAATGTAAATCAATCGGTTTGGTTTTTATCAGTTTACCGTCATTGAAATGCCATCAGTAAGTGCAGTGGAAAGTTCATCCTCCAACTCTTCGGTGGACTGACTTTCTCTTTTATCAGAGAGAAGCACAAGTAGGTCTTTGACGTCTCCTAAAATCTCCTTAAAATCCTCCCAGTAGTCCACCCAAAATGGCGTACCACCTATTGTTAGAAACGTCGTTAAATTAATAAAAAAAAAAAAAGGACATGATATTTTTTTAATGTAAATAAAATTCATGAAAGATTTAAATTTTTAAATGTATTCATATCCAGGTTACCCTCATATTTTGTTTTTAATCAATGAAAGAATATTTTGTAACACTATTTTTTCAAAAGGTTCCAATTAAGATAAAGCTGATAAAAAGACATGCACTTCGATTTAATATATACGATAACATTTTTTCAACAGAAATGCTGAGGAATTCCTAAAAGAAAAACAATTGTTTCCGTCTTTTCATTTACCAAGTGCATTTTTTTTTCACTCTATACAGATAAACAAGTAGTACCTTTCAGAAACGACAAACTCTCTACAACTTTATTTTTCACATCTAGAAACATTCCAATTGCAAGCTTGATACTACAAAAGAAAACTGAATCTAGAAAAAAATACCAAAATAAATGTTAAAGTGTAAATTGTAATTTATTTTCAAAAATGTACATGTCGACGAGACTATGTAAATAAAATTGTTAAGTTCATAAAAATGTAATATAAAATGTTCATAAAAATGTAAAAATGTAAACTGAACTAACTCTAGTACAGATTTTCCAAAGACCGTTGCAGACTGAACCGGATTTGACAAAAAATTTTTCACTGCTGAGATTATTGTTGCAACTGAGTCAAACAACTTCTTGGCAACATAGGGCAAGGTCACTGTGCTGGCATCAGCTATAGTCTAGAATGACGGAGGAGGACATGTAATACACAATAACATTGATAAAATTGTTCAACAAATAATTTTGAAAAAAGAGAACGCATTAATATAGTCTATATTTAAGACTATATTTTGTAAATATGGTAAAATGAAGTGTATAATCATTTGATTAATCATCAAAGGACATATCCATGAAACAAAGTTCCTTACACTATAAAACTCTGTTAGGTCCTCCTTAACGTCTTCTACAAAATATCTGGCTTTAATAATTATCTTCTTTATTTGGTCAATCCAAGGAACCCCTCCATACTCAATGACCTTCATGACTGCTTTGATGACATTTTGAATGATGCCTTCTAAAATAAGTGGAAAGTTTTTCACCAGCTCAATAATCTTGTTGACAATGTATTCAACGCCATTGTCAAATAACTGAATAATGTCTTTGAAAGCCTTAACAGCGTTTTTGATTGGAACGACAACTTTTTTCACGATTCTGTCGAATATTGTTGCTAAGTCCTGTATGCCATTGACTCCAAAGTCCTGCAAAAAAATTGAGGAAATTAATAATTTTCTACGTGTATTTTATTGTTTTCTTGTACCCTGTTTTGTTTTAGGGATATTAAGGCACAAAGATCTTACACATTAAGGTTAGAAGACAGGTTTGAGATCCTGTTACATATGTATATGTGCGAGTCATATTTGCCAACCTTTCAATAAACTTTTCACTAAGTCTTATTGATTTCATAGTTTGCAATGCAGAAAATAACAACTCTGTGTTGATAAAGGGGGAATTTATAAACGAACGAGTAATTTAACAAACAAATATAAAAAGGTTGTCGAATTAAGGACTAATGACCCACTGCTCTTAATTTTACAATTTCTTTTTAAACTTCCAAACATTAAATTTCATCTAGATCTATAGCATTAGATTCAAATGGAAAATAATATGAAGTATGGAGAGTTGGTTATTTTTTCATGATATGAAGAAATTTTTGCACAGAGATTTGGGAGGAGAAAAATTTATTATCACAACACAAAATTAAAAATAGGAGATATGTAAGAAAATAATATTTAGTGTCATACCTATTAAATTCATATTAGAAAACATAATGCTCTGGATGTAAATATCAAATGTTATAAAAAAAAAAATCTGAAAAAAATATAGGCAAAATGAAATAGAAGTCAATGTTTCCGTTCTTTGTTGGGTTTGAATGTATTGAATATTCAAATGTCTCCATTACTAAACGCTTGTAAGATAAACTATGGGTAATATTAGGATTTTTTCTTTGGAAAGTTATCTCTTTTATCAGAGGGCTGGTCCCCCTAAAACTATTTAATTTATATCATCTTCTACGATAAAAATATTCCTTTAGAAAAAAAGGGAAAAAAAACATAAAAAATTCTTTAATGTATAATATTACAAATTATCCTTATACTGATTGAAGGGAGACTGGTATTGTACAGCATGAGTTACATATGTATTTCGTATCTTAAGTCTCTCAATAAAGCCCAATTTTTCCGAATCTTTTTCAATGGAAATGTTAATTAGAAATAGTAAAGTATACCTTTAGGATGTTTATATCATATCCCGCATGCCCCCTGTAGCAGGCGTGAGCGCGGAAGAGATTCTGTTCTATTCCAAGCCAACCAATCATAACTTTTGCATATGCATCGTCATAGACATTCAACATGGCGTGTCCACTGAGTGGTTCTGAAGTTTATCATAAGAAACGAGAATGAATGAAAGCTTAATACATAACATAATTTATCTAACTTTTATATACATAAGAATCGTGTCAGATAAACGCAGACGTCTGAAAAATGAATATAATATGTAATATGTTTTCAGGCTCTGATTGATTATTTCACATAGATTTATTCATTGTTGAAGTAAACATTTTAAACACAATAGTATCTTATTTACAAATGGTATTCTTTCCTAGCGTACGCTTTGTGAAAAGGTCGTTTATGTTACACTTCACGTACTTATTTCTATTTCAAGTTCATTTGTCAAAATAAGTCCAATGCCTGCTCCAAGGGCACTATTTCCCATCTGTTTATTCCATTGTATACCAGGAAGTCTCATTGCAAAAAAGAAGCCGTCTTTGAATTTTACGTCAAGAATACCTCTCTTAACTCGCATCAAGGTTTGATACGTGTAGTGTCGACTAAAAAGAAGTTATGGATATTAGATTAATTTTAATGAAAAGATTATAGTATAAAAACACTTTATTGAAAATTGTTATGCAATCTTTTAAATTTTATAGATTTTTTTCCCTCGCGTTTCTTAAAAGTTGCACGTAGCAGGCAATCTATATGCATTAAAAGATCTATATTAAGCAAATGCCATTTACGTTATAGATATCAAATAAGGGCAATCCCTTATATGAATTCTTCTCATCAAAACTTTTTGAATTATATTAAAACTTTTATACTATGCATGTACCTTAAAATTATGTCTCGATGCTGTGGAATACTTCTTTTCGATAAAGGATGATTTTCAAAATATTCAATGGCTTGTTGTCGAACTAAGGAGTGTTCATCGTTGACGGCCAAGTCAAGTAAAGCAGCAGAGCTCTATGAAAATAAATTGAAAAATAGAATAATAGTCATCTGATATGCCTTTGAACACTTGCATCTCTAAATTTTCTTATCCCTGAAATTCGACAAAATATAATACCTCTGTGCAGTTAAAGTGCCTCATTCCTATGATAGCAGCTCTTCTCCAGCTGTTGTCCCCCTCCCCGGGCCTCATGTACGTCAGGAGGTGGTCCCTGGCGTTTCCGGAGTTTCCCAAGGCATGGATTAACACCATTTTGGAGTAAGTGTAATTATGGAGTTCACCATCAAATCTGTCCACTGATCGGCGTGGTATTTTTTTACTGCACATTTCTTTATAATTTGCTGAAAATACGTAATCTCAAAACAAATGAACAAGGGCAAAATAAAATGCCATGGGGCACATCGCTCATCTGAAAAATCTTAGCCCTGTTGGTTTTTTTCAGATTTTAAAAAGAATTAAATTGAACTTAGATGATAAACTTTGTAAAGATCTTGCAATATTGGAATTAATAGATGACAATGCTGCAAGTATAGTTGCTAAAATCACGTGACTGCCACATCACATGACAAGTCTAAATAAAAATCTAATCGTCCACAATATTTAGTATTTAACAATATTAGTAAAGAACTAAAAAGAATCGCAAATCCTTGCATAGAATGTATTACCTTAAAAATCGCCGATATTTCCATTTCGCACTTAACTGTAATGCGCAGGGTCAATAATAAGAGCATAAGTTCGGATTGTTGTCAAATAGTGATTGTTGATCTCAATAAGATTTCTAAAGTTTTTTTCCCGATATATTCCAATATAAATATTATCCTATATTGTATCCCCATTTGAGAATGCATGCATATCAGTTTCACTATACTCATGGCACTAGTATATACATCTTCCCATATGTTCCCATATTATACTATTCTGAACCCGTCCCACTCTATCCTCGGGGGTATGGTTTCAACAATTTAGAATCTAAACTGTATTAAGAAGCTAGCATATGTGTTTAATCTTCCATGACCCAGTGGTTCTTTAGAAGAATTTTGAAGTTTACCCACTCTATATTTCACTGTAAAAGTTGGATTTCTTATGTTGGCCCCATCCTAGCCATATTTAGAGCAAAATAAAATCTTCGAGAGGCCTGCACATAAATTTCATAACTTCTGGCTTAATGGCTCTTCAGAGAATTTTTTTTTAAATTATCTTTATTCATATTTTTTGCCTCTTCTTGTTTATCTCCCCTTTGAAGGAGGGGGTTGCCCTTTTTAATGAACAATTTTGATTCCCAAAAATGCTTTTTGCCATCTTTGGTTAAAATTAGCCCAGTTTTTCTCGAGAAGTCGAAAATATGCAGAGTTTACAGAGGGACGAAAAGACCGACAATTGCAAACGGACGAACAGACGCCGGACGACACTTGAGCTTTTAGCGCAATTAGCTAAGAAGACAACATTCACAGCAAATTAATTCAGTGAACAAAACTTATTATAGTATTAAGCATTCTTTATGCTTGGTTTTTAATATACATGTATTGTGTTATTTTTTTTTCATGTTTACAAATGTTTGAACAAAATTAACTAAAATGCAGCTAGCCTGGGTTTGAAGACAAAGCATATTTTTCTGTATTCCTTTGCAATGCAAGCAAGAAAATTTAAAAATACATAATATTTCCTTACTTTGATTGTGTGGGGATAACCACTTCTGAAGGGAATCGAGAAGATGGTCTGTCTTTTCATTATGCTTAGAATTGTTTCGAAATATTCTTATCAATGTCCCAAGTGCCAAACAGGCATGTTTGTGGGTTTTGGTCATGGCAATTAATCCTTCAAAGATCATAAATATCAACTCAGATAACATTAACTATAATCCAAACACGTTGTACAATGAACGTAATCTTGCATAACATACATATGTAAAATTTAAGGGCATCTATCTGAATCTTAGAATATGAAAAAATTATTGATATTAGAGAATTCAGTCATATTTTCAAAAAAAATATATCGTAAGATTTTTTCCAAATTTCAACGAGGATCAAGATGTTCGAGATAATGTTTTGAAGTCACGTGACTTAATGTATGCTAGGTATCCATGCTTTCAAAAAAAAATTACATAAATTACAATAAAGTAATGAAAGTTAAAGGATTCATTGGTTTTCCTGAAAGAAACATTCATAAAATAGATAAAATGCATTTATATTAAAGAGCAATTTCAAGCTTTAAATTGAAAAATAACACGAAATTATCAAATGGATACAACCTACAATTTTAGTAGTCAAAATAAAAAAAAACAAATTATTATACATCTTTGTTACCTACATAAATTTTAATCTTTTTTTTTGGGATGGATGATAGAGAAACATGTTCGATCACAGTAAATATGGACATAAATTCCAATCCCATTATTGTATTTAGTTTTAACTAGATGTAATTTACAATAAATTAATTGTCAATAATGATCAGAAGACTTGAATTTATGAAAATACGATGCTACCATAGGATCGATCTCAAATTTACTTTTATTTCCAGGATAGATGACGTTGAAAATAAATTCGATATGTACCTATATTTGTATGATCTTGACCGAGGCATATCTCTTCCACAGCTTCTAATAAAGCCTGCAGATATATATATATATATATATATATATATATATATATATATATATATATATATATATATATATATATATATATATATATATATATATATATATATATATAACTATATATATAACTCTATATATATATATATATATATATATATATATATATATATATATATATATAATATTACAAAAATATTATATTATATTATATTATTTATAAAGAATCATGTTTTAAAATACATGGAGCCATGTATCCATAATATGCTCTATTAAAATATGTGAAGTACAAAGACGTTTTAAGAAGCTTGCAAAATAAATTACCATTGTGGGTTTTTTCATATCCGCTATATGGAAAAATATTCGAAAAATGACAGTTTCATTGACATCTTTCTTTTCTAAGAAGTGTTTGATAATCAGATTTTGTGTAATATTGTGTCCTTCTTTGAATAGAAGATCTATGAATAGATTTTGTCTACTGGAGCAGCTTGTGTCATTTAATTTGCATTCCCTAGCAAACTCGCGTGTTGCTAATTTTGCATAATCCTCCTCCGGAAGACGATTAATAATCTGCACAAGGTCTGCAAAACAATCCGATCTGTTTCTGTTGACTAAAACAATAAAAAAAAAATGTATTGTTTAAAGAGTGACATGAAAAAGTAAAGTGATCAAATCTTTTAGGACATATTGCTTATTCACCTTCCTCTTTGTAGGACTGAATGCATGCTACATTTGATTCAATATTGTTGTCAACTTCTGATAAAGCAGTCGTTTTTCGTTTGTCCTGTAATCAAACCATAAAAATGATTTCTTTAAGATACATTCCTCAAACAAATTTTCTTATCTTCACCACAGAAGAGTTACATTGCTATTTTTTTCAGTATTTTTTTTCAACCTAAATCTAATAAGAAAATTTAAATTGTGTAAAATGTAAAAAGAGACCTTTAAAGGGTTCCCAGAAACTTTTCAGTACGAAAACTTTTTAAAAAACTTTTCAAATATTATATTGAACTGTTAAGTTACTTAATTTTTCCCACTTTTCGCCAAATCATGTGCTTTTGGTCAAACATAAAATTGTTTTACTAAAAGATATCACCTCTTTAGTAAGAAAGGTATCTATTTAAACAAAGTTGGAATTCAACAATGTATCTTACCTTTTGCACAACAATGCTGCCTTTAACTTTCAAGTACTTGTCTAATGGCGATAATGCATCAACTTTATCAAGTTTTCTGTAATTCAATTTGGAAAAAAATCCATTATTATCGCAATAAATTAAGAGTGTTTTCATTTTGAGAGCAAGATCATATAGATTATATATTTACATTTCTAATTACATGCTATCTTTGTGTTATCTCTTTGAAAGTTAAGTGTGTTGATTTCTCGATAATTATACAGTACCAACCAGACCCAACCTGACACAAAGCAGTCCCAGAGCAGTCCCGGGGACTGCTTTCTGGGACTGCTAAAGCAGTCCCAGAGCGGTCCCAGAGCAGCCCCAGAGCGGTCCCAGAGCAGTCCCAGCGGTCCCAGAAAGCAGTCCCAGCAGTCCCAGAAAGCAGTCCCAGTGGGCGGGGTTAATTAATTTAATGGGCGGAGCTTACTCAGAATGAGATTACCAATAAACAATGTAACTATATAAAAAGCAGTTGAAATTGATGAGCAATTCTTTCTGAGAAGTATCAACAAATATTTACAATTCTTACGCGACAGTCATTTCTGAACTGTTAAGAAAATCACAGTACGCGTATAGAAACAAATTATAATTATTGAATGAAGAAGACGTTCACACCTATTAATAACATGAATTTTTAAACACAATTATTTTGTATATTAATTTTTAACCAAAATAAACCAATTTCTTCATTTTTTGTGATTGATATTGGTTTTCATATTTATTTTTTATATAGAAAATTAAACTTGAATTGTTTATTTTATACCAGAATTAGCTTTTAATAGATAATAATAATTATAGAGCAAGGTCGATTCCCATACTATACTCTGAATGCATTTTTCTTAAGTATTGGAGCTTCTGAAAAATTCTTTGTTAAACATTGCCGAGTATTATATTTCAGTCATGATTATTTTCAATGACTTCCCAATTTAATTATCTTTAGATTCTCAGTTTTAAGTGTTTTATTATATAAATGTTCGAGTGTACATCTGCAAATTATGCAAATGGAACCCTCAGATTATGTACAAAATTAATTAATCCCGAAATAAATTTATACACAATTATTGAAACTAAGATTTTTTGCAGGACATAGATTGAAATTGGTGTCAATGTTGACCAGCGTGTTCAGTGATGTGTAACACTGATACCCAAATAACATGCATTGACTTTCTTATTATGCGCAAAGGCGATTGAAACCTCAGGTGTTGACACCATTTTATACAATCCCATTGTATTAACCGACCAGGTAAACACAAACAAAAGAAAAAAGAAACAAGTCACAATTCCCGATATTTTCAAATGTTTATTTTTTAAATAAATGTACTCTTTTAATGACTTGTTTATAAATTAAAAACTAATTCATAAATAAATCCCTGAATAATTGTTCACATTGTTTATTTGACAGAAAAATGGTAGAATAATTTTATTTCATGGTCATTAAATAAATTATTAGGTTTTATTTGAGGGTGGTAAAAAATAGCATGGAGTGCTCTTTTTTAAGCATGGTATTAGCTTTTTCAATTAAGAAAAAAATCCAGTACAGTACGTTCCTCTGAATACATGTATCTTAAAAAAGTTACTGAAATGACAAGTTTGTTTGTTTTTTGTTTGTTTGTTTTTTTTAAATAGTGCTAATGCAAACTTTGAGTACATATGTAATTTAACAGCATTAATTTATTAAATAGGCCCAGATAATTTTTTTTTCAAACACCTGTATTGAAGTTTAATTTAAGGGATAAAAATTATCCCCTGACTTCCCTTTTTAACTACTTTTATTTTCTTAAAATTAATTCTAGACTACAATTGTGTAAATTTACAGCCCTCTGAAGACATTTAGTAATTACATGTATAACTATCTCTAATTATTTAATTTTTGTAAGAAATTAATACTTGTTTTTTTATATTTGCTTTTATCTTAAATACCTCTCTGCAGAAAGTAAACAAAACAACAACAAGGAGCTGCAAATTTAGAATACACAAGGGGCGGAGCTATCATGTCACTCAGAACCTTTTTCACGCATGAGTGAACAAAGCAGTCCCAGAAAGCAGTCCCAGGGACTGCTGGGTCTGCTTTCTAGAGCAGTCCCACAGCAGTCCCAGAGCAGTCCCATAGCGGTCCCAGAGCAGTCCCACAGCAGTCCCAAAGCAGTCCCGGGGACTGCTTTCTGGGACTGCTTTGGTGTCAGGTTGGGTCTGGTTGGTACTGTAACTGAATGTAAATTTCGCCCTAAGTGAAAATCAAGTGACTAATATGCATGTCAATTTCTAGCGGTTCTTTGTGTCTGAAGTCAGTGGGCGGGGACTATTGAAATTAACACGGAATGCTTCGTGTATTTTAAATCTATTAGACAGCATATTTAATTTATATCTACACTTTTATTTTACATATAAAGGTAAATAAAAGGAATTACTGTCTAGTTGTTGGGTATGCCAGGGACATCAACGACAGTTGGAAACATGGGGGCAATTAATGCATAGCGGGCTTAGTCCGTTTTGTATAAGTTACCCCACGCTTCCAACTATCGTTGATGATCTGGCATACCCGACAAACTAGACAGCGGGTCCTTAATCATATCCTAATTCATATGTGAGGACACATATACAATCTCAATAGAGTGTAGTAAAAAGAAAGTTTCAGAAAAGTTATCGAGTACTCACATTTTCTTGACAAGTCTTACTTCTGTTGAAGTGTTCGACTCAATGTCTTTCACATCTTTAAAGATTAAGAGAAAACAAACTCAATGATTGATATACATGTAAACCTTATATGACCAGTGATATCCTTTTCAAAGTTATGGTAAGCCATCATCAAAAATTTTTCGTACTTGAAAAACGTCTTTCTTTTTTTAATTATTTCATGAAAAAAGTCATTAGATATATGTAATCCTTAAATTAATGTTATAATAACTGAAAGTTTTGTTGACAACTTTTTTAAAAATTAATTATCTCTATGAGAAAAAGAAATGTTCATTTCTGACAAAACGCAAGAAAGTGATTCCAAGCATTTTTCTACAAATTGCGAAAATTATTGAAAACAAAATTACAAAAACAGAACACCAAAAGTGATTATTTGTATAAAAGAAAAGTTGATATGAAATTCTTTTCTTAAGTTTAAAGTGTTTCCAAGAGGAAATGATGTTGTCAAAAGAAAGAAAGAGACATGGTAAACGGTGTATGAGAGATTTTTCAAGTCACTAAGTCTTGCTTTTAAACTTAAGCTAGTAGAGAATATTTACGCACTACATAATTAACTTTGTGAAAGATGATAGAAGTGAACTTATGAAAAGTTCAACTAATTTCAACGCGTTACTGTGAACGGAAGCTGGCTTTAGAGATATTCAAAGCCATGAAAAAAGAAATACGTGTGAGGAATTCTATAGGTTTGTGGATGGACCAACAATGAGATCTGAAAAATTACGGGTCATAAAAGTCAGTAACACTGCGTCATGTGCGAATGATGTAAACTTATTATGAGCTTATTTTCAAAACGAATTTAAATGTTCTACCAATCCAAATGAATTTTCAGACAAATCTTAGAATAATCCTTGTGGTAGCAATTAACAATTGGATGTAATACGTTATACATGTACTATAATACAGAAATTAAGAAAATGAAAAAAAAATCCCATAACTTCATTCGCATTTGCAATCATGCAGTACGAGAGTAAGGATTGATGAATAGAGAGATGAAATGTGTCTTTAATAATCGGTCAATTTCTGCATCTCATTTAACATGAAGCAAAATGACCATTATACAAGCCTAAAAAACAATAGACTTTAACACTCAAGAGGGATACTTACTGATTAAAAAAAAATCTTAAGTAAACTTAAATCTATTCATTTGTAACGCTGATTATAATTATCCTAACCATGTCTTAAAAATCTTGTATACAAGTTATACTGATATCGTTAATAATGATATTTTTATTTAAATTAGCAGATTATAAAATTATTTCAAATTTCATTTGAGTAAAGTTTGGATACTGAATCGTCCGACGATAAAACTATTAATATCAAAATATACTACCTCCACTTTTTTCTTCCTCTATTTCTTTTTCGCCGAGAACTGAATGTCTGTAAATAAATTAGGGAATACTTTACGCGTCGCCGGTAAAACTAAGTTTGTGACCGTTAAATCAGCATTAACGGTCGCAAATACCAAATTAGAAGATAGTTATCCCCATTCTAATGCAATTTATGCCTTTTGTTTGATGTTTACGTCCTATTTTGTTGAGTTTTGTAATATGAAATACGTAACGGAGTGTTGTCTTTTTTGCGTCGCTCTATTATGACATCACAAAGGCTTTCCCTCTCGTTAATGCTTGTTTAACTGCTTCAAACATCATTGCATTATCCAATCAAAATTCATTTTACAAAACAATTGCGTTAGAATGCTTCATCATTTCAACTCATGACAAAATAGTTCTTGGACTAATGAAAACAATTTCTGTGCAATATCTAACTCTCTTTCTAATTAAACATAATATTAAATTTAAATATAATAATAGAATAAAAAATTGTTCAAATATACTTTTCATACTTGCACTTGCGTTTGAATTGTCAAAAATTCCCCACAGACGATCGAGATTACCTTGTTTCCGACAGTTTGTTTTTGTTCTGAAGAATGACTTTATCATCTGCTCTGACATATTCAATAACCCCACCATGGCTATAATGAAGGGTCTGAAAAAATACGTAATAAACACTCGAAACACCTTGATAATTAAAAACCAAATATATTTTTCATTCATCAACGATCATTATAATTATAATCATAAGCAGAACAATGAACAAGAAGTACAATTTATCTTCTTTCAAGACATCTTTTATTTAGTTAGTACAAAATGATGCCTGTTATTTGAACTTCAGAAAAAAAATAATCTGAATTAAGGAAAGTACCATCAGTCATTTGATTTCAATAAAACCTGGCCTAAAGACCATAAATTGAGAACAGACCTCAGTCGAGAGAATGGAGGCGTACAAGGCGAGGGCAATCTCCCGCTCAGAGAAAAGACATTTCTCAATTCTAAAAGTTTATGAATTTTTTTTTTTCGAAAATTGTATTGTCAATATCATCTTTTACACATTTGCTTCCTTTATTTCACACATGTTTATAATAACTTATTGATAAATAATTTATTTTTCACTTATGTTTATAAGTTATGTGAAAAAAAAACTTCACACATGATTCGAACTCTTTCCAAAGCTCACTGTTAGGCGTGAGAATGAACACGTTAACCACTACGCTACGAAGTCATCATGTCAGAGATGTTTATCAGTGATTTAATAAATGAGTTTGTTATAGCATATAATTTTTTTTCAGAAATGTTCGATTTTCATACAGAATGGGTTCAGATTCCTTTTTTTTTAAACATAAAATAGATTTTATATTTATTTTTCCGTCATTTAAGCGTTAATTAAGAATGCAGGCTTGACCCATTCATATTAAAAAATCATTTTTCTTGGCTTAAATAAATTTTCTACTAAATATGCTTAACTGTCAACTTTAAAAACAAATTGTCAATCAATAAGTCACTCGATAAAATATATGATTCAAATGTGTTGAAGGTAACATTACTGAAAACATAACTTTAAAAAAAATAAAAGCTTTTTCGTGAAATTCGAAAATTGAGAAATATATTGTCTCTGAGTCTCAGGGCTCAGAAGTGTCCTCGCCTTGTATGCCCTCTTCCTTTAGATTTTAAATAATTTTTTTTTAATAATAATTAATATTAATAAATTTTATTTAACAAATAAGGTTCAATAGTTCCAAATTTGTATACTGTTCAATTGCAAACCCATGGTAAAAATATTTTGTTTTTTAAATATCATTTCAAAAGTTATACTAATTTGAAATTCTGGCTTAAGTGTGTTCTCGATTTATGGTCTAGGGGCCGGGAAATGTATTTACCTTTGCATGTTTTCTATACACTTTGTCTGTGCTCTCATGAAATTTATGGACTCTATAGCCTGAGCTTGTGCTCTGAAGGACATAGTTGTGTGGCAAATAACCTGCAAAATATTCTTTTATTTTATGGGGAGTATATTTTGTTCGTGTAGAATATATAGACAGTTGCTACAAATATAGACTTGAAATATAGGAGGTAAAACAGATTCTCTTGATTTAAAGAGAAATTAAATTGTGAAAGAAGTTTCCTTTTTTACTTTTATTACCGTGCCATCCTGTACACGCACGGAATGAAATTATATTATTATTCCAAGAAATCTTAAAATCTTACCAGAATGGTCGTGTTCCCAGTTGTCAAATGTTTGTTTGTTTTTAAGACCAAGCTACAAAAAACGAGACAATTACTTATTTCATGGACATTTCAAGTTACATTTTATGATGTAATTAATTTTGCATGAATGGAACTAAGTACTTGAACACTAACACATTTTATAGAAAATATTTTGGACAACAGATGTCAACAATAACTATTTGATGTTGATTACTAAAATCTGTATCAATAGAGCTATGCTTTGAATGGTTTCAATGAGTCGCGTAAATATTATCCCAAGATGCGGTATGTTTTATTTTTCATAAGGAAAATAAAAGACAAAGGCAATTGTCAGTAAATAACTGTATTTCCAATGTGTAAGAGAAGCAGTTATAATAAAATGTCCCGGTACATTTAAGTTTTCTAATGACTGACATTTACAAGGTTAGCTATTTTTTCCATAAAGCTTTATAAAAACAAAGATCAAAATAGAACTTTTAAATATATACAACATGAACGGATAATTAAAATGTGACATATTTCAATATTTGATGGAAAACATTTACTAATATTTGCAAATTCTAATCAAGTTAATTATTAATATGATATAAATTTAGGAAATTGTTTTGTATTTTTGAGTTTTCTTAAAGGATCTGTACTTAAATTTAATATCATTTAATTGAAATACAAGAAAAACTAATCAACAAACCTTTCCTTTTGCAGATAGTACGCTGGCAAGAACCTTTTTTAGATTCAATACGTCAGTCTTCTCTTCATGATGATGTGCTATTTCTTTAATCAAACCATCCTCAGAAATTAAAAACTCGAATCTGATTTTTAACAAAAAAATATCACAGAATTAATCTAAAATCAGGTTTGTATTAGGCTATTCTAGCATTGCTGTCAACTAAAATCAATTCTAAAATGACAGATCTTTTATGATTTTCAGACATATAGTATAAAGGAGTTTTTTTGTTTGTTTGTTTGTTTGTTTTTTTGTTTTTTTTTTGTTTACATATTTGTTTTTTTTAATGTTGTTATTCATTAAGATGAATATACAGGTATACATTGCTGATAAAAATGTATTTGACCTCAATGAAGCAATTTCCTTCTTTATTCGCAATGTATCTTTAATTTTTAGAAATTAAATTAAAATTATATTACGTGTGTTAATTTTTATGTAACAAATGTGAAAATTTACAAAATAAATATATATACCCATTATCGAAGTTCCATCCCACGGGATTGGTTTTTGCTAAATGACAGTAAAAAAAATCAATTAAAACACAAAAATAAAATTGATATCCCAAATTATTCTATCAGTATTTTTCATTTCTCTTAATTTTAAAATAATGTTTTTTAAAAAAATACAAAACACATTGATCGTGAAATGAATTATAAAATAGCCTTAGATAATATTTACTTATTCCACCAGCAGACTGGGTGAAACTGTCTACATGGAGTTGACACAGCAGTGAATTATTCAATCTTTCAACTGGTCTTACACAGAACTGTAAGTAGAGAGATAGTAACAATGTAAATTTTGAAATTATCAAACAATGATTACAAATTCTCTCTCTCTCTCTCTCTCTCTCTCTCTCTCTCTCTCTCTAAGTATTTTTAAATATATAGATATATAAGTTCTGTCATTTTTAACAAATGTTTGCTTTAAAAACATAATATAAAGTTATATTTCTGTTTTTGTTTATCTTAATCTCTGAATTTCAATTATCCTGTTTATTTCCTGACTTTAATTTGTCATTTGAGAAACAAAAATATACTAGTCAAAATTGCTTTTCTTTTTTTTTCTCAATCATCATATTTTTTTTAATGTTTATTTTGACATTTAAGTACCACTTTAACTACAGGCAATATTTTTTGACTTACGTACATGTATTTAAAAAAAAATTTTTAACCAAAATCCCTAAACACTTTAGCCATATTACCCTAATTTAAAATAAAAGGTAGTAAAACAGTCTTTTTTTCGGGAAATTTTGTTGGTTTGCAGAATAAAGATTGGAAAACTTGTCTATCATTTTTAGCTCACCCGAGCTGAAAGCTCAAGTGATCTTTCCTGATCACATTATGTCCATCGTCCGTCTGTAAACTTTTTACATTTTCATGTTCTCCAGAACCAATGGGTCTATTTCAACCAAACTTGTCACAAAGCATCCTTGATTAAAGGAATTCAAGTTTTTTTTTCCAAATGTAGTGTCACGCTCTCTTTCAGGGGAAGATAATTAAGAATCAGCGAAAATTTGGTTTTACATAGGAATATATAAGAAAAATCTTTAAGATTCTTCTTTCTCAAGAACAGCAAAGACACGATTAGTCATATTTATATGGAAGCATTCTCAGGTAATGTAGATTTAAGTTTGTTCAAATCATGACCCCCTGGAGTACGGTGGGGCCACAGTGGGGGGATCAAAGTTTTACATAGGAATACATAGGAAAAATATTTTAAAGACTTCTCAGGAATACTAGTCTTATTTAACGGGAAGCATCCTCAGATAGTATAGATTCAAATTTGTCCAAATTATGACCCCCGGGGGTAGAATGGGGCCAAAATGGGCAATAAAAGCTTTACCTAGGAATTTATAGGAAACAATCTGTAAGAGACTTCTTAAGTACAGCAAAACCATAATTAGTCATATTCATATGGAAGCATCCTCAGGTAGTTAAGATTCAAGTTTGTTCAAATCATGACCACCTCCCCTGCCCCCCCCCCGGGGGGGGGGGGGGAGGGGGCACTTATATATTTAACTTTTTTAATACTTAGCCGCTCTCTGCTTTTCTTAAGCCAAGTGCTCAGGTGAGCGAGGTGGTCCATGCGTCTCTTGCTTTTTTTTTTAATTTTTAATCTACTTGAAGGAAATATATAAAAATAAAGTAATTATGTTTCAAGAAGAGTTAGTAAGCATGCTTTATATTTATACGATTATACTGTATATGTTTGCATCCATATACAGTTTTGCATTTACGGCCAACTATTTTTTTTTCTTTTTGTCTCTAGATATACAATTCTTGATTAATTTAAATTAAATTCAAACCTATTTGAAGTATTTTATGAGCATGAGCAGACAAACTGGATTACAACACAGATACAATGAACTTTATTTTAACTATGTCAGTGATGTACATTTATTGGTATCAGAAATATTCATCTTCATTTTAGGCTGAATATTGTCATAAACTTGTTTTTAAAAAATTAAAAATTAAACTGTGCAATTTTGAAATTAAAAAATAACATTGAAATCCGAACTCCCCATAATTTCTATCTTAAAATTTATTGCTGCAAGATGCATTGCTTCACTATAACATAAATAATGACCCTTTTCTGCAGCAAAGCAGCGAATTTCAAGAAAAAATATTCTTAAAAAAAATAAACATTGTCTCAAAAACTTCCTTGACCTACTTTGGCCTGCAATGATTAAATGCTTGTAATGCTGACTGCATCTACTACTGCTTTCTAAAAGTTTCCTTTGAATGATAGAACTTGAAGCTAATGCTAGTGATTTAAAATGCTTTTTATACACATGTTGTGGATAAGTCCCTTGTGTAATTTCTTAATTTTACTGAGGGACACTATTGTATCATACAAATATTATAATTGGTCGCCGAATTTGCCAGATGTCACCGACAATCCATACATTTCATGATCTTAGCCATGCAATACGTCAGAAGTGGCAATCTTGACCACAGCATCAAATTCAACGTTTGATCATAGGCTAAAACGTATGCTTCAAGTCCGTTATTAATATATGATCTGAAATTATAATTAAACACTGAAAAAAATGTTCAGTGTGTTAAGGTTACAACATGTTTATTTTATTTAACTTTATTTCATTCACAATAAACTATTCATTGCATTTTCTAACAAATTCCATGTTTTATTAGTTTTGAAATAGAATGAAAATGACTAAATTTAATAATGATGTTTCTACCTTTTTTTAATCAAATGATGTTAATAAAAACAAAATGAAGCATGAAAACCTTTATTAAGTCGAAAGTGTAAAATTAATCATCATACTTTGGCTAAGGGAGAAAAAGCTTGTGTTGCGATACTTTCCAAACTGTCCATCTTCTTTACGAATGAAAAATAAGAAAAAGTTCAGTGCATTTTTTTTTAGAAAAATTGTATCATAGAAGAGTAAAAGTTCTGTCTTGTGTTGTCATAAATTTTATTGTTTTAAATCAAAAACTTTGATATTTTTATTGCTTTAAAATTAACACTTGAAATTTCCGAATAATGTATCAAAAAACAGACCGATCTATATCTCTTTTAAAATACCCTTTTTAGACAGCAACAGTTCATGGGGAATCAGAATTGTGTGGATGTTGAATAGTATAATAAAGGGGCATAGACTTTAAAAGCCTAGCTGAAAAAGGTTTCGTCCGGTTCAATTTCAAAAACCAAGGTTAGAAAAGCAAGTCATACATGCATGAGTCATTTTCATACTTTATCAATATATCTTGATTATAATTTTTTTTTTTCTATCTTTAACTATATTTTGCTTTTACTTTTATGTATACTTCAAATCATTTATGAAAATATATCTTTTGGTGTTTAAAGTATAAAGAAGATTAGAGCCAATATCCATTTTCCAAGTCTATATGTTCACTCTGAGGTACTTAGAGTGATTGTTGTTTAGAAATAAGAAAAGCAAGTCGCCAAATAAATTATGTCTTTCAGGGATAATGTTCTCATCTTGCTTATCAGGAAGTGCAAATGGGGTTTTATCTTTAAAAGTGCTACTAAGTTGCAATCACTTTATTTAAACTGCTATGGAAATATATATATATATGTATACGAGGGTTGTCCGGTAAAATCGTGGACAAAGAGTTTTTCTCGAAAAATAATAGGCGCACTAAGCTGAAATTTTCAGCAAACGTTTATTCATCATATTTAAGTGCATCTTAATTTTTTTGATAAAATATAGACAAAAATAAAGATTTTATTATGCTTGAATGTGCACAGGGTACGGTCCTACGGCGCACGATCAAAAAAACCTGGGTTTCATTAGCGAATACACGAGTATTATTTCGAAGTAAAAGTATTAAATAGATAAGGTTGGAGTAAAAATTATCCTGTTTTTAATCCACTATCTATTATTTCGTCTTTTGTAAAATATCAAGGCATTTGCTAAATTTTTGGCAGTTTCTCGAGCATTTGAAATGGGAAAGTGGTAAACGCAACACACGAAAAATGGTGACGTTTGGTGACGTTATGGCGCACCGGAGAGCAGTTCAGTTTGATTTAGATCTAATAATGACGCCCTAAGAAACTCTAAATGACTACAGACGAAAAAAATATAAAAACATTACTAGATCTTTAGTATACAAGTGAAATGGGAGTTTTCTACGCGGAAGCTTTTTGATCGGGTCCCCGGGTAGAACAAAACATGCGGACAAACAGCTACTGACAATAGCAAAAGACGCTGTCACTGTAGATCGTCGATATAAGATACATTGTAGCCTGTTTAGTTGATTGATAGTGAGAGTACTGTCCATAACTTACTAATAAGTCCTCAGAAGTTCCCATGTGTGTGCGAAATTGGTTCCTCGACTGTTTATGGGGGAATAAAGGGAAAATCAAGTTTGTGCATCAATGAAATCCCCGAATTTAAGTGCGGCTTATCTAATGTTTATTTAGCAAAGAAGAAACGTGACACTGCTTTAGACACTTTGACGTTATTATCCGCGCTCCGTAAGGCGATACCACACATAACAAAGTCTCATATTTTGTTTATGTGAGCAGATATCTATTTGAAATTTGCTAGATATATTGATGAAAAATGTACTAAAAAGTAGTGAAAGTTTTAGAACGCAGTGATGATTTTTTTTTTTCAATCTATACAACTTGTTCACGATTTTACCGGACAATCCTCGTATACATATATCTTTCACCCTCAATGACCGTTTAGTGTATGGCAGCGCCGCGAAAATTCCATCGGCATCAAAAGAGAGTATTTCGACAAGCCCTCGATGACCGAGCGGTCTAGCGCGCTGTTCATGTACTGCTAGGAGACAGATTCCGAGATCAAGAGTTCAACCCTGGGTTGGATCGGACATTGGTATCCTTATAAAAGTGAAATTGTATGTGATTTCTATATATATTAATATTTCTTCATTTAGGGCAGGGGCAGTTACAGTAAGCATCTTTTATAACGTATCTCAGGGGACTGTGATAAATCCTACGTTATAACCGGTGTACGTTATAAACGGAGACCGGAAGTACACAGTACACCTTTATCGTAAGCACTTTCCAAACCGCTAGTGTCTTATTGATATTTTAAAGTTTTTTATAGTATGTAAATAAATGATTTACGGGTATACTTAAGAGCTGTACAATCTTGATGATCGTCAGATCATATAAAAAGTCCGTAATGTTTGTTTGTTTGGCCTGACGACATTTATTTACAAAAGTCTCCAGAGTTGCCAGAGTCGTGAAAACTTCGGACTTATGCCCTTTGATCGTCTGGGTAGATGGTATGCACGTGTCAGGCATGACCTCGTCGTCCTCGCTGTCTACTGATATTGAATCAATGTATTTTTCTTTCACAAGTTTAATTATATCATTTTCGGTTATATTGCTATTTACTGACTCAAAGATGAATTTTTATTCAAACAATTTTGAGTACATCTACTCGATGAACTTTATTCAAACAATTTATTATAAAAATATACATCTACCTGAAACAACAAAGAAACCTCGTTAGAAAAACACCCATACAGAAAAGCTATAAAGTCAACAAACCGTGACTAATCCGCAGTCATTGCTCTGGAAAGGTGTGAAACCATGTGTCAGAATACGTTATAAGAGGTATAATTATGTAACGGGACCAAATTTCTAATACTTTATAAGCGATACTACATTATATACAAATACGTTGTAAGCGGTGTTTTTTCCGATGAAATATATAGACACGTTGCCGGGACTACGGAATGGCTACTTTACAGCCGGAGATACTTTATAACCGAGTACGTTATAAAAGAAGTTTACTGTATGTTAGTTTAAGAGTTGTTGTAAAAATGTGCATATATATATATATATATATATATATATATATATATATATATATATATATATATATATATATATATATATATAAAACATTAGGTTTCTAGATTTCTAAATATCGTATTATACTGTTGATGTAAATGATTAATTATTAAAACGTAAGTTGGAAGAATGGGCTGGTTCTACATGTACATGGTAATTCCTTTTCAAAACCTTTTAAACTTTAAAGCCTTGTTGCTGCCAGTGCTTTCTGAAATTGCCTTAGCGACTTATATTCTGCCCAGACTTGCACAGGAATGATTCTGTTCCTTCATATATATCAGTTACAGTGGGGATTTAAATCGCTTCAACCTTGCACGATACACTTCATTAAGAAAGCAACAAATAGTTATATTCTCAAAAGCATTTCAACATTCATACCCACACTGAGTTTTTATATATTTTCAATCATCTACATTATCTATCAATTGCATTGGTTGGTGAGAAAAGAATTCAAATTCAATAGAATTAAATATATTATAGTACGCAAAAATGGGTACCAGAAAAATATACTTTGCAACATTTATAATATTTTTTTTTTCAAACAATAATTTTTTCTACTGAAACTTACTAAAAATAACCAAAATTACATTGTACATGACACTAAAGTAAAAAAAAATCATGATTATGAAGTATTATTTAACTTTTTGAAAAAGGGGTTGATACAAAAGAATTCTTGAACAAGAAACATGTACCGTAACAGTGGAAACTGACGATGTGGAAACGTTGACAAATTTCTAATAGTCGTTGAAGTTTCCACTCACCATTTTTATATATATCGAAATCGTCAAACTTTCAACCCTTCAATATAACCGCTTTAACAATATATTTTTTATACAATAAGTAAACTATTAAAACTACGGTACCTTGACGATGGTAGTAATTCTAAAATCGCCCAAAACCACTGACTCTGCCTTGTAGATGTACCGATAATCGTATCCTATGTCATAATTATAACTGACAGTGCCTCCAAAAAGATAAACCAATAAAATACAAATAGAAATAACCAAATTATGACTGATGAGAACCATCACAGCTTCATGAGAGCGACTTTCTCATGTTAAAACTCCTGTATGTCTAATTTGCATAAAATCAGGAAGTAAAATAGGTTGTAAAGTTTTTAAGAACCGGTCTCTCGGACCTCTATTCAAAGTTTAAATCCGATTATTGTCTCTTTAAACTTATGTGTGCTATAAAGGTTCTACAGAATATAGTCGAGTTATTTACTTAAATTTTAAAAGCACCAAGACAGGAAGTTTAAAAGAATCTTTGTTTGGAATTGGGAACTGTTTTATATTCGTGTCGGATTATGTTTTTGTACCAAATCCATTTACATTTCGACCATTTGTGAGCTTAGAACCAGGAGATGTTATTGTTACATATACATACATTCCTGTTTTGCTTGTGTCTGTTGGGGAATGTTTGTGGAAATGAATCTTTTACCGAACAATACAAAACAATAGAGGAGGATTCCGGGAGGGAACTAACGGTATCCACTCAAGGACGACTACGAAAAATACTGGACTTGGATGATAAGAGCACCGTTGCGGTAAGATTTATACTTTAAGTATTGATAGGTTTACATGTTACAGTCATTTGATTCTTGTTGAAAGTGGTAATGGCATTTCCTGTTAAGATATTTTTCTTTTTTTTTTCCTCCATATTATACCGATAGATTTGCAATTAACTATACGCAATCGATACAAAATCAAATATAATTCTTACACCATGGGTCCAGATGGTCCATAAAATTATGTAGCTAATCTTCCTGCAGTGTGTTATACGAGGAAATATATTTCTGTAAACTCAAAGAAAAAAAAGTGCAGTGGGATTTAAAAATTATCACATCCCTACTTTGAAACATCGACAGTTGGTGTTACTGATCTACAGCTTTAGGTTCTTTCTCCATGGAATGACCTTATGTCTGTTGTTTAAAATTTATTTCTTCATGAGCTTTATGACTCTATTCAGAACTTCTTTTTTTGCAGGTATTATTCAGAACTTTTTTTGAAGCTATTTAGAAAGACGTATTTTTATAGTTTTAACCGAATTCTTTCTTCTTTTTCATTTTTACAGATTATAAAGTGATTTATTTACTTTATTGCTAGAGGAAGTCTATATGTATAACTGTATTTATATATTTATCCATCTAGACACGTTACCTCAGATAGTTTTCATCTTAACTATTTCAAATTTTGTACAGTGGATTCTGCCATAAGAGAAAGACACACTGAATTTTTGGTCCATCTGTCTATCTGTTCATAAACGTGTACACTTTTGTTGTGACGCAAAACCTCCAGCAGTCTTAATGGCATGAATTTCTGTCTCTCAATATGTATGCAAGTTCTTTTGTCCAATCTTACAATATTAATAATTTTACCATATACATGAATGACTATTGCATTTCACCTTCCTTATGTGCTTTGTGTTGTTCTAAATATTACCGTGTTAAGTAAAATTGTCACTTTCCTATTACAGCCCTTGGCAAGGCCTTCTATGAATGTGTCAGTTTGCTTTTTTTGTTCAAAGTAAATTAAGATTTACGGAATATTTTAGTCTTCACTTACCTGTTCACATTTATATTTACTGCTTACATTCAAAAATTTTTTTTTTCAGGAAACATTTTTTTTCTTTCAATCATAATCTGATAATGTGAAAAAAATTGCATTCCCTACTGACTATGGAGAAAAGATTGATTTGAAATTTCGACGTCATCGTTATTATAGTAATTAAAAAAAAAAAAAACAACAACACATTGATTGCTTACGAAAATCGTAACAATTTATTCTGTACAAATTAAATGACGTGTGCAATGTTTTTCTTTAGTCTGGCACAAAACTAAAATGATTGATTTTAAGCTTCTATGTTCTTTCTTTTTTTCATAGAAAACGATGTGCAGAGATAATTTAATTAAAGTATCCTTAGTCTCTGTAAACTCTGGAAGTGAATGGAGGATAGGAGACGTAGTTGTGGGTAGTGCATCCCTCAGATGTCAACTCAAGTTCACAAAAGCGGGGGATGGAGTCCTTGGAAAAATTGTATATATTGAGGAAAAAAGAAAAGGACTCTTGTATATTACGGTAGAAAATGCAAGGTTGGTATCCTCAGTCTAATTGTTAACGATGATACTTAACGTTTGAATCTAAAATACAACTTTTGTTAATTAGTACACTGGTAAAGGTATTTCTATTTTCTATAGCCCATTGGATATACTAGAAGAGGCTGACTTATCTGTTCATGTGAGACACCGCTCAAAAAGAAGCAACACGAATTTTCTGTCGAACATTTTGGATAGCATCAACTGGGAAGAAAGAACAAATACAACGGTTGAATTAAACCCAGAAAGAAAGCCTTTCTCTCTGCTGAAAATGGCCGATAACCCAGAACCGGAAGTTCTGGTATTTAATTCAGGAAGCCAGAATCAAAGTTCAACAGGGGCAGAGTTCAATTTTACGTGTTCTACTTGTTTTGGAAAGATTGATTTATCATACCATTTGTAAGAACTGCAAGAAAAATATTTTCAATTAATCAGTTATATATTTCTATAGCATTATTAGTTTTTGTTTTTTTACCTCAGTGAAATTAAAAATGAAATTACACCATCAAAAATATTTTCACAGAGAAATGAGAATAAGAAGAGACCAAACAACCAACAAACCTATTATAAAGTCCTACCTTTCTCAGATAGAAGGCACAGCTACAAATTACTATCAGTTTACAATTGAATCTCAGAGAGAACTGACTCTCAAGTTAGAAAGGAAAATTATGGATACAGCTCCTACTTTTCTTCATCCGATACAGCTAGCAACATTTAAAAGATTTCCCACAATACATCTGGCTATCAGCGTCCAATCCATTACTAATCTGTCTGCGGATGTAATATCAATGTCTTCACAGGAGATAAAGGTCGACGACTCCTTCCAAACATCGGGAAAATTTGTCGTATGTGAGTATACATACTCAAAAAGGATTTATTAAGATTTTCTTTTGAAAGTTTTTAAATAACGAAGCAATTTGAAAAAAAAAATCTTTGTCATTTATCGTAAAACAAAATATTTTTAAGATATATTAAATATAATTTTTTCAAGCAGTAAAAATTATGTTTCATAATCGTTATAAAATTCATAAGTTAATGTAAACCTCAGGCCGTTTGGTTCAACATTAAACCTGTTGAAAAATGACTTCTTACGTATTTCGTGTTGCAGTATACAATTTCTTTTTTATGCATTGGATACCATAATTCGGATAGCTATAAAAGTAAACGTTACTCATACAACATGAAAATAATTAGATATATAATTTATTTATTTTTATCTCAATGCATCATGCATTTAGATTTTTTTAGATTAACTGCTGTCATAGAATTTTTTTGTTTCTTAATCACATTTACAAAAAGTCAAGGTCATTCAAATCTCGAAGGTTTCAATGTCATACAAGGCCAGTCTATCTCTCCCTTGATCTATTTACAGGCGACCTTATGCAATGAAATTTTATTAGAGTATAATTTATTTTTTTATTTTTAATTGACAGTATTTAGATTCTTTCAACAGATTCCTATATCTTTAATTGTTTTCTTTGTAAAGTTATTGATGACTTTTCAAATCTCAAAATGAATTTCATTTAAATTCCATTTTGAAAGAAGCAGGCGAACTATGAAGATCTTAATCACTGTCAAAATAAGACAATGTATCGGGTTGCACGTTTTGTGTATTCTGTCCTTTTACAGAAACAAAAAAAAATTCTCAAAAATGATCAATGACTGACGGTGTACCTGATTTGTATTGTTTTGTGTGTCAGTCCTCCAAGGTCAAAGTTGACGAAAAGAATATTCAAAATATTTACACGACAGATATTGAAAGAATTTAATTTAATTTAATAAATTATGACAGACCTTTACGGAACTGGTGCTTCCTTGGCACAGAATTATCAGTGTTCACGAACATTCTTGTACACATTGAAAAGAGAAAGATGATTTTAATTTTCTTTACTTTTGATAAAATAAAAAAATTAATTTTCTTTTAAAAATATAATTGCAATCTTCAAATTAAAGTTTCTTTCTTGAAATATGCAATGCCACTATTCTAAGCAATGCATTTGATGTAGATGCAAATGTTTTTCTGGGGGAAAAATCAGATTAAGTGAGTTTTTTTTTTCTACATCTAGCCAATCAGCACAGTCAACACAATGGTCCACCAACAAATCATCTCACGACATCTGATTGGCAGATACAACACAGCCCACATGACGGAGTACTATCCAATGATTCATTTTCTATCCATATCAATCTTTCTCAGGAGGTATGTATGCGATGTATATTGAAAAAAAGGTTTTCAAGCTCTATTTTGTTTATATGCACCAAAAGATTCTACTTATGTCTGTATAAAAATGCTTTTTTAATCAGATTTTCATAAAACCCTATATTGAATGGAGAGAGCGAGATATTCTATTAGATTTTGGATCACCTTTTAGCGTAAGGTTAGTCATTTTGACATGTATTCATTGTACTGGAATCTTGAGTATAAGTGTATTTTTCTATCACTTTTTCAATAAGTCAAAAGTAGTATTTGAGGAAAAATCATTAATTTTGTAGATTAAATCAAAATCTGGATGTGATATCATCAGTTTCCGATGTATCTCTGTGTACAGATATGACAGCTCAGACTACAAGTGTGTTCTTCACAGGAAAGAATTCTTTGGTGGTAGATGCATTTGGGATTCCAATATGGTACTTTCAACTTACCTTGATTAAATATGTCCCCACTCTACACTGATTATTTTTCTATCATTGCTCTCGGTTATAAAAAAGTAATTTGTTGCGCCAATATGTCTTCTAAAAAATGCATTGAATGCATTTCATTTTAACAGGGGAGACATTTCAACTTTATCTAAAGCTCAAGTGACGAATTCCTCTTTGATTCAGCAAAATTTATTCAATAAATGTCGTGCGCATTGCTTTGGAAGTCAACAAATATCTACGACGACGATAAGCGCTTGTGGTTCAACAGATGACGTAGTACTCCGAAATTCGTCATCATTTTCTTCGTATGTATACCTGATTTAACATTTATAATTTCTCAATTGTTCAGCACATAAATTCAAATCTTATAGTCTCATCTTTTTCATTTTTCAGCACAAAATAAATGATGCTCAAGTGTGTAATGTTATTTCTTATCCAATTTGTTTCATTAATTTAGTTTGCGAAAGTTATTTGGGGATTCTATCTTATTCCTGTCGGAAGAGTCCAGCGAATCGTCGTGGTGTGGATATCCGGGAAATCCTTGTACCGACTGTGCGGACTATTTTCAAGATGATAACATCTGCTCCGATAGATACGTCACACCTACACTTGCAGAAGTTTTAACAAAATTATCAAAACTGGTTGCCGCTGAATGGCCGGACAGAAAGCTTTTGATTTTGGAAGCTTGGGACGAACCTACATCCGCACATCCGGATGGAAGCCATGGTAATCTGTCATTGTTTTACACTGGGAGAGCAGCTAGAGTTGCCCTTAGCAAAACCCTTTCCAGTAAAGAACCTGAGACTAATGAAGATATTTTCCAAAGATTCAAGGAATTAATTCAATGTTCCGATGTCGATTTTTTCGAAATATTCACCAGAAATTCCATAGTTGACATGTGCATTTCTGATGATTCGGCGTCTTTATTTACAAACCAGGACAAAAAGAGAAAGAAAAGAGCAGTGAAATCAAACAACATCGCTCAAGTCAACACCTGGAGAGAGGAAAAAGACAAATATGATGATCATTTATTTAGTCTGGGTATGTTTCTTTATTATAGAATAATATTTTGATACGCCCGTACTGATGATTTTTAAACAAAAATTATATTTGTTTACAAGAGGAATAAATTTCTGTACCACTGAAGTATGCTGTGAGTTTAGTCATTGCAATGATACGCATTTCTAATTTAATATGTTGTATACATGTATTTTTAAGTAAGTGCAAAGACTCTAGGATCTACTTCAAAGGACTTCTTTGGTAGTGGGAAATATTACCCACAGGGTAAAACTGCACAAGATGTATGTGGAGAAGCAGATGATATATATAGCATAGAAAACCTAGAACAGATGCAACGGTGAGTATTATTCCATCTTCTCTTCCAATAGTTTGGACAGCCAGATGTTTGTGATAGACAACAAGATAACACTATCTTTACTTTTCAATCTTAGGATACGATGTTTGTAACATCAAACTCGGTGAAATTTTTCCGATTTCTTTCTCAGGTGTGATATGTACATTTTATGTCATTAAAATTCGGTATGACGTAAAAATAAGCATGTTATTACATGTACCTACAAAACATCAAAAAAAATATGAAAGGCGACGTTTCAATATAATATTATTGAATGATAATCTTTATTCATACTACAGTAGTAACTGTGTTACTGAAAACTTTTTTAACGCATTCGACAAAGAATGATTTTTGATTGAATTATTCACAGATTAGTTCAGTATCCACTACAGAACGTTGAGTTTGAACCAGAGGGAGCAAAGACGTCATCTTGTGGAGCGTTGACCCGGGAATGTAATCAGTGTAAAGATTATAAGGACGTTGATAATCCCTGGGATTGGTGCTTGACTCGGACCATGAATACTAGAGCTGTCACGAGATTACGGAGGCTAGTAAAGTTGATAGAAGATGAAACACAGAGTGAGTACATGTACCATTGTTAGCCTTTTTATTAATGAGAACTGTAGATTGAGAAATTAGGTTATAATATTTCTTGATATGTGCGTATATGTAGCTTTTGTAATTTTTTATTCTTAAATGATAAACTAAGTTAGCATTTCAACAAAAATAGATGTCAAAAATACATTCTCATTCTGATAAATCTAGTTTTTTTAAACTTTTTATCTTTCACCGAAATTGATATTTTGAGATGTAAGAACTTTAAGGTCCTGATGATACATGAGATATGACAAACATATTCATTTGACATAACTTATCCTCATATGATGTGATTTGTGCGTTCCGTATTTTAAGCATTTTCAAGTAATCAAATATAAAGTTTGGAAAAAAATGTTAACCCTTACAGTTCATTGTATATGATCGAAGTATTTAAAAGTAGGAATGATATGATGAATATTATGTACATGTATTTTAAAAGGATCCTCACTTGGAATGACAGACGAAGAACTCGGTGTTTGTCGATCCGGAGTGGTGCTGTTTCAGGATCTTCAAAAGTGTAAAGAACTGATGCCAAGCTCAACCTCCGACAAAGAAACTAAATGTGTTAGTAATAAGTCTGACTGTCGTATGTATTTTTGTCTTAAAACCATCGACATTTGTCTTGTATTTAAATATATCTGTTGTTATAATTGGACATAACCATATCAAAGTAACTTTTATGTTTAGTCAAAAGCAAATCTTGAAATTTGCCTTAAAATACTGATAAACATTTTTTGTTGACATTTTAGTACAACTGCATAAAAGATACCCGTTGCTGCTATCTCAATGACAAAATAGGTTGCATGAAAAACGATTGTTCTGGAGACCAAAGTGCCAGTGTGTGGACTCCAATTACATGTCAAGGTACGTTCAATAATGCATTATTGGAAGTATGTACGTGAGCATTCCATGGTGTGTTTTTTTTCAAGTAAAGTGTTATGCGTTTTTCTTATCAATAAATTTTGTCAGTTTTTTTCAAAGCCTTCTCTAATAAAGCTGAGGTTAGCTATTTTCTATATGAACTTTGCAGTGTTCATAATTCAATTTAATGTTGTCGTTAAAAATAACCAATGAATGAAGCCAGTTTTTTATTTAATATTTGCTTTTAAAAATGCATTATGTATATTGACTATTTAATGAAAGAAATAAAGACAGTGCACGATTCTACATGTGTAATTTCATAATTAAACCAAAACACACATCATTTTTTGTAAGAAAAATTGAAGCCGCATGCTTTATATTTTTACTCTTCTGTAGAACAAAATCCATTCGCTCCTGGTGTTACTATCCCTTCAAATCCAGGTAAATTTTACACTTTTTAGAATTACTTAATAATTAATATTTCTCAGACCTTTGTACTTTGCAATGTCTAATTATAATAAATACACCATATGTATATGTTAATGAGTTCAGAATGTTGTACAGAAGCAAAATACAACTGTATATATTCTCTTCCTAGCTTGTAATCAAGGTGACGATTCGAAAATGATTCTCTACGGAAATGTATGCTCAGGTAAGCACAAAGTTCAACTGGAAATTAAAAACGTTATATTCTGTATATTTTGGACGCATTATGGTTACTTCTTACGGATAAATATTTTTTTAACAGGCGATCCTTGTCAATTCTTCACTGGAAAAGAATATCATTTACTACTCAAAGTAATAATGATATTCGAAGTTTGTTCTGGGAAATGGGATCAGGCTACAATGGATTCAGACATTCAGAACCTGAATGTCAGAGACGGGAATCTGATGACGTTCTTGTCTTCATGTATGGGCAGTGATAATACTATCCTCAAAATTCACAACCCAATTCCTAATGATCCAACTATTGGTATGAAAAATAAACATACATTTCCATTACGATATAAAGATATAATTACGAAACGGACAATTTTGCTTCGTTATAAGTGTAATTCGTTAAATCCGTTAACTTCACAATATATTTTGAAGCCACAAATAATGAAAATTATTTTGCTGTTAGTATCAATTTATCATACGCGTTTCTCTATAAGTTGTTTTACTGTACATGAAACATTAACTTAGTGACCGGTTTTAATCTATTCATAAACAGGCTATAATAAAAAATTATTTAAGTTTAACATCTGTAAGATTTGTAAAACCAAATTGATATATTAAAAACCGTATTTAAATGTTCTCTTATTTGAAGTTGGAATTCATCTTTTTGAAGTAACGAAAGAATGTTTTTATGCGGACAATGGCTAATGGGTTATCACAATAATTTTAAATCTCTTATAATTTGATAAAAATGAATAAATAATTTAATCTTTAGGAATCGGGTACAGTCTTCGTGAAGCAAAAGATTCGACAGAAAAGAAAGATTTTCTATTGGAAACAATCCCAAGCCTGGATTATAACAAAATAATGAATGGGGAACAAAGTTTAACAAAAGAACAAGCACTTTTCCTATACGATGTAAGTTTTTATTATTCTGCAAAGAAAAACACACTTGTTCCAACAAGTTTTGTTAGAGTTATGAAAATTTTGTACCCTGAATTCTAATTTTACATTTATAACCCGTTATTTAAAAAACTCACTTACATAACAATAAGCAATGCATTTAAGTACTACACAAAACATACATTAGCTACTATTATAACGTATTCAAATATTATTTGCAATTTAATATTTTGAGAGATTGTTTTTAAAAGAGAACAATGAGAAGGCACATTATAAGAAGCATCAACAGTATCGTTCCTTTTAAAATATTCGTACATTTGGACACGGCTACGAAAATTGCCATCATCAACGCAAGATATAGAGGGGAAATTTCTGGAACTCTTAAAAAGAAGTTTAACACTGCTGTCACCAATGGTCAGTGGGCAAATGCGGCAGCCATTTATCTCAGCCATCCAGAATACAAGACTAAATACAAATGCACGACAACCGGCAAAGGAAGTATATGCACTAGAATGAAGTGGAATGCGGAGCAGTTCCAAAAAGAAGTTTGGAAACCAGGTGCAACCAATTGATAAATTTCAAAATCAATAAATAAATAATCTCGATTTAAATCACTGTGTTTGGAGAATGCTAATAGATTTTATTCATTTTATGATATCCGATTCGTAATGTTTGAAGAAATGTTTTATTTGTAAATTCTATGGTCGTTATAATGACCTTGTTAGTATATATAACTTATCATTAGGTCGAATTTTGGCTGACTTGTTTCACACCAATTGTTAGGGTTTTGTTTTTATACTTAATTTGAACACGAAATGTTCCGTTTACCTGATCAATGCATAGGGCTTATGGCAGTTGAGACTGGTCAGCAGGGGATGCTAACTCCTGCTAGACTCTGATACCACCTGCGAAATTCCCAGTAGTCTGTATTTTATGCTCTCTTTACATATTTGTATTTCTTATAGATTTTTTGTGATCGAACACTGTTTGTTACCTATACCTTTTACATTTATTGCATATCAGTGAAGGTATCCAAGACTGATCCGCCGCGAGGAAAGAGATCAACTGGGACGACCTTGTCAGCTGTTGGGAGGTATGGTATTTTTGGTATTATATTGAACCCAATTACTAGCATAACAAAAACATCTGGCATCGTAATTATTTTTTAAATTATTTGTGAGATACTACTCTTTGAAAATTAATATTAATTCATTTGTGACATAATTAGCCATATCAAACAATACTGCTATTTTATTTCGCAGATCATTGAAAATATCAGTAAACACAGGTGTGTCACTGAGCAACAGTAAACTGGCGAATCTCGCCGTTCTCGCGGGATTTGATCACGTGACAAAGGAATCCGATCACATCATAGTTAGCGTTCGACCAGCTACTGGCGTTAACACTGTCATAGTGAATTATCCAAACCTGAACATGCATGAAACAGAACCCCCAGCTAAGGACACAGTAGAATACGAAATACCAGCAGAGGCAGATTATAGCTTAATGTATCCCCTTCTTCTAGATGGATTCAATGATTCAATAAAACTCTCAGATTGTTATAGAATAGCCGATTTAAAAATTCAGAAATATAGGTACTTTAGATTTGATGTAAAACTGTTAGAATGCTTGGAGGAAGCCAGTAGTCATTATGAGGGATGCATCAAAGTGATACCTGGTTCTGGATATCGTGTAAGGTCAGATAACAATAGAAATATTGAATTAAGACATTCAGAAGAAAAATGGCGGTTTTCAGTAGGCCAAGCAGTAGAAGTTGGACAAGGATTGTCACTGAAAGAGTTATCAAATCTTGGATTAACAATTATCAGATCATGTGTAAAAAATCTTATTCCTAAGAGGTTAATACTAGGTATTGGGGCTCACTCAGATAGGTTGTATGTTGATATAAGGGAGTCAACCCCAAAAGAGGAATTTATTAAAGTTTGGGATGCAGGATTTCCGAAATTGTACAACGAGCTGAAAGAAATAGAGACGGGATTTAATAAAGGTTGGTAAAAGGAATTACTGCTGATAATTAAAATATCGATTAAAAATTTTCCTGTACTTTGCGTTTGCATTGTCAAACTTCTTAATATAAGTAATTTGATTAACTTAGGTGGTGCTTTCATTGATCCAACGAATAGAACAAGAGCATGCCAAACTCCACCCCTAGGATCCAAAGCATATTACATAAAATATTCCAACGAAGAGTAATTATTTTTATTTTGTCAGTAACTCTTTCAACACTATTAACATTATTTTTCATAAAAATATGGTACAATGTACCAATTATCTTTTTGCTTTGTTGGCATTTAAATGTATATATTTATAAATAGAATGAAGAAGCTTATCTATTTGCTATATCTGGATTAATAATCTCTCTTCTGCAAGTTTTGTTGAAATGAATATTTAAATATTGTCAGTAATTCTGATTTTGATGGTTTTATATAAATTTCGAATTTATCTTATAGTTTTTCAAATCATACTTGCTAATCATAATTACAGTTCTTGTAATTCGGATTCTGGGGTTTCCGCTGTTTGTTTTTCAACTTCCTCTGATCGCCAGAAGTCAGCTTCTGATCTTTTTAAACGATTGAATGAAGTCACTGGAAACGGGCCGCTAGATAGGGCGACACTTAGAGATAAAGTCAACAAATGTCTGGTGTCAATGTGTGGTGGTTGCATCGGAAAAGGTAACCTTCCAAATAATAGTAATTTATATTAGTTTAAAGTGTCAGATAATTGGAAAACCTTTCAGACGATAAAAAAGGTAGCATACTTTCTTCCTTGCCTTCGATAAAACCACAATTGTTAATGAGCTTTGCTTTAAGGGAATTAAAGGCAATGTTTTCTTTTAATATTTTTTACGCAGAAGAACCACAGCTACCTCCAATTTGCAGGAATGTTTATGTATTGCTAATACTGAAAAGGTTCAAATTATTATCCTTTATTCTAGGGTGATTTATTCGATTGATTGATTTTTAGGTCACCTGGGTCACTCAGGTGACCTATTGCTATCTGTTTTCGTCCGTCGTCGTCCGTCGTGCGACGTGCGTCGTGCGTCGGTCGTAAACTTTTGAACATTTTTAGCTTCTTCTCTTGAACCACTGAACCAATTTCAACCAATTTTGGCATATAGCATCAACAGGTAAAGGGGTACAAAAATTGTGAATTTCATGGTCCCTGCCCCCCTGGGGCCTGAGGGGTGGGGCTAAAACCATCAAAATTAGTGCTATCTTTAAAAATCTTCTTCTTTACTCCTGGACATCAAGCAGTCAAACTGTTGGCATGATTGTAATAAGCATTGAGCCCTCTACCAAAATTGTGAAATTCATGGCCCCTGGGTCAGGGGTTCTGGTGTTAGGGCGGGGCTCTATTGATTATATAGTGAAAATGCATTAATTCTTTGAAAATCTTCTTCTCTGCTCCTGGGTATTATTTAAACAAATCAAGTGTATGATAATGATGCACAAGGATGATTCTTCCAAAATTGTGAAATTCATGGCCCCAGGGTCGGGGTTCTGGTGTTAGGGTGGGGCTCTATTGATTATATAGTGAAAATGCATTAATTCTTTGAAAATCTTCTTCTCTGTTCCTGGATATTATATAAACAAACTAAGTGCATGGTTATGATAAGCATTGATGCCTTTTCCAAAATTGTGAATTTCATGGCCCCAGAGTCAGGGGTTCTGGTGGTAGGGCGGGGCTCTATTAATTATATAGTGAAAATGCATTAAGTCTTTGAAAATCTTATTCTCTGCTCCTGGATATTATTTAAACAAACTAAGTGCATAGTAATGGTGCACAAGGATGCTTTTTCCAAAATTTTGAAATTCATGGCCCCAGGGTCAGGGGTTCTGGTGCTAGGGCGGGGCTATATAGATCATATAGTGAAAGTGCATTATTTCTTTGAAAAATCTTCTTCTCTACTCCTGGGTATTATTGAAACAAATTGAATACATAGTTATGATAAGCAAGTGTGACTCTACCAAAATTTTGATATTCATGGCCCAGGGTCAGGGGTTCTGGCGCTAGGGTGGGGCTATATAGATCATATAGTGAAAGTGCATTATTTCTTTGAAAATCTTCTTCTCTACTCCTGGGTATTATTGAAACAAATTGAATACATAGTTATGATAAGCAAGGGTGACTCTACCAAAATTGTGAAATTCATGGCCCCAAGGTCAGGGGTTCTGGTGTGTGTGTGTGTGGGGGGGGGGGGGCTCTATTGATAATATAGAGAATCTGTAGTAAAAGTGCATTATTTCTTTGAAAATCTTCTCTGCACCTGGACATATCAGAGGCAAAAAGAGTAAAAGTTTTAATATAACAAAAGATTTTTGAACATCTGGACCATTTGATCAAGTGTTCTGGTCCTGGCCAGAGCTCTATTAATTTGTATTCAACTGAGAGGAGTTATTCCCCTTTGCTATTTACTTTTGATAATTAATCACTGTAAATAATGTACTTGAAAGGTTAATAGAAGAGGAGAATTATGCAAGATTTTTTATTGTATAATACAAAAAGTACTTTTATAGTTTAAATGATCAGGTAGACTTGAAAGTAATAGATAAATAAAAATGAGACAAAAATAACTTGTCTTATTCAATGTTCATCAAAGACCAAGAGAGTCCAATGTAAGGGAATTGAAATAGTACAGAATCACTGATAATTTGTTCATATACTGTATGGTGATAGTGATAAATGGGGAACAGATTAGAACCTAATTTATGAACTGTTAATGAACAGTAGACTAATTATTTTGTTGATCCTGATCACCCTATTTTTCTTGCTTTTGGGCAACAAAGCTTCACCTTTCAGTTCATTTTTTACTCTATGGATCCTCTAAATTGTTGTATTATACTCAGGTGACCGTTAAGGCCCTTGGGCCTCTTGTTGTACTTTTAAGTCATTCACAAGATGATTTCACTCAAATGCCAGCAAAGGGCTTCAAATTTAAACTTTTACTCGGCACCTAGGGCAATGGAGCAGATAGGGTTTTTGTCAACACATTCCATATTATTATACCTCATTATAATTATTCTATACAACATGTTGTCTGATTGGTTCTAGATTATCAAGTGACAGGGCCATACAACTTCATATTTCCCTGTCGTCGTCATGCTTTTCATCATATTCAACCTCTTCGGAGACCTAATGCATTTTCTCGCAATAGTTATCGTTCGTTGAAACTCCCGAGAGTAGTAGACGTCACAATAGCCTGGTTTACGTCACAAAGTTGCTGATTGACTTCTGTGTTTCAGTAACACTACGTTAAAATTGAAAGTGAATTTAAGAGCGGTGCCTAATTTGAAAGTTTATGTTTATTTTTAAAGTTTTTGCTTGTTTCGGTATAATAAACAATTTATTGCATGAATGTTCGGGAAACATGATTTATTCAGCCAAGAAATATCATATTCCCCTCGGGCGAAGCCTTCGGGGAATATGAATTTTCTTGGCTGAATAAATCTTCATATTTCCCTCACGATCATGTAATAATTGTATAATATAACATTTTTGAATAAGTTTTCCTATTATGTCACAAATACGATATTTTTATCCATGTGCCCTGAAAAACTGCTGAATCACGCCGGATATAGTTATATTACACCGGAAACCGTTATATTGCCCTCCCGAACACCGTTATATTCCCTCGCGTGCAGTCATTCTGTAATATTGATTAAGTCGGGTTCGAAATTCACAGAGGCAGTTGCTAAGCAAACGTAAACAGTTCCGCGAAAATTAAAAATGTCCGGACAACGTCTGCGTTTTGTTCATTTGAATTCAGAGGAACTTGATAATTTAATTGAGGAGAAAAATTCCGTAAATACAACGAAAGTTATCAACACAAGTGTCAGCGTGCTGAAAACATTCTGCAATGAAACAGGACGGGATATTTCGGAATTATACTCGACGCCCAAGTCAGAGCTGCAGGAATTCCTTAAGCTATTCTATGGGGGGTTGAGAAATTCAGAAGGGGAAATCTATGCAAAGAGAAGTATGATTTCAATAAGGTATGGCCTACAAAAACATTTTTTCAAAAAAAGAAAAGTTGACATCGTAAATGATATCGATTTCAAGGAGGCGAATAATGTGTTTCTTGCTGTGTGTTCAAAGATAAAAAAAGAAGGTAAAGGAGCTGTTGTGCACAAAGATCCAATTACAAGATCGGATCTTCAAAAACTATACACTTCCTTCAACTTAGAGGAAGCCGAAGGACTACAGAATAAAGTTTTCGTAGATTACATGCTGTATTTTTGCAACAGAGGTAGAGAAAACCTTAGAGAATTAAAAATTAGTGACTTCTCAACAAGTACTGACGATGAAGGCAGATTTGTATTCATTGCAAGAGATCATGCCACAAAAAACCACAAAAATGATGAAATTCACAGCCAAGGAGGGAGAATGTATGAACTGAAAGACAGTCCGCTTTGTCCTTATACTTCGTTTATGTCTTATATTGATAAATTAAATAAGGATCTTGATGTACTTTGGCAGAGACCCAGCAAAGGAAATGAACTTAAGTATGATAAAATAGCGGTGGGGAAAAATACTCTTGGGGATAAAATGAAAAACCTATCCAAAAAAGCCGAACTTTCAAAGATGTACACTAACCACTGTTTGCGCGCAACGTCAATAACAGAACTAGATAGATCTGGTTTCGAAGCTCGGCACATAATGTGTATATCTGGACACCAGTCAGAAAGCAGCATAAGAAGCTACGCAGCCCATGTAGACGACAGAAAAAAACTAGACATGGCCATGACAATCTCAAAGGCAGTAACAGGAGACTCTGTTCTCGGTATGTAAAAAAAAAATAGTATATTTTAAAATAAAATTAATTAAATAAAGTTTAATTTTTCAAAAAAAAAAAATTACCAAGTTCACAGATAAGTATTGTATTAAGCAATTTTTCTTATAATAAATTTTACAGTTGAGAACAAAGCCGCTGCTAGCAAATCTCCCTCTCCCCCGTCACCTCTACATGACGAACATTTATGCTTTGAAGGTAAATAACCGAATCATAGATTTCTTTCCTTAAATTTAACTTTTAACTGTGGTTACAATGGTTCCATCTCTTTACAGATATGGACTTTCTTGATATTACAAACTCACAGGAACGAAGACTTCTTGAAACAGTTTTTACAGAAGAAACAAAAACACTAGACTTGAACCTTTATCAGGGAAAAGAAAACGGTTTTCAGAAATTTCTGCCGGCGCCAATTATGCATTTTAACAACAGCAGTGTTAATGTTCATTACCATTATTATTGAAACAAACAGTGCCAACGAATCAGCTATTTATTAAACAATTAATAGTTTTTTTTCAGATATGTACATGTGTACATAGTGTTCAATAAATATGTTCGATAACCGATTTTGGTTATTTAAAAATGTTATATACCATATATTACATGGCTTCTCGGGCAACAATACCAGAATATTTGCCCCTCGGTAACAGGAAAGCCCTGGAGTGTTATGTCGCCCTCTGCCTTCGGCATCGGGCGACATAACACTCCAGGGCTTTCCTGTCACCTCGGGGGCAAATATTCTGGTATGCTGCCCTCGAAGTCATGTAATATATGTATAATATTGGGCCTCGTTACTTCTACTTGTCAGAAACCAGAAGAGCTCATGCGATAGTAAGGAGTCCGTCGTCCGTCTGTACGGCTGTAAACATTTTTTTCCAAATTCTACTCCTCCTACAGTTTTGATCTGATTTCAACATAACTTAGCACACAAGTAGACTACACTAAGATACATAATACTTTCTATCGGTTTTTAATTTCGATGAACGGTGTTGCCATGGTTAGTAAAAATAAAAATTTCTGTGAAATGCCCTCAAAACGCTATTCCTTCAACAGTTTTGGTCTAATTGCATTAAAAAAAAACTTGGCACACAAGTAGACAACACTAAGATACATAATTATCTGTATCGATTTTTAATTATGATGAACGGTGTTATCATGGTCACTAAAAATAGAAATTTCTGTGAAATACTTTCAAAATACTACTCCTCCAACAGTTTAGTCTGATTTCAAGCGCTCTACCAACTGCTTTGAGAAATATAACATAAAATATACCTTTTAACATTATCTCGAAGAAAAAATAAATTTAATCGTCAATGTTTTACAAGAGAAGCTATTAACTTCTGCAAGAACTACTATTAAGTTACATCAATTTTCATCTCCTTTAGTTTACTGAAGTTTTTGACTTTATAAAGTCAAGCAATTGTTTGTTTTTTGTTTGAATGTAATACTTTAAAGTTGCATCTATTCTCAAAGGAAAAATATGGAAGGAAAAGACGATGGCATGCTTTGACCTTATGTCTTATTTTTTGGACGGATCCTCCACTCCATTCCCAGACCTTAGAAACACCGGGGCGTTTTACAATACAGAAAACTCAAAATCAGAGGTTCACTCTTTGGCGTGTCATGACGGAAGTGCATGTATCGAAAACGTTCAGCTTCATTCTTTTCTACGTAAGCCGAATAAAATGTTTAATTTATTGTATCCAATTCTAATTGAAGGAGAAAATCATTTATGTTGATTATAAATACCATATGAATACCCAATCTTATCTTTTTCCTCTGATCTTATTTTGGTTATTTATTTATACTTTTTAATATTTGTTAAGATTTTTAGATTTAGTGAGTTTTTCCGATCAAATGGTGTACGACGTTCGTCCATCGTCTGTCTTGTCCTCTCTTAATTTTTCATATTTTCGACTTCTTAAGAATCACTAGGCCAGTTTCATCAACTTGCCACAAAGCATCCTTTGGGTGAAGGAAATTTAACTATATTCAAAGGAAGGGTCTTGTCATCTTTTCAGGGGAGATTTAAGAATTAGTAAAAATTTAGTGACATCTTTTAAAAAGCTTCTTAAGAACCACCGGGCCAGAGAAGACGAAAGTTATTTGAAAGCTTCATTTAATAGTGTGGATTGAATTTTGTTCAAATCATGTACTTGGGCTAGGGTGGGTCCAAAATAGGTGATTAAGATTAACACTCAAATATGTAGCAAAAACCTTTATTAAAAAATACAGTAAAGTCATGATAATCATTTTGTTATACAAGTATCCTCAAGTACTATATATATATTTAAATTTGTTCAGATCAGGGTCCTAGAGAAGGATTTTAGAATACAATAAGAAACAATTATTATTAATAATTAGCAAAATTTATCTCAAATGTGTGATGTAGATTTGTTTAAATTATGAAATCTTGGTAAAAGTTGTCCCGAAATCAGATATCGATCCAAAAATTACTTACGCAATGAACAAGAAAAAAACTTTCCAAAATACCAGTACCGTGTTGATCTTATTGATGTAGATAAACCATTCCAATGTTTTGCTGATTTAAGTTTGCAAAAATGTAGCTCCAATAGGTCTAGATTTTATTCCTTAACATGGAGTCAAAATATTAATATAAAATTAAAAAGGGAAACAATCTTCTTGACTAAAGTGACTCGGGTGAACGTTGTGGTCTATGGGCCTCTTATTTAAATTGTTTCTTATATTCTCATTTCGTTTTTATTATGTTAATAATTGTGTGTGTATGTGTTTTGTTTTGTTTTGACTTTGTTATTTTTTTAATGTTCTTTTCCAGTAAAATTTTACTTGTGTAATATACATGTTAATTCCTTTTTAGAGGAAACATTAACAACTAAATACAAACCAAAACCTTCAGAGACGAACGAAGAACTCTTGTACGATCCCGCTGACAATCCGTCTCCTTTACTTGATATTTTAGAACAGGAAATGGCAATGAGGGTTTCCGGAAACGTGTCAGTTTATATTGAAAGCAATGGAGATGTTTCAAAACTAAATCACATACTAAAGGTTAACTCTTATACAATCTCATTCAAAACTTCTATTTCTACGGTAAAAATCCTTATTATTCTTAGTTTTTGGTACTCATGTGGACATTCTTATAAAGACCCTTGATTCCAATCATCTGTATCTAATCAAATGAATATTACTGTCCTGTAATCGACTATAATTATATTTTCTATTGTATTTTAGATACTTATGGTTTATAACACAAAGGTCTCAAACGTTCTTTTCCATCTGACAAAATCAGTGAGGGAGAATCAGGCAATGGCAGCTATTCAACGGAAACTTGAGCGATGGGCGTTTTCCATGTGTCCAGATAGAACACGTGTTGTAGTAGCTCCATACACTGTTCAGAAAATAGACCATGAAAGACACAAGCGAAGTATTGATAGAAGCAAAGACAGAAATGTAGTGAAACAACTGAGAAATAACTGGGAACTGGAGTGGTTAGCAAAAACGTGATTCTCTTTGGGGGATGAAAGCCGTTTGTACAATTGTGATTCTAATAATTTTCCCGTTTTTTGTTTTGTTTTTTGTTTTGTTTTTTTTCTACGGAAGCCCATTGAGGCCAGTTCAGAGAAAGAAATATTCTTTATTGCGTTTAAACGCAATAATTATTGCGTTTAAACGCAAAACATTGCGATTATTCGCAAAAGTATTGCGTTTAATCGCAAAAATTATTGCGTTTTATCGCAAAAATTATTGCGTTTAAACGCAAAAATATCATTGCGATTAAACGCAATGATTATTGCGATTAAACGCAATGTTTTGCGATTTAACGCAATAATTATTGCGTTTAAACGCAATAAAAAATATTTCTTTCTCTGAATTGGCCTCAACGGGCTTCCGTAGTTTTCTGTTTTTATTTTATTTTATTTTATTTTTGGTCTTGTTTATCTTTCATAGTAGTTTTCTAATCAATCAAAGACCATTTAATTAGTTATCTTCTGTAAAAGTTTAAATAGCATGTGGACTAAGATATTATTTATATTTGTTGATTTTTAAGTGAATGTCTTTATTTGAAAATTATAGTACAAAATCTTTTATAATTTTTATTGTAAAACCCAAAGTTTTATAAAAGCTAATAACAAACAATGTGAATTCAAGTTTTATATAGAATCATCCAATGCGTCTACTAATAAAATTTCATAAGGGATAAAGAACTCTTCATTTGATTTAAAACTCATTAACCACTGTGTCAGAAAAGTCGAATCGTGGATGAATGCTTCCTTATGTAATATACTTTAATTTTTTTCAAATCATGGCAACCAAGGATAGGGTGGGACCCAATAGGCAATCAGAGTTTTATGAAGAAGAAAATGCAGGATAAAAATTAATAATAATAAAAATAATAATAATAATAATAATAATAAAAACAAAAACAAAAAAACAAAAAAAACACTTCCTCACATGAAGAACAAGGGTATGACTAATGATATTAATACGTTAGATTTTTTAGGTTGTGGTTGTGCAGAATAAATGTTCAAATCATGGCCCCTTGGGGTTTGTTTGGATCACAATATGGGATCGAATTCTTACATTGATTTTTAAAGAACAAATTCTTTAAAAATAATTCTAAAGAATAGGCAAGCTTTTTATGCAAGCATCTTTTTTTTCATATCGTGCCTATGGGGGCAGGGTGGGTCCACATAATATAGAACGAAGTTTTACATATGCATATATAGAGAAAATATTTGAGACTTTCAAGATCTATTGGACCGTGAATTTTCATAATAATAAACAAGGTTCTTCAGATAGTGCAGACTGAAATTCGTTCAAATCATGGTCTCCTGGCAGTAGGTTGGGCCAAAAGAAGGGTCAAAGTTATACATTGAAATGTATAGTAAATTTATTTTAAAAAATCTTACTTGTAGCAGGACAACACTAAAAAGTCTAAATCATAATAAAATACAAACATTCATAAGTTCAGACTTCAGAATGTAAGTGTATGTGTTCATGTTTTTTTTCCAAGTGTCTGACCCTGGGATAGCTAAGATGAGGCTAAAATTTAGGAACAAATTTAACTTAATGCATGTTTACAGGGAAAAAAAATTAAATTCCCTCCAGAACAGTAAGATCATTTTAGGCATTTCGATATTGAAGAATTCTCATGTAATGTGGATTCAGGTTTGGTAATGCATGACTACTTGGGGCTAGAAAGGGGTTACATAAGCGGTTAAAAAATTATTTTCAAGTAAATGAAAGGTGGAAAAAAGAACTGTTGGAGAGCAGCAGAGCCAAAATTACCAAGGTGAGCATTGTAGCCAAAGGTCTCCTTATTTGGTGTTTTTCAGAGCATTTTAAAACATACATATACTTGTTGTGGTATGGGAATATTGGGGAAAAGTATTAAAACACTTTTTCTGAAAATCTGCCTGCCATTGTCTTGCTACAGTTTTCTGCTTTTTCCTTATACACATTTCTGGGAGGCAATTAGAACTTTTGGTAGTAAGGGGCATTTTGGGTACGACAGGGTGATAAAATAGATTCCTATCTTTGTGAATGTGAACACACAAGGAGTAATAACTCTAGAAGTTTTTACTGACTTTGGGTAGGAAAGTTTTAACTAGTGTATACAAAAGGTCTATACCACAGCACTTTTTAAAGGAATAATCTGTGTAACTTCAAGTGGGTCCTCATTTAAATTTCGTCCAGCTCCAAAGCTTCAGTAACTAAAAGCTAACACTTTAAGCTACGCAAGTCAAAAACCAGAAAATAAGCAATAGTAGAGCGTCCTTTATTCATTTGTCTATTAGTGTGTCTATAAGCAAGTTTTTTAAATGTACCTACATCGTCGGTGTGATTCCCTGATCCATTTCTCTAATTGTGTGTCTCTAAGCAAGTTTTTAAATGAACTTTTCCTACATCGTCGGTGTGATTTTCATAGAAGCTGCTACACAGGTAGACTTCACCAAGATGCATAATTTAGAATAGTTTACAATCATTATGGTGGGGACAAAGGATATTGCAATGGTCACAAAACGGACGTTTACTGACTTCTTATTTCCTTGTTGAATTTATACCCTCAAAGATGTCAATGAACGAAACTTTGAATTACTAAAAAAATTACTTGTTTTTACCTGATCACATACTTCATAATCCTGTGCCTGATACCCAGTATAAACTTGGTCCTGGATCTGCCCTTGATTTTAAATCTTATTTACGGACATCAACGTGTTCCTATAGCAAGGTTATCAATGGGTACAGTTGAGTAATTTTACAACTACGATTTATAAAAGGACCTGTGCTCTTTCGAATTTTCTTCATTTAAATACTATGCTTGGCTGAAAGAGGTTTTTTTTTTAAATATTGAATTATTGACATACAGATAAGCCCATCCCTTGAAAACATAAAGTATCATGAGTGAAAAAACATGCATTTAAGCGGATTCAATTGGTGTCACAAATAAAGGTCGAGGACAAAAGGTGCATTCTGATGATCGGTCTGTGAGTTCTGCTATACCCAAACATTTCTGAAAAAGACCTGACATACGATGACTATATATCAGGGTTAAATCTACAAAACAGAAAAATACAAAAATATGCCAGAAAAGATTGATAAATCAAAAAACTAAATTAAGCATTTTTGTTTTTAACATACAATTATTTTTTATCTATTAGTTAATTCTTTCACATGAACTTAGTAATCAAAATCCGTAGACATTCCGATGGGTGTGGATATCATGTTCCTGTCTTCTTTTGTGTCATTATCAGGCTTCCGTGTAGGAGGATATTCTTCCGCTGATGCAACACGAAGGATTGTAGGCTCTGTAGAGCTCCAAATAGTTAGGTAATTTTTTGCGGCAGCCAAACCTTTTGTACAATAAGTGGTAGCTTCTCTAGGCTTTGAGTTCCCTGTTGCATCATTTGACTGGAGCCTTTTGCTATTCTGTTCGTAGTTGATCGAAGCATTTTTAGCAGTTTCCGGCATATGTGTTTCATTTGATTCCAATAATTTGGGCTTTGTAGGGCGTTTGTCATAATCTATTCCATGCAAACAAGATTTCATTGAAGGATTGCCACTGTAACCATTATCATCAGATGCCTCAAAATTAATATTTCTTTTGATTTCTACCTCTGGAGGTAAAGTTTTCAAATATGAAGAATTCTGGAAACAAAACGTTTCCTCTGAGATAGATTCGGAATGCAGTTTTTCAGAGGATTTTACCTTTGAGAAATCATTTTGTGCTCTATTGTATGATTCAAAATGTTTGTTATCTGCGGATTCGTATTCTGGAGAATAAGCAATATAATCGTGTCCGAATGATGGATCTAAGAATGGAGTATCCTTCATTGATTTCTTCTTACCAATCTTCTGCCCTGCATTGACAAAGAACGTGTTTTCTTCGCCTGCCCAGTGCTTATACGTTTGTCCTAGAGGATATGTATGAATAAATTTTGTGGAAATATCTGTGTTACTTTTTTCATGGTTATTGCTCCCATCACTGAATGAACGTCTTTTCTTTGGAGTTTCTTTTGGTGTTTTAAACAATTCACACGGTTGCAATGTGTTCTTGATATGTTGAGATTGAAGGTCAGTTGCAATTGGTGGCAAGCTTTTGAATTCAATTCTGCAACAACAAAATATGAACAAAATCTGGTCAGAATATGTACATGTATTTTATGTATTGAATATATTAGAAACCAAGCTGTTATATATGTTTAAAATGTTATTTAAAGTGAACAAGTTAAATATTACGGCACTACCTCTCATGGCTCGAAGTGTGAAATGTAGTTTTACACTTTGAAATATTTTTGAGATATTTTTTCATATAAATAAATATAAAAAAAAATAATAACTTAAATATTGCCAACTCGGCGTTAAACAATAAAGATTCAATCAATTCATCATGTAAAGCTTCAATTTAATAGTATTTGAAGAGCAATTACTCACAATTCAACAGTGCTGTCATCACTGAAAAAGAAAATTGGATAGAACTTTGGAATGCTTAGAAAAGAAATAAAAAGTATTTGGAGCATTTAATTAATATCGTTTCTTTAAAGTACTTACATGTCCTCAAAGTATTCATTTAGATCTTCTGGCAAAGGAGATGTGGTCCTAATAAATTGCACGTTGTATAAATTAAAATAATAGAAATCATCAAAAATCATATTTAATTTTTACATAAATACAGTATGTGAAAATCAAATTTCAATACCTGTTTGTCTTTGGTTTGCATCTGAAGATTCGATACAAGATGACAAGAAGAATTATGAATAATATCGCAGCAAAAATTAAACTATATAAAACCTCCGGTTTGATGGTACATTTATAACTATTGATTTTATCTTCACAGTTAAAGATATGACCGCAAGGTTGTTGCAGGCATTCGTTAATTTCATTTTCACACCACACACCCGTGTATCCGGGATGACATCTACATTTGTAAAAATCAAAAGAATTCGCTCTAGTGGTATCTTGGCAAGATGGGGAGGTGTTGAATTTAGGGGCACAAAAGCCATAGATACAAGGAGACCAAAGAATGAAAACGTGAGCCTCCAAACGCTCTGTATAATAGCTGTGACTGTCAAAACCAACAATGTAGTAATAGAAGTCACCGTGAAAATTTTTATTGATAACCATGTCTGCAGCATATCCTTGTTGTGTCTTCATCTCTTTATGGCCAAATGTGTCGTTTAGAAACCATGCATTATCGGTGCCCGTTGTGCTTATATTGACATCCTTGGTGTTAGTAAGGGTCGATATGAATGAAAGAGTTTCATTGTCGTCAACATCTGCAAAGCCAAAGTCGAACAGGTAATGGGATGTTGAATTACCTTCAAAAATTAGGGTTAAGCTTTTATTCTCCATAACGTCATATGAAGACTCATTATATTGAAAACCAAACATCGGCATGTCATTTTCTTCATTGACTTCAATCCAAATGGTTTTCTCGACCCTTGCTGGATATTTAGCATTATCTGTTAATATTATCTGAATGCTATCTTTTCCAGAAAAGTCTGCTTTTGGATAGTATGACACACTACCATTTGAAGTCAGATTTGCGAAACCAATATCCGAATTTGTTAGAAGATAAAATTGAACAGAGTCCATGTCATCATCGTGGTAAGGTATTTGGAAATCGATTATCGGCGTATCTTCCATCGTCGTAATAGTATCGATATCGACTTCAGGTGGTGAGTTATAGAAGGACACGTTCATGACTGTTAATGTAAATTGGTAAGGGTTTGTGACTGTTATTGTGGTTGATCGTTTACGTCTTGTTGACATTTGTAATGTTCCTTGGCATATCTGTAAAGCAAGAGTTAGATTAAGACCAATAGATAATTGCTGAGGTAATCATTATCTTTTTTCAAACTGCATTGTGTACCATTTTGATATATTTTTGCTTTCATACGCAGTTTACCTTTGTTTTATAAATATCTCCTTCCAATGTTGGAGTTTTGAGATCCAAGGCACAGTTTTCCTCCACGTGTCGCCATATGCCATAAGCTGTAGGTAATAATGGCAAATAGCTAGCTATAGGTTACTTACAATTTTAAATATATGATACATGTATCTCCATTGTTAGAAATCCTTTATAAATACATTGTAGAAAATGAGAAATATTGGGGATTTACTGGTCTCTGAGAGAAAGCGATGTGTTTTTGATTTTGTTAACCAAATCTCATTTCTTTATATTTTTTTTATTCAAAAACATTGTCTTCAGTAGAAGTGTCAGAATAGGATAAAATCTCTCTTGATTCGGGTGCACATGTATAAAGAAGTTTTAAAAGATTTTCCTTACTGCTTGTATCTGAATTGAGCGTGTAGCTATCCCAGATTAGGAGAGCAGGAACCGTGAAATTATTGAAATCATTCAAGTTCACTCTGATGCGAACATCAATAAATTCCACATCCATTGTTGGCGTGGGTGCGATGAAAAATATAACCCCAAGAGATTTCACAATCCTAAAATAACAATAATAATTTAATGATTTCTTAGAGATAACTTGGACTCTTGGAACAAGCTATTTATTGGTTCATTTTAGTTTCTTTCGCATATTTCTCTGTTGCAGTTGTTTTTATCAATTACCGATTTCGAATTTCACGTGTCGACGGCCAGTTTGTGGTATTTGGATTGATAAGGTAAGACCTAAACTCAAACGATGAAGCTGTTCCATACTCAGCCTGCAAATCTGACTGGGATAATGAACCTATGGAAACGCCACCTATTTTACCTAAAAGATAATTTTTAAATTAAAGAAAAGACATATCCTATAAATAAATAAATAATAAGAAAACTGAGACTAAACTGCTCAATGCATTCTTCATATCAGTTGTAAGAGGTATAAATACCTGAAATACTAATACCAATTTCTTCATTTCCATTTACGTATGAGACCTTCTCAAATCTGTTATTAGATAGCCATGCAACTGTCGTCACATTATTATGTTGATTATTCAAAAGCAAGTCTTTGTCCTTTCCTACAAATTCAAATTTGGACATTTCACTAAATAATATTTTTATAAACTTTAATTCCACCAAAAGTGGTTCAACCATTTCCAAATATATGCTATACGTATACATGTGTACTGCGAATAATCAGAATTGCTGTTCCACAAAACAAAATAATTGGCGATTTTAAACTGCATAAGAGTAATGATCCACATCAAAATTTACCACTGCATTCATTTCTGTCGCTATTTAAATCTCACACAAATATATGATTGATTTTATGCTGTTTTACGTCCCGTTCGAGAATTTTTCACTCATTTAGAGATGTTACTATAAACCGGTGGAGGGCTTCAAATTTAGACCTTTACTCGGCACTCAGGGCCATTGAGCAGTGAGGGTTCTTTATCGTGCCAACACCTACCGTGACACGGGGCCTCGGTTTCTAAGATCTAATCCAAAGAACCCGCGACTTTCACTTCAAAGTGCCCATCGCTTGGGCACTTTGAACAGTTGATACCTAATGTTTTATCGACTTGGGTCAGTTGCGGCCGTGATTCGAACACACGACCTTACGATCACGGAGCGAGCGCTCTACCGACTGAGCTTCCGTGACGGCCCACAAAAATATATAAAAACATAATCAAGACAATAATCGCAATGCACTTGCAGACATGGCGTCATCACGTAAAATTTGAAGCATTTTATGTACAGTGAGAGGCGGGCCAAGAACAAATTTCAAATTGAAAAATGCATTTTATTATTAAACAGAATATCATTTACAAATGTTAGATAGACCATGAATACCAATGCGAACCCTTTGTGTAGTGCCAAAATTTAATTATCATCGAAAGAATACATTGAATTAATTTTACCGTGTTTTTGTGTACAGAGTTGGTATGTTAAAAAACGAGGTGCCTCATTCATTCGCTTTTTCGCAAGGGCATGCATAAAATTGACCTTGATCATTTCTGAATATAAATAACGAAAATATTCCTGAACTTGAAAAGTACTGCTGCTTTCGTGAAATCGAGAGCATTAATTTATAAATACATAAAATACTCGGTAAAGAACAGGTATTTCAACTTAAACCTTATTTCTTGAAATTTTGATTTAAAAAATGTGAATTCTCATTAAATCAGCAGCACTTTCAGAAACTGAATTTGAATTATGGCATGTCTTTGCGATATTGAAATATGTTTATAACCTCCATGCAGAACATATTAAATGCATTATTTTATCACGTGACTGTTAAAGCAGGTGATTTAAGTAAATTCAAAACAGAGTGGGGTATAGCATGTTATTTCAAATAATTTAAAGTCATGTGATAATATAATAGCTTTACAAAAATAATTTCAGTATATAAACAGGTATCTATTTGTGCATTTCTAGGAGTATATTCCGTTGAATTCTTTAGAGTACGCCTTAACAGTGATGCTTTTCCAGATACAGATCCAATATGCTGTTTGTAGCTGTACATTATACATCACTGAGTTCAATACATAACAGAAAACTTTCAAATAGGTGATTTATTTATTACTCTCTGTTCATGTTGTTATACTTACGCTTAAAACATATTCGCTGTGATGAAATATTTGCCTCCAAGTTGGAATATCCAACAGCAATAAGGGATAGAAACACACATCGCCCAGGTTCCATCCGGAAACGGAAGTCGCTTTCTCTTTTGCTTATTTCTGATTCAGTTAAGTTTCTCCAGGATTCCGGCGTAAAAGCTGCTAAGGATTTACCGGTTTTATTGCCGTTCAACCATAGTTCACCTCTAAGAACTTCTGCCGTCCCTTCTTTTGTAAGACCTATTATAGTTGGTGGTATAACGTCTCCCCCTCCTTCATATGTCCCCCATCTGCCACTCTTCATGATAGACAAATATTGCAACGTTATAATCTCAATAGAATATTGATTTATTATACTCATTTAAAGCATTACTTACTGTAGTATTCAGTATCATTTCCTCTGTTGTTCCAGCTAATCCCAAATTGGTCTAAAGATTCTGCAAAAACAGTTCCTGTCGCTTGATCTCTCTCAGATGAAAGCAAAATGTTCGAATCTACATCAAAAATGTCTGGTGGAGTAAGAATTGTCGATACATTGCAACTATAAACTGTGAAAAGCCCGGCGCCATTAAAAATTTTGATGTTGACAAAGTACGTTTTTTTGTCTTCAAAGTAAACATTCTCATCTAGAGATAATTTGATTTTGGTAACTGCTCCTACATCTTTTTCTGGTACCATGTTTCCGTCTTCTTTAGACCCGCTATCAGTCCTTTCCGTTCCCACTTTAATATAGGCTTTTTTAATTCCACTTATATTATCTTCACACAACCAGTACGCTCCAATGGTTTTATTAGATCCCAGTTTGTCTGTCGGTGCATCCATCCCTGTTATGTCAGGGTCCAAACAGCGAATATATTCACAAACAGGTGGTGTTTCATCAACAATGACTGGATTTGAAATGGTTGAAACTGCCTGTCCGGCAAAATTAACCATCTTTACGTTGACATAATATTCAGTCATATTAACGATTTCTGTCATTGCGCTTGCGTTTAAACCATCGTTGGAGACAATTGTTGTTTTCAGGTCTAGATTGTCTAAAAGGAGAGGAATTATCTCAAATTCTGAGAGACTTCTGTCAGAAAGAGAACAGTTTACATCACAACTGAAATTGCAATTGAATAAGCAAGGTGTACACATCTTTTTATATAATTCCATTTTCCTGACATTTCCAGAAATCTCTATATTATCAGATATCCCTGTCCATATTTCGGCAATACCACTTTCACCATCATAAAAACCTTTTCCATTTAAGCAGTCCATTGTTGCATTAGTAGGAATATTCAATTTTGATAGCTCAGCTTGAGACCGATACGGATGAATTGGGTCAGTTATTGGTTCTTCGTAGTCTTCAAAATTCCACGTTTGGACGAAAATGCTTAAGTCGCTGGTATCAAATGAAAGTCCATAAATATTTGCTTTAATGTCTCCATTAATTGAAAATTCCAAGTCCCACACTATTTTGGTTTCTGAAAACTTTTTCTTCGTGTGAATGCTATATTTCTGATATTTTTCAAATGGGTCATTTTCTATCTGGGTCCATCTATGAAATTCTCCATTATTATCTTTTGCCCAAAACAAACAATCCCATATCTTGCTTTCTTTTTGCCGATCACCTAATACTTGAAATCCGAATCCAGGCGACTTATCTGTATTCATTGTTTCGTAGGAGGGTCCAGTCACATTAATGACAACAGCAGCAGTAGGACTAACTGTTGTTGCTGATGTGGGATTTTCTGATGAACTGGAGGGAAACGAATTGTTCCAAATTTCATGCCCTGATTCAGTATAATTGTAGCTGACTCTGTCAAAGTTATTTGGTTGTGGCCGGTTAAATTTTATGGGAAAATATGGATTTGTTTTTGAGATTGATAATAGTAAAGATGTAGAAATGTTTCTTCCTTTTGCCGCCAATAATGTACTTGAATATTTTCCTTCCTGTAATGCTCCAATCCTTCGTGAAATTCCACTTTTTAGCACCCTTGTTAATGGAACATTATATCCAATTTTCATAATCAATCGATATTTTTCTTTTATCACATTTTCTTTTGAGAAATTTCCTAATAAAGGGGTCCATGTTAAATCTTCTTCAGAAGGAAAGAGTGTGTTTGTATTAGCACATTCGTATGCATCTTCTGTTCTTGCAATTGCAGTCCAAGCTGTTATTCTTGACTTCGAAAACTGATACCTTGTCTTCTCTCCCCAGTTATTTCCAACAATGGCAGATCCTACATGCGGTGAGCCAGTATCGAATAGCATAACTGGGCTTACCAAGCGCGATTCAAGTCCAGCTTTGTTACTTGCTATAACGTCAATGTAATAAAACCGCTTGGATTCTAATTTCAAACTCGTTATACTCACTTCAGTGTTGTTTTTAGCGACTATTTCTTTCAGCAGATGAGAGGACTGATTTTCAGAGGCTGGGCAATCCGAATATTGATATAATCTAAAAGTAACTGTATTTATGCCACTCTCAGGATCTTTTAAATCAAGAAGCTTTATATCTATTCTAATCGGATTTGTCACGAGGAACTTTTCTCTTCCGGTTACATTCCAACCATTCACCATGAATGTCACATTACTTAGAATTGGTGCAGTAGTATCAACAAGGATAGGAAAACTCTCTGAAGACGAACATTTTCCGATTTCATCACTAGCAATTACAGTTACATAATAAGACATTCCATGCGTTAGAGACATGTTTCTAAGAGTTTGAATGGTATCCTGTCCGATTGTCATTAAAGAAACTATGTCAAACCCAGAAGAAAGTCTTTGAATATCGGTACATGGGTAAGTCTTGTTACTTTTTATGACTGTTGCAGTTGATACTCCTAATAAATATTCCTTTATACCAATATCGGAATCGAATCCACTCCATGAAATCGTCATTTCACTGGTGCTGGATTGTACGTGATTTGCTTCTATGATTCCTGGTATTATGTCTAGTCGGTATCCAACTCTAACGCCATTTGAATAGCTTTCTTCGAAGGATCCAGTTATACTGTAACCTCTTACCGTGATGTAATAGCGTACAGTTTTCGATGTTAGGTTTAAACCCACAAATGTGTAGCTTGTATTTAAGCCAACATTTGTAAAGTAGTGTATGTTAGTTCGTGTAATATGGTCTCTTGTATCATCTCCGATAGAAACTTCGTAATGATCCATTTTCTGTGTGGGATCTCCAGAAGCTTCATTACCAAAATCGTCCCAGTTTGCTGAAAGTTCGTTCAGTGATTCCTGGTATTTGAGATCCTCTGAACCAAGACCGTCCCTTACGAGTCCAGAAACAGGCGGTTGAATTCTAACAGATATTCCATCCGATTTGCCCTCTTTTTCACGATTTAGAGCGTCCGTTAATTTTACTTTAACAAAGTACAGGTAATTATTTTGCAAACTTAATTGATCGTTGTAGAAGATAAGTCCATTCTCAGGTACATATGTGTAATTTTGGACGACATTTCCCTCAAGATCTTCTACCATCCATTCAGCCTTTATGATCGGACAATTATCAGAATAGAGATAAGAGCCTGTAACGAAAAATCCAAGTACATATGTATTTTTCAAATTTACAGAATTGAAACCATTGTTATATAAAGATTTTAAAAAAACATTTTCTTCAGATAAACATCAAATTGCATTTATAGGATTCACAACGGGGATGACCGATCGATAGGGGATGCTTACTCCTCGTAGGCAACTGATCTCACCTCTGGTATTTCCAGGGGTCTGTGTTTTATGCCCTATTCACGGAGATGTATTGTTTGTGGATTTTTTTTAATCGATCACTGTTCTTAATCTTCACCTTTTTCATTTGCATAATTTTATTTAGAATTATCATATTGACAACTGGAAAAAAAATAATCTGTTGTTTTTCAATTTTATAAACAATGCTCCTACCTTGAATTACATTTAAACTTGCTTGGAAATCAATATCTTTATCCCCTTTTCCGTCAAGAACATCGATTTTTGGATCTGGACTAATTATTATGGGTTCTGATGTCAAGACACTGTGGAGTCCAACTTTGTTGTATGCCCTTACAGTGGCGTATACTTTTGTTCCGGACGAGACATATATGTTATCGATGGTCATATAATTGTTATGTAGAAATTGATATGCCTTGATATTGTCCGTTGCCGGCTCGCTTCCTAGGCAAATCTCAGCCCTAAAATAAGGAAAAAAGATTTTTGTTTTTAAAAAAGGTCTATTTAGAGGGGGGTATAGATGATTGCTGCACAAGTTACATTAACCATTAACTCTTATTTTTTATGAGCTTCTATTCAAAAGGCTAGATAATTTGCTTACCTATCTATTTCTGATTCTTTATCCTCTATAACAGACACACTGACATCTACATAAGACCAGGGTAGCTGACAAATCTGCTTGAAACGTTCCTTTACAGGGTTTGTCCACGTGACAAATTCTACGTTTTCTATAACTGGTGCTGTGGAGTCGATTTCAATTATAAAAATTTTTGTTAGAGAGAGATCCATCACGTTTGATACAGTAAGAGAGACATAAATAAAAGGGAGACTGTTCAAGTTTGGAAAGCTCTTCACATCAACAGTCCACTTGCTTTGATATGTTGGAAGACTGATATTTTGAATCACATCATCTAAAAGTTCACGGGATCCAACACGGATGGCTATCTGTTTTACTTTACTTTCTTCTTCTATAACTACCCATGAACATTCAATAGAAGATTGTTTTTTAGATATGATATTCGTGCAAGTAAAATTATTAATTCTCGGAGGTGAAATATCAGCAACAATGGGAAGTGAAGTTTCAGAAGTGAAAAATCCAATTTTATCTTTTGCAAAGATATTTACAAAGTATACGACACCAGCCTGTGGTGCAAGAACTCCTGGAGGAATTTTGGACTCTTTAGATAGTGATGAAGGCAGTACATCGTTTGTCAGTGGTTTCAATCCAACCGAATTATTTTCAAATTGTAATTCAGATTGATCAGTGACACTCCATTTGTATTCCAAAGAATCGACGTACGACTGAAAAAAGCACTGAGACTCTGAATCGTAAACGTGGCCTTCAATGTTTTCTGGTTCTATACTTGAAATCTTGGGAGGGCTAAAGTCAGTGGTTATTCCATCTGATGTTGACAAAATGAATTCCTCGTGACAGTTATGGCCAGTCTTTGCTCTGACTGTTACATAATATGTTTGATTTTCGCTTAATTGCACATGAGTTTGTGCTTTACCATGCGTTTCATTGTGAACAATGCCGTATTCTGTATATTCATTTATGTCAGAATAATAAGGTGTCGATCCAATCGCCCATTCATATTTAACAATGTTACATGCTTCACTTGAAAATTCTTGGAAATGCATGGCGATACTGAATCTGTCATTTGTTTGATCTTCATCATGGAAAGGCTCTCGACCATCAAAAATAACCCCTGGTACATTTTCCTTCAAGATTTTTATTGGCTTTGAATTTAGTGGGGATGATAAAATACCGGCACCATTTTCAGCCTTCACAGCGACGTAGTATATTTCACCAGATTCAGAAAAAGTTAAAAGAGAGGCTTTAATATCTGCAGAAGTTTCTGTTTCCATATCAATATATCCATTAGTCACGCTAGTGTCTCCTTGGCTTGTACCTATAGCAACATAAAAGTTTTTTACAAGACTTTCTGGATCACTGCCAATCCAACTTACTCTTATCGATTGTGAATTCACATGCTGCACATATCCATCCTCAATTTCCTCTTCCTCATCCAACAACCCTATGTGTACCTTCAAAAGAATATTATTTTTAGAACACTTTGCAAGATTGTTAAATTGACGAAAATTCTGTACTATTAACAACAAAAAATGCTTGATTCCCTTTCCTAAAGAGGAATTTTTGTTTCCAGATTTAAAATACATCAAATATCAGTGTATTTGTTTAGCAAAAAATGCTAGTAAATAACACCTTCAACATGATGGGAGGAGTGGGGTCTATGGTTACACCTTCTGATTCATGCGCTGTGGAGAGATGTGCTGCATTTATAGCTGTCACATGAACTGAATACGTAGCACCTGGTAAAAGACGATTGTTAAAGTTTATGGCAATCGTTCCTGTGCTGGTATTGGGAAAAATTGTCAAATACATATCTGTCTTTGGCCAAAAACGTTCCTTCATTCCATGCAAGGATTCAAAAACGGCATAGCGATATTCCTTAATCCCTGACTCTTCATCTTCAAATCGCCATCTCAGATTCAGAAGGTTGTCATAAGTCTGATATCTTCTTTGATGAATATTGTCTTGAATAAAGATCAAATGTGGGGGCGTGTGGTCAACAATATATCCATCCGTAATAACTTTTTCATAAAGGCCTGCATTGTTGAAACCCTCAACTTTAAAATGGACTTTATCTCTGTGATACACGCTAATAGAATGATCTATAAAAATGTTTTCTGTCATAGATTCGAATGTTTTGACCTTGGCATCGTTTATATAGACGGTCACAATGTATTTTTCTATACCAGACTCTGGGTCGGTAAAATTATCCCATGTGACAATTTTGGTGGATGTTTTCGATGAGAACGATAAGTCCTCAGATAAATCAGGGCCATCTACTGCATATCCTGGAACTGGTGGTGTTATGTCGACTAACACTAGCAGGAGATAAAATTATGAAAAACATATCTTGAGACTTATTCAAAATTTAGGAAAGAAACAAGATTTTAAAGCAAATTTGAATTTTATGTTTAAGTTTAAAAATGTCATAAGTTCAACTTAAAAATTGTTTGATGTCATGTTACTTATATCAGAACGTCTTGACATTGATAGGTAAGATTTTATTGGTGGATTTTTGAAATTTTGATATACATTACCTCCATCGGATGTACTATTTGAATCTTTGGAATTTAATGCTCCATTGAAGACAATAACAGTGGAATAGTAACGTGTATTGTGCTGAAGGGTAATGTCAACACAGGAATGTCTCGTGTTTTGTGAAAAATTACGAAAATTCATTATATTGTCTTTTCGAGGAACAGATCCTATACCCCATCGAAAACTAAAAAGATATCAGAAGAGTAAGGTTTTAAAGGTATTGTTACTTGATGTTCTCATTCTTTTAATTCCCAGTATATACTGTACGTGTACTTTTAAAGGGAGGTCATATTTTAGCGGCTCTGGCGCTGACAAAAATGCACTTATTGATGATTGCGGTCAATTAATAAATAAATCAAAAAGGAGAAAATCAAAGGCGTTAAAAATTGCTTGATTCAAGCCTTCATACTTGATTGTAATTTTATACAATTATTGCTGGTTTTTGAGGTCAATACGATGTTTTAGACACCCGAGGCATACAATATTCACCGAGCCCGACTGGCGAGGTGAATATTGTACTTCGAAGGTGGGGTATACAAACAGCAATAATTGTTTTATTATATGATTCAATGATTAAACGACACACACTCATTACGCAATCCGTGCCATCTTACTTGTTCACATCAACTGAAGTACTAGCCGAACATAATGAGAGAAACGGGCTTTAAAAAAGTTGTGTTATTTTGGAATTTTTAATTCTAGTTTAGGTGCAATGTAGAAAAAATAAATGTCAGGCACATACATAGGATTGATTTTGAAAAAGGGGGCATTAAAAGGAAAAAAATTGACAACTTACCTGAAAACAAATCTTTGACTAGCCCCCCCCCCCTCCTTTTAAATGAAAAGAATTCTCCCAAATCAAAATTTTATTTGGTGGGATGTAAAGGTCCATAAACTTTTTGAGGGGAGGGGGCTTTCATTGAAATTCTTTATTCTTAAAATTTAACATTCTCAAAAGGTGGGGAGAAGGGCAGGCCTCCTGCTAACCCCCCCCCCCCGACCCCTCACCCAAGAATCTATGTGCCTTAATGTTATGTTCATATGAGTGGATGTCAAGTGCAAGTGAAATAACTTTCCAAAACAATTTTCATTGATTTGGAATTTCTTTATCTATTTTTGGTCCAATGTAGAATAAATAATTCCTTATATTGACCTGGAAGATCACGTGCAGGTCAATATAACGTGGTATTTTTCTAACATTGTTGGATCTCAGCCAATCAGAAAGATTGGAATTATTCAATCATATAATAATATTTTATATTTACTTTTTGTGTAGTGTAATATTCACCTCAGTTTAATATCTATATTTGTATAAGATGTTTATTTAAAAAAAGATATTATATAGTCTATAAATAATCCCTATTTAATCTAAACAAACACAAACAGTTACTAATACAACATACTCACTGGATTTGAAGCCGTATTCACCGGAGGGTCAGTGACGTCACAATCAATATTTCAAACGACGTTGAAAACAATGTTTGCAATGGCCGGAGCTCAGCTGTTTATCTGAGCATTCGAAATATAAGGCAAATCTTTCGCAGGATTATTTTCCAAATATTTAGATGCCTTACACACAGCGAAAGGAAAACACGGATGTTATAAATTGTAATCTGGGCATTCTTACAAAGAGGATGGGTAATAAAACGCATTGCTTTTAGACAGTAGATTTCTACCTATTCAGAAACAAATTTGTCCAGGTTAGCAAGCTCAGTTGTAAAGTGATGTGCCTTACAATTTTCGTGAAAACTATTTTTTTTTTCAAAAACCTTAATCAATTTCCATTTTTATAAATCTTTAGCGGTGAATTAGCACTATTCTTGATTAACGACAACCACTCATACCTATATATATATATATATATATATATATATATATATATATATATATATATATATATATATATATATATATATACGCACAGTATATTACCGTTTCAAGTAAATCAAATGTACATATCTCAATTATCACATTTGTACTCCTTTATACACTCCTTTATCTCATATGAAATCGTTTTCTTATCAACAGTTGCTTAAGGTTCCATTTTTCTTTTGCGTAAAAGTGATGAAGTCAAATGAAATACATTCACATATAAAAAAAAAAAGTGTGAAACATGTGATAAAAAGAATGCCCATTTGTTTGTGGTTAGATATAAATTTTCTCCGACTTATTTTGTGTGTTTCTATCCCATCATAGAGGCTCGGGAAAAGAAAATAAAACTTGTTGGATAAAATTCATATCCTTCCACAATCCATGGGGGCTAATATATATGAACATATCTCTAAACCTCAACCAATCTGATGACTTCTTTTAGTACAGTAGTAGGCATTTTTTTTTAAATTTAAAAATGGCTTATTATTGGTAAAAAAATTACTAAGAAGTGTCCAAAAATGAGCTTTAAAAAACAGTGCAGACAGACTTTTTTTTATAAATTCATTTCAACACGTGGATATTCGGATATATATATATATGATCACTGCGTCATAATACTCACTGGTCAATTCCAGACTCTGGGTCGTAAAAACCCTTCCACTGGGCACAAATCTGCTTATCATTTGATTGGTAGCTCAAATCATGATGCGCAATATTACCATCAAGTACTATTCCTGCAATAGGAGGCGATCTATCGATCAAAATTGGCTCAGGACCACTGCCAGCTTTGTACAGTCCAACTGGAAGAGAATATTTTTATTCATCGATTTTAAAAAAAAAACCTCAAGCAAAATAAGTAGTTTTCTTAAATTATCAGATGTTGATACATTCATAAAATTGCAATAGAGTTTGGCTTCCTGCATCGTGTTTTCTTCTGAGAAGATATTTCAAAAGAAATAAAAATTGCTTCAAAAGAATTATTTATATCGATGATCGTATAATTACCTCCATTACCAACTCGCACTCGAAGCCAAGCCGGAACTCCTTCTTCTAAATTCAGCTCTTCTATGACGATGAATGGAGCATCATCCCCATTCATTGGCTCGTGATATGAATACTTTCTGACCTGAACATCATATTTTGTTTTCCCAAGTCCGAAGTCGACGCTCCTAAGTAGAGACTCATTATCACCAGCTTTATAATAAATGGCAAGCATATCAAAGTGTTCATCGAAATAGATTTGTTCAACACCATCAAAGAAAGGTGGTGTTGTGTCCACGGTGAGGGGAATGCTGTGACAAATAGTTGTCACCAGTGATCCACCAAACACCACGTTGTTGAGGCACTGTATTGTCATGAAGTATTTTCCATCCTAACACCAGAAATCAAGCATGATTCGCAATTATACTAAAGATATTCATTGAAATTATAATGCAAAAAAAAAGTCAAATTTCATTTAAGAAAGCAGTACCTGCAAATTAAGATTTTTCTCATAGCCACTGTGTGTCCAATGTTGAGCACTGTGAAGAAACATGTGTGGGTTTGAAAAGTTAAGCACGTCTTGGTTACAAACTGATTTCCCAACAGCCCACATATACTGGTATATACCAGATTCAGCATCATAAAAGCCATCAAAATTAACTGAAAAAATAAGTAATATATTAGTATTTAAGCTGCATGAAATGTGAAAATTACGAACAGTGATCATTCTTGAAGGAAACAACTTTATGTTAATTAGAACCACACAACCATGCCTATTTTGTGGTAAAGAATTATCCATCCAACACCATACACATTTTGTTTACTTGTTTTTCATTGAGATTTGCGAACAAGTGGAAGGCATTAATATAATGATTATAAGAATTATATTTACTAGCCAAGGTTATCCATGTAGAACTTAGATCACATGCACAATGATTTAAGAAATTCTTCCCTTGTCGTCAGAATTGCTGGAGAAATAGACGAGAGATTTTGTTAGCAAATGAGACACGAGCCCGAAGGTCGAGGTTTTTATTTGCCAACAAAATCTCGATACTGAGGGGTCCTCAACAATTCCAACGACAAGGGAAGAATTTCTATCCTGCTACGACGAATCTTTAAACTCCTGTACAAAGAAACGGAGAAGTAGATGTCGAGGTCAACATAAGTTGCTGAAATTCGTTACAATTGAATTTTACTTCTCGTTTATTTGCACTTCACGCATTAGAAAAAGTACGGGGTCATCCTAGTTCCAAGTAACCTTTTTCCCCACTAATATGCATCACAATCAAAAGAGGCCTTTATTAGTCCTTTTCCTAGTAAGAGCAGTCAAAATAAGAGGAAACCGATTTAAAGTTAGTGATAATTTGTCGATGACATTTGCAAATTATTGGAGAATAATGGCCGCTGCATTTCTTTAATCTTTGCAATAACTGTAGAAGAATTGCAAATAAAAGATACTTTGAACTATTTTTCAAGGAAAAAACTCATTTGTAAACATTCTTGACCAATGACGTATACAATGTATCCCATAGAGTAGATTGAAATTCGTATTTTGAAATTGTGGTCACCATTTGATAAAAAAAGATGTGTGTCCTTTGTGTGAAGCAAGTAGCAACATACATGCAAAGTCGGTCACTGTTCGGCTTTTAGTCACTTGGGAATAACATTTCAGAAATTGTAAGTTGATCATTCATCTAACAAATTTAAGAAAACATCATTAGTAATATCCATCCCAAGAAAGGCCATTTGTGCAAGTTTGATAAATAAAGAATATGGAAAAAAAACTTTAGATTTTAAATGTTCTAGGTAATGCACAATCATATGCAGAGTATTCATAATTTTCGAAAGCATTAAAAAAACAAAAAAGAACAAAACATGTACATAATATGGCTTATGTTATAAAAAAGTTTTAAGCTGAAATATATATAAGCTTCTTCTTGGATGTACAATGAGTTAATAATTCTGATGACAAGAAGTGTACGTGACAGTCGGATGAATAGATGGAGTGAATAAAAATATCAAACAGTTTTAAAAAGCAGATTTCAATTTTCAAAACAAGTTCTGTCAAATGCTTAACCATTTTCTCCAAGTAAACTTAGATATTCGGTTAATACAAGATTGAAATTACCTGATATATAGTGATTCGATCTTGTATATATTATATCCTTCAATGGTGTATGCCCATTGAATACAGCTGATGCCCCTTGTCCGTCAATTATGTGTCTAAAATATGAGTTTAATAATCAACAAAGCTTGTCTGGATAGACTTTCAACGGCTACATAAAGGTACCAACAAAGTTACAAGTATATCATCAAATGCTTTCAGAAATCGGTCATTAGACATATTTTCCGTTACCTGTGGTTTTCCTTCCATGTAACTTCGACACAGCGTTGTGCAACTGACGCATTGCATCCATCTGCAGAAAACGTTTCCGTAAATCTTGTGCCTAAATATCCGGTACTGGGTGGAGAAAAATCGACCATTGTTCCATAGGAATGGAGGTATCCAACATATCCAAGAACATTAATTATCTTAGCATTTATAAAATACAGAGTGCCGTGTTCCAAAGGAAGATTTTCATATCTTTCATAGGAACTGTATCCGACTCCCAGTCTCTCATAATTCTTGTAGGTACCACTTCTCCTTAACTTGGCGCTCGGACCTTCGACAAAATTTTGTAGTTCACATGATTCTGTAAAAAAATCATAATCAAAGGAAACGCATTTCTTTCCTGTATTAACACAGACTGTTGCACAGTCCTCTGGTGTATGCGTAATGTGAACAGCAAAGGGTCTACTTGTAAGTTTGCCAGTTTTTAGAACACCGAAGTGTTTCAATTCACCTGGAATTCCTGTTCTGTGTGTGGACAAATCTAGAGAAAGATTCTTCCAAGGTACAAATTCGCTTCCATACATACCGGAACTATATCCTAAAGCCTGGCTCTGAATTTGCTTTAATTCAGAATCCTCAAATACATTTATGGTAGCAGTCAAGACGTTTGGATGAGAGCTAAATATATAAGAGGGGTCTACTCGCCCATCTGGCAATGTGTTATCATACGTATGTAGCATGCAATACACACGGGTATCAGTACCTTGACTGTTGACTGCTTTTACAGTCCAGTATAAAGGTACTGCATTCGGCAAGTCATTTGTGGCAACTACCAATGAAAATCCACCCATTTCCGTAAAATCTACAACATTTGTACCACCCTGTTGTGTCCCAATAGCATAGTATAATTTCAGGTTGCTTTTATCATCGTCTGCAGCGATCTGTAATGAATATGCAGGATCTTTATGATTTCGCTCTGGAATTTGTTTGAGGATGCATTTGTCTGTTGTTTCTCTTTTCCTCCGACCCTCTTGATCAGTTAAACCAGGTGAGGAAAATTCGGGAGGAGTTGTGTCTTTCTCACTCTTTATATTTGTGAAGATATTGCCGGAAATTGGTCTGGTGGAATATGTCCAAATCGTGCCTCGGAAAATTGGAATGGTAATTTTAATAAAAAAGAATTTAATTTCTATCACGAAGTATGCCTCCAGTTTCAAACGCAATGGATTGAGTACAAGGTCCAAGCTTCTTCTATTAATTAAACAAATTGAAATAAATTTCAAAAAGTTGATTGTATGAAAGTCTGAAATGTGAAAAATACTGTAGAAACATCGTTCTTCATGGGGGATCATTGCTCGTTAATTTTGTGGCCTACCATTAATCAAGAATTTACATCCCCAGTTACCATTATTGAAATGTATCCGTTCATTGATTTTATATGAAATTCCTACGAAATTTCGCTCCCATTAAATATTAAATTCTTTGTTGCCCACGAACATTCAAGAATCAAAATTATTCCACAATAAGTTGTGAATTTAGTTGACATTTTTCAAATAAAACATGGTCTTTTTGTTGAAACTAATTCAAATATCTCCAACTTCTTTTCAAAATTTTCAAAATTTTATTAAGTATACATGCACGTCTATCATAAACAAAGATTAAGAAAGTTTATGCGCGATCCAAGAAGATGTGTTGTTATTGTGGGTCTATAAAGTATCAATTTAAACGTACGATTGTAGAGAATCAAATGCATTCCTCTTGCAAGACTTTGGTTAAATACTTACTTTACATCTAAAGGAAATTTATTATATGTTATTTCTGCTGTTATCGGAAACCGCGTCTCTAGTAGATACCCCGTGAGTCTTATTCCAGCCTTGAATATGAAGAATTTAATAGCAGCTCCACCCCAAGCTTTAGCTCCGGCCCAAGGGATTAGACTTCCCTGTTAATTTAAATTTAGAAATAGAAAAAGTATGCATTTCTTTCAATTAATCTTTATTATACAAAATAAACGATTTATTTGCAATTATTGACTTGTGAAAATTACACTTTTTTCATTTAGATTATTTTTCTTTGTATACTGTGAAATTACTTATTTTCGTGAGGATTAATTTTCGTTGTTTTGTGGCATGAATAGTCCCACGAATTTATGCCCTCCTCAAAAGTTAAATTTCAAATATTTAATAGCCGAATTTTTTTTTTTTCAACCACGAATCTTACTCCTCACGAACCAAACTATTTTCCCCACAAACCATGATAATTGACCCCACCAAAATTTGAGATTTTATAGTTTTCGAGAATTTGATTTTAAAAGAATATCTCCTTCAAAATATCTTACATATCACTTCCTTTTTTTTTTTTTTTTTTTTTTTTTTTTTTTTTTTTTTTTTTTAAATTTTTGCTATTAATGTTTATGGTAATATAAAAGATCTCTTAATAAGAAAAGAAAGGAAAAAAAATTTTAAAATTGAAATGCACTCCTGATCATAAGTTTATAATTCATTTATATATTTTTACTTATTAACTTATTTATTTACCAGTTCTTTTTTTTAATAATGCTGAATTTTATAATCACCCACTGTTTTTATGTTTTTATTTCCTAACTTTCTGGAAACAGAAATAACGTTTTCCTGTATTTATATATTTAATCGAAAAAGTATAGTATTTGTATATTACAAGACTTCACTTCTCAACCAAATTATTCATTTCTAAATGGTAAAAAAAGATTAACGCAATCTTGTTATCTTGTTCACTTACTCTTGCATTGAAACTAAGTATACAGAGACCGACTTGTATTCTTAGGCCAACAGATGCTGCTGCTCCTAACTCTATGATTAAATAAATAAATAATAATAATAATGTATTCATGCAATTAACATCACTTTAACAGCACTAAGTAACACATTAAATATAGTATTGTTCTAAAAATAAAGCAACATTGCATATCAATGTAATGCAATTACAAAAATCGTATAAGAAGTGATGTATCATATTTTAATAATATGTTTAAGGATCAATGTTTTTATAGTATATATGTCTACATTCAAGACAAGTCAGTTACAAAAATACGTGTAACATAATTACACATTATGCGGTATCCTACGATTACATTAACTAGCCCATTAAAAACTTTTCAATAATCAATAAAAATTGAATACGAGCTGCTTGAAAAATATTATTTATATGTCTTATTTTTATATTTGTTTTCCAAAATATACATGCATTTGTACATAGTGTTGACAAACTATTTTCTCAAATCGAACACTTTGGAGTTAAACAAAAGAGACTAGCTATTAAATGTACATGTCTGATAACCGAAGGGTAGTTTTTAAATTCAACATCGTAATCATTTGATATCGATGCATTAAAAACAAAACTACGATAACTTGTTCGAGCTACATAAAGGTAATAAAAATTTATTTTTAAGAATGATTCACTTTTAAAAGTTAAAATATGCTAATAACATATTAGTAGAACTTACCGAAATACAATGCAATTGGGCCAACCATGAAGGGGCCTATTTTCTTATTGATAAGCACGAAATCTTTTGTCGGAAAGGGGATGTCCACATCTGCGCAGAAGTCCACCTTATTTTGGAACTCCTTGCCCATTACTTTAAGTAATGTCCTTGGATCATCAATTAACTAAGGTAAATTAAAAAGACAAAAGTATTGCATATAACCAATGATACAACTGGATCGGATGTTAAGTTGTTTTTTTTTTTACCATTGATCAAATAATTATGTATCAAATATTAAAAAGAGTTTGGCAATCTCGGATACAGTAGCCATGACTTCATATATCATATCATTTTCATTGTGAATATTAATAATATCCGTTTAAATGGCTTCACATTAATATTCTTTTACATTAAAACAGGAAAATCTTACCTCCTCTATCATTGCTTCCCTTATGGTGTCCAGAATTTTTAGAATTTCTTTATCAAGTAGGTGATTTTCTGAGAGCTCTGCTATGAAATCTTGAACAGTTATGCTATCCATCGTCGGCAAAATGGGGTTATTTCCATCACCTTATGTTTGACAAATAAACCATGACCAATATACATGTATATGCATGTCTTGTTTTTGCCAAGAATTTTTTGACCTCAACTTTTTGTCAATATTAAGCAGCGTTTATTCATGTTATCATCAATTTGGTAAATTACATTAGAAATAGAAATAATTTCTTGTTATTATTTAATGATTAAGAAATAATTTGTTAAATTAGATTATGTTCTTAAATCCTTTAGTTTTATCTACCTGTCGGCATATCGTAGGAGACATAGGCTATTATAGAAAATGCAGTCATGTTTGACAAAAGTTATGTTTATTACCTAAAGAACAAGTCGAATCAATTTCGTAGTTCAACAACACTGGAACGGTATGTAAACAGGAACTAAAATCAGACGCACAGAGTTCTGCAGAGAGGGATATAATTGCCGTAGACCAGTCAAATGTTATAGAAACAACTAGGTAAGCAGACATTAACCTAGAAACGTTTAGCAGAGGAACCCTCTCTTCTATTTCAACACCTGAAATGAAAAAAAGCCCAACCTTTCATACTCATCTGTACTTCAAACTTCTGTCTCTCGAACGCAACGGATATGAAAAAATGTGTCCACTTAATTATGAATCAACTGTATTTTTGTATCCCTAACTTATACTGCCTTAATGATACGAAGGTATTCATATAAAATAATTTTATTTTGGATTGACCCGACTTCTGTTTACCAGTTTTTCACTTTTAAATGGACACTTGTATAACAATAAGAATAAAACTGAGCATTTATTTTCTCTTTTAATGTTTGGGGGATCATTTTGTACGTATATAAGTATGTATTTATAAAGGATTGCCAAGTCCCTCTTATTGTCATAGATGTAGCATTGATTTATGTTATCAGAATACATTAAGACTATTTTTGCTTATTTTAGGTTATGGTTAATGTCATTCATTTAAGATTCTACAGACAAGTACCCCTAAGTTGATATTAATTTGATGTTTGAGTTTCTGATTGACATTATCTGTGTAGTTTATTAATGTATTGGAATTCCTATGATATTAATTGCGCGCCATTATTAGCGGACCTGTTTTTGTATTCATATGAAGCAGAATTTATTCAAAAACCTTTCCCTGAAAAGCAGAAATATCTTGCTGTGCCCTTCAATTCGACAATTTAGATATATCCACGACATTTAATCAATGCACGGTATTCATTATCATTCCTATGTTATTCGATATATCCGTTTGAAGTCGAATTGAAATTCACCACAGAGTCTGATACATCTGTTTCAGATTTGAATATTTTACTAAAGAAAGACTTTAGCAACTTAGCTTTTTTTATAAACGTAGTAACTTAAATTTTTTCTATCGTCAACTTCCCTTATTTATCTAGCAATATACCATTATCACCTGTATATGGAGTTTATGTCTCCCTGTTGATTCGATAAGCAACAGCATGCTCTTCGAACGGATAATTTCTAAAACTAGGAGAGCTTTTGACAAATAAGTTTATGATACAGGATATCAACAACTTCAAAGTCAACATTTCGAAAATTCTATTGTGGACAATGACCTTTTTAGCAAATAAAATCTTTCGTTAGGTCGAAGTGTAGGCCATTTTTTTTACACTGGGTTTTCAGTTAACCCGATCACGACAAGGACCACAAGGCGGATGTGACCGATTGACAGGGGATGCTTACTCCTCTATGGCACCTGATCCCACCTCTGATGTATTTATAGGTCCCTGTTTTCTCTGCCCCGTATTTCTTATAAAAAGGGTCTAAGTAATTTGAAAGCAAATTGTGTTTATTGCTTCAAATAGACAGAAAATATTCAACTGATGTAAATACCTACATATATTCTCTGTGATGATATAGAACAATTTATTACTCACCATCTTGAAATTCTATGAGGACTGAAGTTGACCCTGCTGTGACATTGACTTGTTTTGAACATCCATCCATTTTGATATCAGTAGTGACCATTAGTCTGCGATTCGCATGGGAAAGTAAAACTGCACAGGAAATGTCATTGCAACTTCGATGCACAAAACAAACATTTCCAGGACCTTTTTGAAGTCTGTTGAGAAACATCGGGCAATCTAAAACGAGAAATATTTATATATCATAAAAACAAAGACCTTCTCTCTCTGTTTTGAATAATTAAGAAAACTTCACGTGTAATTATACATTCTGCCCTAGTTTCATATAAAATAGTATTATTGTTTACTGGAGCAACACATATTCTCTAATGACTTAAACAACGTCATGCCATGCAAACTTGCAAAAGTGCAAAAAAAAAAAATGAAATTAATGATGTCTTGTAAGAATAGCGTGTTTTGAATCTCAAAATTTGAAGTTCATGGAAAACAAAATTGTTATCGATATGATGTTAATAATTAACAAAAGCCATAAGAGAAAGGGGGTGTTTATACTAATACGTGTATCTCTGAAAAAAATCCTGGCCCCGCCGACACCAAAATTCCTCTTCCTCAACCTCAATACTCAGCCTCAAATTCTTGAGGTTCACTCAAGTGAGGAAATTCCTCAAACCACCGTCACCAAACCCTCTGAGGGTTTCCTCAGTTGAATTGTATAAAAATGTACTCAACTCAGTTGAGTCGAGACACAAAACTATTCGTGCATTTTCGCGGATTTTTTAACGCTATTGTTTAAGCAATAAAATTTGTCGTCTGATGTAGAAAATATGGCAGAAATTGACATTGCAGCCTTACTGACAAAAACACGTTAGAATTCGTTAAAGGTACTGATGAGGTTATAACTGCACAAAAGGAAAAAAAGGGGAGCTAATTGATCGGCCGAAGAAGAAATTCATTTGATAGAGGAAGTGTTAAAATGAGTTATTCCTCTTGTACATATTCTTAAAATGAAAGTAAGAAAGAGCAGACGCTGAGTGACTAGTTACCTGCGATCTTCAAAAATCTTGTTTTGTTTGTCTGGCTGTTTGGTCCCTCGGAAACATGATAAAGTCTTGCCGAATATCGTTGATGGCCTGGGTCACAGAACGGCACCATCTACCGACTGTGCACTCAGAAACATATACACTGTCCCCGATCAATTTATGAAAAGCACCCGTAGCCAGAAAACGCAAACAAAGCAACAGCTGCAACAGTGGAGGCAAGGCTTGATTTTTTGTGGTGTTTATTAGTTTGTGTTCAATCAGAGTCATCAAATAGACGATGGTAGGCCATCAAAATGGAAATCGTTCATAAAGTTCGTCGTCTGTGTACACTACCATGGGATTTAGACGATCTTTTACTACCCTACGTTCGGGTCTTTCTCTCATCAGTAAAAATCTTCTATATTTTCGTCGTCTTCTACGCCTGTCCGCCATTTAATTTCCTTGAGTAAGCTTTTAAGGTAACTATAGATTTATACTTAAATATTTGAGTATTTACTCAAGATTCTGTTGAGGAAAACTCAATTTTTTCGTGGTGACGGTGACTTGTGGGTAAGGTCATAAATTTGAGGGAAAACCCCGGAGTTGAGGCTGAGTATTGAGTTGAGGGATGTTGGTGACGGCGGGGCCTGAATCCTTTAAATTATGCTGCTTTTGTATACAACAGTGTATCAAATTAAGAAAACAACTATATATCATGTATTTTAAATCAACTTTCGAGAACAAAGATAATATTGATGGATGAATGGATGGATGGACAGAAAAAGAGACACTCAGGCAGATAGGTGGGAAGACCTTCGTCTGAAGAGAAGATTTACATGTATCTTAGACTACAGACACCTGTCTCTGTAATAAAAGTTTTCACTCATAAAATTGCGATAACGCAAGATATACAACTCCAAATTATATGGAGTTTGGCCATCCCAAAAATTGCAGTCTTTTTTTTTTTACTTTCAGAGAAAACGCGGTTGAAACGTGTTTTCTAGTGTATGCATTCTTTTCTGCAATAACATATCTATAAAAATATGTACGACAAGTTTGCTTTTATTATACTTCCAAGGTTATCCTTTATTTGAAATTCTTCTGTGCATTATATTACGAAGTGCAAAATATTCGCTGTTTTTGCGACCAAATAAGCAACGGAACCACATCCCTGTATAAATTACCTAATATTCATTGATTCGATACACAAATGGTATGATTTTGCAAATTGAAGATAATTAAAAGATGAAAGAGACACTGAATATTGCATCAACATGGTGCATGTTAATAAGAATACTTATATTTTCTATGCATACTCCAAATATAAGTACACGTTTAAACACTACCCGGCCCCCTCCCCTCTTTTCCGTCAGTCACACACACGCCTTTAGGATAATGAATAAATATAAGTATGATTTCAAAAAAAATTATACAATACTAGTACCAATATTTAACATATAAGTAATGAAGCTCATTTTAAAGATTTATTTTTGGAATAATAATTTCATTTGGTAAATTATACACATACATGTACATTGAATGCAGAGGAAATACTGGTTATTCTATCTCACAATTTAGCTATCTGGACTGGACATTTGCCATGTTTGTTTTCAGTTGATAAAGGGTCGAAGCAGTGAAGGATTGTATCGTACAATCGCCTTACGAGACTCTGGACCTCGGTTTTTTGGGTCTCATCCGAAATACTTTCATTCTAGTGTTGGTCGCTTGGGGAAGGAATAGTCGCTATTTATGCAAAACATCTTAGCTTTGACGCGGCGAGGGACCTGAACTTCCCGATCATGAAACGAGCGCCATACTACTAGGCTAGCTGTTAAGGATTGACAATTGGAAAAGGTACCTTTCTCAATGAGAGTTTTAGTAAGAAAGGATGTATGTTCCTGATAGGCTAGGATCACACTTTGGCGTTATTAATAATTTACTGTAGAGAGAAAAAAGATTTTTGTGGTGCATGCACACAGTTCAAATGCTTCGGGAACCTTGACTTCTCTGTGTTAACAGCATGCAAAATTCCTCGCCAGCTAGAAAATATGTCTGCAATACGATTTTCTAGACTAAATATGGACAGAATGAAGCAAATTAAATCAATTGAATAATTTGGATACAATTCCTAAAACAAGGTAAGTTATTGACAAACAAGTTGATGAAACAAGAATATCAACAGTCTCGTTTAATTTCATCATTTGGTAAGTTCTATGGTCTATACAATGATCTTGTCAGCAAATACAATCTATCATTAAGACATATGCTGACTGACGTTTTTCATACTAATTGTTAAGCCATTATTTACACACTGAGTTGTCGACGGATTTTTCCGTTATTTACCGATCATAACAAGAGGCACAAGGCCAGTGTTACCCGTCGGCAGGGGATGCTCACTCCTCCATGGCACCTGATCTCACCTCTGATGTGTTTGATCTGCTCCCTATTTGTATTGTTTTAATGGAATTTGAGCTTGAATACTTTTCGTTATCTCCATATTATATAGATAGATAGTTTTTTTTAGATTATAAAATAAAAATTCCAGAAACAATTTACCACTGCGTCTTCGCTGAAAGCAAAACAACCTCACATTTTGTGGAAGATGGAACTCCATGAAATGTGGATTAAAATACTTTCCTGTCGTTATTATACTATGGGGTAAACTCTTTCACGGATTAAAAGTGTATTTGCATAAAAACAAAGGTCGAATTTCTATGTTGCCATATACAAACCGTTTTCAGTTCTTGCAAGAATTCTTGACACCATTTTTGATTTTGATCCAGACACTGTGCTAAACGATGCTCTTAATAAACTACGAAGTTTTGATATTGACAACCCATCCAGGTTTTGAGCAGAAAAGGATGATCGAAGCTGCACAAGTTTATTATAAACGATTTCCATTTCCGTTGCAACTTTTTCTCCAAGTATTTCTTTGATTCTTCCAAGAGTATATGAATTAACATCCACTAGATCAAGAAGATTAGGCCCTGTCCTAAAATAGGGTCAGAAAACAATATCAAAATCTAAACAAAAAACGAAGACAGTTGTTATTTTATTATATTAAAGTCTTTCCGTCATAATTTGCAAAAATTATTTTTTTTCCTTGCAAAAACATCTTGCCTATTCATATCAGAAAAAAACTAACAAAGAATTTAGCTGTAATGACATATCAATATACATAACCTGTTACTTGAAAAATCAAAAAGCTGTTTAGCTATGTCCTTGAAATTCGTTGCTAAACCCTTGAATTCTTTTTTGAATTTATTCCACGCGCCAACAGCTACTGAATCATTAGGAGAAGCCACTTCGAACTCTGGGGGGCGGTAATTTGGTTCCACAGGAGGAAATTCGTTCCCAAGAGCTTCGGTTCCTTCGGAGAGTGCTCTATAAATTTCCTCGTCCAATTTGTCAAGTGTTTCCCTAACTGCATCAGCCGAAACAACACTGAAGAAATTGATATAAGTGTAATCTTTGCATTCCCATATCCATTCCGGATAGGGCAGCAGATGATCCAAGAACGGAGACGGGTAAATGTATTCATATTCAGAATCTGACATTTTTATCGTAGACTTTTTTCGAACAGACACATGGATAGAATTATAATCACAAGGTGATTTGTCTGCTTTTCCAATGATATCTTTACCCGCTGACAAAAACTGACCACTTGATGGGATTGATGGATTCGGAAGAATGTTTTCTACTATTATTTCGAATTCGATAAAATCTTCATCTGTAGGCAAAATCAGCACTCTATTGTTTTCTCTAAAACTTCACCATTGACAGGACAACGAATCTGTACAAATTTAAGGAAAATTATAAAGATCTTTAAAAAGTCCAAATGGAAACAGTGTACATGTTATTATTTATTTATAGCTGAAATAGATATTTCATGATCAAAATGCATTTTTAGCTGTTAAGTTTGTCCTTGTACCTGTATTTCCATTTTAAATTTTAAAATATATGGAAAAATATCAATTTTTATACTGGTGTTTTTATTTATTCATTTATTTATTTATCTATTTTTCTTAAAAATGTACGCTATCAATTTATTGATTTTTAATTATATTATGAATTCACCCGGTCACGTACTCTAGTGATTGGGCGATCGTTCGCTTCGTGATCGGGTGTGCCGCGTCAAACCTAAGACATAAACATAGGTAGTAACTGTTCCTTCGCCAAACACCCGGCACTAGAAGTGAAAGTCACGGGTCTTTCAGGAGAGACTTTAAAAAGCAAGAGTCGTGTCATGGTAGGCGTTGGCACGATACAAAACCCTCACTGCTCAATGACCCTGAGCGCTCAGTATAGGTCTAAATTTGAAGCCCTTCACCTGTATATGGTGAAGTCCCTATATGAATGAAAAATTCTCGAATGGGACGTCAAACAACATATAATCAATCAATTATATCATGAATAATGAAGATAACGACCAGTAATCTAACTTAAAAGTCCATCGAAGCAATACAGGAGCGGGATAAAAACAGGATAAGGTGTCATGAAGGAGTAATCACCCCCTATCGACTGGTCGCATCCGCTGTGTGCTCCTTGTCATTTTCAGGCAAACGGAAAATCCATTAACTATTCATTGTAAAAAAAAAAAATAGCCTTACAATATGTATGAAAAACACCACTCAACATGCGACTTAACGATTTATTGCATATTTGTTTAAACCAAAGAATTTGCAAAATGTTGGCTTTAAACGAGATTGTTGATATCCTGTATCATCAATTCATTTGTCAATAGCTTGCCTCGTTTTAGAAATTGTTCGCACTTAGAATATGCTCTTGTGTATCGATTCGACTGGGAGACATAAACAACATATGTAGGCGATAATTGTACATTGCTACAGTTATAAATGAAGCTGACGATGGAAAAGCTGGAGTCATCTCCTTTATCATAAAGTTTACTACATTATAATATGATGAATGGGGATTGGTGTACCTCCATTTAAAATATACAATATCTTTGCATGTTATACCATCAACGCATTTTCAAAATTAAATATTTCAAAACTCAAGTATACAGGTATAATTTATAAAACAAATTATCTTACTTCAGCGTTATATCCAATTCGAACATCAACACCCAATGTCTGATATCTCCCGTTCGTATTCGTAGGCCAAACTCCTACTCCGCAGGTAGAATCTTCAACTCTTCGCCGCTTTGGAAATGTTATGTGGAATTTGGAACCAAAAACCCTTTGTATGATATTCTTTGTCTTTATAAATCTACAATAATTTATGCATTTATTAATTCCTATACACGAGACAAGTGGAAATGTTCTTTCAGATGAGTCTTTCTGTCAGAAAAAAACAGAAATGCAAAAAGGCCTTACATATCTCTAACTGAAGAATATCCAGACTTGATTGCTTTGAATGAATTTAAAACTGAACGGAAAGCATTGAAGAATGGGGATACTAATTCACTCAAAGTGTCCTTAAATTGAGTTGTCAGGTCCCCAAATGACTCCTTGATAGCCTCTATAAATATATTGGTTTGCTCCCTCTGCAACAACGTTCATTCATTTTTATAAATTTATAATTTGAATTCAAATAAGTGAATACAATAGATATTCAGTAATCGTTTAGAGAAATCATTATCATTACAAGACAGCTAGCATTTAAAATTTTTCCAATAAGTATGTTTAATGCTTAAGAGAAAATGTAAGTGAATAGTTTGGTTTTTAGTCTACCCTCATTGATATGCCATCCGTAAGTGCAGCGGAAAGTTCATCCTCGAACTCATCGGTGGACTGACTTTCTTTCTTCTCTAAGAGAAGACCAAGTAGGTCTTTGACGTCTCCTAAAAACTCCTTAAAATCCTCCCAGTAGTCCACCCAAAATGGCACACGACCTGTTGACAAAACAGATAGTGTAGCAAATCAAACATTGTAATACACTCTATAAGGTTTTTTAAATGAGGAAAGATATGAAGACATGAATATCTAAATTTATTTTCAGAGCTGCATGTGTCATTTTTTTCTAGATGCCTCTTTATTGTCTGTAAGTAACATGCTTTCAAAAGAATCTAATTATATTTGTTTCACCAGGAGGTATTTTTTTTACTCTGTAAATATAAACGAATAGTACCTTTCAGGAGAGCCAAAGTCTCCACTATTTTGTTTTTCACGTCTAAAAACATTCCGATCGCGAGCTTTATGCTGCAAAAAATGAAACTTACATTAACTAGAAGAAAAGAACTGAAATTCCTTCTTGAATGTGCAAATGTACATTAGACATATCAGATTAAATATAAAATTATATATAGAAGCTACTTGTTAATTGAACTTACTCCAGTACAGATTTTCCAAATACCGTTATTGATTGAACTGGATTTGACAAAAATTGTTTTAATGCTGAAATTATTGTTGCAACAGAATCAAACAACTTCTTCGCAACGAAGGGCAGGGTCACTGTGACAGCATCAGCCATAGTCTAAGGGATGGTGGAAAATTAGGAAAATTTCATTAATATTTCAAAATTAAATCCATAAAATACATTAGAGTTTAATGATAATAAATGAAATAATACGTGAATAAGTAAATAAGAATCCCTATTTTTTTTAAGCAACGCAATTTTAAAAATATAATTAATCTGTTAGTTTATTACATGGATGAGGCATAATTGAAAATATTTCGTTTGATATTTACATAACAATTACGTTTTTGATGATTAAAAGTCCATGGTATTTTCTAAGGATCACCAATTGATGTTTTCGTTAAAAACAACTCTCTTGTAGATTTTAAAAATCATTGTTTCCTCATATTCGTGTATAGTTTACAGAAAAACACTCAATTTACATACACTGTAAAATTCTGTAAGATCTTCTTTCACATCCTCCACGAAATATCTGGCTTTGATAATTATCTTCTTTATTTGGTCAATCCATGGAACCCCTCCATACTCAATGACCTTCATGACTGCTTTGATGATTTTTTGAATGATTCCTTCTAATATAAGTGGAAAATTTTTTACCAGCTCAATAATCTTGTTGACAATGTATTCGATACCTTTGTCAAATAGCTGAATAATATCTTTGAAAGCCTTGACAATGTTTTTTATCGGATCAACCACTTTTTTCACGATTCTGTCGAATATCGTTGCTAAGTCCTGTATGCCATTGATTCCAAAGTCCTGTAATTAAAGGTTTGAAGAGGAAATTCATTTCTTGCCAATATATAGTCATTAAAACGCAAATGAAACGAGATAACTTTATCCTTAGACCTTAGCTAATAATATTCAAATGTTTGTTTACATGATTTCATCCCTGTACGCACGTGTTTATCTACATAGTTGATAAAACATACTTTAACTTTTCAGAACTATTATGTATTTTAAGACAGAGGTTTATTGAAATACTAAAAAATGTTAAAATAAGTATAATATTTGACCCGAATTTCCAAACATAAATCGAAGTAAGAAGTTCCAGATTCTGGTAGTCGCTATCGTTGTCGAGGTTTACTGTATCACAATGCCGATAACCAGTGATAAAGTTTACCTTTAGGATATTAATATCATATCCAGCATGTCCCCTATAGCAGGCGTGAGCTCGGAAGAGATATTTCTCTATATCAAACCATCCAATCATGACTTTGGCGTACGCATCATCATAGACATTCAGCATGGCGTGTCCACTAAGTGGTTCTAAAATTGGATATCTCATAAGAAATTGAATACTCAGTACATTGATTATTTTTATCTTAAGTCCTACGCTTTTAATTTCACATAGACACAGATGTTTGCAAGCATATTAACATATTTTGAGAGATTTATATGAATATTCTATAAAGATATTTCTCTTTCTTTAAGTAATTATTAATTAATAATTCATTTTTATTACAAATGTTATATTTCAGTTTTTGCTTTCAGAGAGGCAGATTTTGTTATCTATTACATACTTATTTCTATTTCAAGTTCATTTGTCAAAATAAGTCCAATGCCTGCTCCTAAGGCACTCTTTCCTAGTTCTTTAGTCCAGTGTATTCCAGGAAGTTTCATTGCAAAGAAGAAACCATCTTTGAATCTTACATCAAGAATGCCTCTCTTCACTCGCATCAAAGTTAGGTATGTGTAGTTTCGGCTGCAATGAAGTGAATGTATTTTAGAAGGGTACTGAAGAACAAATGATTATATGCATAAGCATTATTATTTTCTTCTGAAACAATGAAAAGCTAAAGATAAGGAACAATGATCGATCTAAGAAAAAAACACAAACAATACAAATCAGAGTATTCAAGAGTAATCAAGAGTAACTTGTTAGAAGTGTCCCATATATTTTGTATGGATATATCAATTATAACGTAAACACTAAACGATATGGTTATTCATAGATATGGTAAGATTTACAACAAAATATCTTAATGCTTAAAAAATAGTTTCTAATGAACCTTAAAATGACATCTCGATGCTGTGGAATACTTCTTTTCGATGAAGGATGCTTCTCAAAATATTCCATAGCTTGTTGTCGAACTAAAGAATATTCGTCGTTGACGGCCAAGTCAAGTAAAGCCACAGAACTCTACATGAAGTACAGAAGGTATATTGAAAAATAAATTATACAACTACAGTATAGTTGAACTTTTACAGCATCTTATTCCTTAGCTTTGAGAAAATGTTATACCTCTGTGCAGTTAAAGTGCCTCATTCCTATGATAGCAGCCCTTCTCCAGCTGTTGTCCCCCTCCCCAGGCCTCATGTACGTCAGGAGGTGGTCCCTGGCGTTTCCGGAATTTCCCAATGCATGGATTAACACCATTTTGGAGTAAGTGTAATTATGGAGTTCAGCATCAAATCTGTCCACTGAACGGCGTGGTCTTCTTTTACTGTATATTTCTTTATAGCTTGCTTGAAGCAATAATATAAAATTAAAACATAAGAAAACAACACAGGCATAAGACACACGAAAAAAAAATAATTCAGTTGTCTGAAATTCGTACTTTGTACCTTTCTTTGATGTTTCAATATGTGCAAAACATGCAGAAATGAAACGCAGCTATAGTGATATTTATGATAAATATATTTAGCATGAATTATTCCTTTGTAAACATAAAGATCTTAATACAATTTCTTACTTTGATTATGAGGAGTCAACCAATTCTGGAGGGAATCAAGAAGGTGGTCTGTCTTTTCATCACGCTGAGAATTGTTTCGAAATATTCTAATCAATGTTCCAAGTGCCAAGCAAGCATGTTTGTGTTTTTTGGTCATGGCAATTAACCCTTCAAAGATAATTAGCATAAAATGTAATCATATGAAAAAAAGCACGGATTCAAGACTAAAATTATTAATTACTAGAGATTGTTAAAGGCATACAGGCTACAATTTTACTGTATGAAAATAAAAACAAATGGTAATTTTTTTGTAAGTCACATAATTTATAACTGCTTGGTAATAAAAAATATATATTTGATCACATAACATATTAATACTGAGTCAATATCATAAAATACTATTTTTCACTATAGGAAACTTTAAAAATATTTTCTGTTACCACTGATTAAAACATGGATTCATGAGTAAACCACAATTATTTCTTTTTCATAATACAAGACTTGTAAGATTCAGTATACCTATATTAGCATGATCTGGACCAAGACAGATTTTTTCAACAGCTTGTAATAATGCCTGCAGGAATAACAAAAAAAATTATATAAGGCAGATATTTCGTACTATTTTTTTAAATGAGTAAGCTGCGTGTAAATAAAAAAACATAAAAAAATATCTGAGAGGCAAATACAAGGAACTAACCAGTGTAGGTGTTTTTATATCAGCTATATGGAAAAATATTCGAAAAAGGGCCGTTTCGTTGACATCTTTCTTTTCTAAGAAGTGTCGGATAATCAGATTTTGTGTGATATTACTTCCTTCTTTAAAAAGAAGATCAATGAATAAATTTTGTCTACTGGAACAGTTTGTTTCATTTGATTGGCATTCCCTGGAGAACTCGCGTGTTGCAAATGTTACATAATCGTCCTCCGGAAGGTGATTCATTATCTGCACAAGGTCTGCAAAGCAATCTGATCTGTTTTTGTTGACTAGAACGATGGAAAAATAGTTATTACAAAATGACATCAAAGGGAATATTAATTAAGGATCACCATTCTTCTGTGCACTCTGTTAAATTTTTGCTCAATCGCTGATAATTTTTCAAAATAAATAAAGGTATACATTTTCAGGATTCCAAGCGGTACAAAAAATAACAGAATCGCCTTTTTATTTGACAAATTAATAAAATAATTAGAGTTATTTAGCCCCATATGAGTTATCTTTCTTATAACAGGGCGGATGAACCTTAAATCATATAAGACATTTCTTAATTACCTTCTTCTTTGTAAGACTGAATACAGTCTACATTTGACTCAATATCGTTTTCGACTTTTGATAAGCCAGTTGTTTTTAGTTTCTCCTGTAAAAAAAGTCAAAGTGAGTAATTTTTTTTCAAAAAAAGTACTGTCATTTTATTATCGAAATTCAACAGAAAGTAATGTGCCTTACCCTTTGAACAACGATACTGTCTTTAATTTTCAAATACTTGTCCAAGGGGGATAAAGTATCAACTTTATTCAGTTTTCTATAATTAAAAAAAAGCAAATGGTATGGATAATACCTTATCCTAATGAAAAGGCAAGTTGTTTTATTGTACTGATTGTATTAAAATGTTAAATGTAGAAAAAGTGAGTTTTAAAGAGATGACTTATGTACTCACATTTTGCTGACGAGTCTTACTTCTGTTGACGTATTTGATTCAATGTCTTTCACTTCTTTAAAGAAAAAAAATTAAGACATTTAAAATTTCCATACCCAATTTTCAATAAGAAATATTCAAAGGTTTTTACTATTTTGAAGAAAATAAAAGTAAAACTGTTGTTCAAAATTTATCCGAAACTTGTCTAACAAAAAAGATATGACACATACAACTTGGACCTGTCCTCGTTCGTAATGACGTTTTTTCATATTTACATTCACATATCGTTCAAATCTCAACAGTTTTGGTAGGGTTTATTTATATGTAATGAACAGTCTAACACTGAAAATGTACTGCGTATAAAAAAAATACCTCCACTTTTTTCCTCTCTAATTTTCTTTTCTCCGGGAACTAAGTGTCTGTTAATAAATGTTTCTTCGTTTAATCAACAATGGGTAAACAGCAATTCTTTAACTTATGTTGCTATCGATCAACAAATTTCTGATTCATCTTACTGTCTTTAAAATTTCATATATACAATGCAAAACATAATGGAAAGATCAAACGTAGAATTCTTCTCAATGTGAATTTTGCATTCCTTGGAAATCATGTTCACTGTATTGTAATAATTTTCCATACCTTGTTTTTTGCATTTTGTTTTTGTTCTGTAGAATAACTTGATCATGGGCTTTAACATATTCAATAACCCCACCATGACTATAATGTAACGTCTGGAAAAAATGCATGAAACACACTCAGGATACGTTTTGTTTTGCAGCTTAAAGACAAATATATATACAGGTGTATATGTCTCATAAATTTTCATTCAATATGATGGTATTAATAAACAGAGCAATATAAAGGGCATTCTTCTGCTTTTTTTAGACCTTAATTTATCCATTGAACAAAAGATACTTGATCTTAAAAACTGATGTCAATTTTTTAAAGAAAAGTATTGCAACTGATTTGATTTCAAGGAATCCTTACTTTAGCATGTTTTCTGTAGACTTCTTCCGAGCTTTCATGAAATCTATTGACTCGGTACCCTGCAGTTGTGCTCTGAATAACATACTTGTGTGGCAGATAACCTGTAAAATACTCTTTTAGGTGTGATTTGCAACTTGTTGTAGAAAAAAGTATTCTGGTTGATTTTTTAAAAAATTGTTTACTAGTTAAGCACAAATTTAAGAGGATATATAGACAACAAAGATAAAAAGATATTAAAATGGTTAATAAGTTTAAACAAAAATATACTTTAGCCGCCAAGTATATCTGGGATACAAACACTCATGGTATCATGAATTCGGTTGTGTAAAAGAGAAATTTAACTGTTAAAACATCCCATGGCCCCTTTTCTTAAAGTTTCTATACTTACCCTTCTAGTACTTTACTTGAGTTTACGATAATGATATGCTGGTCATGAAACATTCTTTAAAGATTAATTTGTAATATTTAGAAATTTATTTCAAAATTATGGATTATCTCCCTCATGCATAGCTCTGATCCTTCGATGTATTTGGCTCCAGTCTTTGGCACTCTTTTCAGCTCTTTCAATTCTTTTTATTTAAACTTTGGATTCCCAACCTTTCGGTTTGAGCATCACCGAAGAGACATAATTTGTCGATATGCGCATTTGGTGCATCAAAATTGGTACCGTATATGATTTACATTTTTAAGCTTTTTGGGTTTGAAGAATCACACATACTCTATACACATACACAGCTAACATTTCATTAGTCATTTACATATATGCAGATCTTACCCCTTCCCAGTTGTAAAACGTTTGTTTGTTTTTAAGACCAATCTACAAAAATAGACACTGAGAATTTTTTCATGGGTAATTAAAAAGAAACCATCGAAAATGTTAATTTTCATTGATTTTTATAATATATATATAGAAGTCAGGACATAACCTTCCCTTTACCATGACAGATTAGTCCACTAATTTATATAATTTGCATTTGCAAGGTAACAAAAATTAAATGAATTGTAAATTTATTGAGATCAGAATGCACTTTTTAGATTATTGCCAAAGTTAACACACTTTTATATTTCTTTTATAAGGTTTTGAGTAAAAAGAAGAGAAGTACAGGTGACTTATTTAATCAAGAACATTTCATTTTAAGCTGCCCCCACCCCTCTACCTTTTTTGCCTGTTTTATTTCGCCTAATTTTTATGTTTCTTTAAAGTGCATTAATTGTGAAAGTGGTGTTTTTTTTAATGATCTTATTATTTCATTTTTATGATTTGATGATGTTATCATTTTTCCTCGGAATCTCTTAAAATACCTTAAATCTGTGGTTTCTTTAAATTATCAAATAAATAATTCTATCGATTTTAATATTTATCATTGTGTTTTAAATAACATTTATCTTCATCAATAACTATCACATTAGTTGCAAAATGCAGTACATCTATTAATAATTGTTTGTTAGCTCGGAAATATAGTTTTGTGGGGGTAGCTTTTATTTTGCTTTGCAGAATACTTTCAAGTTTACCTGACTTAATAAATTTTATGATATAGATTCAGCAAATTTGGATTTTGCGCTGTCTAAAATATTATAAAAAAATATAATTATCAAACCTTTCCTTTTGCTGATAGAACGCTGGCAAGGACCTTCTTCAGATTTAACACGTCGATCTTCTCTTCATGATGGTGTGCTATTTCCTTGATCAAGCCGTCTTCTGATATAAGAAACTCGAACCTGAATTTAAAGCAAAAGATCTTACAAAATTAATTCTAAAATTAGGTTGACAATTAAAAGAATTTTCCAATGAACATTTCTTGTCAATTGTCAATCAATTCTATTTTATCTGAAACAGGCTAATGAATCGACCTTTTTTAATTCAGATATTTCGATATTTTTGCTCAGTTAATTACTTTGCTTTTTTGTATGTTAGTTTTTATTCAAATTTATTATAATTATAATCCATTTATCTTTTACTCTAAAGATATTTTACTTCGATTCAATTACATGTAGGTAGTCTGTTTTATTTCATACTTAATATATTGCCTTGTTTGTAGACATCAAGTGAAAAGGATGAGATTATGTAAAATAAGATATAATAAATGTTGACTTTTCAAAATACATCTTCATATATTTCAGCTTTTATGTTTTAAATATAAACGTTCATAAAATAATATATATACCCATTGTTGAAGTTCCATCCAACAGGATTGGTTTTTGCTAAATTTTATGTAAAGAAAAATCAAGTCAAACACAAGTATCAGACACAATTTTCTTAGTCAGTAGATCACAATTTTTATATATTTATTTTTAATATATTTTTTTTTAAATAATATGATTTTCTAAAAAAAAAATCAGAAAGTCAATTCAATAAATATCGTTTCATTTATCAATACAAAATACACAATTAAGTATGCCAAAAAATACACTAATGACGACATTTACTTTTCCCACCGGCTGACTGAGTGAAACTGTCAATATAGAGTTGGCACAAAAGTGAGTTATTCCCTCTCTCAACTGGTCTTACACGAAACTGTAATTGAAGAGATGGTCATAATTTTTGTTTTAACATATAACGAATTTGAGTCTCTCTCTCTCTCTCTCTCTCTCTCTCTCTCTCTCTCTCTCTCTCTCTCTCTCTTAACATACACATACACATACATAAATACAAGCGTGCATTCTAAAATTATTTTTTTATATAAGGTATTCTTGTTGTATCCATCATAATTTTTTCTTAAAGAATAAAACCACAAGATCAATTATTGAGTACGATTTCACTTTTATTCAAGGTACTGTAGTATTACGAGTCATTTCCGTCCTTGCTTTTTTTCTTTCATCGTTGAATAATTTAATTCTGGTTGTAACACGCCATTACATTGGAAAGAAAAATTCGTCTATATCGTATATCCTGTGTTGCCTATGTCACAATGACTGACGTCAAAAACATATCAATCCGCTAGACGCTACATTTAAAATCTGAAGAATTTGAAGGCCTTTTTGAAAAGAAAATTGTCTTATTTTTTACACCTAAGGACATACGCAACGTACCTTACCTACTGATAATTTTTCAAGATATTCTTAATTTATGATTATAGTGCCATCAGATGTTCATAGACAAAAAATCAGCATGCATAACCAGGGGTTTTGAAAAGATATCAACTGATGAAAATTCTTGTATAATTCAAAGAAAAATATGTAAAAATTACTAAACTTATATTCTATATGTTTTTTTATCCAAACTTGTTTTAGAAGAAGTGTACAACAGCATATATAGACATTCAAATGTAGCACACAGTTCCTTTAAGTATTGGAACTCTTCAACTCCAGGGGAAAAGACAATAAAGTTCAAACTACATTGTGTATGTCCTTAATGATAGAAAATTAAATTTTAAGAATATATTTAATAGCTACCCAAATTATAGTTGTAGAACCTGGGTTGGAACACTTTACGCTTTTTAACTCACCTGAGCTGAAAGCTCAAGTGAGCTTTTCTGTTCACCCGTTTTCCGTCGTCCGTCCGTTCGCCTGTCTCCGTTGTAAACTTTTCACATTTTCAACTTCTTCTCATGAACCACTGGGCCAATTTTAGCCAAAATACAAAGCATCCTTGGGTGAAGGGGAGTTTAAATTGTTAAAATAAAGGGCCACGCCCACTTCCAAGTGCAGATAATCAAGAAAAGACAAAAATAGGGTGTGGTCATTAAAAATATTCTTCTCAAGAACTACAGGGCCAGAAAAGCTGAAATTTATGTGAAAGCATCCTGGGGTAGTGTAGATACCAAATTGCTCAAATCATGACCCCGGAGGAAGAGCGGGGCCACAATAGGGAATCCAAGTTTTACATTGAAATATATAGGAATGAAATACATGAAGATAACGAACAGTATTCAGGCTCAAAAGTCCATCAAACAATACAAAATAGGAGCAGAGTAAACACGGACCTCCAAACATCAGAAGTGGGATCAGGTGCCATGGAGGAGTGAGCATCCCCTGCCGACCGTTCACACCCGCGGTGTGCTCCTTGTCATGATCGGGAAATAACGGAAAAATCTGTCGACAATTCAGTGTGTAAATAATGGCCTAACAATTTGTATGAAAAACGTCAGTCAGCATTTGACTCAATGATAAATTGTATTTGCTGACAAGGTCATTGTATCAACCATAGAACTTACGAAATGATGACTTTAAACGAGACAGCTGATATTCTTGTTTCATCAACTTGTTTGTCAAGAATTTACCTCGTTTTAGAAATTGTACATACGTAGAGCATGCTCTTGCGTATCGAATCAACTGAGAGATATATACCCCGTATGCAGGTGATGAAGGTATATTACTGCATAAGTAAGGGAAGTTGACGATTGAAAAGTTAAAGTCATCACGTTTATCATTAAGCTTGGTTGTTAGATTACCATTAACGTCTTTTTCAAGTAAAATATCGAAATATGAAACAGATGTGTCAAACAGATGGGCCAGAAAAGCTTAAACTTATGTGGAAGCATTCTGGGGTAGTGTAGATTCCAAACTTTTCAAATCATGACCCCTGAGGGTAGGGCGCGGCCACAAAAGGTTAATCCAAGTTTTACATTGAAATATTTGAAAATATCTTTAAAAATCTTCTCAAGAACCACTGGGCCAGAAAAGCTCAAACTTATGTGGAAGCATTCTGGGGAAGTGTAGATTCTAAATTGCTCAAATCATGATGCACTGGGGTAGGGCGGGGCTACAATAAGGAATCGAAATGTCACATTGAAATATAGAGGAAAAATCTTCTTCTCACGAACCACTGGGCAGAAAAGCTTAAACTTATGTGGAAGTATCCTGAAGTAGAGTAGATTCTAAATTGTTCAAGTCATGACCAATGGGGGGGGGGGGGGCACAATAAGGAATCCAAGTCTTACATTGAAATACAATGTAAATAGGAAAAATCTTTTTCTCAGGAACCACTAGGCCAGAAAAGCTGAAACTTATGTGGAAGCATCCCGAAGTAGAGTAGATTTAAAATTGTTCAAATCATGACCCATGGGGTTAGGGCGGGGCCACAATAGGGAACCCAAGGTTAACATTGAAATAAATCTAGATCTTCTTCTCAAGAACCACTGGGCCAGAAAAGCCGAAACTTATGTGGAAGCATCCTGGGGTAGCGTAAATCATAAATTGTTCAAATCATGATCACCGGGATAGGACGGGGTCACAATAGGAAATCCATGTTTTACAGTTTATGTTGAAAATATCTTTAAAAATCTTCTTCTCAAGAACCACTGGGATAGAAAAGCTGAAACTTAAGTGGAATCATCCTGGGGAAGTGTAGATTCTAAATTTTTCAAATCACGATCCCTGGGGATAGGGTGGGGCCACAATAGGAATTACAAGAGGGAATCATGTGTGGAACAGCATGGCCAAAGTTACTCAGAAGAGCATTGTGAGCCTCTTGTTTATAAACCGCTTCACGGTTTATAAAGCGTAAACTACCCCAACCCAGGTTATGCAGTATAAGTTGGGAGCTATTAAATTCATTCCTTAAATGTATAAATAATGATTTCCAGTTGTGACTCAATCGTTATATCTCTTTTGTTCATTTTTACTTCATTTTGCTATTTAAGGACAGATGTTACAAACAAACAAAAAATGGATGCCTGGATTGGTATATATTTTTGGACCTATTTTGGTTGTAAATAATGCAAATAATAACTTTCTAAAATATTGAAAAAAAAATGTAAACTTCCATTCATGTTCAAATTCTACCTTTCTACAAACATCCTTAATAATCTATGCAACTTTTTGTCATTTTAAATCCCATTATTGTGAAACTTTGATTGAAAAACTTGTTTATTACTTCTATTAAGCACACCAGTTCCGAAACGTGCCAAATTCATAAAAAAAGATTAACGAAATAAAAGAAATTATGAAGAGTGAAAAATAGAGAATATAAATATAAACTAAAGCGAGGTATTCAATTTGTCGGCACGGCCAGGTGCTATTATAGGACCGACGATATCCAAAAATAAGAAAATAAGAATTCAATGCTTGAATTAATATGACTTAAGTTATTTTCCAAGATTTTTGATAAAAAAAAAAAACAACTTGTTTGTATCATCTGTCCTTAGGTAGCTCTTTTATTACGGGATTTCTTTCATTCCTAAGTCATTTATTTACGAATTTGATATAATAAAACATTAAATGATTAAGATAAAATGTCCCTACAATTTAGTCGTTTCTACGTTAATTTGTACATGTAGCTAAAAAATACGTCCGTATGTGCATTTTAATGTATTATATATATTTTCCTTGGGCTAAGTTTGTTGTTGTTGTGGGTTTTTTTTTTTGGGGGGGGGGGGGCATTTTGTGGACAGGCAGTTTTTGATGCTCCTTTTTTACACATGTGTTTACAGTAGGGGGTCTGAGGTGTGTTTTTGTAAATGCGTTGCATAATCTTTCTTGTCCTTTGGTCCCCTATCTCAGTTTTTGTTGTTTGGGGTAGACATTTATTTTCATATTTGTGTATAATAGGGGGTCGTGATTGCATTCAGCACCACATGTAGTATATATAACTATTGTAATATTTTCTTTATGTCTATGAATGAAACCCCTAATCTGTAAATCTTTTCGTCATTTACCGAATAAATGACATCATTCATTTTTATACAAGTGTCCTGTTTTCGCCTGCCTTGAGCAAAAAATGAGCTTTTTAATATTCTTCTTGGCGAGGTTATAAGAACGAATGATTGATTGATTAAATGTTGTTTCACGTCCCGTTCGAGAATTTTTCACTCATATAGAGAAGTCACCATATACCGGTGAAGGGCTTCAAATTTAGACCTTTACTAGGCACTCGGGGCCATTGAGCAGTGAAGGTTCTTTATCGTGCCAACGCCTACCATGACACGGGGCCTCGGTTTTTAAGGTCTCATCCGAAAGACCCGCAACCTTTCACTTCAAATTGCTGAGCCTTTAGAACAGTTGCTACCTATTTTTATTATCAACTTAGGTCAGTCGCGGCCGTGATCCGAATACACGACCTTCCGATCAGGGAGCCAGCGCTCTACCGACAGAGCTACCGTGACGGTGTTATACAAACGAAGGACCATAAATAAGAAAAACTTATAGATTATTGACATCAATACAACATTCTTACATGTAAAATTTGAACCTGTTATAGTTCAGTAGCACGCCCAACGTCAGTAAAGTTGTGTCTGGCAATGACCATGAAAAAATGTGCACTTATACCCACTAGTAGTTTTATGTATTATGTGAACTCTTAATGAATAAATATTTGGATGAACGATGTTATTATAAATATTAATCACCAACAAGAAATTCAGCCATGGATAATATAATACGAATCAAATGTAACATAAGGAACTGTAGCGTTATTCACAAAATAGAAGATTTTTTTTTAGCACTTTTAAAAAAATTTAATTATTCTGAAATAAATTTACTTTTCTTCTTTGAAATAAAACACCTTTCTTGCATATTAAGCACTTTGAAATTTCTTTTTGGTTTATGTTAAGAAAATATTATAATTGGCACAACTTGGACGAGAAAATCTCTCAGCAGTAAATTTCAATGACGACGTCCTATAAAATGGAGGTTACAATTTGAATGCGTTTGTTTCATGTCTATCAGTTTTATCTCCATTTGAAATGCATTTTTTTCTTTTATTGGTACATATAGTAGAAAACTCGTAGATGTATTTGCAATCATGTGTAACCAGTCTTTAATCTTTATGCACACTGAAGGTTAAAGTCAACTTTTGAGGTTTAAAGTCAAATATGATGAGGTCATTCAACGATTTCATTTTTTTTCAGAATCTGTTAAATTTTCCGAAACCTTGAATGATACATTTTCTTGTAAGAGAAAAGTATTAACACAAGTGTAGCATATTTTACTCTTGGATTTGCTATACAAAATTAAGCTTTGTACATTCCATTTTTATGCCCCCGTATCGAAGATTCGGCGGTACATAGTTTTTGCCCTGTCCGTCCGTCTGTCTTTCTGTTTGTCAGCAAAAACTTTAACATTGCCCATAACTTTTGATTGGTTGGAGATATGGTTTTCATATTTCACATGTGTATTCCTTGTGACTAGTCCTTTCTTTGAGTACCACCTTATTTGACCTTTTGACCTTGACCTTGAAGTTTGACCAAGTTTTGCAAAATTTTTCCCAACTTTAACCTTGGCCATAACTTTTCAACGGTTGATGCTAGGGCTTGCATTCTTCACATGTGTAATTCTTGTGGCAAGACCTTTCTTTGGGTACCACCATATTTGACCTTTTGACCTTGACCTTTAAGTTTGACCTACTTTTGAAAAACTTTAACATTGGCCATAACTTTTGAACGGTTAGTGCTAAGGCCTTCATACTTAGCATACGTAATTCTTGTGATAAGACCTTCCTTTGGATACCAACAACTTTGATCCTTTGTTCTTGACCTTGGAGTTTGACCTACTTTTGTAAAACGTTAACATTGGCCATAACTTTTGAACGGCTGTTGCTAGGGCTTTCATACTTCACATTTGTAATCCTTGTGACAAGACCATCCTTTGGATTCCAACAACTTGGACGCTTTGGCCTTGACCTTGGAGTTTGACCTACTTTTGAAAAACTTTAACCTTAGCCATAACTTTTGAATCGCTGATGCTAGGGCTTTCATACTTCACATATATAATCCTTGTGACAAGACCTTTCTTTGGATATCAACAACTTTGACCCTTTGACCTTGACCTTGGAGTTTGACTTGCTTTTGGAAAACTTTAACCTTGGCCATAACTTTAAAACGGTTTGTGCAAGGACTTTCATACTTCACATATATAATCCTTTGTGACAAGACCTTCCTTTGGATACCAACAACTTTGACCCTTTGACCTTGACCTTGGACTTTGACCTACTTTTCGAATACTTTAACCTTGGACACAACCTTTGAAAAGTTGTTGCTAAGGCTTTCATATTTAACATGTTTTTCTTTGTGACAAGACCTTCCTTTGGATACCAACAATTGTAATCCATTGACCTTGATCTTGGAGTTTGACTTACTTTTGAAACACTTTAACCTTGGTCATAACTTTTGAACAATTGGTGCTTCATCTTTCATATTTCACCTGTATATTTCTTGTGGGAAGGCCTTTCCTCAGGCACCATTAATTTTGACCATTTGACCTTGACGTTTGAATTACTTTTAAAAAACTTTAACCTTGGCCATAACTTTTGAACAGGTGCTTCTAGGGCTTTCATATTTCACAGGTATATTCCTCGAGACAAGACCTTACTTTGGGTACCAACATATTTGATTTGCATTTGAGAAAGTTAAACCTTTGCTATAAGTTGCCATACGGGGGCATCAGTGTTTCACAAACACATCTTGTTACATCAAAATGCACTCAAACATATCATAACGCTATTTTTGAAACTATGTGGGCAAAAACTGTGAGGTTATATTTATTTCGTATCATGCATAGTAAGACAGAGGGGTTATATGTTTCCTTGAACAAAATGTTTTTAAAAAAATGAATGTGAGGAATTGTAAAACATATCTGTCGTGTGCTGCCTTAACACCTGATTTGTAGGATTTCTTCAGCAATAAACAGACCAATCTTTATCCCTTCTTGATAAATAATTGTGACGTTCATGTATGTGTCTGAATTCATCGAGTATTAGAATTGTGTAGTTGTTGAATATTCATATACAATAGTACACATTTAAGCCATGTTATTATCTTTTTTTAAATATGACACATTCATAGAAGAAAAGTAAAGCATATATTTCTTTTTTCCCCTTTGGTATTTTTTTTAACTTTGATTACTTCAAATCATTCCTTAAAATAAGGTCTTTTGGTGTTTGGTGTTTACAGCATTACGCAGATCAGATCAGATCAAGCGTCAGTTTTCCAGGCCTAGTTGTTCACATGAGGTATAATTTATACCGTGTAGAATTTAACTGGGCAAATCGCCAAATAATTAAATTATCTTTGAGTAACTTATTGAATTCTTGCCTTATGATTAAACTAATTGCCGATATCTTATATTTTTACAACAATTGAATCTTGTTTCATATCTTGTTTTCAATTGCGTTGGCAAAATGCAATGTACTTTAGATTTCTAAGTATAATTTCTGCAAATGATGTTATTCTTTAGACTTAAGGGCTGGTATATGGAGAGGGAATTCCCTTGTCAAAATTAATCTTGTTCTTGCCAGTGATTGCTTTGTGAAAGTCAAATCAACTTACTTGCTTAGGAACGCAATCTGTACTTTCATTAAAGTAGAGATTTAAATCACAATAATCGATGCACAATTTTCTGTCTCAATAAACAAGCATATAATAGAAAAAAATCTTAATAATATTCTAAAATTCAAACTGATCACGTCCTTTTATCAATATCAAATATTATAAATGATGACTTCAATAAATACAATTGAATCTAAATTTGAAAGAGATAGTTGCATACATGTATATTATTTTGGTTTTACGTTATATAAACATAAAGAATATTTTATTGTACGCCAACTAATGCAAATTAATTCAGAAACATACATAAACACATTAAGTAAAAATATCACCACTTGAAATTCAAATTAAAGAAAAATTTAAATTACCCCAAATGAATACTCGTAAAGTGCCTCGATGGTAAAATGAATTGAAAAATAAAATTAGAATTCTGAAGAAATTATGACACGACACATATTCTTAATAACCAGTATAAGATTTTAAATGAACAACCATATATGAATAGCGATGCATATAAGTAAGTCAATAATCTTCGAAGTTGTACATTTAGTATATATATATATATATATATATATATATATATATATATATATATATATATATATATATATATATATATATATATATGACAGATTTTTAATGCAGGAAAGAGTATAAACTACGGTACCTTAACGATGGTAACAACTCTGAAATCGTGCAGCACCACTGAGTCTGCCTTGTAGCTGTACCGGTATTCGTATCCTATGTCATAATTATAACCAATATTGCTTCCAAAAATACAAAATAATAAAATACCCGAAGTTACCAAATTGATTCTGATGAGAACCATCATAGCGTCATGAGCGCGACTACCTCATGATAAGGCGCGTTTGTCTATTTGGACATCAAATAGGAAGTAAATATTTTATGAACCGCTCTTCCCGCACCTCTGTTCAAGATTTAAATTTAATTGGTTCTCTGTGAATTAGCAAAAGCATATGTTTGAATTTAAAAGTCTCCAGAGGGGGATTCAAAGAATTTTGACTGGGATTGCGGCTGATTTATATTCGGTTGGGTTAGATGTTTTGTTTTTTTTTCCGAACTGCATATATATATATATATATAGATATAGATATAGATATAGATGAAATTACCTTAAGTCTATAATTTCTTTTGAAAATCCATTTTTTTATGACCTTTTAGCCTACAATCTGAAATTTCTTTTTCACAAAGCGTATTTTCTGAGTTGAAGACTACTCATTCTTATAATAAACTGAGTTTCTCATGTAATGCAATGCTGTTTGAGCCCATAAAAGTTACCATAAATGATAGCAGTTTGACAAATCTTGGCGGATTTTCTTTCTGCAATATCATTTAGTTGAGGTCTTGACCTTCAAACTAGAAAATAGTCAATCTCATTCAAACCTTGTGAGTGTCAATGTCACACAAGGTCAGATGTCTGAATGTCTGTCTGTTTGTTCAATGATCTACCTGTTATTAATCTGGATCCGTATGCAAGCACATTCTATGACTATCAAGATAGAGTTCTATTCTTTTTTAAATCAACATTTATTGAATTCTTTCTACCGATTACTGTTTTTCAGTCAAATAGAATGTACCCATATATATTTGTATCTTTTTATCCAAATATATCTCTTTGCTTGATTGTAGACGACTTTTCAAACCTCAGATTGTATTTCATTTAAATCCAATCTTTGAATAAAATAAGTCAACTTTAAAGTTCTTAATTATGAACATTTTTTTAAAAAATGCATCGGATTACATATTTTGTGTATCCTGTAAATTTATTCATTGTGTGTTTCCAAATAAAAATATTTAGAAAGAAAACGATCAATACCTTAAGATCTGTATCATTCGGCATTGTGTTTCATTCCTCCAAAATTTAATGTTGATATAAAGATAATTTGAATTTTCTGAAGGATTACGTTTATTCGGGGTTTATAGTTGACGGAAATGGATTGCTATAAAGTGCAATATCTTAACTCAAAAATTGTTTCAAACGACAAAATAACCATGTGATGGCAACTGAGCTGCGAGGGAAATTTATCGTGCCAACGCCTACCGTGACATAGGAACTCGGTTTTTAAGGTCTCATCCGAAAGACCCACAAGTTTCACTTGGAAGTGCCAACGGCTTGGCGAAGAAACAGCTGCTACCTTTTTTTTCGACAGATGCAACGATGTGTAAAGTTGTCAGCATGCATTCGACATTAATGTGGGCATTAATATATACATCGAGATTTGGAAATGCAATGTCTCTAGACGTACCCATGCACTTATCGAAAATGATTCGAATTTCCTTTAAAGGGGCATAGACACAGATTTGAAGTTAATAGTTTCTAAATTTTTCTGTATTATATCATGACTTATATGTTGCTATAGCATTTCACACAGAAATATAATAAAAAAAACTTATTTTATCTGGAAATCATTGAAACTACGAATTTCGGGACGCGTTTGATCGACACATCCTTGCACTTTCACAAAGTAAACTATATCTTTAATACTTAAGAAAAGTAGAAATTTTGTTGTGTATTAATGAAAAAAATTAAAGATATAATCCAGAAAATTCAGATTAGAAGTGTGAGAAAGGAAAACCAACTAACCAGTATTGTCAGTCCGTGCTCAGAGATGTGTGCAGAGTTTAACAAATTGAACACACCCGGTGGAACGTAAACTGTTTTGTACACAGGGCACGAGCTCTATTATTGTCAATGTTTACGTTTCACCGGGTGTGTTCAATTTGGTAAATATCAATTTTATTGATATATACTCAATACAAGCCATGATATTTTACAGCAAAGAGCTAGGTTCACTTTATGCATAAAATGGCCCTGTGCTTATATCAATTAATTGACTATCGCCCTCTGTCCCATTTCATATATCAGAATAAAGTAGAGACTTTGTGCTTTCATTTCCTTTAAAAAATTTCTTTTTAAGAATCCAGGTATTGGAAAACAGGCTTTGAGAAAATGCAATGTTCTTGAATTTTGCAGAAAACATGCGTATTTGACTACCTTCAACATAGAATTAAAATATGAGCACAGCCCACGATCCAAAAATTAAAATATGTTTTATGATCTTCTGAAACAGATCTTCCATTATGTAATTGCATATTTTGGATCAGAGGTTGTGCTCTATATGAAATATTGAAAAAATACTTCAACTTTTGGCAATTTTTAAAGGAATTTTCACTATATGGGGAAAATGACGCATCTTATGACGTCATAATACATTAACTAGAGAGAAAATTACGTCATTTTCAATAGATAAAGTGTCACCAAGGGTCAAAGTGATAGATACTGCATTTTCAACCCAAACTAAGCAGTTTCGATTTTAGAAATTCTCAGGGCAAAAAGAGGCCCTAACTGGCTCTTGCTCTTTGAGAAAAAATAACTTCAAATCTGTGTTTGTGTCCCTTTAAGAAGACACGTTTTGACAAACATCAGAAATTTTAACAAAACTATTGGCCTTATCACTTATAAGCGCCAATTAAATTTTGAAATTCTAAAGTATAACACCGATAATTGTTGAAATATTATCGTATTGAAAGTTTAGATGTGATAAATTACATCCCTGAGAAACTGAATTTAAAAGGTAAAATTCTTGATAAAAGAAAAATTATTTTTTTTATTTGCTGATAATCTCTTTTAATAAAAGAAAAAATAATGTTTTTATTTACTGATAAACCCTCTCTCTCCACACACACACAAACTCACACCCTCACAAACAAACACACACACACAGATATTATATAACGTTATGTTGTGGATGTAAAATAAGTATTAAAAAAGTTAAATGACAACCAACAATTAAACATTTACTTTCGGAATGGGTTTTTTTTTTGTTTGTTGTTGTTTAACGTCCCTCTCGAGAATTTTTCACTCATTCAGAGACGCCACCACATGCCGGTGGAGAGCTGCAAATTTTGACCTATGCTTGGCACTTAGGGCCATTGAGCAGTGAGGGATCTTTTTCGTGCCAGCGCCTACTGCGACACGGAACCTCGGTTTATACGGTCTCATCCGAAGGACTGGTCTCCACGTCCCACAGTGGGATTCGAATCCGGGACGTAAGGATCAACTCCTTACTCCGCGACTCTAGAGCAGACGCTCTACCACTGCGCCACGTGGGCGACAACTTTCGGAATGCAATCTCTGATTGTTTTATTTACAATACTTATGATTTACAACACGAAGATCAATAACTTTTATTTCCATCCTACAAAATCAGTGAGGGAAAATCAGGCAGTGGAGGATATTCAGCGTAAACTTCTTTTTCCATGTGTTTAGATAGAATACGTATTGTTGTAGCTCCAAACACTGTTCAAAAAGTTGATCATGAAAGACACAAACGATGAATCGATAGAAGCAAAAATAGAAATGTAGTGAATAAACTGAAAATAGCTAGCACTTTTTGATATGGAAATGAAAATCATCCGAACAATTCAATTTTTTTCTAAATAATATAATTTTTGTGACACCCCCCTCCCCCCCAAGTGTGTTAGTAAGGTCGATCCCCACAGCTATCATGTCTAACGTTATCCCCCTAGAGGTACTAGAATATGACCTTGTATGCATATTTGGAAGATGCAAAACCATAGAAGTTAATTATATGATTTAAAAGGAATAGATTTCCAAGGAAACGGGGTGGATCATTGGCCAAGGCAATCTGCGAAAACCTGGCCCACTTGCTCTAAACTTGAACGACCAAGCTATGTTATAAAGAACTAGCTGACAATGTAGAACATGATAATAAGATCGTGTACATGAATGTATCTCATTATCTTTTTAACATATGGTTTACATAATTCGCAAATAAAGTGCAGTTTCGTTCATTTTCTTGAAAGGGTGCCAACTTTCGCCATTAAAATTATCTTTGATCAAACGATCTAAAATTTTACTTTCTATTCATATCTATTCATATACAAACAATCTCTATTACCACCCAAGTTTATTCCGAAATTCCATATACTTCCCGATAATGCTGAAATCAATTCCAAAACTGACCTTTTATAACTCTTGGGGTACATTTTATTTGCCCCCCTTTTACTTGGGTACCCTATGTAAGGAGTTCCATACCTTTATCCTTTTTTACACCCAATTTTTTTAAGTCAGATTAAAGCGATCTAAAGACTTGTTGTTGATAGTGGATCCAATTGATAAAATAAAAAAAATTGTAATCTAATCAAAGCTCATTTTCTTCATAACATGTGCAGTACGATAACAAATTATCCGTAATAATCTGTTGAAATTACAAAATATTCAACTTAATATTTAACATCTTCTATAGATCCACATAACATTAATATTCAGCACACTGAAAATAATCAAAGGTTACTTCTCTTGTCTATAATAATCAGTTTCAAAATATAAAATAAACAATTTATCTTTTAATCATGAAATTTCACATGACCTGTAAGAGTAAAAAACCATCTTTTTAGCAATTAAATATAAAATATATTCAAATTTAATAGATGCAAACAGAAGACTAGAATAAAAATGTGTAAATAAAATATTTGAAAAATATCAACTCCTTTTTGAGAAGCTATAAAATGTAAAAGGCAAATGTACATTAAATCTTTACAAATATAAAAATACTTGTTATCTGTTGTTTGTTTGTTTTACCATTTTACATTATACAGTTTTGAGAAAAACTTTTCACTACGAACAGTCACAGAATAAAATAGATATGTTTCAAGGGCAGGGTGCGACCAGTTTCTCCATAAAAGGTGTCTCTGTACCAGTTGCATACTTTGCGATGATGACGACATGAAGTTCCTTGCATGTTTCTCTCACTGTCAGGGTTATATTTGTGGAACCAGTTGAGATACCTTGCACCACATCATTATAACTTTGTTCAGAACCAATGTACACCATATACTGTGGATACAGGTCAAGATTGACATAGAAAACGTCTTTCCAAGTTAAAATGAACCCTTTATCACTATTACTTGAATTCTCAAGCCTGCAGGAATTTCCTGGAAAATGTTAGAAATCATATATTTTTTTTTTACTTTTCTTTGCTTTGCCATCAAGACAAAAACTAAAACATTAACATTCTCTTTCCTCAATTTAGCAATAAATGAACTTGGGAAAAAAAAAGAAATTAAGCGTTTTTACTTGTGAACGTATTTTGAAAGATTATAAGTTGCTGGAATTAATTGTTTTAATAGTTTGGAAATATCAAGATTTCATTCAACTTAAAACAATCAAAGTTCAATCATTGATAGAGTGCATCACTAGTGTCTCAATACTTTTTTCGTGTTTTACCTGTTCTGACTGGAACTACATCGCTGACAAGAACTGAGGCATTGATCATATCACTCCACAGATTCCCTGAATTTGATGCATAAACCTCAGCTGTATATACTTTCTCCGTCTTCAGCACGAGACTATTAACAGATGCGTACGTGTGTCTTCCTATATCAGTCCAGTTATACACAATGGCGTCGTTTTCTTTTATCTGGAATCTGTACCCTGTCGATAAAGAAGACATTCCAAATTCTTTCCAGTTAAAATAGATTGATGAGTTGTATCGCTGATAATTGTTAAAACTCTTCGTATAAACATCGTGGACGGAGAACTGGATTTTTGACTGAGATGAGACAGGTGCCTTGTAGACAATATAAACTGGACGGAAGGGCATTTCTCTTGCGAGTCCTACAGAATTTCGACATCGAACCTTTGGATATACGTAGGAAGCGTGTGGAACCATCAAAGCCAGCGAAATACAGTCTGAAAGTGATGAAGGTGTCCATCCCTGCAAGTTTTCCGAGCCACTAATGGAACCTTAAAAAGACATTGAGACTTTAAAATGACAGTACGATAAAAGACAACAGAAAAGGTATGTTATTCCTGTCTTTAGCTAATCCATCCTCAATTTATAGTTAAAAAACATTTCTTGTCCCTGCTTTTGCTTAAAGCTGGGAAAATAAATCAGGGTTCATGCGTCCAAGAAGAAGAATTCATGCATTACTGAATGATTTCAAGATCGATGACAAATTCTGTTCTCCCTGTGTTATTTACAAGGCATTAGTATGTTATGACTTCATATTTCCTTTTTAAAAAAACACCTTTACACTTTGAGGTCAGAAAGTCAAGGGCCAAGGTCAGACAAATATATATATATATAACTTTATGAATATATAAAATACTTTTCAGGAGAAAATTTTAGTTCTACTTGACTTTTTTGCAAAGTATCGTAAGGAGATTATTCTCTACTTTGTCACCTGTTAATTTTTATGCCAACAGGTGAAGATTTAAGATCACAAAATCATACACGGTATAAAATGACTTCCAGATTCATTTCAGATTCACTTCAATATATTGTCTTAACTGCCATAATCCATGTTAATTTTAAGCTAAAAGGGTCGAAAAGCAAGTTCACAAACTTCTCTATTTTTACATTCTGGGTGATATTTTAAACAAACTTCTGTACTTCTGCAGGGGGTATAAATTGCCTACATAAGCTTTTTAAATTAATTTCAAACATTTTTAATCTTAAAAACAAGTAGAGATTCATCTCAGTGAAGATTATTGCTTACCAAATGCACACTGGCATGACTGCAGATCACTTTCTTCTTCGCTAGCAAGCCAGTGAATATTTAACCGAGTTTCCCAGGCACCCCTCTCTTCTGAGGTGTATGTCGAGCCCAGCTCTTGTAAATTTGGGGGTGTATGATCAATAATGATCCTATTAGCGTGAAAAGTTTTATTTTTACCAGCATAGTTCTTAGCAACGACAGACGCAAAAATTGTTGTTCCATGGGCAACAAAAACGCTAACAGAATGCGTCCCTAAATTTTTGTCAACCCGGACTGACTTAATGGGACAACCATTGAGAGTTTGAGCAATGTTAATTGATGTATCGGCAATCCCACTTTCAGGATCAACTACGAATGAAGAAACAAGAATATCAGTTGGCGAAATCTGACTTGCAAAAACTCCTCCATCATGAAGTTCTTTCGTTCGGTCACATGTTAAAATTTCGATTGAAATATTTCCTTCTGACCTGTTCAAGTCAAACATATCAATGTGAATCGCCTGGTATTCATCTACTTGAGAAATAAAGGAGTAATTGGAGTGAAAAGTCTGGTCGTTAGTCTTTTTAAAGTCTATATTTTTACTCATATTTCCAAGTGAAAGTTTTGCGTGCACAAGATATGGTAAACTCTTAAGTCGTATATTTATTGAATACATTTGACCACGTTCAAACAAAATTTTGTTTGTTGAAATACTTTTCTCGAGAGCAGTTGTAAGGCTTAGCGTACTTAAAAATGCTTCACATACGAGAGAAAATGGTTCTGTGATATCTACAAAAAGAGTTTTAGACCTCACTATCTCAGAAAAGTAGCCCGCAGCATCTCTAGCTTTCACCAGAATTGAAAAGGTGTCATTTTCTCTTAGTTCTATATTTTGGAACGAATGCTTATTTTTTAAACCAACGGGAGTGAATATAATGTTTTTCTCGTTGTTTTTCTGGAGAGCAATCTGATACTCTACGATGTATGATCCGTGGTCCGTAAATCCCTCCCAAGATGCATCCACTGAATCTCCATCCGTTAACCAAAATTTGTCTCTAAAATTTTCGGAAGCATAAATAACACCCGTAAGTGGAGGCTTATCGTCTATTGAGAATCCATCAGATGTTAATGTAGTTGTTGCGCCCAGATTATTTACTGCTTCCACTGTGGCAAAGTATTTGACATTTCTGTTCAGCTTGAGGTTTATCCAACGTTTTGTCGTTTCCATTCCTACGTTGTTAATTCCAGTGACATCGTCCCCTAAAATAAAAAGTAAATTAGTGAACAAGGTGGGAAAGGTTTGAAAAAGGTTTAGGAGGTGAAAGTTAAAACATCAGCATACATACCTCCGGGATGTGTCCCAATATAGATATTATAGGTCATAATTCCGCTTTGTTGATCAGTAAACACATTTTGCCAACATGATGTTATGTTATTTGAAGAAATATAATCAATGTCCGTTGTACAATCACCAGAGGAATCAATAATAAATTTCCCTCTCCTGATTCCTGGCGGGGTGAGATCGATAAGTATTGGTTCAGACTGTAAGATGGTAAAATCGGTAAACGACCACCACGCCTTCACATAAGCAACATAAAGTCGTCCATGCTGTAAGCTGCGATTGTTCGATAAACAGTGAACAACGTTATCGTTGTTGTTAACATCGCGCCAAACTTGTTCCAAGTGCACATTAAAAACTCCAAATCCTACTGAACGACCTTCCAGACCAAAACTCCATTCGAATCTTTTAACGTTGGTAGAGTTTGTGTTCCAGTTAGCATAAAGACATTGTGACGAAAGTGAATATTTCTTTACAGAACCCCAACCAATATTTACGCTGAGTGATGAGGGAGTATTTGTTATGTTTATCTCTGAACACGCAGGTGTAGAAGATACAAGCTCTGTACATTTATCTCCAAACTCAGAACATGTACAATCAAAATTGCAGTATTCTGCATCACAAGAGTGTTTTTCAAGAATCAAATTTCCCTCGTGGATTGACTGAATTCTAGAAACATAGAAGGCAAAATGCCGAACACTGCTGTTGAGACCAGCTTTATTTGATGACCACAAAGATAAGTAAACCCTTTCATTCAGTGTTAAATTCCTGTATATATTTACGTGTAACTGTTGTTCATCGTTCCAATTCCCACTATGCAGTAAATAAATTATTCCTTGGCTTAGTTCAGAAGAACCATATCTACCTCCGACGCCAATGTAATATTTATCAATCGACGAGTCTGCGTCAGTGAAATTCTGCAGGTTTAATTCTAATTTATTTTCCAAATTAGACCAAGTTGCGTTAAGCATATGGCCGAAATGTGGTTTGCTGGAATCTATCGTAAAATTTTCACTATTTGCCGTTGAGCAGAGTCCAGCAGCATTACAAGCAGTAACTGTGACGTAATAAGCATCGCCATTTTGCAGCCAGTCTTTTTTCTCCAAGGATAAAGCTAAGGGTCTCTCACCAGAGAGTAGTATATCACCAATTCCAGTATGTCCTTCATGGTGGGATTTAACACCAACGACATGTTTCACAATTTGGCTCTCATCGTCATTAAATCTCCATGAAAGATTGAGAAATGAACGATCTATAACATAACCGTTTTTATTTCTATTTAAAATTTCTGGAGGTTGAATTAAACTCGGTGGTGATGAATCGACTCGAATGCCATCAGAAACTTTTACAGTAGACAACCCTGCTTTGTTTAGGGCTGTTAGTACTATAAATAATTCCTCATTTTCTGGTAAATTTAAGTTAAACAGAGTTCCACTTGTTTCTAGACGAATATTTCTTTTCTCTACTATGTCACATGATGAATTTGAAGATTCTATGCAAATTTCAAAATGCGATAACCCAGAATGAACATCGTAAAAATCGTCGATTTGAAACTCCAGCGAAGTTCTAAAAAAGTGCAGTATTTTCAATAACAAATAACGCATTAAAATATACCAAGTATGTTTAATAAATAAGAAATTAAGTTTAATTTTAAGTCGTATCCTTCATTTAAAGCTCAATAAGCACATTTTTATGGAATTCATTTTACCATTCCAATTACGGAATAATGTAAATGAGTAAAGAAACTTTTTATTTCAGATGGAAATTAACCTGTGAGCGGAAAATCTCGAATGTGAACCATCCCATCCTGCAAAAATAACACCTGGAACAGGTGGAGTTTCATCGATTGTGATGCCATTTGATGTTGTTCGAGAACAAAGTCCAGCACTGTTGCATGCTTCCACTGTTGTGAAGTACCTTACTCCTTGGGAAAGTGGTAAATCCCATGTCCATTCTGTGTATAAATATGCTTGTATAGTGATATATAGTAATATTATTAATGGTTTAAGCTTATTTCCAGAAAACTCAACATATATTTTCCTACAGTTCGCAAATAAAACCTATCCATAAGTCGTGTTTTACAAAAATTAGGAAGCCATTGTTTTTAAACAACTTTTACCACGAATTGTTTAGCTGATCAATACAGAGGGTTCTCAGTGGGTAAGACTAGTCAAAAGGGAACGTTTACTACTCCCAGGCACCTGATCCCACCTCTGGAATTTCCAGAGGTCCGTGGATTTTTTTTTCCATTTCGAGAATCGAAAAGACTAGATTAATGAGTTTGACCATTATTCGTTATCTTTTTTTTTTTTTTTTACATCGCAATGAGATTTTCGATAGTTCAAAATTTCCTTTTTCTCACAAACCTGTCTGTAATCCTATGTTGAAAAGAGATTTTACATCATTTCCATATGGATAAGTTCCAAGCCCAATGTTATAATGGTATATTTGTGATTGAGGATCTTCAAACCCATTCCAATGGCATGTGAAGTTCATAATCGACGTAAAATCCATATCCTTAAAAAATGTGAATAACTTAGAGAGGTGTCCATCTTAAGGAAGCATTTAACAACTTTCATGATAAAAAGAAAATCATACATTTCCTTAATTAACTGCTTTCGAAAAATTGAAAACATGTAATAGCCCCCCCCCCCCTTTATCATTCAATACTATATTAATAAGGGTAAAGACATACCGGTTTTCCTATGAATCCCTCTAAAACTGTTCCGGTGAAAGGAGGCGAGTTGTCGATTAGAAATGGCATAGATGATGCCATTGTCTTAAGACCAGCATGGTTCTCGACCTTTGACAGATAAATTAAAAAATGTAAATATATATATATATATATATATATATATATATATATATATATATATAATTTAAGAGGAAGAAAATATCCAAGAAGTTCAAAGAATGTTTTAACTTGAAAAAAATATAATCACCTGTAGAAGAATGAAATATGTATGCCCCTCTACAATATGGTCATTGATCAAAACATTTTCTGAGTGTTGTCCTACTGCATAAAACTGGAGTACATCATCAACTGCTGGTGTTGTTCCTATTCCAAACAGGAAACTTTTAATACCACTTTCTTTATCACTGAATCCATTCCAGTACACAGCAACTGTTCGACCTGATATGGCGTGGTGATGTTTGGAAATATGACCCACAATCACACTGCCTTTGGTGGGAGGTGATGGATCAAACACAAATGGGTCCGAGTGAGCACATGCTGAATTTCCAACATGATCAAAAGCTGTAATTTCAAAACAATCATTGAAGTTGCCGTACGTCTCATTATGAAGTCAATTTTTGAAGGCTACAAATACACATTAACTCTAATAAAACCTGCCACACCTTTTATCCCCACGTAATACGTAAGTCCTGGAGTAAGCTCAAGATCTGTTTCCATATTCCAGTGTTTTAGCCCTACGTCTTTGCATTTTTTAACATCATCTGAACAAGGTGATGTTCCTGTCAAAATAAATATTTAGTTACTTTCAGATTTTACAAATATTATAATAACAGATTTAAATAATTTGCTTTAAATTTTGTATAATAAATTCATATACCTAAGCAGCTAGAATACTTTGAAATGCCCGATTCATATCCGAGAAGTTCATATTTTGTATTATCTTCGAAGCCATGCCACATAAACCTTAATTCTGTAAAATTACGCAGGAATCCTTGTTGCAAGTCATCAACTTTCACATATCCTATGGCAGGTGCTTTGTTGTCCAATACAAACCCATTACTACACAAATGCTTTCCCTGTCCGTCGTAAACATATTCGGTGCTCTGGGATGAAGGAATATTAACACAGAGATAGTATATAATACTCTCTTCCAATGGAATCTTTGAAGAAAAAACAACGAATCCCCCAGACGAAGTTTTACTCGAAACACAATCAGGATCGTTGGCACAAACTCGAGGAACCTCAGCCCTTTTCATTATGTTCCATGTTATATTTCGTATTCCTACGTTTAAAAGAAAACCTGCAACCTTCGTTTTTAAGCCAAAGTTAAACTCAAGCCTCATCAATGTTTTCATTGCGTTGCCAATATTTGAACTGAATTTGTATATCTCCATTGCCAAAGCCTCTTCAGAATAAGCATTTAAATCATAAACAATATCTTTGGAGTAGCTATTAGGGTTCGATAAAACATTCATTTGTTGGCAGACTTTTGAGGAAGCACCAGATGCACAGTAACTCTCAACGCATGAAAAAAGTTGACGATGTATATGAACAGGAAGTGACACGCAGACATTCTAATAAAATTAAACACAAAAAAGATTTAGCACCAGAATTAAACTTCATTGCTTCTATTTTAAAATTTCATATTAACACGATGAAATGCACTTCATATACATAATTTTAAGAGTAAAGATTGTCAGTAATGTCAGTAATGTATTGCTAGAATTGTTATAGCTGCCATTGCTACTTCGAGGAAATGCGCTATAAGTGACTAATTATAAGATAATACAGTATAAGTGTTTCAGACATACCCTTTTAAGTACAAGACCTGAAACTTCAGCAGAACTAAAGGTCAATAAAGTGGACAGCTGCTTAACACCGTTATTGTCTTCGTATATACCCCACCTGTAGAATTGCGCAAAATTATCAGGAAAGGGGGCTTTACATTCACGTTTCTCTAGTTCCAGTTCAGCGTTATAGCATGATGAATCACTCGAAGCTTCAATACTTGTTTCAAAATGGACACTGTCATTCGGGGATTCCTCGACATAAAATTCCTCTGAATAAACCTTTTTTGTACAGATACCGCCAAAACAGATCTGAAGCGCAGCTACATATTGACCTGTACTCAGTTTTTGGCTAGTTTGTACAATAGTGTTGAAGACATTTCCGGGGACACTTGTTTCGAGTGGCTCAATACTGCAGTATGATTGCAAAGAACACTTTTCTAAGAGAGACACCTTATAATTGGTGATAAACGGCGATATGTTTCCATCGACTTCCCAGTTCAGCGAGACATAAGCTGATGAGTAGATAACTCTGACACTGCTGGCACATTTTCTTAGAGAACCCAACAATGAATCTCTTGTAAGTGATATATTTCGGACAATAAGATGTGGAAAATGGATATAAGGCACCATTGTAATGGCATTTTGACTACACTTTACACTAGCGGAATGTCCGGTTACATTGATCTCTAAGCAAGAAATGTTGTGTAAGAACAGTGTGTACTTTTCACCGATCTTCAATGGAAAGTTGAAACGAATGAAAATGCTGCCGTTCGAATATTCAAATTTTGTGTAATTTTTTAAAGCTTCCTCGTGATTGCAGCTTTCACCAATGTTCAACTTGACTCCTTGAGCTACCTCCGTCTCATTGAGAAGCACAAAACCATTTGACGACACAGCTGAGGTCAAATTAAACTGATTAGTTACTTTCAAAATTACATAATATTTTTCATTCATGATCATGCCTGATGTGTTCTCACAATATACATTACGTTTACTTGGATATACATAGTGAAGTGAAATAACATTAGACTGATATGTTATTGAACCTAATCCTATCTCATAATTGTGTGTTGAGAGAAATTCGAATCCTTGAAGGGCTATGCAGTAAAATTCAGTATCAAAAGATACATCAATATCTTTTTGTGCACCGGTGTAATTTTCTTTAGAAGGCAAGATATCTAGCAATTCTCCCAGCTGTGGTGGAGACGTTGGAGGAAAATAAATGTCGTCGGATTTTACGGAGCAGAAAGAACCACCATAATTGTAGGCCTGAATTTCAATGTAATAGGGGCCGATTTCATCATTTTGGAAATTTTTTATATCATTGAAGTCCATTAGTATGCAATTTAAGCCTTTTTGACACTTTGAATTGCTTGCTGAACTCCACTTGAAGTACCTCGAAATAAAGCCTGTATATGTCCCTGTAAAAGAGAAGAACGAAAAGAACCTGTTTGTCAAGATTTACTGTGGATTTCTAGTCTATTTTTGTTTGAAACCACTTTTATAACGTGTAAATCTTTGGAGCAGATGAACTTAACTGTTTAGTACAAGTAGTCTATTACAAATATCAATGGCGCTTTAAATACACAATTCAAACAAAACTCAAAGAAGTACAATATTTTAAAGATGCCAGACTATGGTAAAACAGCCAGTTATTTTAAATCCTCGGTATACGGGATCATACTGTGAGATTTTTCACTCATTAAAATATTGTATTTCTTTTTTATTCCGAGGTGGAATCGACTTTATAGAAAGAACGAAATGAGGCGTGTTTAACAGTACAAAAAGGTAAAGCACAAATAGGTAATTAAATATGTATATCTGAGAAAAGTACCTAAAAATGCATAAATTTGCAGAAACTATATGCTGATCAAACCCATTAATTAAAGAAGTAAGTGTACTTACGCAATCTAAAATGAATAGTACCGATTTCTTCTTCTTGTTCTGTGTCTTGGAACGTGTCCGATGTCCATGACACAACAACAGTGATATTTTTGATGGTAATGTTAGGTTTCTTTACACATACTGGGGCTGTTTCGTCTATGATGTTAGGACCAATAGATACAATGGAGTCTTTCCCTGCTTTATTGACTACCTTTACAAACAGGTAGAATAAAGAACTGGAAGAGAGTCCGGAATGATATATATGGACATATTGTTGGTGTGGAGTTAAGGTAAAATCCATAATATCAGGAGATACGCGAGAAGAAAGACTGGATCCGAAACCCATAAATACATCCATAATATCACTCTCATTATCAAAGGCAGTCCAATTAACATAAATTTTCGAATTTGGCAAATAAAATACAGTTTTATCAAAGTCTTTAACATCAGAACAACTCCAATTCTCTGTGCTATATGCTGACTCGGGGATAAATTTTAGCATGTCATGATCTGATTTATTGCTACACAAAGTAAAGCATTCACTGGATGGCTCTAGCCTGTATTTTTCGACCGATTCAGTGATGAACCACGTTTCTCCATTTAGGCATCCAATGGCTGGTGCCATTTTCATGTTATGTACCTTCACTGTGGATATCACTGGTGGTGTAGTATCGTAGAGTATTCCATCAGAACACACTGGAATCGATGCTTCATACGCGTAATTGAAGGCTGTTACTGTCGCAATATAGGACCCAGTTTCATTCACATTTAGTTTGATTTTTGATTCTTCTATGTCAAATGTGAAAACTTTGCTTGGGTAATTTATATGGGATTGATTTTGCTGAGTCAGACAAGTATTTGATATTTCTACGCGATAAAACATAATTCCGCTTTCATGGTCATTGAAGCCTTGCCACCAAAACCAAATCTCTTCTGAATCTGTGTAGTCTAATTCTTTGCCATCTGGTGGACCATCAAAAACCTTCCCTTCTTCAGGGGGAGAATTATCAACAAAGATTTCCAGTTTGTTGATTTTATGGAGCAAAGCATTGTTAGTTGCTTCAATTTCAAAATAGTATTCTCTGTGATGGTTTCCAATGTGAGTATTGTTTGCAATGAGAGAATTGAGACTTATGGAAAAATTGTAATGCTCACAGTCACCTTTCATGGGACAATAACATTTTGACTCTAAGGAACAAACCTAAAAAGCATGAAAACCTGAGCATCAACATAATAAACAGATAAAATTATTAGTATTCACAATCCAAATATATTATATTTACTTGTTTTGATCGATGGATGTTATACATACCGAAGCGTTCAATTTCCTTATACCAATAGCACCTTGTCCAAGAATTTGACGGTCATCAAGTGTTCCAAAAACCCACTCTATCTTGAATAAGCCACTATGTAAATCAAATGACTCAAATTCCATCGTCATTTTGGATAGATCTTTCGAGTTGTGAACGAATAGTTGAGATCTACCATTTTTAATTAACCATGTATCTTCTATAATTGGTGGGGTTGAATCTATGTAATGGTAAGTGGAGTCTGTTAACTTATTCAAGGAGATGTCGATTGCTGTAATAGAAAACGATATAATTTCCCCGTCCTTCATGTCTGGAACAGATAAACAAATTGTTTCATTTGTAACGTCTTTGATTGTCTCATTAAGGAATATGTTCTTCTTTTCTTTTGAAACTGAATATGTGAACTTCACAATTCCATGTATGTTTTTTGTTCCACTTTGAGAAAATTGTCCCGGAAATATGTCATAGGATGACGGAATAAGTCCGTGTGGTTCTGGCTCTACCGGTAGGAGTGGATTGTAATGCACAAATTTGTCATTGTAAAAGAGATTTTGCCAACTGTAACACACATTTCCCTGGTTTGTTTGCCATTTTCTGTTTGTAGCCATAGAAGCTGATGTTACAACCAAAGAATGCAGTGAATGTGTAACGATGGTCGAGACATTATCATACAGAATGAATGATCTTGCTTGACGAACATTTAGTGCGACGTCAACTGCCTCTAATACAAAGGCGTAAAGCATTGGCTGGTTTCCTGTGGGCAAAGAAACTGTGAAACTAGAACAAGTTTTACATTGGAGTGTTCCTGTTTGGGGTGTTGTGTCCATTGTCAGCTTCCCTGGCACACCATTGACCATTTCACGAACATAGAGCTCATAATGTTGTATTCCAGAGGCAAAAATAGATGACGCAGCTGGTGATACATCTTGCCATCCCTGAAAACTGATAGTCACCACAGGGGATTTCGTTAACGGCGAAGATACTATAACAGGACTTTCAGTGCATGTTCCTAGTATTTTGCAGTGTTGTGGTGGGTCTGAATCATAAAAATAGCATCTTGTTTTTGTGGCGACCGTATCGCTGTAAGTGTATGTCTTTCCTCCAAAGGTCACATAGCCTCCTGCTTTAGCCGTATATATCAAACAAAATCTGGAAGAAAGTGTAAATCTATTTCCAACAAGTACAAGAAATTTTTAAAAATGTACAAAACTACATGTAGTTCCATGGAATGCAGTCATTCCTGGTAGTATTTAGACTTTGTCTTTCACTATTGCTTTTTACAATATGGCCACTTTTCAGAATACTACATGTAGTTCCATGGATTGAAATCATTTGTGGTGGTATCTGGATTTTATGACATTCATTATTGTTTTTTAGACATTATATCTTGGCCACTTTTCAGCTGCTTAGCAAATATGACGTGTGACTTTAAAACCCATAAGTATGATCATGATACTGAAAAATAAAATGAACTGGCAAATACACATATGCATATGACACTTCAAAATAAAAAAAATATCTTCAATAAATTACCAAATACATGTACCTTTCACCGTTGATAAGGTTCCCACTGTTTTGTATGGTTTTGTCTGAGGATACTAATCTCTGAGGTGGATTGTTAATGTTAATTTGTTCGATTCCAAGACGTGTATCATATCCTGAAATACAATTCAACTAACATGAAAATCAATAATTCACAATGAACAATGAAGTTTTATAAAGTAAGACCACAGATTTTCAGAAACAATGAATATACAGGTTTCAGCCCCTGGGCTCAATTACCTCCAATACTTCTTTCAACTCTTTCAATTGATAGTTCAGTTATTCCATAGTGGAAATCATCCACCGCAGCTGGTGTACTTCCGGTATATTCTGCTTCGACAGTTATAGAAGTTGACACACTGTCGACTTGATATTTTCCGTAAAAGTCCGTTTGATAACTGCAGGAAGTTGGTTGATTTGATGGGACTGAGTGGGGACTTCGTTCACCATTTCTATCCTGGATCTCCATGTCGCATGTCATAAAATCCGGAACAACGTTGTCTGCAAAATGTTTTTTTTTTTTTCAGATAATTTTCAAGACAAAGAATATTATTACGGGTGTATATATTTCTTTAACTAATTTTTCTGAGGTCTTACCTATGCAAAGGCTATTTGTCAGTTGTGTTATTTTGGAGTGTAGTGTCGTAAAATCATTTGCATTAATTAAAAACTTGCTATCCGGATTACTTGCAATTGCACGCAATTCACTTTCATCTAAATTGGTTCCTATTCCTATACAGAATATCATGGCACCTGTGTTTATCAACTCTTGGGCACGCAACAGAGTGGCTGATTGATCGTTTGATCTCCCATCTGTCAGAACTATTGCCAAACTAAGAGCACTGCTGCGTTTTGCATAATTTGAGGTAAACATTTGTCGAGCTTCAAGTAAAGCAGCTGCAGTATTCGTTCCTTTGCCTGTGTAAGAAGTTGATCTTATGGCATTCTGAATTGCTGACCTTGACGAATAGGCGTTAAAATTGAAAATCCGTCGAACATTGGTGCTAAAAACGATCAGTCCCACTTGAGTATCAGCGACACCAATTGTAAAAGCGTTCAACAGGTCACTTGCAAAAGACAGCATAGTCTGAAAGTTGCTTTTAACTACACTTCCAGAATCGTCCATCACAAAAATGAGGTCCACTGGTACACATTCTACAAATGTTTGATTTAAGGTTTTATTTATCAACAAATAAAATTATTATATTAAATGGAAAAAACACATTCATTAGTAGTTAATTAATCTATATATTAGATTAGTTTTGAGATTAATTTGGCAATTGTGAATAGTAAGAAAGATTATATATGACATTTTTTAAGGTAGGTGTGTTTACTGATTACCAGTCTGTACATATACCATCCACAGACTTCTATCCTACAAACCGAACAGAGAAATCATGCACATCCAGATTTGTTAAGCAAATCTTTCTTTCCTTTGAATAATATGAAGCATACTGAACTTAAAACACAGAGAGTTATCCAATCTGTTAGCATCATCAAGTCAATTAGATATATTATTTTCAGTTTCAACAAAAAAAACCCCAGATAATTTGGTATCATTGTATTAAAGAGCATGCACCACTTGATAAAGTAGTTACATACACCTGTGGAATCAGTTTTAACGACACGTTCCTCAATATTATATATTATTTATCATGCATTGAAGTACTGCTACTTTAGCAAATTTCCTCACAAAAAATTGAGATACCTTACCAGGCATTTGTACAAAATATCAGAGGATGATGTTTCCTGTATAATCCTATTAGAAATCGCTTGAATTGTCGATATCACAGTTTTGGTGTATTTATTTTCCAAGACATTTTGAAAACAGTTTAGAATACACAAGAAAATGTCAATTTTGAATAATTTTCCTTTATTACGAAGAGATACAAATTAGAATTTCGAGGAACGCGTTGTCAGACCTTAATTCATTTCTTCTAAAACTCACCAGAAAAAAAAGAAGAAGAAAATCACTCTAATGTCAACAAACAATTATTTTGGAAGGAAAAACATAAACCGTGACGTGTATTTACCCTATTCTGTGAAAAAAAAATTGAGATATCCCATATATTTGTCATTCCCAAGGCTACAGTTAGAATGTGTTTTGGTCATTTCCATGTGTTTTATTAAAATAAGTTGTAACTTGTGATTCCTTTATTGTAGAGGCCTGATATTTGGACATATGTATAAGAAATATCCATGCTTTATGCACAATAAAGGTCAAGATCATATTTAGAGGTCAAAGGTCAAATATTATGACGTCATCTACTGATTTGTTTTATTCTTTATTTATTGGCGTTGATTTTTTTTTTTTTTTATCTCCAAAATAACTGAAACCCCTGTTTCAATTTACTCCTTTTGTCACAATTTGATTTACATTCCATTTCAATCTATCTTTTCTTTTTGCTGTTGTTGTTAAATTTGAATTCTACATTTTCTTCTAAGAGATATTAAAGTCTAGCATATTTAAATGTGCATGTGAATTTGCAATTCCCAAACTACGTATGTTCTATCTTTAGATCACAGTGCATTCAAATATACTTGTATCAATATATTTTACTGACTTATAGTAACAGAAAGTTCACCTTTAAACACATCACACCTATCTGTTATACCTGTATATTAAAAGGTAACTTTAAAACAATGCACATTTTAACGTTGAATGTCCGATTTCACCGACTATCTACTGGATCTGATAAGCTATGTATCAAACTACATGTATATGGGCAAAAAAATTGTAATTGAATTTCTTCCATATTAAATATAAAGAGATTTTAAATCTTAGAACAAAATATCAAATTTCAAACAGTTTGAATTTGATGAAAATTTGGTCCATCTGTTTTGAACTACCTTAAATATTTTTTTTATAGAAACTGACAAAGTACTGTGGCACGCACGGAAATATTTATGTGTCACATATTTACATCATTATTAATTCTCAAAAAAGTCACATTTCTGATAAATCTCATCCCTCAATTAGACAAGAATGAATTTCAAGAACATGCTTATCCAATAAATAATTTTCCTAAGTATTAAAGAAATACTAATATTTTATTGATATTTCGGATGAAATGTTACATAGGTGTATAGTGTTGAGTTTATAAAAAGTGCGCGCGTGTGTGTGTCAAAATAGCATTTAAACTTTGTTCAGAATTAAGGAATATAATCCTTTTGGTGTACATGTAGACTCCAAAGTAAGGGGCTACATTAAATGGCATGTACTTTTTAAAAGATCGTCAAGGTCTTCTGAATTTTAAAGGACTCAAGTAACACATTTATTTTGTCATAAAAGAAACAAATATCGTCAGACAATGAGTGTACTAATAAGATAAGGCCATTCAATATTTGTTTTTAAAAAATGTAATGTTTTAGTTCAATTGCAGCTAGGTTCGGCTTATTCCTAAGGAAAAAAAGATGTCGCAAAGTGAATGATTTATAGGGAAAGAATCAAATCATATTCAAACTGAAAGGCTTAGAGTAAATAAAACACGGTAACTTTGCCCCCAATTGACTACATAAGGCATAGGATAGTGTACCACAGAGTAATAAAACACTTATGTGATAATGTTTCAGCCAGTACTATTACACCAGGAAAACAAAGATTTTTATCAAGAAAACACACAGCTAACACATACCTATCTGTTATTCTCTTGGATCATAAGTATTAGTTATTTTTTGTAACATTTATCGTTATGAATAGCACGATAAATACATCATTTTCCAATTTCTTTGGTCGTGAACTAAATGTACCAATATTTACCAGCTCTACTGGAGGTCTGTCATAAAGGACTTACTTTTGTTTGTATTTGTTGATCTCTTTGGTCGATACGACTGTGATGCTTCTTTGTATCCTTCTGAAAAACATAAAATTGCATATTACAGGTTAAAGAGAGAAAGAGGCGATGGAAAGGGAAAGATATTTCAAAAACGTGTACTTTCATTAACATTACCGTTACAAGTTTCCAACTTTTCCAAGTCTGTTGGCGCTACTTTGCATCTTGCCAAACACTGCTCATAATCAGATGGACTGTTTTTACATGAAACTGTTCGTGTCCATTTTTGTACTCCATCATGACAAAAACTTTCAGTTTTCCATTTAGTAAAATTACATTCCTCAATAAAGCATTGTCCTTTCTTACACACAATCAAAAGAATAAAAAATTCAAAGCTATAGATGTGGATATTCATCCTGATTCTAAAACGACAGCATGATTAAATGCGTACAAGAAAACGATTGAACCAGGAAGTTTAAATGCCTTACCAGATACAAAGGGTTCAATTCAAAGTATGGATTGGAAAAATTAAACCATTATTACTTTCAATAGAGTTAAAGTTTATGTAGGTTCATTTATGACGAGAGCTTCGTTTTGTGTGTATTAGATTACAAAGTCTGTGTACGGTTACCATACTTTAAAATTCAAAGGCACACTGCATGAATGAGATTAAGGTTGAAGCAGAAAAAATCTAAGAAAGGGGGGGGGGGGCGGCGGTGTCATGGCAATTTACATACCGGATCATCTCATTATATTATGATTTTCACTGACGCCACACTTGTTTTGTTTTCCCCCAATAATTTGATATTTTTTCAATAATTGAATATACATGTACTAAATGCAACTCTCAAACAGTGATTTCATGTACAGGCATTTAGATCGAGTGACAAACTGGTAATTTTACGCATTCATTAACATTTGAAACAAAGTCAGAGGTCCACGATCTACAACGCTCACCTGAGTTACTTTGAACCTGCTGTTCTTAATCAGAACATTTTTTGAAAGAAATTCTCCTTTTAATTTATACAAAAATGACTTATTACTGTGGACCAAAATCTAGTTTATGGCTTTACTGTTCTTGAAAAGAAGATTTTTAAAGGGTTTTTTTTCTTATACATGTATAGGCCATTGTCAAACTTTGATCGCCTATTCTGGTCCCACCTACCCCACAGGCCCAGGTCAAGATTTGAACAAACTACACTATATACCTGAAGATACTTTCATATCAATATGACTTTAAGTATGGCCTTGTATATTCTTATACTGTTCCTTTGTAAAACTTAATCACCTGTTATGGCCCCAACTTACCCCAAGGGGTCACGATTTGAACAAATTTGAATCTACACTTAGTATTGAAGTTTTCACGTAAGTTTTATCTTTTCTGGTCCACTGGCTCTTATACGAAGAAGAGTTTTAAAAGATGCCATTATATTTTCACTTATTTAAAGCTTAAAAGAGGGTGTGACCTTTCACTTGAATAAACATAATTTCCTTCACCCAAAGATGCTTTGCGGCAAGATTGGTGAAAATTGACTCAATGCTTCTTGAGAAGAAGAAAAAATGTGAAAAAATTTACAGATGACAGACAGACGTCGGGCTCTTTTCGATCAGAAAAGCTCATCTGACCATCTAGCTGAGGTGATCTAAAATGTATAGACAAGGACCTCTAGTACATGTATGCGCATTGTGAAAAAAAGTGTTTACATTAGTTAATATTTACATTTCCAACTGTTTTCTCTGTGAGAACTCTTTAAAAGTTGGGTGTGTTGATTTCTCGATAGTTGGTCCAAAATAATGTCACAACTGCTATATATTCTTTAATTATCAAAACCTACCAACAAAATTTTTATATATAAATACCTCTAACATTGTTTTCTTGTGCCTCAAAATTTCATTCAGATATATGAAATACTATTTAAAATATTAAAATAATCACAACGTTATGTCTCATCTATTGCCGCGCGACAAGAATATACCCACGTCGTTAAATTATTACGTTTTTCTCTTTGGCACTCATTTTCAGTTCACCCAGAAATATTTTAAAATCACACATATGTTATATTTTATGTAAACTTCAACTTCATATAATTTTTTTAAAATAGAAATCAACCAATACACTTAATAGCAAAATGGCAGTAAAAATTATTAAAAATAAGCATGTGTAGGGTTAAAAAGATTTACATGTAAGTTGAAAAGTAAGTACGTAGTTTGTATCCATTAACAAGCTCGTTGGAAGAAATTTCAGAAAATATCATTTTCAGGGTGAACACTATCAAGGAAAGATTCCTTATCGAGCAAAAAAAAAAAAAAAAATAGAATCAGAAGGTAATATTTACATGATTTTGGGGACACAAGCATAAAGTAACTATGTATAACTCGGCAAAATTATTGGAGGCACGGTGCCCGAACCCCCACCCTACCCGGTTCCTACGTCCATGAAAAAAAAAAAAATCACAAGTAATATAGAGTATATAGAGTAAACTCATGTCCAAGTTAAATTTTTTGTTGATGCCACTGAATTGAACTTTTCTTGTTTCTTAGCAAAAGAATTCACTTCATGATTAAGAGACATGTTGATTACACTGGATTGAACTTTTCTCGATTCTAAGCGTAAAAATAAGTTTGCTCAAGTCAGACAAGCTTTTTAGGAAAGCTAATACTTGGTTGTGACATCACTTTCGGATCGAACCTCGTACAATATATATGCATTTCAATCTCTTGCGGCTATCTTTGTGTCCGACGTTAGTGGGCGGGGTCTATACGGAAATTAACAATAGAATGCCTCATTTCTTTTAAATCTATTAGACAGCAGTTTATATTCATATTTACACTTTTATTTCACGTATAAATGTAATATAAGGAATCACTGTTTAGTTTGTTGGGTATGCCAGGAATATCAATGACAGCTGGAAGCGTGGGATAAATATAATTTATGCATAACGGGCTTGGCAAATTATCCCACATTTCCAACTGGCATCGACGACAGTTGGAAACGTGGGATTACAATAATTAATGCTTCGCCCGTTATCCCACGTTTCTAAATGTCGTTGATACCCTGGCACACCAAACAAACTAAGACAGCGATTTCTTATTACGAGGCCAATGGGCCACAACGCTCACCTGAATCACTATTGTCATATGTTCTTCATCAGCATACTTTTTACCTAAATACTCCTGTGTATCATTTTGACCGTTCGATGTGGGCCCAATATACCACTCAAGATATGATCTGATCAAACTGATGCTTCCATATCAATATGAATAATTATATAATTATGTCTTTGCTGTTCTTTCTTGTTTTTCCTATATAAAACTTTGATCGTCCATTGTGGCCGAACCACATACCCTCTGTGGTCATGATTTGAACACTTTCTATTTTGAAAGCGAATGCTTCGATATCAATATGACTTATCATGCTTATGATATTCTTGAGAAGATTTTTAAACATTTTTTTTCTTATATATTTCTTATAAAGCTTTAATCGTCAACCCTACCCACGGGGGTCATGATTTGAACAAACTTGAATCTACACTTCCTGAGAATGCTTTCATATCAATATGACTTATCATGCCTATGCTGTTCTTGAGAAGATTTTTAAAACATTTTCCTATATATTCATGTGCATCATGACAACGTAGCAACCCGGCTCACTTCGAGTTTAGCTACATGTACAGTTGGCTTAAGGTGTATCATTATTTTATATTTATTTAATACTTTTTGTCCAGTTTTCTATTTGTGTTACGTTCCAGGGGTTATCAAGGGATATTTCCAGTTAAACGCAACAACAATATGATTATAAAAATAATATTTATTTAATCTAGAGAAATTATAAGCAATAGAAAATATCTAACACACAAGAGTACAAATTATTATTTTAACCTTTGAAAAATATGCAACAGAAAATATATAAGGTAAAAGACTAGCTACTAGCTATTGATGGTTGTTTAACAAAAATACAAATACATCATAAATGTTAAAACATTTCTAAATTTAAAAAAAAAACATCATCAGCATTGGTTGTTTAAACGATTGTCGCAGCAAAACATAAGTCACCTTAGTTCATTTTCTCATTTATTGTATAAATTCAATTAAACCTCTTCCGATTTATATCCATATATTTACACACGTTCCTTTTCTTCTTGACTTTGAGATTTTCAGGCTTTATTAAGCATCTTCTGAAATTAAGCCTTCATGATTTTCTACCTTCATGAATACATTAATCCTCATGAGTATTTACAAAAATAAATTCACACCGGATATCATTGACAATCTTAGTTTATAAAGCGATGTATAACTCCATATAGGAACAAAAAAAGGATATTACTAAAACAACTATTGCTATTTCGTGCATTCAATTATACACTTTATTCTTTAGAGTGTTTAAAGTTTAAGTAATGAAGAAACTATATCCAAAAATTTATATATGACATTTACGTATTTAATAAAATTTACTTCCCTTGTAGCACGTAAATAAGTGTGTTTGGAAATTTATCTGACAGGTGAAGTGTTTTATATATATTGAACGTCACTTCCACCACTGTCTACATGATTTCTGGCTCAAAGAAATTACAGTCTCCACTTATGCAAAGATGGCAGATTCTCTCTATTGAAGTGCGATGGTTGTATTCAATAAAATTCTTCCCATTCAGGAACGTCTGCAAAAATCAGATTTATTTACATATTGTGGAATTATTTACATGTAAGATTGTTTGGGAAATTTTCATGGATCTCTCGGGTCACCCTCAAGAATTTATATTCTTTTGAAGAATTACTTTGTCCACGATTCGGTTCATTGAATCTACCCTCGAAATTATGTTCCTATTAGTCAGGTAAATAATTGAAGATTTAAAATTCCATAATCATCTTTTTTTTAATACGACACAATACTATAATTCATAATTATATATCAAACATAATTTGAGCGTTATCTATATTTCAAAAGAATTAAAACAAACATTTAGGCTTTACATATATTCAAAATGTTTACAAAGAATTTGTATGTAAACACAAATTGATTCATATAAATTAAATATCTTAGATCGGACTACAGTGTATTAGTAGGAAATGAACTCCCAAAAGACGAAATTCTGTTTTCTTAATTTTTCTCATTTTGTACAAAAAATATTAACTTCCGTTGATTCAACTTACGAAAAATTTGTCCTCTCCAACATGGAATACAATTTCAAATGTGTCTTTAGCCTCAAACGGAAACTCGGGGGCTTCTGTCTCCTCCGGACCCCAGTCCCCATCCTCAGACAATCTGGAGTTCCTCACGACCTCACCCTGATCTTTACGTGGATTGAAATGGAAGGCTATGTCCCCATCCTCATCCCCGCTACACATGAAGTTCACCTGAAACCTATGTAAAAACTTCCAACATTTTCAAACAATTACATAATTTTTGAAGAGTGTGAAATGCCATGTAACCAGAACTCTCTCTCTCTCTTTCTCTCTCATGCATAGCTATTCCATGTAACCTCGTCCAATGTTTCTTAGGAAAGCCTCGCACAGTGATCCAACTTCCAACTTGCAATCCTGTCGGCAATCCTTCCCAAATAGGCTGGTCCTGAAAAGATTAAAAAGCCTTACATAGAGCTTTCACGGAACTGAGAAAAGCCGGGGAGGGGGGTTGTTGTTAACGAAATACAATGCAAGACGAACAGAGACATGTACAGCTAGACAGACAGACAGAAAATAGAGAACCTGTCTCTTCATCAGGAGAGTTTCGAGAATAAAGACATCCCCGCGGATTTGAATACTGCGGATGGCTTCTACATCACACCGCATTCTGAATTTACAAAACTTCACTCCGTTGATGAAAACCTGCAATAAAATTTGAAAGAAGGTAATGTACATGTTTTGTCTTTATTGATGGTAGTTTGAAATGTCCTTAACCAAGAAAATTTAAATTTAACACGAAGTGTATTTGTATATATTTTTGAAAATTGTGCCTGTTTTTCTGCGACATTCTTCGTCTTCTTATTTTATCAAATACATGTATAATGAATTTCATATAACAGAGACCAAACAAGTCATTGCAATAAGCTAATATGAAATCGGTTTCCCTGGTAACATTATAATATATTTTTCAATTTCTGTCATATAAGGATGCAAAATAGCATGACCCATTCTAGTTGTTCAGCTGTTCTTGAAACACTGAAAAAAAAGAACTTCAAACAGCAAACAGAATGATTTAAAGACTTATTATATTTACATTAAGAGTTTTTATCTTGTGGCTATCAAACAATTTTTAAGGTAAAAACGATATTCTTGATTTACCTTGAATTTCTTTTTCTTGGTCTCAACCTTAACTTCGAATGGCCTCTCTGTTTTAAACACCGGATGTAGACCCGTTCTTTCCTCGCTCTGCCACGCGCCATCTTCACAATTGTTCATGACAACTTCATCTTCATTTCTCCGGGGATTGAAATGAAACGCGATGTCTCCATTTTCATTTACGAAGTTTATGTCGAATCTATAAATGTATTTTTAAAAAATACATGTGTACTTACAAATTTAAAGAAAGTCATGAAGCATATAATTTATAATTATTGTGAAGCTGGTGTTGTATTATTGAACGCACCTGTTTGCATCTGGTTTCATCATTCCTTGAAATTCGAACACGTCGCCCTTCTCTAGGCCAGATTCAACCTCTTTGGTTGATTCTTCTCCCTAACAACCAATCAAATAAATCTCCTTAACAACCAATCAAATAAATCTCCCTAACAACCAATCAAATAAATCTTCTAACAACCAATCAAATAAATCTCCCCAACAACCAATCAAATAAATCTCCCTAACAACCAATCAAATAAATCTCCCTAACAACCAATCAAATAAATCTACTTTAAGTCTTGTCTTGATGATTTCAATTATTTTGAAATTTATATTTTAATCAATGTGTACCTTTGTGTCTGAACAATCAACATCCATGATGCTTAGATTTCCCTGCAGGTTCAGGACCGAGATTTTGGTCAGGTCATCACGATGATTAAAATCCGTGAAATGCTCGTCATTCACAAAAACCTGTATGAAACAAAAGGTATTTAAGTACAAACATAACAGACTCAACTTTACCTAGCACTTTATTCATTTTTCTACATGTGTACATACAGAAAATTTGTCCTCCATACAAACGAAGGAAGCATCAAAGTACTGAAAGGGACTGAAGGGAAAACCCGGCCCGTCTCTCTCCTCTCCTCCCCAGTCACCGAAATTGGCGTTCCTTACCACACATCCCGCCTGCGGACGTGGATTGAAGTGAAAATAATATTTCCCTCCATCATCCATAAAATTGACCGAAAACCTATCAAGAAAAGATTGTAATTGTTAACTCTTTAAGTCATCTCCGTTGATGCGGTACCTGTACAAGAACAAGTTTATAGTTTAATGTCTGTTGTTTTACATACCCGACATCGGACGTGCACATGCCCCTAATTCGAAACACTTTTCCGACTGACATTCCGTTAGGAATTTTCGTTATATATGGCATGACCTGTTTTTAAAAATATTCAGTTATTAAATAAAGTTGTACAAATCTGCCAATGTACATAATTAGCGCACTTTATTTAAATCATTAATACCGCTAAAATAAGTATGTACGTTAATTACGGTATTCATTCTTTGCATAAAAATGTGTCTTCTTGTATGCACATACTGTTATATTAGTATGCTTTATTATCATACGATAAAATGAGCTACTCTTTCATCAACTTGGAAAACGACATCAAACCAGATGAGATTGTAACACACTTGGCAGATAAAAATATTTATTTTTTCAAAGATAAAAAAGGATTAAGCTTATAGACTTACGAGGGTTGTCCGGTAAAATCATGGACAAGTTGTCTAGAGTGAAAAATAATCATCATTGCGTTCTAAAGTTTTCACTACTCGTTAGTACATTTTTCATCAATATACCTAGCAAATTTTAAAGAGATATATGCCCAAATAAACAAAATACGAAATTTTATATATGTGTGGTATCGCCTTACTGCGCATGGATGATAAGGTCAAAGTGTCTAAAGCAGCGTCAAGTTTCCCCTTGCCTAAAGAAAAAAAAAGTTGGATAAGCCTCACTTGAATTCATTGATGCACATACTCGAGTTTCCCTTTATTCCTCCATAAACTGTCGAAGAACCAATCTCGCACACACATGGGACCTTCTGAAGATTTATTAGTAAGTTATGGACAGTACTCATACTATCATTCTACTAAATAGGCAATCTTATATCGACGGTCTACAGTGACAGTGTCTTTCGTTATTGCAAGTAGCTGTTTGTATGTTTTGTTCTACCCAGGGACTCGATCAAAAAGCTTCCGCTTAGAAAACTTCTAAATCCTTTGCATACGAAAGATTTAGTGATATTTTTATATTTTTTTTTCTTCTATAGTCATTGAAAGTCTCTTTGGGCGTCATTACTACATCTAGATCAAACTGAACTGCTCTTCCGTGCGCCGTAATGTCGTCAAACGTCGCCATTTTAGTGTGTTGTGTTGACCACTTTCCCATTTCAAATTCTCAGGAAACTGCCAAAACTTGAGCAAATAACTTGAAATTTTCAGAATGACGACATGATAGATAGTGGATTAAAATTATGATAATCTTTATCTCAACCATATTTAAGTAATACTTTTATTTTGAAATAAAACTCCATTTTATTTAAAAAAAATTAAGATGTACTTAAATATGATAAATAGATATTTGCTGAAATTTTCAGCTTAGTGCGCCTATTATTTTTCGATAAAAAAGCTTTGTCCACGATTTTACCGCATGGCCGTAGGAACGGGGGGGTGGGGGGGGGGCGGGGGCGTTGCCCCCCCCCCCATTAATTTTGCCGATATATAGATTGCTATAGTAAACATAGATACTATATGCTTGTGCCCCCTCAATAAAAACGTCTGATGACCTTTTTTTCTTTCTTTTTTTGTTTTGCTTGTCAAGGAATTTTTGGTAGTTGATGACCTTTTTTTTTGCTTGTCAGGAAATTTTTGGTAGTGCCCCCTCAACTGTCAACTGAAAAATGTATGGATGTGCCCCCCCCCAAACTGAAATTGCTTCCTACGGGCCTGTACCGGACAACCCACGTATATGTCACAGAAATTCATGTTCAGGCCCATGGAATTTTTTTTCTGTGCAATACTGATTTGAAATTTTCTTTAGACTTACGGGTTTATCGAGGAATATGACGTCATAGTATTCCGCGCCTTCACCGAGAATCAGAAACTCTCCTTTCTGGACGTCCAGTCGATGAGCGTAGTCTACAAAATGTTTTCCATTGACGTAAACAATAAATTTCTCTGCAGTAACGTCGATGCGTACAGAGAAGGATTTCCCGTTGTCAAAAGGAAAGTGGGGCTGTTCCCTTTCTTCCGGGCCCCAGGATCCATCGATATGTGAGTTCCTCACCACAACGCCATCGTTTGGACGTGGATTGAAATGAAAAAGAGTGTCCCCATTTCCGAACTCTTCGTTCTCGCAAAAATTGATCGGAAACCTTTACGAAAAAATAAAATTCTCTTAACAAAGCCGGTATTTAATAAAAGGGGGAAGGGTCTCGCTATGAGCTGTTCCTTTTAAAGGGAAACCTTTTATACATTCTCTTACAAGAAAACTTCTCACCAAGTAGTTCCATTTGAGACACGACCTTTTAATATGATTTGTTTCCCTGGTGTAAGTCCTCCGGGAATCTTATAAGCTTTTGTATCATCCTGAAGAAAAAAAAATATGTTCTGAATTATAAATTCTGGGAGTGTTGGAGAGAGAGAGAGAGGGAGGAGAGAGAAAAATTAACCTTTTTCTTTCCACTTTGAATCCACCGCATAATTACACAATCTTTGGTCTGTTGAGGTCAATTGCTTCTTTGGTATTCTGCAATAAAAAAAAAATCATTATTAATTGTAATTTGGCCATTTCAAAATATTAATTTTATCAAGATTTTATTCATGCAAAAGATACTTATAATAAATATATTTATGACCAAGATTTTCATTTAAGTTGGATGAAATTTTCATCCTGAGTGTGTTCTGACTAGGAATGTCAAAATATTTATTTTCTTTAGTCAAATATTCGATTGCATTATTCGAACAATAGTCGAATATATTCGAATCTTTTTCGGAAAATAAAATTTTATTTCAAACCTCATTGGTACATGACGTTTTTAACCCCAAAACCTTTTTTTTCAAATTTATTAAAAAGTAACAACAAAATCAATGTTACACAGAGATGTTCACATGCACCTAAAATGTGGATAGCGTGTTTATATTAACTAAATCTTGTCCATAAATAGGTCTGTAAAGATGTTTTTAGTAAGCATAAAAAATGACAGTACTATATATTTTTAAAGCTTATTAAAATAATTGGAAGGGGGGGTTAAAACACCCACTACCCACACACCAGATGTCTTTGATAATGTTAAACAGTTGAACATACTTTTTGTCCCGGCTATCAAAATGTCTTTAAAATTTGTAAAAGAATATTAATTTTACAATAATCATCGTAGTGTTCAAACATGTTACAGCTATAATGGGTACATGGTATGAGATCAAGTCCAATTAATCATTTTACAAACAAAGCCAGGATAGTGAGATTATTTTATTACAAAAACAACACATTAATTGACAAATAATTCTCGCGGAAGAGAAGCATTTCTAATTACTGTACTATCTACATGTAAAGTCAGCAGTTTTTAATGAGGAAAATTATCTTATCGACTGTGTCCAAGGAAAGACGGTTTCTCAATTTTAAGATGAGATTTCCATCTCTTTATCACTCTTTTATTGAATTTATTTATTCAAATGTCGTTTCGTTATTCGATCGTCGGTCCATTCGACTGATAGTCGAATAGTCGACTATTCGTTGACATCCCTAGTTCTGACCCTAATTAAAAATAAATAGCTAATTAAGATATTTTAAGAAGTGCAGTTATCCTCCCACTAATATTCTATTTTTAATGTTGTCTGTCAGCAACTACTTTTTTAAAGAATCAAATGACATGCCGTCTATTTGAAATGTAAATGAGCGTTTTCTTAGTCAATATATTTTACCCGTAAATAAGTTGTCAAACACAAATCAACATTATTTTCATTTAGAAAAAAAACAATTCTGAACCTCGTTTAAATGTAAATATACACGACGCGGAAACATGCGAGATAAAAAGAAAGATAATACTAGACCACCAAGTTTTCCTCAGAATAACTATAGATAACTTGTGCATGTTTACAAAACACCCAATGGCTACGCAGAAAAGATTTCTAAATCCTTTCATTTGATTTCAATGGAAAATTCTGCATGCACATACAGAAAAGTGCATAAGAACAATTTGTTTTTTGTTATGTGATTATTACACGACTCTAAATACGATTATGAAGATTTGAAAAAAAAAAATCTGAATTCTTTCATTTGATTTCAATGGAAAGGACCGGGCTGTGCATTCTGTATGCACATACGGAACGTGCATAAGAAAAATTTGTTTTTGTTATATGGTTGTTATATGATTTTATACGATTATGAATACTTTAGTTTTGAGAAAATCAAACTTAAAAAATAACATAAAGCACATGCTTTCGATTTCTGAAGAGGTTTCCATTTAGTATAGCTTTTTCGATGAAATAAACATCCAAAACACCTGAATGTGCACCAGTTATCAACTTCAGGAAATCGCACGTTTTAAATACAATATCAAGCTTTTAAAGGTTTATATTAATGAACTACCAGCCAAAACAAACACTTGGGTTAAGATTTTACTCGATATTACCTAAACACGCCTGTAATTTACACGAAATAATTTTCATGCACATGTAACTCATCAATGTATATCTTACTGTTGTTGGAAGTTTGCTAAGATCGAGAATTTTTCACTCGATCATGTCGGAATACTACCAGGTGCCGATGGAGGGCTGCAAATAAACTCTACTCGACACTTATCGTCATTAAAGCTGAACACGACTAGTAAATAGGCGCACGCCATATTAGTTTTTCTGTCTCCGATATCAGCACTGGGGTATACTCTTCGCATTCGTTACACCTGACTGCTTTCTTGTCACGGGTACCTGCTTGGAATGGACGACACGTGTTCGTATTGGTTATCTTACATTTACTTTGTTTACATTTCATTGCAGTTTACGTGTATTTGTGTTTGTTTATACTGCACTGACCTGTGCAACTGATGTTTTCTTTGGCAAATTTCTCTTCTGCCGTGGAAGAAGCACACAGTTACTTTTTTCGCCACCGAGAGTTTTGCAATAGCTATGTAGAATACATGCACGTCCGTCCACACCGGTGAAAACTGATTATACTGAACCAAGACCAAATGAACAGCGAACGAAAAATGCAATATGGAGGACAAACATAGATTTCTGCCTTTTACGAATCGTGTTCCGCAGATTTAAGCAGTGAAAGATTTTTTACGTGCTAGCATCAACTGCGACACGGGACCTCGCTTAATACAGTCTTATCCAAAGGACCGATCTAAGATGATCATAAGAAGGACCGAACAGTAGGACTCGAAAGCGTGACGTAAAGATCAATTCCATACTTCGTAACTCTAGAATGAAAGTACTAACTACTGCGCCATGCGGGAGACATGTCTTATTGTATACACTTATTTACTGGCTATGCAGGCAATAGCAAGTTTATTATCCCCCAAGACAGCAACTATTTCCCAATGCGCAACCGACGCAAATAGTTGCTGTCGAGGAGGGGGGACAATAAACTTCCTATTGGACATTTTCGGTTGGGTGAACACTTACAAAAGAGTGACTACGGATCTTTAGTATGGAGCGCATTATGTTCTAAAACAAGTGTTGTCAAACCCGGTTAACCGGTTTACCTTCAGGCGATGCAGGTATCGGTTACTCGAATATATCACCGGGTAATCGATAGGAAAAGAAGGCTAACAGCCACTAATTAAAAAGTTCGATTTGACAACGTTAGTAAAAACATTGCACAGAGTTTACACTACGTTGTTCATCACTATTCTAGGATTTAGTAGATCAAGTCTTCTAAGAGGACATTTTTCTACTTCTTGTCATAATTCATGATACAAACTTATAAAACTACAAACAGTTTAATGTATATTGGAAAAGAGCACAAAAATCAAACCCACGAAGCTCTGTCTAAGCAGAATACAGAAATAAAACATTTATTTTACACCTTTTGATAAAAAAAAAATATATTTTTAAGGCACACTATGTGGAATTTTCAAAACATGTTCTACAATCCTTAGCTACGTATCAAACAATCTTGATAATATAAAATTCATTATATTGGATTAATAAAATCTTAAGCGATCAAATAATTCCAGATCACATTCTCAAGAATTCATTCCTAGATATCACTTACTCGATTAAGTTGAGAATGTAAAACATTTTCAGCAACACGAAAAAGGTATACAAAATAAGATACAATAATATAGTTACTTGTAAGAAGAAATTTACAAGTTTCACTATTGATATAGTATTGGCCAACGACCTCGTTTACGATATATCATGCACCAACAAGAAAAATTTTCACTCCCAAGACGAGTTTATAAATTTATTTCAGATGATTCGTGAAATCTTCAAAATTTGCAAGCATAACTTGACACGATGTGAAGGTATATTAATACATGTATAAATACAGCCATCAGGAGAAGATAGTTCATGTCCAGAAATATCAATCACAATTGGCATGTCCTGCGTGGGAATACATATTTCGCCTAATGGTGACCCCTGATAATCTTTGCGTAAATAGTGTAATAAATAAAATTAATGTGTATAATCAGAACAGTACAGTTCTCGGGGATTCTGAGTTTATAAATTTCAAAATAAGTTCAATCTACAACAATTATTGCAGATGAGATCATATATGAGATCATATCATATATCGCATTTCCCTCCACATCGTCGCAAGCCATGGGTTTTGTGTCCATTCTATTTCCACAAACCCGTGGCTGTCTCCTACAAATTTCTCTCGTTCTCATGAATATTAATAACATACATTCAACCAATGGAATAACATCTGACGCTTCAAGTCAGAACCAATGAAAATGATCAGTCTATCTTGTATTTGGATGTAACCATAACCACGAGCTGTACATCAACTTCGGTTCGAATTTCCTTTCTTAACGAGTAACGCTATTCAGCGTTCTCACACAACGTCTACATTCGAAACCCTGTATTTTAATGTAAAACCTTGTAAGTATTTTAGAATATACGTTCCTCACCTCTGTTTTTCAGGATCTATCGTATTTTTTTTTTTCAATAAATCTGCCACGCATAGCAAACATGATTTCATTATGAGCGCCGCCATTTAAGCGTACCAAAAATTGCTACAGAGTGATTTCATTGGTCAAGGTAAATCTGGCATCACTTAATAAACATTCAATGATTCAGTCGCGAGAACGAAAGAATTTGGTAGGAGGAAGCCACGGGTTTGTGGAAATAGAATGGACACAAAACCCGTGGCTTGCGACGATGTTCCCTCCATTGCAAAACAGTTCCAAGTTAATGAAGGTGTTAGGCGTCAGTTCAGAAGAGTACCACAGGCACCTGACGAATGGCTGGTGCAAACTTAACCCTTCCCCCCTTGCTTTTGAGAATTTTATTAGACTTATAATTATTAACATATCAAAAATACACGAATTTCTAACTGATCTAACTATTCTACATGTATCTCTATTCCAATATCTGATCTCATTTTCCGTTTTTATTAAGTTGAAGAGGTTGCCCCTCAATGATACATAAAAATCCCAAATGGAAGAAACAAAATCTTGTAAACAAACAGGGGTGCCCCGTGTTGAGAGAGAATTTCAACCTTTTTACAGCATTTCAAATAAAAATTTATGTAAGAAGCAGATCAGAGATATTACGTTTTACAGACCTCTTCTGTTTACACTCGGTCAACATGTTTTATTTTCTTTTAAATTCGTGTTTATTAACCAGTATTACTTTCACTGGCAGCGAATCAAGAAAGTTATTAATCAGAAATACCGTGGTTCATATGATTAACAAACGATTTCGCTAAAATATTAAAATGATACTTTTTAAGGAATACTTTTTTGTTTTGAACAATTCAAAAAGCAGTATCTGAATGTATCCAACAACCAATATAGTTAATTAGATTTTATCCATTTTATTTGTTCTAGTTATTTCATTTTTTGCACAACATGGTTTCCCTACTTTTTATCCATAGTCGCTAATAATTGTAGAAGTTCACCCAATCGAAAATGTCCATTGTCAGGATAAAACCAGAAGAGTTCCGAGATGAAACGCGAGGGAAATGAAATGCTGCCGGTGTATACATGTAGTTCGACGACTATTTCACCATGGGCAAATAGCACAAAAACTATTCAACTGTAGGGGCTGCTTAGAAAAAATAACAGGTTTTTTTGTCATATCTTTATTAAGAAAAAAATCACAGAGGTATAATAATATATAAATACTGCATGTAGTTGAATTTTCATCCCCAAGAAAACCATTGTCAACCGAGGCGCAGCCGAGGTTGACAATGGTTTTCGAGGGGTGAAAATTTTCAACATTACACTCAACTACATGCAGTATTTATTATATTACACTCAATGTTTTAAACAAATACATATTACAGTGAACCCTGCGCGCATAAATTCTGCGAAGTCAATATTTTTTGGAATATCACCGTCGTCAAGCAATGTCGACTGTTGCTATGCTGGAGGGCGTGGCTTCATTATTCATCGGGTAATTTAGTGTTTTTTTAACAAATGTTTCTCGACGAATCAGATTCAACTAATTTACATGAAAGTATAATACAAGAAGATGTCAAATAGAAAGGAAATCTTGCATTTTGCCAAAACTTTAACAATTCATTTTTTTTTTTAAGAAAGCAGGATCTGTTACTTCAGTTTGCCTTGAGTATAAATAAAAAGTCAAGCAATGTTTTTAACATAACAGGGATAGCACGACAACGAAGATGAACATATATGTATCACTGGATATCATTTCCAGTTTTAAAAAAATCATTGCAAAACACAAAAAATGTGTACATTTCATGCGATACATGTCAACACAGCTGTTGTAAATTTCTTGTGTATACATATCCGAGATCGTTTATGCTTAAATAAAATGACTATAGATGCATACATGTTAAAACGATTATTCTTTATACAACAGCTGTACATATTTACAGCCGTGTATTTATACGATCGTTTCCCTTACATTTTTTAGAATAAGATTTTGTCGCATGAAACTAATTGTTAAGATATATAAAGAAGATACGTATCATACATGTAAAAAAAAAAAAAAAGAAGTAAAGTTCCGAAGGTTTACAGGGGGAGGAGGATAGTCCTGTTACATGTACATGTAGCAATGCAACGAAGGGTCTTCAAAGTAATAAATAGTTTGTCGCACTATGTAAACTTGGCATTACTCTCGTATGTTAATTGCAGAGTGAAGCAACCATACAAGTCGTGAATGAAATGAGGCCCTTTAAAAATGAATTCGGCTTGTAAACATTATGTGTAAACATCATATTGATCACAAATAAATGTATGGTTAGTGTAAATTAAACAGTCCAAACGCTGAGGTGTACCAGTAACTAGGCAATATTTAGACGACAAAAATTATATAATTTTTTTAAACCTTTCAGAATACGTCGATAAAATAGCATGATGCTATTATTATTATCATACCCTTCTCTCCCTATCCCAAGGTTTGGGATGCAGTGTGCCACGTCAGCCTATGAGTAAAGACCTTTTTTTCCTGTGTCAAAAGAATTAGTGTGGCCATGATTTACATTCCACACACATGTTTTAAAATTTAAAAGCACCTTCACACATTATGCTCCGTATGCAAGTTTTAGAACACTCCTTGTTGACAATTCGGTTGTGCATTTAAAAATTAAAAAATACTTACCGGCGCGTTTGTAAGAAATAGACGTCTAAATCAGCTTACCGCTAGTTATATTTTGCAATATATGGTCACATGACAGCCTTCCCGGGTGTGTATTACATTTCTCCGTCCGGTTACTCTAAAGACCAATATTAACACGTAAGCAGAGTTGTCTGTAATAAAAGTTTTTTTTTTCCTGTATAGTGTAATGAAACGGTGGTAAATTTTATTACAGAAACAAGTGCCTGCATGTGTACAGCTTACTTTGGCGGGTACATCCTTTTATATAAAACGTTAAACAATCCGATAGATTATAATCACCTATGCTTGCTGCCATGCATTGAGATTAGCTCTACCCGCATTTCGCTGGCAAAAACCAACTGTTAATGAAAGAAAAAAATACTTATATGTGAAAGGTATTTCTTTTATTCACTCCTACATGTATTCATGAAATTATAATGCATTCACTCATTGTACAATTTGATTATGCCAGATTCATTTCCGAACTACTGATGGCCGGAAACTTATAATCTTCAGTTCAGGCTTAAGCTTTTTTCTTACCGGAAAGTCCATAAAGTCCATAAAAAGTTAGGCATTGACATATAATAATCAAAATGTTGACTTTAGAAAATGGAATAATTTTTTTTCAGAATGGGAGATGTCGTAAAGGTACATTTTGTCGCCCTGTACAAATTGTCGCCGGCGACAATATGTACCTACCTCACTGCATATTTTGATGTCCATCGATACATATTGATACCGGCGACAATAATGTGCCGATTGCCGAGGTGAGTCTTTTTCTCTTCCTGTGGAATGGGCGAAGAAGTGCATCTTACACATTGGCACACACTGTGGTCGGCGCGATGTATGCTGCGAACACATGCATATTTCGTTGTCAAACGAATTGTTTAAATGCATGTTTCTAAATTTCATTGATCAAAAATTGTTTATTTATCCTACTAGGAAAATTATCAAAACTAAAATAGTATATACCAAAAATATTTTATATAATTAAGGATTAATTTATTGATTAGGACGTAAATAGTGTTGCAATCACTTATTGCATATTTTAAATGTTTTTTTTTTTTTTTTTTTACAAAGTACACGTTGACTTATCATATGAGCAGTCACTAGTGTATAAAAGCCAAATCCGTTATATTAAAGATAAACTGGTATATAAAATGAAAAACACCATAAAATTGCTTTGCTTTTAAATAACTATTTGCATAAAATATAAATTTTTCAAATAAAAAAAATCTATTTAAACAACAAGACACAAATGTCATATACAGCCAAACCTCGTCATTTCGAACTCGATGGGACTGAGAAAAAACTTCGAGATATCCAAGGGTTCGAGATATTAAGGGTAAAATACTTCAAGAAAAACCACTTGGGATCTCCAAACACATCGACATATCGATCCATAGTATTCGAGATATCCGTGTGCGAAATACCGAAGTTCAACTGTAAATCAAGCCAAATCTCTGTCTCCTCCGTCCTTCATAGACACTCAAGAAAAAAGAAACTGACAATATTTTCAACTGCTCCTTACAATACTTTAAGATAACAAATTTCTGCAGCACCATGGGTACATATGGGTTCAATCGGTCGCGGTGGCATGGTGGTTAGGCATTGGAAGCCAAAGGGTCCAATTCCCGGAGAGAAAAAAATAGGGCCTTTAAGATGGGTAATGACTGTTCCTTTGCTAAGAACAACATTAAAAGTGAGTAGTCATTGATTTTCTTTATATTACTCATAAAAACAGAGGTACTTTACCAGGGTAGGAGTTGGCTTATAGAGAGACACCTAAATGCGCAAATCAGATTTTTTTCTACTTCACCTGTTCCGTGTGACCTCTCTACATGGGTGAAAAATTCTTGCATCATGGGAAACATACAACTAATCACGTGTTCTTTAACGCCCCCGCCCTTGGTAAATGTTTTTCTTATACGATTACTACAAAGATGTTTGTTGCATCCTTAACTCCTTATAAATTTAGTCATCTTAGCACCCAGGTACTAGTAACATAAACTACTTCGATCCTGTATCACCCATATGGAAAAAATAGGAGTGTACCTCTGAAAGGTCGAGGCGAACATCCCATGATGAAAATACATGCATTTATTTCATGATACCTATTCCATATTTATCAAAGTTACCTATAATTAGTTAATAACAATAAAACATATTGTTTATCTTTCCACAATATTGGTAGCTTCTATCATTTCTAGTGCATATGTATATATTCATAGATATATATTCAGGGAAAAATTAAATCTAAATTCAACAAATAAGATTCATACCGTTTATAATTAGTGCATGTATATAAAACAGAATTTCTATTTTCTATCAGAAAATTCAACGAGACTTGTAATCATGTGTTTAACGGGTTTTCAGAGAAGTATTTTCATGTCATCTAGTCTTTCCAGTCCTTTGATTATAGAGTTTTCAGTAAAAAGCCACATTTTTTTTCGGGTGAAATTCGCAGGGCTTATTTAAAACTAAGTTTTATCAATTTCAAAAAAGTACACTAACTGAAAGTTTTAAATTTGAAATGAATTACGTGAACTGAGAGTCTATTCATATTTGTAGTTTTCCCTGCAATTATCGTTCAAATGAAGCAAAAAGTTTTTTTTTTTTATTAAAATGTCATAACCATCTTTAACCAAGTTCATAAGCTGGTAGTCATTTTTCATGTCAATAAAAAATGGCATGCATAGTTTGGTGCTGGTTAAAGGTGGATATGATATGTGTTGGAGTTGACAAAGATAACCATCCTCTCGAATTTTCCCATTGCCCTTATGTTAATACGAACCGATAGTACGTCACTTTGTGACCTTATGTCATAATAAATACTGTAGAATCATTATCATTATGAAAAACAACTTTTATCATTTAATTGGATTACATGTCCGATGATTCCTGCAGTTTTTAAGGGAAAAAATATTACTTGAAATTTTGATGTTATTGTAGGCTGCAAAACGGCCTTATATAGAGATAGATCCATTCGTGATAATCAAAACGGCCATATATAGAGATAGATCCATTCGTGATAATCAAAACGGCCTTATAGAGATTGATCCATTCGTGATAATCAAAACGGCCTTATATAGAGATTGATCCATTCGTAATAATCAAAACGGCCTTATAGAGATTGATCCATTCGTGATAATCAAAACGGCCTTATAGAGATTGATCCATTCGTGATAGTCAAAACGGCCTTATATAGAGATTGATCCATTCGTGATAGTCAAAACGGCCTTACAGAGATAGATCCTTTCGTGATAATCAAAACGGTCTTATATAGAGATAGATCCATTCGTGATAATCAAAACGGCCTTATATAGAGATAGATCCTTTCGTGATAATCAAAACGGCCTTATATAGAGATAGATCCATTCGTGATAATCAAAACGGCCTTATAGAGATAGATCCTTTCGTGATAATTAAGCTTGTACAAACTGTTTTTCAGATTTTCTATAGCATAATTTTTTGAGTATTCTATCTTCATATTAAAATAATGCTTCTAGCTTTTGTTTTTATAAATTAATATCTGAAAAATTAATTGAGTCACCAGAACCCATGAAAATGGTACCTATTTGTACATGTACAACAAATTCCTGTGCGTACCCCTCCTAAACTTTACTCGATACCCCCTCTTTAGGAGCTTAATGACGGCCTTGGAATATCACATTTAATTTAAGGAGGCTGGGGGGTCAACAAATTAACCACCAGATTTAACTTAATTTTTTAGATATGATATCTTAAGCTGTCAACTATCATTTGGCAAAGAAAAATTTCAAAAATTTCAGTTTTAAAATTTGATCATTTTCTATATCTTCATATGGAGCTCTTCCTCTAAAGGAGATCAATATAGTCTAAAAATGGCCACAACCCCCCAGCCTCTTTAAAAGTAGAAATACACCTGCTTCTAGCTACCCCCACCCCCGCCTCTCCCCAGTTGCTCTTAACTACAGGCCTGAGTAATGTTAACCAATAAAGCTTACCAAAATAAGATATTCATTGTACATGTATATATTCGATGTGATATTTTATCTCTACGGCTGTCCCGTTTTGCAGTTGCATAATTTTCCGTTTTTCAGTTGCATAATTATTCACGAGCATGGTCTATCTCTTCAAATAAAATCCTTTTTTTCAGGAACCAATATCCTTATCACAATCTTTCTATATTGTCATTGGTTTTATTCATATATTCGGTGAAGGACTGTCTGCGTTTAAAATTTTCATTGACACAAATACTCCCTTTTAAATTAAATGCAGTATAATGTGTAAATTCATTACACAGTGCATACACGTTCTAAATTTATTAATTCATGTTTTTTGGCAGACGGCTTTTTAGCATGATTGGAGTTAAAGTACAATTAAGCCCGTCCAAATTACATTTTTCTTCAACACATAGTAAATCTAAATGGGTTTTTTTGTGCTAATAAAGACACTATTCTGCATAATGACATGAATAAGTTGCATGTTGCCAGGAAACGGTATATGGCTTTATGTTTGTGCTAGAATGGGGGTTTAGTGTACAGGTATCTGTCTCAACATTTATAGCCCATTAAGAAATGAAACGACAATCCTTTTCTAGAAAGAAAGGTTTTAGAAATAGTACTAAAACTTGTGCTAGTGAAACTGACTTTGATTATGCACTAAGCGCAAGCACTTGACGTTTTAAAAATGTATGGAATTTAATTTTTGTTTGTTGTTTTCCCTCTTTGCGAAGATTTTAGAAATAAAGTGCCTTTAACACAAGAATTTTTCCTTTTTAGCAAGACTTTTCAAAAGTAATGGAAAGACATCTACATAACATTACAAAATACGTTTTCTGGTTTTGTGTACATGTGCTCGGTTGGTCATGATCATTTTAGACTATTTACACCTTCCGGATAAGAAGAGTTCTGCATAAAAATATAAGAAAATGTAAAATGAAGTGATTTTTTAATAGAAAATATTTCGATTCATATTTTAAAGTAGATCTAATGGGTAATTTGTAGACTACCCAGTCTCTTCTCTTGCTCAAAGCAAGTATTCAGTCAGTCTGTGAATTAAACTCTTGTGTTCCACATGGTAAATAACCTTAAAATGATTCAGTGATACTTTTTCAAAATATTCCACCATGTGTAACTAATGCAGCATATCCTCCATTTATGGACTTAACCTTTTTTTTTTCTTCTTTTTTTTTCGTCAGTCTGAGACAGATTTGGGCTCTCTGTTTGAACAAACTGAAATTTAATCAGATGATTATGAAAGAAAAAAGTTAGGAACATTGTCAACTTGACCAACAAAGATCGTTGATGATTCACTCTTTTATAACAAAGCAAACATGGACGTTACGTAAGATCCTAAAAACCCACAAATCCTCTGTCGATCCTTATTTTTTCTTGTCTGGATATTATCCTAGAGACAAAATACATCATTATGTTTCAGTCTGAATGAAGTGTTGCACTTTTAGCTACTACATAATTCTTTTATTGTCTAGATCTCTTGAAAATAACGTCGTAGGAGTAGATTAAAGTGGTTTCTATCAAGGTTACCACTCTCTGTGGGGACGTAATTTTACAATAATGAAGGAAAATGCTTACTACATTTATTGTCTCCTTGTTGTCTTCTATCGTTGTTGGGGGCTAGATGTAAAGCAGTTGGACTCTCATGAGTTTTCAATTTAACTTTTTTTACCCCCACATGATGCATGGGGATTCAAATAATCACTGCACCATTGTGTAATTGCAATAAAGTATGGTTTATCTTGTGCCAAAACGGGCTTCATTTTTTAAAGTTTCTTAAAGTGTTTTTTTAAACCACAACGCCTTGCATTGCATGACAGCAAATAAAAGTTATTTTCAATTTGGTTAAAGGCGTAATACGTAAAATAAGTACTTTTATTAACATGTACAGTATATATGAATCAAGGAGGGAAGTGTAGCTGAAAGGGGATTGACGACCACTGATTCTGAGGGAAGGGGCTGTGAATTTTGAAAATAAATAAATTGTCCTCCACTGGCAAAAGAAAAAATAACATGACCTTGGCTGGTGCTAACACATACCCCTCCCTCCCCCCGAAATGAGATATAGAGATTTTTTTTCAGAAAATAAATAATCTGTTTCTGGTGGCATACATATATCCTGTCCTGTAAAGGAATGGGATGAATAGATTTGCCAGCATATCCCCCACCCCTGTCCTCTTCTGTACTTGCCTGACGACCCGTTTTCAGGCAGGTACACAAGGGATTAATTTATACGTGGTGCAATATGGAGAAATAATGTACTTCACTTTATTCATGAGATTGATTCCAAGTGATTTATTCCTCATTAATATTCATAAGATCCAACTTCGAAATTCCATTTTTTTAAAAATGAAACTGCCACATCCGTTTTCTTCAAGCCTTGGTCAGAGCTATACATGTGTGGATAGATTCCTTTTGTTGTTGTGATTAACAGATGAAAAAATTCCTGATACATGTACCGCTCTTTGTATACTGTATGTATGTCATATCGATTCGCTAAATCACCGTTTTCAAACGGTTCCCATTTTAAATTTCCTTCCCATTCAAAGAAAATACCCCCTCCTGCCCCTGGTTCCTACGGTCCTGGTATATATGTACATGTACGTTAAGGGACAATAAATGAAGATGTTGCGATACCTAGTTCAATAAACTAGGGATGTGCGAATTTTCCTACCGATAGTGTAAGGACATTTTTTTTTTACTTTTCTGTACATTTTCCCATTTAGATACACATGTAATTGAAAACTGTGATTACATTTTTCATCTGAATGTTATTAAGTTTTCTTCTTTTTACTTTAGTAAATATATATGTTCTCTATAATTTGGACAGAAAAGTATGTATTCATAATGACAATTTTCCGGAAAAAATCACATTTAAAAATCAATTTTCTTTAGTTGTTTTGTACCGTATATATGTCAAAATTTTTCAAATTCGAAATTAGAACCTAAAATTTATTAATTACAAACTTTAAATTAACCTTCAAAGTTAGATAAAACAGCGTTTTGTCCGTTGAAGCACCGATTTTTGCATGAATTTTGGCCTAGAAGCCTTCAGGGCAGGCCTGCCCCTAAATAAAATTATGATATTTTGATAAGAGTTTGGATGTAAGGAATAATTTAAGATAGGAATTTTTTTTTTAGCCCCCCCCCCTCCCTGCCCTAGGGTCGAAATTCACAAAAGCTGCAAAGATGTCAAGACAAGGGTTCAAATCTAAGTCATTTATTTAATAACCTTAGAAAATCACAGTTGTTGGCATCACAATTATTGTCTTTAACATGAAAAATCTCGTGAAGCTGTCACGTGAAGTAATTGCGGCGAGATTTCCTTAACCTCTAAATGCAGAACCGAAAACGTAATGTCCAAGTGTAAACAAAGCAGCCACAAGCTTTGATATAATCATAGGAAGCGATCAAGCAAGAAGATGATGTTTTTCTTCATTTTCACTGCAATCTGAAAGTTTGTAAACAGATCATTAGATGAAGCATTTATAAAATAAATTTAAAGACCTTATGTCTTAATTAATATTCTAATGTAGAATTACCCCAAACATTACAGGAATTTCTTTCAAATTGACGATTAATTGTGGAATTGAAAATTAATCCTATATGACCATCCGGGAATTAAATACTATCCATACTCCAAAAAAATCTTATACCTTTATCAGGGGCGGATCCAGAATTTTTTCCGGGGGGTCAACTCTTAACAAATGTCTGACTCGAAAAAAACACCTTCCAAAACCTGAAAATAACTATTTCGTGGAGGAGGACACTTTCTTCAGATACATGATTCTCCTTTCTTCTTGCCATTACATGGGGTCTGTGTTTCCTTGGCGGGGGGGGGGGGGGGGGGGGGGGTTGCAAGGCCATTTTTCATGACTTTTACATAAAAATTTAATAACTGAAAATTCCAGGGCTGGGTGCGCTGTGTGTTCGGCCCCCACCCCAGATCCGCCCTCGCTTATACACAAATGTTATGTATATATATAATGAGATCAGGTACATGTATATTATATGAGGCCAAAATAAAAAATACCTTTGTTTCCTCTAACGCGACCGACCCACTTAAATTGTGCCGACTGAAAAGTTTTTTAAATAAGATTATTCAGATATTTTTTTTATTGTTTGTCAACTTTATAAAATACAATTTCATCCAAATCCTTTTTTTTTTCAGAACGGCGGCTTCTGTTTTACTCTCATTTGGCGCCCACAATTAACATGTGGCCACAGAGGGTAATAGTTATAAAACAACGGCGATGTATCAATCTTAATATATATATCTTTAACTTATCAGAATCCTACACTCTTGAAACATTCCGTAAATTAAATATTCCCTGACTAAGGAGTGTTTAGATGGTATTTACAAATGTGACTTCAAAAATAAACGTATGTAGTAAGCTTGGCAGAAGGCTTCCTCGTGAGCAGAAGAGGGGCCCACCTTGTGTATGCATATCAATAAATTTCACTGCATTTCATTCGTTTCGATCTAATAAACACTTCATGTATGATTCTATTTTTACTATACAGGACCATAGGATTTATAAATATGTCTTTGTATAATTATTTCATCTTTACAAATATAATTCAGATGCCGTTTCTTCCTTCCTTAATTTATAGGGTAAACTTCGTGACTTTAACATTAGATATATGAAACTCTAATCATTTTAGATATGGTTTGGTTGAATTAAATAGTTTACACAGGTACACTTTTTTTAAATAATGTTAGAAATATTTAAAATTGGCTTATGGTATGGCTTCCTGAGACGTCCAGTGTATTTTTCTAAAGGTAGGTCCTTGAAAATAGGTTGTTTCTGTTTTAAAAATACCTGTTTAAATTGTTGGGTCGACAACATTTGAACACCTGCGTGGTGGAGGGTTTCCCAATGTTTTTTCGGCACTCAGGCCATTGATCATAAAGCATCAGTAAGGGATCTTTTTCGTGCCATCATCTACAAGTATACTGCTACACTGCATGGACCTACGTTTTTTACGGTCTCATTCGATTGACCAGTCTCGATTTGAACATGTTTTATTGCAATAAATATATACAGTGGGATTGGGCACAAGTTCTAAAAACTTAATTCGCCCTCTCCCTACATGTAATATCATAAAAAATTGAATTAGACGTGTCCAATAGTATGTACTGAGTGAATTAACTCACAACATAGAAACATATACTGCTGAATTATTGACTATACACATTTTAAGACCAGTCTCCACGTCCCACGTCGGGACCTGTGACTTACAATAAGCTCCTAAATTACGTCGTTATTCCAAACGAAACACTAGACGTACTGCGCCACCCGAGGCCTTTGACATTTTGTCTGTGTAAGCACTCGAAGATGATAATAGGTTTGAAAAAAGTTACTCGGATTGCCGATGGCTGAGTATTTGCAAATCTTGTCTTTTTGTAAAAATTCGAATTCAATAAAGAACACGACCCACAATATGCCTTATTTGGCCTAGCAAATATGAAAAAATTTAAGAGGGCTTCAGAATATATGTTTTTGATAATTCTTACCATAGAACATTAACACATTTCACATGTATAACATTTTCGTCAAAACCGGATATTTATTATGTCAAACTAAATTCTAAACCTCACCGTGGTTCGAGGTTTTCCGGGAAAATGCCAAATTTTACACAATTAATCGTGATTTACACATACAGCACACTCGTTACCGCAAAATATTAAAACAGATAAAGAATAATAAATATTCGAGAAACATTTTCCAATGAAAATATTTTGCGGTAACGAGTGTGCTCATGTTGAAAAAATATATATATATATATAAAATTTCAGTGCGTGTGAAAAATGCTATGGCCACGATCCATCATATACATGTGTCTTCGTGTTTTACACACTTATAGGATAGATTCATGAGGTGTATATATATTGATAATGTAAGTGAAAACGCACTCACATCCCACATGTAAAAAAAAAAATGTTAAATGGGGCGTCATTAGGCAAATCAGACGACTGGAATATATGCTGGTTTTAAAAAGCGTGAAAAATGCCGATTTATCAACAATTTTTTTCCCAAAGTTAGATGGGGTCACGGGCAAGAACAACTTTCATACTTACTATACGTGTAAATACCACAAATACAAATCTTTATGTCAATTATTAGCGTTGTTTGTGCTTTGACAAATACGAAATTGGACATTACTTTTAAATTTTGATGCTTTCAAAGATCCGGTTTTCAATAGTCAATTGCAAATGGATGGCTCATATTACACTAAAGATCCATAGGTAAGACACAAGGCGATAGAAAAGCAGTCGATTGTTCGTTTTTAAGACTAAATGTGGTAAACAATCTAAAAATTACATTTTCTGAAATCATATTTGGAAAAAAAGCATGGGTGTATATTATGATCATGTATGTTGTACATGACGTAACTCGTTATACGTCATTTTTGACGTCACAGAAGATACATGCAATCAATATTGCGGTTAAAATGCTTATCATAAAAAAAAAATCGAAGGGTTTTTATGGACCTAATTTTCTGTCGTTTTGTTAAATGCATTTAATTAGAAACGGGAAAATTATCTAAAAAAGATAATATCATTAGAAATTTAGCATTGAGATAATAAGAAAATCTCTGTAAACTGGATCCAAAATAGAACTCATGTGCTGAACCGTCAAATGCACATGTCCGGCTTTAATGAATCCCCATGTGACGTCGGTATTACAATATCTATATATTTATATCTACATGTAGCAGCAATTAATCTTTATTTTTGTAACTTCATGTCAATCATTTCATTAAAAAAGCTCGCGTGATAATTCTTATGCACCTGCATAAAAACGTGAAAAGTAACGTTGCTGTCTGGTTTCATCACATTTCAAACATGTTTCCAGAAACAATATGCATATTTTACATATATGACCCTTGACATTGTTTATTATATGGAGTCAGATGAAGTGCAGGTAGGATGTCAAGTTAAAAAATAAATGACAAGCAAAAAAAAAAAAAAAAAAAAAAAAAAAAAAAAAAAAAACTGATTTGAGAGAAGGAAGAAAAAGGGAATTGAAATATGTTTCAAAAAATTCAGAATTATTTAATCGTTACTACACTAATGTAAATAACGAGTAAAATGTGTTCATGTAAACTACTTGTGTATGAATTTTTTCTGTCAAGTTTCTTGACCAGCACCTCCCTTGTACAAATAATTGTACACTGATAAAAAAAAAAGCACAATATACATGTATATGTGCATTGGCGGATCCAGAAGGGGGTTCCAGGGGTTGGAACCCCCCTTTTATTTTTCCAGAGAGAAAGGGGGGATTCTGTAATATAGATATTTTACGGCTAACATTTTTTGAATAAAATAAGTAGTTCAATATCTGCTCTTTCTGCACTCTATATAGAGTTTCGCGTATTTGCTTTCCTCCGTGTACCTTCACAATCCCGGACCCGGGCCCCGTCCACCCACAAGTAACATGCAAGGTTTCACACTGATTATCATAAGTAAGATTCCGGCGAACTTTTAGCTATGCAATATTTGGACTATCTTCTGAAGTATCTAACTTTAAGAAGTACATGTACATTGTATACATAAAACTTTATGAAAGGGAGTGTGCATAAGAGAATATATTTCTCTCCTTAGATTATGGAGTTATTTTAATCAATGAAGAGAAAGATTTTAAGCCCCCCCCCCCCCCGAAATAGGATTTTAGAGCGTGGTGCACAGATTTTTTTAAATTTTTTTTTTGCTTGTCAACTTTTTTTGAAGGTTGCCCCCTTATAAAACCATTTCTACAGGCTTGAAATGCCTGAAGTGTGAATCTATGCATGAGTGCTTGTGGCATAGACCTGGAACAACCCCCCCCCCCCTTTCAATAATTGCTGGATCCGCCCCTGATGTGATTATTTAATTTTAGGCCCGTAATACGAAAGGAAGGGGGCATTTCTCCTATAAGAGACTTTCAATCGAATGACAGTTTCAATGTCCAATGGAATATCTATAAAAAAAAACTTGTGAATTTTTTTTTTTCTTGAACGTATGTCAAACTATTTTTGCCACACTGAAATAGAATTTTGTATGTGCCCCCCCCCCACCCCCATTTCTGTCACTTCTTTCTACAGAAATATTCTCTATTTTAAGAATAAAAGAGAGCATTTTACCCTTTCTTCTTATAATGGCTGTCTTAAGGTCTTACATGTACTAGTATTAGCAAGTCCTTTGTTCGTGTAAAATTAATCTTACGCCGAGTTCCTATCATAATGTGAAAATGAAACTGAAAGTGGTGAATGTTGAGAAATACATCAATAAAACATACTAAATTTATTACATTTATACATGTAGGTAAATAGATACTGAGAAGTTTTGAGAAGAAAAACAGAAACATTTATTTATCTCCACTTTACAACACGCCACGAATCAATGTCCTGCATATACACTTATTATTTTACGGGAATAAAATATGGCCTAGCGATTGGCTGGTTCGTGAAGATAAATATCCGCGAGCTTGTACGTGCGAATCTCGCGGATATATCTCGCATGCGTATTCATCAAAGTTGTTTAACAGTATAGATGCAAGAATTTATCTTGAGGTTACATATACTCTCTTTGTTTATATACATTCAAAATTATAATCAAGTATAACACAAATTTCTACCTTTATTTATTTCGTGCAGTAAATATATGCATATACATGTATTTCGAACAACAAATCGGGTAATACCTATATTTATATTTCAGTTGATATATATACTCTGTTTATTCTTTGATGGAATGTGGGGAACTCTCGTGAATTCATCTAAGTTAATAGCACAGATCTTCAATTTTTAAGCAGATTAAAAATTTTTGTTTCTAGGTGATTTTCTTTTAAATATAATTCAATTAGTTCCACAAAATTTTGTTTTTAGGAATAACAAGTTTTGAATGAGTTCCGTATTTTTCGAAACTCCTTTCAGTTTCTCTATTACAAGAACGAAAACGATGAGATGTTTAATTTATTGGTACAAATGTACAAAATGAAATACATCCTTTTAACTCCCGTTGACTATTTTTTTCTATGATAATTTATTCAGATATAGATTTTTGAAAGCTCAACTATTTTATATTTCATTGATCTAAAATTACCACAGCTGAAGTCATTTTCCATTGAAAAGATTTTTTTTTTCAATTCTATCCAGTCAGAATTGACTGGTATATCAAATGAACACTTTTATCTGCTTTTTTAAATTACGGTTCTAAATTAAATGATGTTGATTCAATAAATATCTATCTCCAATTATTCAATTTCAAGTCTTAAATTCGTATATTGCTTCATTGTAATTGCAAACTTTAAGTCATTTCTCTCGCTCTTTGACGCGACGTTACATAAAAAAAAATGACGTTCCTGTTGCAATTTTCTATCAAAACACTGCCATACTGCAATATCTATTTTTCAAAAAGTATAATAGATATTGAAATGAGGAAAACGGTTATGAAAAGCGAAAATTCTATATTATCTATAATAAACATAACATTAATTTTTGAGAAGAGGCCGTTTTGATGCTTCGTGGACTTAGCTCTTTACGCTGGCCTGAGATATTTCACAAGTTTAAATGAATAATATTTGTTAATTAAATAACAATACATGTTGCTTTTAAATTTCATTTGTATTCGGTTTAAAAATCGTTTGTTTTTCTTTCTTATTTATAAAGATATTATCAAATTTTTTAGAACTGTATTTTCAAAACTGCTGTCAGAAAAAAAAAAATTATTTACCTACCTACCTACCCAACCTGAAATTTTATGGTCGGGTTAGGGGAAACAAAGATATTTTTAATGATGACCTGAGTGCTGATTTGAGTGCTACTGTCATGGAACTACATGTATTACTTACACTTTAGAAAAACTTTGGCTCAAAGAAGTCAGCACTTCCGGTCAATTCTAAATAACAGATACTCTCCAACGGTAGGCGATGATTGAAGTCGATATAGCGTTGTCCATTCACATACGTCTAGAAAAAATATCAGTTGGAAATATTTTTGCTTGGTTTTTCATTACAAGTACGACATATTTTCTTTTTCCAAAATTAACAATCAAGATTCTTCCTGTTCTACACAAGAACGAGGCTCTTCATGCTAGAGCGACCCTCAGCTGACTAAAATATGATTTTTAAAAAATTGAATGATGACAATTTTCTAAAAGAAGATGGAGATATAAATGAAATACAATATATTTCAAGGGAAAAAATAGAAAACTTTTTTACGCTACAGTAGTGATTCATCAAATGCAGAGTTATCTCTCTTTGCAGGTGGATCACTCTTCTTTAAGAAGTTTAAGGAGGAATAACAGAACTTTCACAAATGCAAAGTTAAATCAAAAAAGGTTGATTTTTTTGTCCTGAATATTTCTTCCAACTCTAAATTAAATCATAGGAATGAAAAACTGTACATCAGGAGGGAGTTTTAGTTTTTCTTAGCATTGTTATTTCGCTAAATTATGTATATTTAAAAGAAAATTTATATACCACCTACTTAGAATCAATCATAATGTTTTTCTAGGTGTGTCATGCCTTTCAAAGTTGCGTTAAACTACTCATTTTGATCTGCCTTGAAAATTGTGCTTAATGTAATTACTTCAAGTCACTGAATTTTCAATGAAACTTACCACAAACTTGTCTGGTTGTGCTTGGATGGCTATTTCACAGGTGTCCTTCTTCTCAAACGGGAATCCGGGTTGCTCTCTCTCTTCTCCTCCCCAGTCACCACCACTACACGAGTTTCTAATGGTGCAGTTCTCCTGAAGGCGGGGGTTAAAATGGAAAGCTATGTCACTTCCGTCATCTGGACCAGTGCGCAAGTTAATGGCGAATCTATGTTAGGATAATTGAAACAAAATACTAGCAATTGAATATACTTTCCTTAACAGTGCTTACTGTTTCTACTAACTTATTCAATAATAATTTGAAGCATTTTGTTTCGTTTTTCTAAACAACCTTCCCTTTATCTTCCCCTGTGTACTCACCCTTCGGAACCTTTCTTGGGGATTGCTTGTACAACGATCCAGCTACCTACTCGGAAACCTCCGGGAAGACATTCCCATGAATCCTCCTGTTGAACATATTTAACAAGAAAACATTGATGTAACCATCAATTGAATAAAGTAAACAATGGAAATCAGTCTTGATCATCAAACCGCTTCGATATCTGTGAAAAAGGCATACGTCTAAATGATGGAGACGATAGTAGAGAATATTTTGAAAACTTATAATCGGATGAAAATCGAACAAAAACGATACCCTTTTAAACTTTATCAATTCCTCAAGTAAATGTTGGCTACATAAAATATAATTTGAAACCAGACACATGCATCACCTATTTTCAAAAATGCCTTTCACTTTAAGATTATAAAACGCGAACTGTGTAAAGTACGTTTTTACGTTTTTTATGCGATAAGTAAAATTCGATGTTCTAAAAACAGGGACCTGTCGTTTTATTGATAGTAAATGATAAGCAACTTTATATATTAAATATGAAAAACATATATATTTTTACAGATTCACTTTATGGAAGTAAATATATTGTGTATTTCGTAATTTATAAAGGGAAAGAACATTCTGATTAACAATCTTTTTAATGTTTAGAAAACCTTTAATTCTGAATAACTTCTCCCACCTCAATCCCCATATACCAACACATAAACTTATATGTATAGAGCATGTTAACATTTTTTTAGGGAGGGGGGGGGGGGATAGAACTAAGAATGTATTCAGTTATGTTGCTAAAATGATCGTGGATTACGGGATTAAGCGAAGGTGAGTTTTATTGGAACTTATTCCTCAGGCCTAAGAAAAAAATGTTTGACCGACTCCTTATTTTTTGCGCCGTGACCCCAAATTATTTTCGGTGTAAAATTCAGATATTGCATGTCTGTATGTCACATTTATAGGTCAATAGGTCACTTTTTCAGATCTGTAGGGTAGATTGTAAAATAGAAGTGAACTTTAAGCTGTCTCAAGTTAAATTGTTTTTCAAAGGTTTGGCTTTTAATATACTTATGTAAAAAAAAAATAAATAAATAAAAACAAAAATCCTACTTAGCGACCCTATTTATTTATAATATTAAAAAAACCATATTTTTTCTTAGGCCTCACCAGTTTCCTCTCTAGCTTGACTTCATACACAAATGCGTCTCCCCTTATGTTCACGCCCTTAATATCCTCCAGATTTCCCCTGGCGCCAAACTTCATGCACTTCTTGCCATTGCAATACACCTAAAATAAAATGATTTTTTTTGCGTTATAATGTGCAGAATCATAGTGATTAAAGGACGTTAATATTTTAGCTAAATTATTTCATCTGCAAGTTGTTCTCATGTTTCTCTTTTTTATTGCTTACAGGCATGATTGCACGGCTGAAAAGGAGTTTGATTTGTACAAACCTTGAACTTGTTCCTTTTCACCACTATCTTGACCTCGAATGGTTCTCCGTTTGCTATGGGGGAGGGGATGTCTTCTCTCTCCTCCTCACCCCAGTCCCCACCCATGCAGCAATTCATGACCACCTGTCCCTCCCCGACCCTCGGGTTCAGGTGGAATGCAATATCATCCTCCACACTGAAGCCATTCATTAGATTTATGGAGAACCTGCAACACAAGATGACGTCATGAAATATTGTGCACTTTATTTCATGTTTAACATTATTACATGATCAAGCTTTGTTAGAAAGATTACAGTTCGAAAATTACCAGCAAAAATAAATATGTCGAGCTTTTCATAAAAAAATTATCTCAGACTCATCTGTTATTACAACTCGTATTATCAACATGCGTAGATCTAGAAAGGGGGATAAGTACTGAGTATATACTGAAGCAAATAAAAAATGACTTTGGACCCCCCCTCCCCATAGAAAACTTGTACCCACCATCACCACCACGAAATAGGTGTCTTTCACGTTTGGGGAATGGATTTTAGGTTGTTGTTTTTTTGTTTTTTCTTATTGTTTGATTGTTTGTTTTTTTTTTTTTTTTTGTTTGTTTGTTTGTTTGTTTGTTTTTTTTGTTTTTTTTGTTTTTTTTTTTTGTTTTTTTTTACTTGTCAGGTAATTTTCTGGATAAAGAAGAGAATTAAGGTTTTGTTTGTTTTATTTGTTTTTTTGTTTGTTTGTTTGTTTGTTTGTTTGGGTTTTTTTTTTTTTTTGCTTGTCAAGAAATTTTTGGGTTGAAAATTTTATTTTGACTGGGGTGGACCCCCCCCCCCCCCCGAAAAAATTCCTGGATCTGTGCCTGATCAAGGAGTCTGTGGACTGCATTCTATTACAAATGGCTAAACAAAACAAAAAACAAAAAAAAAAATTACAAACAAACAAAAAACAGTGATGTTCATCTTGTGCGTATATTAATTAAGTCAGGAGTTGCATTTTCTGACATTCCCCTGGAAATAATACAAAGGAACAAACCAAACTTACGTATCTCCTCCGGGTTTCATAAATCCCCTAAAGATCAAGACGTCCCCTTTTACCAGACCGGAATGAATAGTTTTCACAAAGTCGTCTTCCTGTGGGAAGAATGACATTTTGAAAATGACGCCAGCTTTGTTATGAAAACAACAATAATTTCTGATCTCCAGACAGAACGACTCCTTACCAATGGCTCGTAGTACTCCACATCCTGAATGTCCATGTTACCCACAATGTTGAAGTACGAAGCATCATTTACGCCGCCCCGATGGTTGAACTCCGTGAAATACTTGTCATTCACATGAACCTATCAAAAGAGAAATGGTGCTATCGAGTTTTCAAATAAATAATATACCACTACCGCCAAAAAAAAATTAAAAAGTTGCTTTTAATTTCTGCTCATGTCCATTTACATCAATGTGCACAAAGTTTGTAACGTCATACCAAATATTTATCGTCAGTGCAGACGAACATTGCGTCGAAGTAGTTGTACGGGTTAAAAGGGAACTCTGCGTCATTATCCCTCTCTTCATCTCCCCATCCCCCGAGATTAGCGTTACGGACAACCACGCCCTCGTTTGGTCGAGGGTTAAAATGAAAGGCGCAGTTTTCATTGTCAGGGTCGCAGGCAAAGTTGACACTAAAGCTGTAAAAAGGGGCGAAAAATTGTGGTCAATTGCATGCCTATATACTATTTGAAACCTCTTCACGCTTCTCACAAATTCCTTCTTATTAAGTATTATTAAGATATATATCAAAAATCTTTCATCATTGATACAGCGGAAGACAAACAACTCTTATATGACCTTTTGGTTTCATAAAGTCGAGACCATTATCTTCATCGTAAACCTAATATACAAGATTTTATTAAAGTTTGTAATACCCATCGTTGTCTTGAGATGCTCCGCGGATTCTAACAGCTTTCCCTACATTCATCTGCTGTGGAATCTCAGATTTGTATGGAAGTGTCTGTGTAAGTAAAACAATGATTCAGAGGTGTAAACAGCTGTATATAATGAAGTAATGTACACATCAGCTATATCCGCTATTGCATTTGCAGATATACATGTATTAAAATTACCAAGATGTTTCTATTAAATTTTAATTAAGTCTGTTTAAGAGTCAACATACATATCGGTCTTGGTAACTGATGTCGTAAAACTCGGCTCCCTCCGTCAAGTACAGATAGTGGACATTTCCCATATCCAGACGGTGGCTAAAATTGATGTACGGCTTTCCGTTCACGTAAGTTCGGAATCCCTCTTCCGCCACCTCTATGCGGAGTGTAAATGATCGACCTTCATCAAACGGAAAGTGGGGTTGGTCTCTCTCTTCGTCCATCCAATTTCCTCCATCGAACGAGTTGCGCACGCATTGTTGCTCCCCGGGGCGTGGGTTGAAGTGGAATGCAACTTCTCCATCACATGGCTCTGCATTCTGCTGAAGATTTATGGCAAACCTAGAATCATAAAGAAAACACACACTGAACAATGCATCAACATGATCAACATTCCATGAGGTCAAGTTTGAATGTCCCTCTTTTAAGGGAGATAACTCTTAAACTGCTGAGAAATAACTGTAACTGATAAAGCGCAACGTTTTCCTTCATAACATTTTATGTTCGACAATTTTACCCTCTATAATAAAACTAATTTACTTGAATTTCTTTTTACTTCTATCTTTTGCTAGCAAAATATTATTGAAGAAATACATGTATTAATTCATTTTAGCGAATAGAGGTTCTTTCTCTTTTAACATTCTCCAAAAAAAAAAAAAAGACTTTTATGTTTTATTTGCAGATACTGCATATTCTAAGTGATTTGATAAACTTACGCTTCTGTTCCGTAAGAGACCCGGCCTCGCAGAAGGATCTGTTTACCGATGTGAAGCCCATTAGGGATATAGCTGGAGAAAGGCTGCGCCTGTAATGAAAACAACGAACTAAACATGTCTAGATCTGTTTGTCCTCTACAAATAAAAATTGAACAATTCTAAATTAGGTAGAGGGCACGTTAAATGTAAAATTACTAAAGCTTTTTATTTATTTTCAATCTGCGAACTTTCCTACAATGCTTAGAACATTCGACATTGTAATTCGAGTCTATATACCTACATCTGCCAACAGAGATTAAAAAAAAAAAGTTGTCCGTTTCTTATTCATGTAATTAATATTTTATTGTTGCCTTTTATTTTATCGACCATGTTATATTATAGTATTCGTAGAAAGGGGAAAAACACACTTAAGTAGAACCAATTGACATGTTTGCATGTAATCACAATGTATTAATAAAAAACATACAATGACTCCTACAAAAAAAAAATCACATGTATATTTATAAATAAGAGGAAGGTGTTTTATTACCACTTAAAATCAATAAAAAATGTATGTATATCACATTTAGTATAGTGTGTAGGAATGGGGGCAATTTTAAGAGCCATTGTACTACTTCCTTTGGGGAATTTTTAACTTGTGACAAGAATCTATACATCAAATAACAGCAGTAGGTTATGAACACTAGAGTTGCTTTAAAACTTTCTACCAAAACGTGTGAAGATATTGAAAAATTAAATATTGATTGTACACGCTTGTTGTTTAACGTCCCATTCGAGACTTTACTGTACACTTTACAGACATCGCTTGCTTTAGCTAAAGTGCCGCAAATTTTGATCTAGGCTCAGTGCTTACGGCCGCAGCGCAGCAGGATGCTTACCGTGACACGGGACCTCGGTTTTAAGGTATCATCCAAAAGACCCTTGACTTTCATTTTTAGTAATGGGCGCATGGCGGAGGAACATTCACTACCTTTGTCTCATATAAATCAAAAGAATGCAAATTATTTTAATAGGGGATGTGGGGTGGGAGTGGGGACATGGTAAAGCATGGGGAAAAAACCTGAAAAGGAGATACGTTTAACAAACCAGTCATGACAAAGAGAATTTCAAATCGTTAGATTCAACATTTATCAATTAGTTCAGTATCAGCATTTCAGTACCACTGGAATTAAGTGATGCAGAGATGCAACGCAACGAGCTTAGGTGCCAGACAGGAGAGTGTTAATGTCACAAAATTAAGACCACAAGTTGTTGAGAAAGCAATTTTCGTATCATACATAGTAATTTCTTAAATGAGGCGCAAGATACCATCTCAAATTGCTAAAGAGGTATGAATTCAATAGCAAATCCAGCTTGGGGGGGGGGTAGTATTTTCAGATAAAATATTTATAATAAAGTAATCATAATGCGACCTTGGGACGCGCCTAAGAAACAAAGTCCCCTCGTAAGTTGGTATACAATTTAGAAAAGTCTTAGACATGAAGAAAGGCGTCTATGTCCATGAGAAGTCTCCAATCCTTTCCTTCTACCTCCACAAAATAGGTTCAAAATTTTCTTTCCCCTTTCTCTCCCCCAAGGAAAAATTCCTAGATCCTCACCCTTGTACTCTACCTATGTTTATATGCTGATTGTTTGTTAATTAGAATCACAATCATTTTAAACTTTGATTACTTATACATATATCATGTTACCAAAATCATAAAATTGCGCTGTACACGAATTTCAGGGTAGTCCTTGGCCTGCTCAATTATCAAGGAGCGGTGTGTCATTAATCAAACGGCTCACACCCGAGTCGTGTATGGGATCGATTCATTCATCTAGCTGGCAGATATTTTTCTGCTTATCAAACACACTCTCATGAATGATTTGGGGAATTGGATTCTCTGTTTCTAAGAATGAAAGTGGGAATAAAAACATATTGAACGTTTTATGCGATAAACAACGCTCGAAGTCTAGACCAAAAAAAAGTCAACGAAGCAATCCTGTGAATTGCCTTTCTTTACAGCATTTATGTTCAGAATAAAATAAGACGGAATCTGATAATAGGTTTGGACTTTTAAAGGCGGTAAAACATTTTTTAAACTTTCTCCTCATTTTCGCCGTTTTAAAAACCATTTGGCTCTTTTTGAATTCTGGTTTATAATCTTCTGTTTAAGGTGCTTCACTCTAGTGCTTACGTCAGGGTTCTAGGTAGAAATAAAACTGCCCTGAAAATAAACGCGAATACAGTTTGGGGGGTTATTACATGTATGTAAAGATTTTTTTAAACACATTTGCAGTGGTCTGTGTTGTGAAGTTTTATTTTTAATTACAGGAATGATATTGGCATTTCTTTTTAGGGTGGAGGTGGGTGGGGGTTAACGTTACAATGTATATGTATATTACATAACCCATAAGGCAATATTCGAGTATTTTGGAAGTTTTACTTTTAATAATATTTTGACTTGGGTTGTCTGTCTATTATTCAATCTGCCCAAAACTTTAACCCAACTTTTGTTTAACCAAAAATCATCAAGATTGAGTGTCAAGCGCAAGAGAACATATAGGAATTGTCCACCATTGAAACTGGTCATCACCATAGGTATGTTATTGAAATTTTTAACTCATTTGTTTATTTCTCGAAATGCCTGGCATATCTTCGAGGGCGTTGTTCGTCCTGAATAGATTGATCTTTGAGGGTTATAACTGGCATGATAAACATGATGAATGACCAGCATTTTCGCTATTCTTTGGTAGTTTTTCTGTGAACTGTGTATTCTGGCTCTAATAACCAAAATTTGTGAAAGAGGAATCAGCCCTCAGATGATAGTTTGGGGATGAGCCAAGATCCGTAGGCGGACGCACAGATATGAAGTAAACCTTGATATTCGTGAAATGGGGTTTGTTTGATTTATATCCATCGATTTTAAAGCTGAATGAATTATACCCGGCCAACTTTTGTCAATAGAGACAATCTCCGTGTGATGTCATCGTCTTTGATCGGCGGATCCAAGAGGTCAAAAATCCTCGCCCACGCTCGTATCCTGGGGATATTAAAACGTTGCAAAGTGTCAGTGCATTGCCCCCTCTTATCGTGTTTAGGACATCTTAAGAATGTCTTTTCAGCATAACAAACAAAATCCTTGTCTGAGAAGTTCATTTTTTTTTATTTTAAAGTGGTTTTCCCCAGTCATTAGCCATTTATTTTACAGTAATAAGCAGGACATGACATAAGTGTCTAAATGATATGTAAATAATTAACTTTTAAAAAAAAAAACATCGCATGCCTCCTCGAGAATACGACAACGGCAAACACTTAATCCGGTTTACAAGTCAAACACGGAACTGTTAAAAGTTAATAAATACATTTTTATAAACCACATGTAGTTTCATTGATTTGACGGTCCATGGTGATATATAAGCTAATATTAAAGCGACAGATGGACACGTGTATTTACTTGTTTAACAATCAAGATGGTCAATAAAATTACTTTGTCGCTAGATAATCATGTGCATAAAAACTGCATGAATAGAAAATGGTTTTAAAATATACACTGCATTTCATTAAGAATGGTATCATGAAGTGCTATAATTAATTATAATAAAATCACAATTAAGAAATATACACATTTCTATAAAATATACACGTCTCTATGCCACGCCCACATTGTTACCGACAGTCGTGTTAACTCTGTGACATCTAAAGCATTTCAGGATCGCAGAGAATAATTTAACAATATACGCTACAGGTATCAATGTAATTTGCTTTCTCTATGTAATATTGTCCCCCTTATTAAGATAAAACAATTACTTACGATTTTGCTGATCTGGTAAGTCATGTTTCGGAGACCTACAACAAAATGAACAACGTGAGCCTGAGTGATTCAACAGTCGTGCGATATAAAAAGTGCACGTGCCTGATGGGGGCCCGGCTTTTGATGACATAAGTTCCGGACTTCCTGCCTCCACAGCCGAGAACCAGATTCTTACCTGTCGAAGCACCACCGTCCACCCGACAAATGTGTGGACCAAGCCTACCTGAGTTCTGTTATCAGTAATTCATGTGATAGCAGGTCGGCGACAGGTATGCCACAATTTTTGATAACGGAATCATTACGAGATATTACCTGTTATCCCATACACACCTGTCCGATCTTTTGTGATGTGTCATGTTACTACGGAAACATTAAGATCCACCACCATGGATCCCACACATCACATTTACATTCAAAATCATCGCCCACACCACTCCCTATACATATCTGAATATGTATGAAAATATTGTTTCAGTCCCTAAATTGTAAAGATTTTGTTGAACCACCAGTCTATACATTGCTTTCAGACTTAAGCATTGATTTTCGCGGTTATTTGTCATATCATAGATCAATGTATTTTTGCCATGCAGACTCTTTATTCCCAAAGTATGTATGAATGTGAAACTAATGGCATAGACCTTTTTTGGACATATATCAAGGACCATTATAGCTGCAGAAATGGAGCTTACCACCGTCCTCCATGAAAACTTTTAAGACCGGTGAGGTACAGATCTGCAGTTAGGACTACTTTATATAGAAAACTTATCATTAAGGCTAAATTAGTTTCCGTGTGATATTAAGAGAGTGGTAAGAATTGTGTTCAGTACTGGTGAAGCCTCTATCCTCAAGCCAGTGATCTGAATACTTCACCTTATGGAGGAAATTTGTGGGGAATAGAATCACTTACATTTATACCAATTATAAAGCCTATAGTAATCCGGACGCTTCATTAATTCGGACGATTTGCTTGGGAACACAAACGTCTGGATTAACGAGACTCGACTTCACTAGTATCTTACGGAGGCGGTAAGAGAGTTAACTCTGAAATGTTAATTACGGAAAAATATATCATTTTAATATTATACAAACATTTTCTGAAATCACCGTATTTACCCAAGTAAGCGAACAGACCCTTACAAGTTCCCCAAACCCGACTGCTTCCCCCAAAATTCTTAATTCCATGCAGTTCTGAAAATAAACAGGGCCCTCTCAATCACCCCACCAGTCGCTGACATCATACAGTACATGCAAAAATTTTCAACTGGTTGATCAAATCTCCTAAATATGCATAAATGAAACTCTGAACTGAATTACAGACCCTACATTTGCATGAAATTCTTGGACAATGTACATTGTATATACCTAAGGAATATAAACGGCGTGTTTTAAATGACTGAATTTTGTAAGCGTTCAGAATTTGTAGAGTTTTTTTTTTTAAAGATGCAAAGGAGAAAATAGTTATTATACACTACTTAAAGTGTTATGTTATTTACACATTCCTTTTTGATACATTTTAATATTAATCCCCCCCCCCCCTCCCAATTCTCAATTTCCTTTTGGCTTACTGGGCGAATCCGGTATGTTTGCGTTACAGTTACGGTATTGCAGATTTACAATAACACCAAGCGGCGAATGTCGCATAGGGAAAGTAGGGTATCACTGAATCTGTTTCGTGATCAGCGAGATTTACAACATAGTCTATACGGTAGAAGAAACATCCCAAATTTATTCTATAATAAAGGAAAACATTTTTGTGAGTGCGTGAAGACTTGGATACAATGCTATGTGAATATATATATTTATATACATGTACCTTGTATAACGAGACAAAGTGCAATGGTATATGTTTTCAGTGCTTAAGGGGGATGTCCGGCCACCTTAGGTGCAATGAAAACAAAAAGTAAACATTTCTTCAAATGAAAAAAGTACACTATAATTTGATCAAATTTTATGTCCTTACGATAAAGAAACAATAAATATGCATAACTGAATGCATGTTTTGCGTAAATAATTTACACATTTGCAGAAAAATGCTTTTGATATGCACTTTAGAACTGCGCAGCTACACACTTCAATAGAGCCTTAAAAAATCCAAAAAAATATGCAAAGTGTGCCTTAATGTTCTCCCTACAATCATTTGTTGAGAAAATGTCTAAATTTTGCACTGTTAAATGGTAATTTCCAGTTACAAACAAGGCACTGATGTCTTCAAAATGAGTGTAAAGAACCATGAAAGTAGTTCATGGACAGCAGCACGTGATCTATTTTTAGCACAAAATTTTTCCAGACCACTTCTTTTTATGGAGGCACATAATGGTCTGAAATGAAGAAACTTAAAATTACAGGCAAAGTAATAAAACACCTTTATATCAAGTTTATTTTAAAAAGTAAAGGAGAATTACTTATGATTTTTTTAAAAGGGGAGTTGTGTGTAATAAATTTTAGTGAATTAATTAAAAGTAATAATCATTATTGAACATTTGTTTTATAGTGTGTTGTTATAACAAATTCTTCAAGTCTCTGCTTCCAGGCAATAAAAATTTGCAAAATCAAAATTAAAGTTTTTGAATGATTTTTTTCCCCATTTGTATAAATTAAACAAATGTGGTATTTGAAGTATTGATACTTCCAGATTTGTAATTATCAACAATGAATCACAAAAAAATTAGACATCGTAAAATCAATGTGAATGAGCTTGTTTTAGTACATATACATGTATTTTGTCATCCACAAATTTTCAAATTACATTACATCCTAGCTCCATTTCAATAGGTACAAAATCATTAAGAGTAATTATTAGGGGATTTAATGATTTACAAACAGTTTTTTTTACTTTCTTTATTTTCTCCATGTTTTCCAAATTACAATTTCACCAAGTAAAGAAAACAAAATCAACATAATTATATACAAGATAGTACATGTTTAATCATATACCTAGTAATGCTAGAATTTTAAAACTTTGACCATAATTTCAAAAACAACTCGAAGATTGTCATGTACAATATTGCAAAACAAAGTGTTAATGAAACATTTTGCTGATAAAATTAAGCCAAATATGCAATCTACTCTCCAGTGATGAACTCTAAATTTCAATATTTGTTTTTTAAAGTTAATACTGGCATAATTTTTTATATAATATTGATGGACACCTAATGTTCACAATGCTCACCTTAGTCTTATTGCTTTCTCTGAGTCTCTCAACCCCCTGTCTCTCAAATCAAGTAAATATAAAAAAAAAACCCTCTTTGTGGCCCTAAACCAGGTTTTGAGTGTTACATTATATATGTATTGACATCTGCATTTACTAAACATAAATTTGTCAGATTAGTATTCCCTTTTCAAGGTAGTTCCCTTGTTATGCTCCAACCATGAACCCCCCTCCCCCCCCCCCCCCAAAAAAAATCAAACAATTGAACCTACATTGTACAATAGTAACAATACAAATGAGGATACACTCTATAAAACTAAATGCATATAAATGTGGACATCTTTCCAATGCTGATCTGGTAATTTTTTTTTTTTACTTAATTCTTACAAATAAAATCTCAATATATTGGTCAAGAGAAATTTGAGAAAAAAAAAAATTTTTGATGTTCTGAAATACACCTATGACCTATTATGATTAAAAAAAACATTCAGCAAATTGACAGATGCTCATTTAAAAAAAATAGTGAGTTACTCACAGAAAGCTGTGATTTTAGACATTGGTCTTAAATACATGTATTTTTAAAGTCTGAAGTCTTTTTTGTAATGAACAGTGAGATAAGAACTACATGTACTTGATAAAACTTTAAAGAAATCAGTCCTTGAAAACTTATGTATTAAAAGATTCACAAGATTAATCCCTATACACATGTACATTGCACACTGCTTAAAGACATTGCATCATATCATGTGTAAATTTTAATTTGAATACACAGCCCTTGTAGCAAACAGATAAATGGAATGAATTATTTCTGATTTAGAAATCTATTACATGTACAGAGTAATATATTTCAAAGTAAAACACTGAATGGAGTTCCCTTATTTTACATTATATGATTGACATTCTGTTACCAATATTATCTCAAAATCCTATATGTAAAACATCACAGGGAACAGCGCAGTATAACGAACAAAATTGATGTTCCAAAGATGACACTATTAGGCTCTGATTTACAATGTATCCTCACTGGCAAGAGTGTGGGTTTACAATGGATTTCATTTTAGGTTAGAATTTCAATGCAATTTTCACAAGATATTCCTCAAAGACCTACAATAATAAAATGCATTTTAAGAAGATCATTCAGAACATTCAACAATTACAAGAAAATTATTATAACAGTAACAAATTACAAAACAATAAATCTTTTCTCTGTTGCCAAGGATGACAAGCCTTACCCTATCTGCAAACATTGCCCTCTCTTCCAAATTTCAAACAAAGAAATTAAGATATTTTTATCAAACTTCATGTGCTGATACATATTGTGGAGAGCTTTCAACTTCATTGGCATTTTTTGATCTTGACCTCACTTTTCTAAAATTTGAGTTTAGCTTAATTTCAAAGAAACTTTTCTAAATATTTTTATGTAATCTTCTGCACTGATACATTATTTGGTGAGAATTTTTCCAATTTTTCCAATTTTTTAACCTTGACCTACCCACTGACCTTTGACTTTAACATTTATTATGTATAAAACCAAATTTTAAAGAAGTTATTCAAGATTTTTTCATTAAAATTCATACACTGATACAAATTTTCATGTTGCATTACTAATGAACCCTGGGTGGAACATTCATGTCCTATGGACATATTTCTATTTTTTTAAACATATTTCTGGTTGCATGGTCTAATTTGCTTATCCATTACTAAGAAACCTGACCTAATATCAGGCACATAACAAAACTCTTCACTGGTCTACTTGCTTTACTTAAATAAACTAGCAAGAATATAAATGATACAAATCAAAGCAAGTTTAGTATTGTAAACGTAATACACTGTAATATCAGTTAATTTTTGTTACGTACATATCAAATTGTGACCAAGAACAGCTTATTAAATTATGAGAAAGGACCTGCTTTAGAAACTCAATATGCATTTAACCAAAGATGCCTTGAGCTGATCATTGTCATCAAAGCATTTAAACAAGCTCCTGGATATCCAAATGACTTACTTCTCTCTTCCTTTTCTTTCGTAATAATGGGAAGACTCATGTTCATATCTGCAGTCCATTTGCACCTATAACATATCCACACCATTATGAATCTTGAGTTTGCTTATTCTTTGCATTGACTTTGTTATGTGCCTGTAAACAATTACAAGTACTTGTATTAATAAATTCATTGACAAATGATGTTAAAAACGAAAAATTTAAGTGCTTATAAGCAAGAAACTTGAAATAAAAAAAGAGGAACTGCACATAGACACAAATGCATGGGCTAATAACAAACTTACTTGATTCTTTTGTGCATAACTAAGGTCTGTATTAAATTGCATCTCGGAACATCTGTGGGAAACTAGTAAAGGATATGACATCTACAATAAGTAAAACATTTAATTCATAAAAATTTAATTAACAATAAATACACAATACTTATTAACTGAGGTCCCGTGTCGCATTAGGTGCTGGCACGAAAAAGATCCCTCACTGCTCAATGCCGAGTATAGGTCAGAATTTGTAGCCCTCCACCGGCAAGTGGTGGTGTCTCCATATGAGTGAAAAATTCTTGAGAGGGACGTTAAACAACAATCAACCAACCAACTCACAATACTTATAATTCCTGTTACTTTCTGTACACTCATCTTGATTATCCTTAAATTATGCACTAATTTATGGTACAAATAATGTAATACAAAAATTTCCATGGAGAATTTTCATTTTCAAAAAAATGTATAATACTGCCTACTGTTTACTTATTACACTTTTCTGCCTAGTTATAAAAATAATCGATTCATAAAATGTGATTTTTCACATAGTAATTAAATCACACATTAAGAAATGTGTGTCCTATTTATCTCTATAGTCACCAAGATAATAAAACTTTTAAAAAAATACATTTACTCAGTAATCCCTAGGGAGACCATATATATATATATATATATATATATATATATATATATATATATATATATATATATATATATATATATATCTACACTACTGTGGTTGCATAATTCTCCATCAAACTCAAAATATTAAATTTTAATACTAAGAAATAATGGGTTCAAGCAAAATTAGTATATGAAATATTATCCAAAATTTTAACAATTTTTTTTTTACCGGTATCTGCAAGCATGGCCATTTCAAGACAATTAGGAAGAGTTATGTGTGACCAATCAGCAGGGGATGCTCACTCCTCCATGGCACCTGATCCCACCTCTGATGTTTTAGAGGTTTTGTTTGCTCTGCCCCTGATTTGTATTGTTTAATGGACTTTTGAGCTTGAATACTATTCGTTATTTCCATATATTTGATGTATAATTTGTGAATGCTTAACCCTGGTCCAGCCTAATTATAAGTAAATTGATGCACGGGCAATTTTAGTGTAAATATTTTTTTCAGTTGCCCAGCAATATAATTTGACACAGTTGATGCAGAAAAAAAAAGACAAAGTGTATCATGCTCAGATTTTGCAGATAAATTATTGAAGAAGAAAATGGTAGCAAATATTTTCCTATTGCCTTTCCTCCATGTCCTCTGAAAGTGCTATTTAAATATATAAAAAGCTGGGAGGGGATTTGGAGTTAGAAACCGCGAGATTATGACATGAGTCATGTAAAATTTTATTATACTATAGCATGTATAGGGTAAGTTAAATTTTTATTACAGAAATAAGTGCATGTGTGTCAAAACTGATGCAAAACAAATTTGGAAACAATTTCACACAGTCACATGAATAGTATATATTCTGACTACTGACTATTCAACATGTCCAATAACTTAAGTATTTCAACAAATTATACTTCAAAACATTGCAGATTAATAAAGACCTGAAGAAGCATGTCAGTTTAGAACACACTTTTCCATGATGTGTTTTTATATCCAAAACAATGCTCCATACAATGTGTGGCCCTAATACCCGACAGTACAGCAAACAATCTCTTTTACTATGGGGCTCCTGAAGGAAATTTTATAACTGACTTCTTTTTCTTTCTATCTGCTGAACAATATTGACACGTGTACTTACTTTCCGAATGTAATAATTACAATGTGTTATTGAATATATCGCAACTTGCTTAACATTTTTAAATTTAAAAAAAAATCATCCTCCTTGCAGAGCCCCATTTAAAAATAGTCTCCATGTACAAACACAACTTAAAGGAGAGGCAATTCGGAACGAGAAGTCAAGAATTTTAACGGACATCTGATAACTGATCAGAAATCACATAGATATATTGCATTTTTAGAAACTCTGCAAGTCTGCAGAAAATTATTACACGTTCATTACAAGGATTCAAACAAAGAGTCACGTTTTTACATACCCAAAATGTGTCTTACCTTCTATCAGCTGTTTTCACCGGAAACAATGGACATTCATTCTTCTATCGCCATAGAAAAGAGATCCGCCGTAAACACATATGTTTAGAACTATTTACTCTTTTCCCATTAGTTTGAAAGAGTCAACAAACTATCAAGACTTGTTCTAAGTAAAATTCAACTGTAAAAAAATACATCTATCCACAGAAGAAATATGCATATGCCAACCACGTGCTCCGTGGAATGATATGACTGAGGAAACTCGAGCGATAAACAGGACGTTTTTTTTCCCGGTTTGCGAGAGATGGGTTAAAATCGCGTTTTGTCATTAATCAGACGGTGTGATGCAACAAATAAAAAATGTAAGTTGTATAACACAAGGACCATTACTTAAATATGCCTTGTGTTGATGTTGTTACGGTCTCATTTATTCTAAAAACAATGTTATTTGAACTCTGTGTGACAGAGGAATGGCGGACATAATGAACACATGGCCTCAGGGAGACCACCCTATGAAAAATCAAATTTTCAAAAAATATGGACAACGACAAGAAAAAAGCAAAACAAATGGTTGTAGCCATATTATTAATGAACCGAACTGACATCATTTTCATTGCATTATTCATCTCCTGAATGCTGTAGCTGCGCAGTTCTAACATAATTAATTTTCCCCAAATGCAAACAAAAGAAAAATAATTATTTACTAATTTTGGTCTCTAACAGTAGGTAATAAGTGCATTAGCACTTTGAGTAACTTTGAGCTGGTTTGGTAATGTATTAAGCGCATTCTTGGTACTTCTTATTTTAGACCAGAATACATCCAAGATGGCTTGTACATCCCCCTTAATACTGGAAAATATTCCGCTCAGAAAGGAAGTTGAATTTAAATAAGGAAATAATATCTTGTGAATAAGATAATTTTTTTAGCTAAACAAATAATCTTGAAGAAAAAAAATCATATATACATGTAAGTGTTTTTTAGTCCATGTTTGAAATGAAAAAAGGTTTAAAATTGTTTGATACATAAGGATAAGGATTTTCATTCTTAAACAGGATTTTTAATAAATGACTGCATGTATTGTAAATATAAGTAATGTTAAAACTATGACGAATCTACCTAATAAAGATGGGAAATACGTGTAGCTTCGACGATCGTACCTACTGTGGTAAAGGGCATGTAGGGATGGGGCGTTAACTAATTTATTCCACGGCATTAAAACATGCACGCTAATTCCGCAAAGATATGTACATGTAAAGACTTTCGCTTTTTTTAAAAAAAAAGTGCTTTCTCCATTTGAAGGAAACCACAAGTTTATGACATCAACTTATGATTCACAAATCTTAATTAATTAACACGTGAATCGTTGTTAACAGAGTCATTTGATGTCGCAATATCTCATATATTTCCATGCATTATACCATGTATATAAAATAAAAGTGTTGAATTTCATCACGGGTATACATGTATATACACTGTATATCCATTTAAAATCATATATTATTGTTTTTACTGTCTCTGTACAAAACCAAGTTATACTTTCTAACTTAAGAATAAATACTTGTAACTCGTGGAGAGAGAGAGAGAATAGATTTCTAAATCTCTAATGACAGGCCCATAGAAAGCGGGAGGCGGGGCGTATGTGTGAGTATAGTATTTTGCTATGATAAAGCTTTCCTTAGTTGTTGCCCCCCCCCCCCCCCATCACGTTTTGTTGCTGTAAAGTCAAGCACTGACAAATTCCAGGATTTGGACAGTTAATTAGTTGGTTTTTTGTTTGTTTTTCTTTCTGTTTTTTTTTGTTTGTTTTTTTGTTGTTGTTGTTGGGTTTTTTTTTTGTTTTGTTTTGTTTGTTTGTTTGTTGTTGTTGTTTTTTTTTGTTTTGTTTTGTGTGTGTGTGAGGGTGTGTGAGTGTAAGTGTGTGGGTGTGTGTGTGTGTGTGTGTTTTGCTTGTCAGATTATTTTGGAAAGTTGCTTCCCCTCGCCCATTTTGGACTTTTTTTTCTTGTCAGACTTTTTTTTTGAGTCCCTCCCCCTTTTTGAAACCGTTGCTACGGACCCGAATGGAATGTAGATATAATTTAAAAAATGAAATGCAATGCATAATGCATCCTATCTATAAAGGTGCATTCTATTATTAAGCTTAATAAAGGATATATTAATTGATTAACAAAAGTAAACACTTGAGCTCCCAAAGAAAAATGTTTCCTTTTTCAATCATCATTAAACCCTTTATGACTAACGGGTTTGAAGAATTTACAATTTATAGTATTGATGTTTACAAGTGTTTATAAACGATTTACTTAATTTAATTCCTTATTTGAAAACATATATCTTTCAACTGGAAACGCGCAGATTTTCCCCTGTGGTTACATGTATAGTGTAGCTTTCGTTTGTTGCAGAGTATTGTTTAATTTCACCTATATGAATTTTGAGCTGAACTAATTGTAAAAATTAATTTTTCCATCTTAAGTGATTTTGCCCACTGGTTAAAAAAAATCCTCCCCTTGAATAAAATTTGCTTACTTTGCGTGTAAGTGTGTGTGAGAGACCGGTGAGTCATAATCATCTCATCGATTGATAAACATGATAAAAGAAGAGAGATAAGCCGAAATTGTGATCAGCTTTCATGATGTCCAGAGGTGAGGTTAACAACTAAAATAATCTAAACACTTGCATACCAATTCTTAAAATAATAGGAGAGAGAAAAAAAACACAAGCAACGTATAAATTAGACAGTTGAAATCAGCTGAAATCAGACTGATCATACATGTTATTAGTAATTCTGAAACATTTGAATCGACGTTTGAAAGGTCCATATACTCGTATACACAAGTTGTTAACGCTAACTGACACTGCCTAGGATGTTGGTACTTACCTAATAAAACACAGCCGCAGTCTGAGAAACAGAATGCACTCTAATCACTGCACGAACGACCTTCAACTCTGGAACTCCAAGGCGGGGAATCCTGACACGCACCTCATTGATAAGACACACACTGTGTTTGGAATCGGAGGATACCCCGAGGGGAGGAAAAATTCTGTAGGAATCTTGCTGAATCTGGTTGCATTCTTGGCTATCCATGACTATGTATCAACAATAATTACATTTTCATGAGCGGCTCTAAAGGCCGTATCGATGATAACGACTTGCTGAGCCATTATAAAATCCACGAATACTGACAAACCTAAAGGTTTTATCGTTAAATGAATTTAATTTTGACTTTGTTTGTGTAAAAAAAAAATGTGAACATATATATACACGTATATAATGTATAAAAGATATTTGATATTAAACTAAAGATTTAAAAAAAAAAAAAAGAAAGAAAAGAATAGAGTGTGAATTTTTGAAGGGGAAACGTAAACGTAATCCCTGCATATTAGTCATTTCTGAAATATGTTAACAAATATACTTAGTACAGTTATGTTGCTTTTTGTTTGTTCGCTTCTTCTTTTCCTTCTTTATAATTTTTAATTTTATTTTTCGTTTTGATTTTTGCTTCTGCCTTGCTCGTTTCTTTGTTTGTTTGTTGTTGTTTATAAATATCTCATTTAATTTTAAAAAGAAATAGTTTGTCGGATGTTTATCATAGACTTTTTCATCAGTATATGAAAATTTGTTATAAATGGAAGTTAAGTGAATATTTTAGCATTATTTTATAAAAAAGCAAAACATTTTACCAGTGTCTTACATTAAATCTGTCACTTTTAAATTGTAATTTAATAAAAATTATATTAAAAAAATTCCAAATCAGATTATTGAGATTGAAACAACAACACGCCTTGTATGAATGATTACTTAAGTTAAAAGGAGGAAATTGTTATCTTCCAAATAGAAACAACTTGAAATGAAAATGAGTTCTTTTCCTTGTTCAGTCAATTTGATATATAGCGTTTACCATGTTTACAAAATTAACGAAACATGCTTCTGATACAAGAGATTTGCTGAATATTTCAAATGCAAAATATGATTCAGCTGACACAAATATATTTGGGCTTTAATCATTTTTTTCTGAACGTACAATATCTTATCGTTGATTTGAGAATTTGACGTCGGGTTTATGTTGCAGAATATGGTGGGATCGGGCTCGATATTCGGCACCTGGTAACTTCCCGTTTCCGTTTTAATAATAAAAACAACTTTTTTAGTTCTAGTTTTTATACAAGGCAGCTTAATTTTAAAGAAAACAATCCCAGTTTTAAGAGAGGAATATGCTTCTTTCAGGTAAGTAACGTCATGAAAAGGCTGTATATCAGGAAATTAATATGAGAATCCTTATGACACCAAATACCAATCCAAGAATAATCTTGGCAAGATTAGCCCAGTTTTCCAAGATCATTTAGGCCTAGATCACCACTGATCACGCTTCGTCTTCACTGATCCTTACATTGTACATGTTGTACTAGTAAACAAAAAATGCTATATAGATACGCAGCTGTGTATACAAAAATATTTAATAATAAGAAAATCATATGCTTTATACAGAACTTAAAAAACAGTTAAAAGGATAATATGTTTTACGGTGTGACCGTTGGGGCGAGCGCAGTTGTACCATCAAAAACCTATACACAGTTTACACTTCTAACGTTGATGGATCCGCCTCTTCAAACGTCAAACCGCACGAGACACAGTCAAGACTGTGACGTCACATGACGTCGGAATTTACATCCCCAGGTCAATATAGAGAAATGAGCTCCAAATCGAAGAAATTGTATCCGTTTTCTGTTGATTAAACGCATGTTGACGACTGACAAATGCATCAACATTTAGGAAAATCATCACTGTAAGGGACAAAACCATGACAACAGAATAAAATAATGCTTTAGAGCCCAGATACAGGCGCTGAAGTGGGTTGGGGTATTTTTTCCAAGATGAGAGCTTTCGTCCCTTGTAGAGTTTATGTATATAGGTGTGGTATGTCTTTTTTTAAACATGGTTTTTCTTGACTGAAAGTGTCAAAATCTTTTATTTAACAACTTTTAAGTGTATTTAAAGTAGATTCAAAATTTTTTTAATTTATTTTACATTTAACAATCCGGAAGACAAGCCCCTATGACCCAAATATGAATTCACACTGACTTACGCCGGGGTCGTATGGTATCAGGGTAGTTAACTCATTTTCTAAAAATATCTAACAAAACTGGGATATTTCAAGAAACTAATATCATTTTCAGTTTCTTCTACTATATATCATAATTCCTTGCTCTGTTGTTGAATTTTCATCCACTTAATTATTTACTATGAGCTATTGAAAAGTTGTACCAATGTTTACCTTATAACAGTGAGAGTTCTATGTTATCTCGGTATCCGGTTAGCAATAGTCTACAGTGGCCTAGCAGTATCATATTATTCTCGTAAAAATTTAATGGTGTAATTGAACTATAATCTTACTATAATTTTCTGACTTTAGTGTTATTAAACTATTATAATATTATATTTTGAAGGATAATTAAAGATGATCAAATACTGAAATATATAGGTGCTCTAACATAATATATAGTAGTATACATTGTATGCAGTAAAATAGCAATACAATGTATATATTTTGTACGTTTCAAAGCCTAAAAACAAAAAAAACAAAAACAAAACTGATCTAGTTCTGATTTCCTGGTCCTTGTTGGTAATCTCATTAACTCCTTACTGGGTTCATCAGAACATGGATTTTCTTAATCTGTTTTTTTTTTTCTGCTTCATCATGTTCAAAGTGAGTACAATATTTTTATTTCTTCTTTGATGCTTTCTTCAAAGGATGCCATTATTCAAAGGGCTCCTGGAGATCAATATTTGATATTGAAATAGAAGGCTTGCTATGATGTACGTATTATCTTATGCACTTGCCATATGTTGAAACTGCTGTGTTCAACTGTTATGAAATCATCCCCCCTTCTTAATATTTAGAGAAATATGAAGCAGTTAAGTGTTAATTGTTCAACTTTGCTTTTTTAGGTCAGTAACATTTATACACATGTATCAGTAACATTTATAGAAAGTGCTTTATTTTGAGTACCCTGTGTCATGAGTATTAGGCATTTAAAGGCTAAACACCGAAGTGCACATTTTTTTTTTTCTAAGAAATGTAAATATGGTAGGAAGTGCACAATCATTTGTTCATTTCATTTAAACAATACAGGTATTCTAGGAAGAATAAAGATGTCATTGTGCATCTATACGTCAAAATGCAAATGCATATAAAGATCGAATTAAAGACACATAAAAGAAGTCATACATTGTACTTTTCCATAAACAGGCTTATTCACTGTAAATTTATTAAGTCATAACCAAGTGTAAAAAAATATTGAGTTTTATTTTATTAATCATTTATCATGATCATGCATCCACAGTGGACTAAAGAGGCGAAAGTTATACATACCTGCCATTAATATGACGTGCTTAAGACAGCAATGTCCAGCTGTGAACCTCTGGCCTACTTCAATGGAGAGTCAAACAAGAATATTTATTGTGATTAAGTTGATGGTTTAGAGTTTTATGATGTCTAATAAAATTAGAGAGCTAGGCTACATACAATGAAGTAAATATTTATTTTTTATTTTAATAGTGTGTGTAAAGTTCATCCCCTTGGCATTTGTCTTTTGAATTTAAAGTAAGATAGAAGATCTCAAAGAGAAGCATTTCAGGGAATATCTGTTATCATGATCATATTTTTAGCTCACCTTGACAAAATCGAGATGAGCTAACTGAGTATATGCTATACATGTACCCCCGGTGTTGGCATCAGTGTCAGCATTATTGTCGGCATCCCGGTTAAAGTTTTAGGAGCAGGTCCATTCCCAAGTAACTATGAAATGCCCTACCTAAATCAAACTTGCATGGATGATGCATCTAGGGATGAACACTTGCTTGGGATGCTGGATCTGACCTTTATTTTCCAGTTGAGTGACAAGGTTAAAAGTTTTTGGAGCAGGTCCATTCCCAAGTAATTATAAAATGCCCTACCTAAACCAAACTTGCTTCAGATGCTGGATCTGACCTACATTTTCCAGATGAGTGACAAGGTTAAAGTTTTTGGAGAGGTCCATTCCCAAGTAATTAAATGCCCTACCTGGACCATACTTGTACAATTCCCAACCTGCTTCAAATGCTGGATCTGACCTTTATTTTCCAGATGAGTGAATTTTAGCAATACTTTAACCAAATTAGCATGAATGATGTATCTAGAGATGGACACTTCCAGACCAGCTTTGGATGCTGAATCTGACCTACAATTTCCAGAGGATTGACCAAAGAAATGTTTTTGGAGTAGCTCTATAGTTATGTGGTCTGTAATGATTAAACTTGCATAGAAGATGCTTCTAGGGATGGACACTTCCAGACTTGCTTCAAATGTTGGAACTAACACTAACAGACATTTTCTTGATTAGCGAAAAAGGTTAAAGTTTTTGGAGCAGGTCCATTTCCAAGTAGCTATAAGTCCAACTTAAACCAAACTTGCATGGATATTGATTTCGTGATGCACACTAACTAGAAAAAAAATGATGTGAGATTTGCCTCACTTACAGATAACATTCGTCAAGGTGAGCTTAGTAATCTTTGAATACCTACGTTTTAAAATATTTAAATCGATTTACCTATATAAAGCACATTGATTTGTGCTTCAGATTTTAATTTTTGTTGGAATCGACTGTAAGAAAGCTGTGCACAGCTGTGCAAACTTTTAATATGTATATATATATGCACAATTTGTTGAAATATCAAGATGGTCTTTGTGATTAAATGTTTGTGTAGACGGGGATTAGGCATGTTGGCCCAGTAAGCTCAGGGATTAGAACACCAGCACGGTAATCTGGATGTCAGAGATTTGAGTTTGAGTCTGGCCAATACTTGAGTCATCTAACAGTTATATAAATGTAGCAGGAATGGAAGAAATACTCCTGGCCAGACCAGACCTAGGTTGGAAACCTGAGGCCCCCTGAATTCTAGTTTAATAAGTTAGGTGTATCAACTATAGTTATACTAACTACTTCTGTATTTCCAACTT